CGGCTTCCATCACATCAACATGGATGGCATTAGCTTCGAGGTATTTTGGTCAGACGTGGAAAAGGCATATAAAGGCCAAACCCTTTCTGAAGATGGACTTCAATATCCAGACTTTACTATGCGCCAGCTCCGTGAATATGAAGAGGGTGCCTGGTCTACCGATCTCTCTTATTGGCGAGCACAGTATAAAGAGGTTCCACCCTCACTTCCACTTCTTCCATTTGCCCTACAACCCGTACGGCCCAAGGTTGCTCAATTTGCGTCTCATACTACCCAGATTCGCCTCGATGCCAGTTTGTCGGATGCAATTGATCGGTGTTGCCGGATGTTCAAATCAACACCATTCCACTTCCATCTGGCCATCTGGAAGACCCTCCTGCTGCGTTTCTTTGATCTGAAGGATGTTTCCATCGGTCTCGGAGATGGAGGCCGTACGGATGGCGACGTCCTGCGGAGTATGGGACTCTTCTTGAACCTCCTTCCTGTGCAATTCTCTCAACAGCCAGGCGAATCATTTGGAGAATCTCTCAAGGGGGTCCGGAACATCACGCAGGGTGCATTTTCCCACTCACGTGTGCCGTTTGATGTGATCTTGACAGAACTCAACGTTCCGCGATCTGCATCACACAATCCCCTGTGCCAAACGCTCTTCAACTATCGACCCAAGGTCGAACAATCACGAAGCTTCTGCGGTTGTGTTGCCGCTGGCGAACTTCTGGGCGGCGGCGAAACCTCTTTTGATCTCGGTCTAGATGTTGGCAACGTCGGTGCCGGCGAAAGCCTGATTCACCTAACGGTTCAGAAGAGCTTGTATGGAATGGAGCATGCTGAAATTCTGCTTAGCTCCTATGTCAATCTTCTCCAATCTTTTGTTCAAAATCCAGCGACTCGGGTGACCTGGCCGGAACTACATTCCAACGATGACATCCAAGAAGCAGTTGCTGCTGGTCGAGGCAAGTCAATTAACCTTTCTAATCCAAGAAGTTATGCTAATTATGCTATACAGGACCGGAGCTCGACGAAGAATGGTCTACGACTATAGTCCACCGCGTAGATGAGATTGCCTCGCGGTATCCGGACCGTGTCGCGTTGAAGAATCACGATGGGAGCTCCTTAACTTATGCTCAAGTTCAGGGTCGGATTGATGTTATCGCCAACGAGCTCCTACGCAACGGAGCCGGCGCAGACACCCGTGTTGCGGTTTTCCAGACCCCAAGTGCAGACTGGACATGTTCTCTCATGGCCATCTTGCGTGTCGGTGGTACTTATATTCCATTGGACAAAAAGGTGGGGATGGAGAGACTCGCGATGATCATGAAACAAACACAAGCACCGATGGTATTGGTTGACACAAACTCCATGTCTGACTATACACTTTTGCATACCACAGCGAAACCCATCGATGTATCTAGCCTAAAGGGCTCTACTGCACGCGCCGTCCGAAATATGGCCGTTCCAAGCCAGACAGCAGTGATCATGTACACCAGCGGATCGACCGGCGTGCCAAAGGGGATCATGATTGATCATTCAGGCTATGCTCACCAAGTTCAGTCATCTAGTGTGGTCTGGAAACTTAAGCAGGGAACCGAAACCATTCTGCATCAATCGTCCTATGCGTGGGATGCGTCTTTGTGGCAGATCATGGCCTCTCTATGCTCTGGTGCGACCCTTGTGATCGCATCTGATCTCACACGAGGCGATCCCGTTGCTCTCACACGACTCATCGCATCGGAGAACGTGACGTGCACCCTTGCGACACCCACAGAATATCTCGGTTGGGTGCGCCATGGCCGCTCCAACCTCAGTAACTCTCGCTTGTCGACCGCAGTATGCGGTGGTGAATTCATGTCAAGTGGTCTGATCAAAGAGATTAAGAGTCTTAATCGGCCTGGCCTCAAACTGATCAATGCCTACGGGCCGGCGGAGATCAGTGTCGTATGCTCAGGCAGTGAAGTTCCATTCAACCTGCTGGATTCGGCAGATTCGACATCAAAGTCTACTCCACAACCTCTTTACACTCTACCAAACTACTCTGTTTACATTGTCGACAAAAACTTGAACCCTGTTCCGATCGGAATTCCCGGTGAAGTAGTTGTTGGTGGCGCAGGAGTTGCCCAGGGCTATCTTGACAGCACCAAAACAACTGAACGCTTTCCAAATGATCGCTACGCAAGCCAATTTTTCCAGAAAAAGAACTGGACGACAATCCATCGCACTGGAGACCGCGGAAAGCTCAATCACGATGGTGGTCTTATTCTCCTCGGGCGCATGGACGGAGATAACCAAATCAAATTGAGGGGAATTCGCATCAATATTGAAGAAATCGAGACAGCAATCGTCAGTTCCTCTGCAGGAGCTATCACACAAGCTGTTGTATCCGTTCGTTCAGATGAAACTCAATCTAGGGATCAATTCCTTGTTGCCTTTGCTACAATGGCTGACACACACGGTTCTGAAGATGCGCTTCAATTCCTCACACGCCTCTCCAAAGAACTGCCATTGCCGCCTCATATGCAACCCGCTGCTATCATTCCAGTTGAAAGCATTCCTCAAAATACCTCGGGAAAGACTGATCGTGTCGCAGTCAGCGGATTTTCCATTCCGTTGATTTCATCCCAGCTCCCCGACGACAACACTCTCACAGAATTTGAACAGTCACTGCACCAGCTCTGGCAGCAAGCGCTACCACGGGAGCTTACTACCTTCCACTCAATTGACTCTCAGTCTGACTTTTTCCACGTTGGTGGAAGTTCCCTCGCCCTTGTCAACCTACAAGGTCTAATCAAGGAGCAACTCGGTGTGTCTATGGAATTGTATCAACTTTTCGAAGCCAGCGGTCTACGTGCAATGGCGGCCAGGATCCAAGACATATATCGCCCGGCGCTTGAGCTAGACGTGAATTGGGATACAGAGGTTGAAATCGCATCCGACCTTACTTTATCCCTGAACTACGGTGGAACTCACATTATCCCCTCGGGAGTCAAGACCGTGGTGCTTACCGGGGCAACTGGTTTCCTTGGCAAAGAAATCCTCCAAGGGCTCATAGAAGATGAGAAGGTCTCGTTCATCTATTGTCTTGCGGTCAGAAAACGATCCTTGGACTTACCTCAACTATTCTCCCATCCGAAGGTTCGTTTGCATTATGGTGATCTGGGGGCTCCTCAACTTGGACTGTCGAAATCTGAGAGCATATCGATATTCTCCTGTGCAGACATTATCATTCACAATGGCGCGGATGTGTCTTTCATGAAAACATATCAGACCCTCAAGCTGATCAATGTGGCATCGACAAAGGAACTTGTCAAACTTGCATTGCCCAGGCGTATTCCATTCCACTTTGTCTCGTCGGCTGGAGTTGCACGACTTGCTGCCCAAGAAAGCTTCGGGGAGTTTTCTGTATCACCATATCCTCCTCCTTCTCAACCGACAGATGGCTACATCGCTGCCAAGTGGGTAAGCGAAGTCTATCTGGAACATGTCAACAGCCAATTTGGTCTCCCCGTATGGATCCACCGACCGTCGAGCATCACCGGTACCGATGCACCGGAGCTTGATCTTATGGGTAATGTCATGCGCTTTGCCAAAGAAACCCAAAAGTTGCCAGACTCGAGCTTATGGTCAGGGGTCTTCGATCTTATTTCTGTGCAGTCGGCTGCAAGCCAACTGCTCGAAGCCGTTCACCAATCTGGTTTCGGCCAACCAGCTACAAAGTCTGTGACATATCTTTATGAATCTGGCGAAACAAAGATTGGACGTGATGAGATTATGCCCTTGATGGAGTCGGGCTCGGGACAACAGTTCCAGGTCGTTTCGCTCGATGAGTGGGTTAACGCTGCCGAACAAGCAGGAATGAGTGTGTTGTTGGGTGAGTACTTGCGCAGAGCCTCCGACGGGCAAGTTCTCCTCCCCAGGTTGATTAAATCGTCCAAGGATCAATGAGGGCGGCCAGGATGTACGGAGATAGAAAGTCGCAGAGCCAATTACTTTCAAGAGATTGAGAACAAATATATTTCTATTGGCTTTTTGAAATTCGCTTTGGTCGTTATCATTGCTCGATATCCGTAGTCATGTGTGACTTGGAATTGTTGGGTTACTTTTTCAACATGTATATCCTTGATATAAGAAATCTCCTAGCTCTACAGCTTTATATTTGAATATTTCTTGGTTATTATCACAGCCAAATTGGTACTCCCGTGACTCAGATCCGCTTCATATATCAACACCAATCTCCATGGATAGCAATTAACTAGGCAGAATAATATATATAGTACCAGCTAGCCCTAGGAGCCATACAAATCAGGAGCCCCTAAGAGAGTCCTCTTAATCTCTTGCTCCTCGTTCTTTTTTCTATGTCTTTTCCTATCTCCAACCCGACTAGGCAGTCAGCATCGGGCCTTTGCATGAAAAATTATTTTGATGGTTCATTTTCACCCCTGTTGCTAACACATCAATCCCAATGGAAGCAGATAGAATCATAACCTCGGAGGTTATCGGTTGACAACAATTAAATACAGCCTGGATTGACATGGATTCCTGTGATGCAACACAATACACATTGTATGCAGGCAAAGGGGGATGAAAGAACACATTTCACCGACAGCGCTAATCTTGCATCTGTAGGGTGTTATGATTTTTGGTTAGCGTTGATATAACCCCAGCTCCATGTTATGATCGCTGAGAATTGAGAATTCTATACACATAGTAAGCTCGAAGGTTTTCAGCAGACCTTAGAGTCCATTCATGACCCCGGGTATATCTCGCCAGATATTTCCATCTCTAGCCAGAGAGGTTGCAACATTGACCAGAGTCGCCGATTTTAAACCCATCAAGCAATTTCATGCCCAGAAAAGCCAGTGCCTATTTTGATTTCTTTTTTCGGGGCTTGTCGTCTGATTATTACTCTCATCCGTGTCGTACGGCTGTTTTATATAAATGAGTCTTCCGGGTTTATAAGTAGTCGAAATTCTACCGGTATCTTATTACTTTATTACAATCAAAAGATGGAATCTCAGAATAAATCCTCTACCCAGACCGGAATAATTCAACATGAAGGCGGGATTCTTCAAATTACCGAAGGTCTGCCTATCCCAGAGCTCGGTCCCCACCAAATCTTGGTGAAGACTGCTGCCGTGGCCCTTAATCCGTGTGATTTCAAGATGCCATTGCGGTTCCCGACCCCGGGTCTCTGGGATGGGTGTGACTTCTCAGGCACGGTGGTTGCCGTGGGAAGTGAAGTTGCTGCACAGGCACGATTCCGTATTGGAGACCAGGCTTTCGGTGCCGTTCAAGGCTCAAATATGTCAGATCCATCGTCGGGGGCATATTGTGAGTACATTCGAACCGACCCGGATTTTACTTTCCATGTTCCTAAGGGAATAGAGCTAGCCAATGCACCATCCCTCTCCGGGACCGCAATTGCGACACTTGGGGTTGCTCTCTTTTGGTCACTTCAATTGCCCGGAACTCTGCTCACACCAGCATCCAAAGGGGAGGATGTTCTGGTATACGGCGGAGGTAGCACGATAGGACTACTTGCAATCCAAATGGTGAAGCTGTAAGTACTCGATTTTATTCTTAAGCCTTTCGCGATATTCAAGTAACTGATCCGTCATCGTTAGCTGCGGCCACCGGGTAATCACAACATGCTCCCCTCACAACCGCGACTTGGTGACATCCTACGGGGCTGATCTTGTCTTTGACTACAACTCTCCAACATGTGCCGAAGACATTCGATCGGCCACAAAGAACACCTTGCGCTATGTCCTCGACCCCTTTGCGGAAGCCAAGACTCTGCGGATGTGCTATGCAGCCATGGGTCGCACTGGAGGACGGTATTGTGCACTTGAACAATATCAAGAAAGTCTTTGCTCGCGAAAGGCAATCAAGCATGAACTGGTCATGGGAGGTGCCATCTCTGGCCGCGGTGTCGAGCTCCCAGAACCATACGGTATTCCACCACGGCCTGAGATTGGAGTCTGGGCTCGGTCGTGGTACGTAGAACTCCAGGGGTTGATTGAGAATGGGAAGCTTAAACCCTGCCCAATTCAAACCATTACTGGCAGGTTTGAAGGGATTTTGGAGGGTTTAGATATGCTGCGGAAGGGAAAGGTTTCGGGGAAGAAGCTTGTTGTGCCTATGATATGAATGCTTGCGTTGATTGAGGCCTAAAAGAATTATAGCAGAACTTGTGACTGTTTGAGAAAATATCATTTGATGGATGATTAGAATGCCATTTCACGTTGTATAGACGAGTCTGCGCATTTTAGGTTGCCGTCATGGTTTAGCTTTCGACAATTATATATATTAGGCAATTAGATTATAGGTGCTTGTGAAGCTTGCTCCTTTTAGCTATAATTGCTAGCTAGTGTCATAGTTTTCAAATGTAGCACTTGCTATTATGTCCTAATATGAGGGGACAAAATGCCATTTTATTAGAATCAAGAGGCCATATAACCGCGTGGTTCTGAAAGGATGCTGTTGGTAGTGTTTCCATTTGGTACGGCTCAAGATTCGATTTCTGTTGAAAGTACAGAATTCTCAACACAGAGAATAGGTGGGATCTAATTTGGGCCATCGTAAACCATCTTCGCAATAACCACCTTGTTCTCCTTGGTGGACCTAATGTTTCGAGTGAGATATCTCTTTCCCTCGAGCTCTTCAAATCCCCAAATCACTTCCGCGTCCCACCCCTTTGACGAATTCAGAGCCAATTCTTGAATAACCATGCTGGTCAAGCTAGCTACCTCGATGACTTTGCGGATGGACTCTTCCAGTACCTCAGATCTGTCGATGAATTTGAGCTGCATCTGAATATCTCCGAAAATAGGCAACGAAAGGTCTTGCTTGCTTCCATTGACCAGATAGCTTCCTTCGCTGTCAAATCCACCTGGATTGACAGTTTGTGTGATACGAAGACTTGTGACTGAGTTCAAGTTGTCGGCCAGAGCAGAACTTTCATCGCACTTTTCATCTATGCACGTGGAGGTGGTCTGGCAGATTTGCAAGGAAAGCCGGGCATGTCGCAAGACCTTTCGGACAACCCAAGGTACGGCTTGCTATTTCCTCTTAGTAAAGCAAAGCCAATATCCATCTCAGCTCACTATTGCTCCTACCAAGACCATAATTTCATCTGGGTCGGTTGACAGTTTTCGGTTCTAATCATCATATTAGAACTTGTGCCAGGCAACTAATACAATGGAGATAGCATACCAATACCCAGGTTCCAGTAAGATCAGGAATGCCTTTGAAATTTGGTGCAGACATCGTGAAGGGTTCAAATTTGAAAAATTAAGTTGGGATGATTCTTTTCCTCTTTTTGTGAGGTGTCTCTCTCTGTGGTTGTGAGACTAACCGTTCCTTTTAACAGTAGAGAATATGCTCTACACTATACCCCAGGGGCCTTTATATAGATTGTAAATCAAGACCGGACTCGGACTCGGTGTCCGAATATGCAAGGGAAGCTTAGTGCAGGTATCCATTATTGCAAAAGGCTAGACAGACCGTCAATACCATGACCTTGGATTGAAAAGAATCGAACGCGGCGTGGTTTCCATTCCAATTCAATATGGCTAGTTTCTCGCTCGCGTGGTAGCCTTACATCGTCCCTTGTTCACCTGGTTTGTGATAATCCTGAGTGTGGGCAAGCAGTACCGAGCTCTATCTAGATGCGTTACTACTTTTCTTTCTCAATTATCTATAATTTTATTACCCTACATTTATAAGTCCTAAAAGCCAGCAGGTGTAAATCCTTTTAGAAAGCGTCTAGGACATTGAAATACCATACATACAATTAGATAACGGCTGGGTCTTTAACAAGGTGCCGCAAACACTCCATTATTTCCATCAGAGACATCTCGGAGGGATCTTGTTCTTGTGCTAGGACAATGTCGCGGATCGAGGTTGACCAATCCTTCTGGCGGACTAATTCCGATGGATCGAACCTTCGATCCTCTTGTAGTTGAGCTGAACTTGTCCGCAATTTAAGTGCCCGGTCAAGCTTTCCTAGCATCGTTGAGCTGAACTCAACCAATAATTGAACTTGGGTAATGAGATTTCCATCCAAATGAAACTGCCCGAACCGTACTTTCGGTAACAACAGAATTGTAGCTGCATCAACCGGAGGAATGACGAGAAAAAGCTGATACAGTCGCATGAAAACAGCTCGATATATACGAACTAGAGAGCAATGTCCCTCCAAAATGCCAAGCCACAGAGCTATATCGCATTTCAGGATAGTGGGAGCGGTCGCTCGATCTGGAGATGTTGTCGTAGTGTGGTACCCAGAATCATGTGGGGATACTGTGGCGGCATATTCATCCAAACTATTATCGCCAGCGTCCGGAAGAACAAACAAAGAGTCATCATATCCAACGTTCTCCGGTTTAAATCGTTGTGTAGGAAGTGTAATGTCCAAACTCTCTTCCTGTGTACCACACGAAGAATGAACGATTGCCAAAAGCCAAGACGAGTGATCAAGAAGGCGATATATCGGAAGGTCGAGTGTTTCAATTGCCAAATTAGAATTTTCGTAAAAAAGGGATGAAGACTGAAGGAGCATGGATCCAGTTTCGAACAGCTCCAAATCTTCAAGAAGTCCCATTTTCAATCTCAAGAGGCTCTTGCGAATATCCTTCGTAGAGTAGAGAGCTTCGTGGCTTGTTGTCTTTGGGGGAGGTTTGCTTGTAGTTGGAAGGTTTGGGTGATTTACCCATGGAGGATCCGGAAGGTCCTCTATTGCAAAGAGAGATTCGTTCTCGCCGTAGTTGAGATGCTTAGGTTGAAAAGGCTGGGGGATTCCCATTTCAGTGGCTTGCCTCGCGCCTGGTGGAACATCACCTGTAAGAACAGAAGGAAAGCAAGAGTTTGCCTCGTACAGATATATTTGATCTGACGGAATCCAGTCAGAAGCCTATAGTGGGTGATTGTCAGTTGGTGAGTGACGTGCCCTTCGGTTTCAACTTACCAAGCTATAGGGATCGGTTGACCAGTTTGGTTGATGATGACCCCATTGCCCAACAGGAGGCATGATGTTTCCCAAGTCTAGGGGCATATTAAGCCCAATATCGTCTGAAGATGAAAGCATGCTGCCTTCAGGAAAAACCGGCATTGACGGTACTCCTCCCCAGTAGTGGTGCTCGTTCGTATTGTGTCTCCCTAGGATTCCAGTCGGAGAGTGCAACGACTTCTTCACTCTTGTAGCAGACGTTTTGTGAAGAATAGACATTGATCCATGCCTTTGATTGACTTTTTGGCTCTCACGATCATCTCGGGGAACTTGAGTCTGCCCATGGGTTGAGGGTAATATGACCGGCGCAGGCTGGTTCATACTTGTGATACATATCTCTTGAGCCTTAAGGCATCGCTCACAAGACATGCCATTCATGTGATCGCGCTCGCATCGCAATTTCTGCCCGCGACAACGATCACAAGCGGACCGGCGAGAGTGTCGATAATTGGGGGTTGGATGCATTGTAAGGCTCATGAGATGAATGAAAAGACAATGTTCCCTACGGCTTCTGACAATTGCAAAGATAGACAATTGATGAGAAGCTACCAAGGGCAAATATGTACTTTGTTCTTGCACTGGAATTGGATGCAATACATTAACCTAACAATTGGCTCGAACCATTCCCATGAGCACATCTAAACAGACTTCTGGCTCGAGGAAACGTAGTTCCATTCAAAATTAGTTCCATAGAAAAAGGCCAGGAAAGCGCGTGGTTTGGTATCACTGCGCTTGTATACCTCTCCCTTGGAACATGATCCACAACATTCTTGGACATGACCCTACATGGTGATTGGGTTGGGTACTCTCAATTTTGCATGTCGAATTCTCAGGTGTGACAAGTTATAAGGTCATAGCAAGTTAAACCTCTCACAACATATGTATAGACATGCGGACATGCAGATAGAGGTTTAAGGGTATTTTCCTGGCATCCATGAACTGAAGGCTGAGCCCCAGAGTCCTGGTACGAGGTGCATCAAGATTCATGGAAAATGTTACACCATGCTCAAATGGGGGGACCGTATGGGAGAGCATATCAGTTGTGATACAAAGGAGGTGGATATTGTTTCACATAGCGCTGTATCTGAAACGTGAGGTCCATTTCATGGTGAGTGACCGAAAAGGTGAGACGCGTACGGTCGTTTTACCCGCGTCGAAGACCTAGGAGGAAATCGCGATCAACAGCTTATGAGATTAAATAGAAGACAATACGAGAACTAGTCTCAAAGACGTAGGTCATAGCCGGCTACTCGGAGGTATTGTAGTCCCTACGTTGTAGGCATTGGAGGCGGGCTTGACGCCACCAAGGGAGACTCCCGCCCAAAGATTATCAATCATGCATAGACCACCATAAAAATTCATCTTAATACCCAATAAGGAGTAGATAACTCTGATTTGGAAGATTGCAGACCGTGTTAAGCCCGAGGCCAGATATTCGGAGAATTAGGGCGGTCCTAGGACCCAACTGAGAACCTTCTGGCTCGTTGGTTCTGGGCCCGTGATGTTTTCTTTTTCTCCCCCTGTTGGATTTCGTATTTCGCCTCCACATCCTGAAATCCACCGACTACGGAGTATTTTGTTACCAACTGTCGAGGGGCGGAGAATGCAAAGTAAGGGGTTTAAAGCCTGACCACGCACCCCTGGCTAGAGCGCGGCTGGTTTTCGAACACTGCAAATGTCGATCGATTATAGGACAGCAAATAATATGTACAATTCAAGGACAGATGTATCTACCTCCTTGTCTATTCTTGTCGTGTAGATCCCCCGTGCGCTTTACGTTTGAGGTCAAAAAGCCGATGGCATACGTGGTTTAAATTAAGGCTGGCAGCCGCTTATACCCTGATTTGCGCCTAATCTATCCGCCAGACCAGGGCCCATCGGAAGGTTTTGGAATTCTGGCGTAACTTCTATTTGAGCTAGCCTTCAATAGCACTCTCGGCCACTTCAATTCTTCATGGAACTCGCTTAGAATCGGACAAGCATTCACTAATAAAGAACAAAGCCGAAGACCCTTCATGGCGACTTTTCACTCTGACCAGGACGTCCATTCACATCCTTTATCATAACGCGAACACCCTGACTTCCTTTGCGTGGGTGACCAACAAACATGTCTCGTGCGGTTCGAACGTCATCTACTGTAGTCTCGTAGAGCTCCATCTCAAATTCCCGGAAAATGGTGGCAATTGCTATAAGGATCTCCGCCCGTGCAAGCCTGGTCAAAAGATGTTAGTACACGATTGAAATTGAACTCTCCGAGGATATTAACATACGGGATGCCAATGCACTGTCTTGATCCCTTGCTAAAAGAAACCAGATACTTTTCGAGGCCTTTCCTCTTCGCTGGGTCCATCCATCGCTCTGGAACGAAACTGTGCGAGTCTGGGAAAATATCTTCATCGTGGTGGATAAATAGGCCGGTCATCCCCACATATGTCTGGTGTATATCGTCAAAACAAGACCTGAGCAACCACAAACAAGTGGATCAAGATATCTTACCCCGGGAGGAATGACCCAGTCCTTGTAAGTCATAGCTTGATCTGGAGAGCTGCGTTGAAGCCTCGTTCCCACAGCGTTGGTGATTCTTCATGAATATTAAATAAGCAAATAGTAAAGTAGCCCCTGGGGGGCTAAGAGACAAAAGCTGTACATACCTTAAGCCCTCGAGCATAACAGAAGTCTAATGTATTGTTAGATCTTTGGCATTTCATAAGCTCGACATTGCGAATGGAGAAACTTACGAGGTATGGCATTGCTTCGTATTCTACCAACGTCGCTGTTCTATCGGGGTCGAGTCGGTTAAGCTCATCCCGCAGCCTTTGTAACTTGTCTGGGTTGTTAAGTAGATGGAAGGTGAGTGTCGTCAGATTCTTCGCAGTCGTTTCTCCTCCTGCCGAGATGACGGTGAAAACCTCTTGACTCAAGCGGCCCGCAGCCTTTTCCTCTGAGGGAAGTTTGCTGTCTAGCAGCGCGTGAAACAATGTACCTTTCGGCACACTAGCCTTATCATCTGTCAAGTTCCCACCGGCGGCTTGACTATCAATGACCAATTTCGCTAGTCGCAAACTTTCGAGTCTCTGATCAACTACCAGACCGATGTGAGGGTTGATAATCACAACCAGCCACCGTGGAAGGAGCTCGAACAAGCCGAAGACCCAGCGAAACTGTTTGAATTGAACCCCGACCCGCACAATTGCCTCAATCGTCTTCGACCACTGTGGTGTGAAATCAGGGTCATCCAAATAATGGAACGATTCACCCATAGTATACTCCGCAACTACGTCTGTCGCGTAGGCATTGAACGCATGATAAACTTGCAGCGGTGTATTTCTCTCCTTCCAATTTCGCATTCCTTTGAGCAGTTTATCAATCATTCCGCGAATCATAGGCTCCAAGTGCCGGATCCGCTGGTGAGAAAAGAATGGGTTCATAGGTTGTCGACGTATCCGATGGCGGCGGTGATCGACTGTTCCGAAAGAGGAGGCAGGTGCCCCAAACATGCCAGTCAAATGTATGTATTTGTCCCTCGGGTTATCTCGAGAATATAAGACCTCATAGTACTCTGGATCGTCGATGTGTATTTCAAAGGGACTGATTCTCACAACGGGGCCGTATTTGCGATGCATCTCAGCGATTCGAAAAGTGTACTGGCCTTCGAGGAACGAATCATAGTAGAACTCGTACCACATTGTCATAGCGGCCAGCTTTGGTCCAGGGAAATGAGCGAGTGGTGAAAGCCATAGCCGATAGGCTGCCAAGCACACTCCATAGGTCACTCCAACCACGACAATGGCCACGATGGGCTGTTTGATAACGGCGTTCCAAAATTCCATGCTCCGTGTATTTAAGGAGAGAGGAGAAACACGTTGTGGGCGAGGAAAGGTGCAATTAAAGCCAATCTTCTAGTTCACGGTCGGCAGCCTTTTTCCATCTTCTTGAATTCTCGCCCCACACATGTCAAGAAGTACAAAGTACATTCAATGGTACAACTAGACCCTATGAATGCGAAACGGTGATTGGAACCCATACCGTCGGTAACATCCCGCGTCAGTCCTTTGTGGATAGAGAAGGAGGGAAATAAGAACATCTGGGGCCTCGTGCAGTAGCATATTCTGCGACCTATCGCGGCACATCCGTGACAGGAGAAATAGTCGATTACACGGTCATTAATTCGGCCGTGGGTCTCAAAAATGTGTCCGAGTTCAGGATCATCCATTTCACTCCTTAGGAGAGGTTCGGGTTGATGACTTCCAAGCCCCGTTTAAGGGCACGGGGCCTCGGTGGAACCCTCACGGATCCATCCCGTCCCATCCCCGAAGGACAAAGCGGCGAGACTACCGACAGCTGAAGAACCACAAGGTAAGAGAATAACAATGATAAGATACTCTGAGTGAAGGGAGATTTTTCGCATCTTCTTCCCATCATTCATTTTTCAAAGGGGTGATATCGGCAGTGAAGTTAGGGTGTCATTTCCCAATTGGGAGTAGCGGAACTGTCAAAAAGGAGAACCCACAGACAACGCCTTTGTCCAAAGTTGATTCAAAGTTCAAACACGAAACTTTGATGAAATGGTGGAATATCATGGATGGTTCTTATCGGAAATACGGTCCTAATGATAGAATCTTGAGATATGCTCAGACGCTGCGAAACCATCAGCATGGGAACTCCTTCGCTGATACACACGGCACAGTCAGAGCAAATAAGCAGGCGTATAAACAAATCCCAAGAGCATGGTACTTCTCCCAAAGTGTCGTAGGAGGTAAAATGGCTGGGTTGCACACAAATCCTTGTGGGTCGTAGTCATACATATGACATATTACGCCCATCTCCATAAAACATGTTTGCTTCCCCGAACACCTCGTATTTCGAGATGCTGCACTTCCGGAATTTTTTTAAGACCTTGCAAGCCATCATTCACTCCGCAGGGGAGGGAGCGTCGGAAATAAGTCCCGCCCCCTCGGCAGTCTCTTAGCTCCCGTGCTTCCGTGCCAGGTTTGTCTAACGTTCGTAGGAGGTTTTTCTTCCATAACTCGTTCCCATCTGTAAAGTAGAAATGTGTAATTTCCTGTGCAGTCATGCTCGGGTATTACACCGAGATATGCGTGATCGCTAAGGTCCGAATGCGCGGAAACCGAGCAGTTTATACTTGCTACATATGTACGTAGATAGCCTGTAAGACCTACTATTATCAGTAATAACATCATGAATTTTGACTTACCAGCAGATTCTTAAAACTCAAATATAATCGATTGATTTTTTTATCCACCTAACTATTCTCCCACTATAGCATTCCGAGGATGATAACCGCTTCGTCGATCACCGCCGTGAGTATGCACGGACCGACTGAGAAAATAATGGGAATCCACGAAAGGGATGGGAATAGCTATTAGGTCAATTGAACAAAGTTCAGAGACGAGTGTGGCTAATAGACGTCTCCTCGGGTTTTTACCGATTCGCTTTCCCCAGGATCTATAGGAGACAGTGACATCCAGACGCGAACATATGGATGTCCGCCATTCGCTATCACTTAGCCTCGAATCCCGTGTACGGTGGTAATTTGGGACTAGGGAATGATTTATAAATTGAGCGTAGCATCGTTAGAAATTTCCCGGATGTTTTGATGCTCCACCATTTTGGCAGTCAACAACAAACGGATACCTTGATTCCTGCACGTCTGCGAGGAGAGTTCCGAATAACGCTCGGTCTTACTGAGCCCGACCACGGAAGTGATGTGACATTCATGTCTACTACCGCTCACTAAATTCGGGGAGGGTTTGGATTCACTGGAACAAAGAAGTGGCGGACAGGGGCGCATCACTGTACTCACTTTCTCATCTTTACGCGAACATCTGGCCAAGCAGGATCATCACAAGGCATTACTACGTTTTTAGTTTCTCGTCACACAAAAGGGGTTCGCATCATTAGTTACGAGTGGACATTGAACATGCCCACTAACCACGTAACAGTGGAACTGAATAGTGTATGGGTTCCCGGATCGGCGGTTTAGGATCGGTCGACTAGGGACTAGCCATCACCCAGACATTTGTGCACGAGAATAGAATTCATTAAGCAGCCGGCTCCTGTGAGCCACACAATACTGCCTGGACCGAAACATCGAGCGCGCACGCGCACGGAAAACATAGGGAGAGAGGGGAAAACCTTAGCTGATAATCAGGCTATCTAATTCCCGGTCGTTGAGTTGATTACACAGGTGGAGATGTTGCGATTGTTTATCTTGAAGACAATCTGGGAGATAGATCGTATTGTGACGGAGTGCCAGTCGTCCGAAACCCAGCGGCCGCCGTGGGTTGAAATTGAACGCCGTTTTTCCGATCAGGTGGTCATGTATAACTTCTGGGCAAATCGATTATGCTGTTAAGCTGCAGACCGAGCAGCTCAGGTATGTGCATACCCGGCTGATCGTTAAGACATGACTAACTGATCAGATTCACGGGGGTGGATACTCTCGCCACTACCCCTTTCGGCATATATATCGTCATTTCCGTCGGTATTGGATCACGGAAGGCGCAGAGGAGATTCAGATGCACAAAATCGGGGCATACATATTTGGATTGGCTGGCCCAAAGAAGAAGGATATGAAACATAGTACTAAGACCTCAATGGCCAAGATTTGATCTGACCCCTGACCAAGTTAAGGTCGGGGCCAGGCCATTCTGACAGAAGTACGGCCGAAACCGCATCAACATATTACCTAGGTAACTGAAAGTAAAGTAAGTAGTGCTAGGGTATGAGACATGGCTGTTTCAGACGATATTTCGCGCATAGTTTTCCATAAACATAAATGTCAACTCGCTCTAAGTTAGAAGGTTGATGTTGGAGCCTTGTGGCCTGCTAGTTCAGGTGTCAACATGGCGGCCTTTGTTAAACTAACGTATTCGGTAAGCGAGCTGGCCATGTAAGCGGGCTGGCCACCCCCAAAACACATGTTAAATGCGATAAATTACAACTTGATATCGCAGCAATAGTAGTCTATATAGAGATTTCCTTGCATCCTAATGCTTTCTAGGTAATATCTAGCCTCCCTAGGGAGTTTGGGAAATATATATGTCTTTATGGTTAGGATATATATATTTCTGGCTTTTAGCACTGTAATTTTTAATACCCTGATAATGTACCTTTTCGATATCCCTAAGATTGATATACAGTATTCAAAATCCTTATCAATAGCTATCGACAAGCAGTGAAATCAAACAAAAGTATTGGCGTTGAGATATCAAGTTGTAATTTATCATATTTACTATGTGTTTTGGGGGTGGCCAGCCCGCTTACATGGCCAGCTCGCTTACCGAATACGTTAACCTAATGTGTGTTTAGACTGCGTCACTCGCTTGTGAAATACGTTAAATTACAACTTGATATCTCCACAACAATGTCCTTGATTGATTCCATAATTACTTGATGGCGGTTAACACGGATTTTGAATGATATAAATATTTTGAATGATATAAATCAATTTCAAGGCAATTGAAAAGTTGCAATATCATGGTATCAAAAATTACATCGGTCTAAGCCAGATACAAAGAGGGGAACACTTAGTGCTGTATGCTCTCGAGCATACGGGTCGATTCAGCACACGTAATTCCACTTTGTGCCTACCAAGACACATAAAGGGTTCTCAGACTTACGTCCAAAGAGCGAATTCAGAAAGGTGCAGGAGTGTGTATCCTTAATATGTTCTACTTGTAAACCTCCAGGTGCCCTACATAAATGATTACATAACTAAAAATCGAAATCTTGGAATGAAGAAAGGTGAGGTCAGTGCGTAGACGTCACTACAATATGCATTGTCATCACCAAAGTTATAGAAACTCTCTAAACTCTATAGTAAGGTTAGAACCTAAAAACCATTAGCCTACAAGGAAAAACTCACAGTTGAGATATCAAGTTGTAGTTTATCCCATTTACTAACTAACTAACTATGGTTAACGTAGTTCACATGCGAGTGGATCACACAAGCGAATGGATCACCGCAGAACACCATAGTTAAGGCGATAAATTACAATACTATATCCCAACAACAGATGCTTAGATAAATTCTGGAATTCGAGGGTATATTTAAGATACTTAGTATAGCACTTTGACAAAGTTTAGAGGAAATTTATAATAAAATATGAAAAATATATATGTTTACAGCTGAGATAGCTTAATTACAACGTAATTTATGGTATCGCCATTATTAAGCCTTTCAATTCACTTCAAAACTCTGCAGGCTATATAAGATGGTTATCGATCCATGGAAAAAAAATTTAATTCAGATTCAAGTTGTGGTTGTCAAAAAAAGCCTTAACTATGGTGTTCTGCGGTGATCCATTCGCTTGTGTGATCCACTCGCTTGTGAAATACGTTAGTTATGTAAAATATGTTAGGCCTGATCCCCCAGGCCGCAAGTTGTCAATTCTGCCGAGCTTGTCCCGTGATGGAAGTTGTTTAAATGTGGATCGTCGAGTTCGGTCCCTAAGCTTTTCAAGGAGTACTTCGCGTCAAGTAACTCTTGGGGATCTGTACTTCGGTTTAGTAGGTAATTTTTGACACAAACTTTGTAGCTTATAGCCATCAGTACTTCCCCCAGAAGTACTCCATACGCCTTCCTCGTTGGATCCTCCCCTTTCGGGTAGCATGACGCCACTTACCTAAAACATTTAAGATTTTTCCAATTTGCTCCACCCATGGAACGCTTCTCGGAGCTGCACCGAACCCGATCTCTGCAGAAAAATCTCTGAACGAGATCGAAGACCAGACAATCCTGAACCCCAAATATACAAATCCCATTCCAATCGGATATACCCCGTGGCGCTTCCATGCCCGACATGGCTACTCAAGATGCCTCCGCGGCACACGATGATAGCAAAGCCCCTGCAAATGCGATTTCTGCACAGTCGGACACAGATAATGCTTTCCAAGACACCAAGAAGTCCGATGCGGAGCAAAATCACTCCGCGAATCCCAATACTGGGGAACTGAAGCGCAAGCTGAAAAGCAGGCATCTACAGATGATTGCAATTGGTATGGCTTGGCTTTCTTGATAAAATAGATTACAGGAGTTGCTAACTTACTTCCGTGACAGGTGGAACTATCGGCACAGGTATACTCTATTGCCCTCACGCCTTCAGCTAGACGAATCCCAAAATCTAACTTGTATAGGACTATTTATCTCCAGTGGCACTGCTATTGCGACATCCGGTCCGGCAGGCGCGTTGATCGCCTACATCTTTGTCGGCTCCATCGTCTATTCTGTGATGAGCTCCTTGGGCGAAGTTGCAACCTATATCCCAATCTCCGGTGCCTTCACATCCTACGCAGCCCGCCTGATCGACCCTAGCCTCGGATTTTCCATGGGCTGGATCTATTGGTTCAACTGGGCTTCCACATTTGCTGTCGAACTGACGGCCACCGGTACCATCATTCAATATTGGGATCCTACTCTGAACATTGCCATCTTCATCGGAGCGTTCTGGGTGTTTATCACGGCCATGAACTTTCTCCCCGTCAATTTCTACGGCGAGGTGGAGTTCTGGTTCTCAACTATCAAAGTGGCCACTGTTATCGGCTTCATCCTTTTTGCCATTTGCATCGATGCTGGAGTTGGAGAGCAAGGATATATAGGCTTCCGCTACTGGAGCACGCCTGGAGCGTTTGCCTCGTACAGCACCGATTTACCGGCATCTATTGGCAAGTTCGTTGGCTTCTGGGCGGTTCTCATCCAAGCCGGATTTTCCTACCAGGGTACGGAGCTTGTCGGCGTGGCCGCTGGAGAGACTGAAAATCCGCAAAAGACGGTTCCATCGGCTATCCGCAAGACATTTGTCCGAATTCTTTTCTTCTTCGTTTTGACCATTTTCTTTATTGGACTCGTGGTCCCCTACACCAACGGCCGCCTCACTACTGCGACAACCAATGCATCATCCTCGCCTATGGTTATCGCCGCTGATTTGGCAGGTGTCAAAGTTCTTCCAAGCTTGATTAATGGCGTGCTCTTGTCCGTGGTCTTATCGGCTGCAAACTCCAATGTGTACAGTGGCAGTCGAGTCCTGACTGGACTGGCACATGAAGGATTCGCTCCTGCCTGCTTTAGCTGGGTGACCAAGCACGGTGTTCCGTACATCAGTGTGACATTCACCGCTTTGTTTGGTTTATTGGGTTTCATGAACGTTTCCAATGACGCTGGGCAAGTATTCACTTGGCTCGTGAACCTTTCTAGTGTTGCCGGCTTCATTACTTGGGCTTCAATCAATGCGTGTCACATTGCGTTTATGCGCGTATTGGCAAGCCGTGGCATTTCTCGCGATACTCTTCCATATAAGGCTATTTTGCAACCATATCTCGCTTGGTATGGTCTCTTCTTCAACATCCTGATCGCCCTCACCCAGGGCTTCACTTCTTTCATCCCACATTTCAAGGTGACCGACTTCTTCATTGCCTACATCTGCCCCATTGTTTTTGTGGTGCTCTATGTCGGACACAAAGTCATTGTTCGTCCCTCATTTGTCAGTGTGGCCGATGCCGATATTGACACTGGTCGTTTGCACTACGAAAAGGAAGTCAATCCCCCCAAGCCATGGTACTGGAAGGTGTGGGGCTGGGTTTCCAAGTAAATGTACATGCAGCGCATTTATCAACTTTGATCAACTTGTATTTTATATTTATTTACCGCAAAGCGTCTGCGCATGGATATTTGTAGTAGCATTATATAGCATCATTTTTGCAGATATCAATAAGCCATTATCACAATCATATATTTATCACCGTTATGCTCTCATAGCTCTCATTTAAGATAATACCTCCCGGATTTATGGAATAGCCCCTAGTCACGCCATGGCCGGCCCATGGGACATGGTTGTATGTTGCCAGCGATTTTTTATATCCAGTTAAACTGACGGGCCACCACAGAGAGGCCACCAACCAATGCAGTTGCGCCAGTGCAAACAACGAGTGTACCGTAGCCAGTTCCATATGCACCCAACGCATGTCCTTTCCAGCGATCTGCCTTGAGCAAAGCCTCACTGAGGGGCCCACTTACCACATTGCCAATTCCACGTCCTGTTTCCATGAACGGGAAAATGACAGTCGCGTCAGCTAATGGATTGGCTTTCTGCACTTCATTCGAGACTCCAGCCCAGGTGGAGGAGAAGCCGCCCGCGAGGAGACCATAGGCAATACAAAAGACGTATAAAGGCGGGATAGAGTCGGCGAAACCCCAAATGAAAAAGACTGCGAGAACGGTACCGACAGTCGACATCAGGATGCAGGTAGTGACGTGATATCGATCGGAAAGGAATCCCATGATCACAGAGCCGAATACTGTAAACAAGTTGACGAGGATTACTGTGAGAGACGCCATGTAGTCACTGGCACCTAGGCTTCGGGCGTATGTCGGAAGATAGATGGTCGGCAGGAAGAATCCGATTGCTTCGAGTGTGTTGCCGAGCTGGTAAATTATGAAGACTTTGTTGTACAAGAAATGAAAATTCAGACGGTGGTACGCAATTTCTGTTGTTTGCAGCCTCGGTCGATGAAAGTAGAGGAAAGGTACGGCAAGAATGAACAATGTCACTGATGAAATTTGAAGCGTGGCTTCAATCCCATACTGGTTCAACAGCCACTGGATGGCAAGTGGGAAGACTATGCCGGACACACCAGACCCGGCCTAATAATATATATATATCAGTTCGACTTGCCGTAAGGAGCTTATGGTGCGAAGTATATTTTGTGACTCACCCAGACAATACCAAAGGCAAGACCTTTTCGCTTATCGAACCACTCCGACATGAACAGGATGGTGGGAGTATAGGCAAAGCAACCGCCAATTCCAAAGCCAATTCCTTGTGACAAAATAAGATGCATGACGTTGGTGGAAAAGGAGCTCAGTGCCAAAGACAGACACATGATAACAACTCCTATAGTTGACACCCAGCGAGCGATCTTTGGCACTAAGATCATCAAAATGATTGCCAACGGAGCAACCAAATATGCAATGCCCTGGGTGTCGTGTTAGTGAGAGAAGGCAACCATGAATATGTGGGCAACGAACCATCGCACAGGTGCCGATAACTGCGATGTTATCGGATCCTTTAAATGGCGCATGTGTACTGTAGTAGTCTTGAAATATACCAAAGGCGAATGCGTAACCTACTCACGTGTTAGCTTCAACAGCAATTCATCTTCGACCAAGAATAACAATGATCACGTACCCCAAACAAGAGCTTCGAGCATCGCAGAAGCCATAAGGAACAGCCATGCTTGAACACCTCCATCAACTGGTGGCAATTTCTCGTCGTCTAAAATGATTCTGCTGTCGGACTGTTGGTCGGAAGGTACGAAGGTTGTTTCCCGGCTGGTGAAGCTGGGAGTATACTCCTTAAACTCCATGATGCAAAATATCACGAGTCTGTGATCACGGGCGTGGTAAGGATCAGGAAGCACAAGTTGTTACGTGCGAAATCCACGGGGGAAACCCTCCTTTGAAAAGGGTTTATATTCAACGCGGCTGTTTAAAAGGGAAGCCAGGATCGGCGTGGGAAAGGGAAATAAGCTAATGGAAGCTAGCTGCATGACGAAAGAAATCTCCCTGACAAGAGTCCTTCCAATCAGCATGCCAGGAAGGTAGTGAAAAAGCACATACCTGGAATCCAGGTGGACTGGGGTCCCAACAATGTGATGCTGACCCCCTAGATGTACTGATATGGTCAGTTTCACCAGTCACGCGTCTAAGTAGATTGAACTGTGGTGATTTCTCAAGTTTCTAGGTCTTCGCATGATGCTTACAGAAATTTCCACAATGAGGCATGTCTTCTATATATCATTATTGACTGCCCGAGAAGGTATTAAACACGATGTTGCAGCTGCTACAATTCGTGGCGTCGGCGATCAGATGCGGGATCCGCTCTAGAGATAGCCCGGAGAAATTACAACGGTCTCCTCGAAACTTGGCCCACTTTGTGAGTGCACAAACCGCTCCGCTCAGCGGATCAAAATGGGAAATGGAATGTTGATCGGGATCACTGCATAGCAGGGCTGGGGGGCTCGGAGAATTCCATGTTGATAACAGGCATCGGACCCGCTGTCATTGGCAGAGATAAGAACCGAAGGAGAGTTACTTTTCCCTTGTTGGACAAAGCTTCGTGGCTGGGTAGGTCCCATCGGTATAGATTTGTCCCACCTCAGAACGATGTCGTCTTCAGATGAAATTTTGAATTCTTTGCATGCGTTGAGCTTGTTCGTAGTCTACTGAACAGTGTCGACGTTAGAATCACATGTCTTTCAAGAGGCCATAAGCGAATGGGACAACATACAACATGCAGCCTTATACATGTTCAGGAGTCGCGGGGAGAGATTGATCAACATTCCAACGAACGGAGCGAACGAAGTTTATCATCAAGCCAGGCGGCTTTATCTCCTATTTTTATGCATTGGAGATTCCGCTACCATCATAGTCGAGGACATTGATGTCCATCAATTCTTCACAAACCGGATCTTTATCATAGCCTGTGGTTGCGGTCATCGTGCATGTAGTCTCGATCTTTTCTTGATTTGGGGAAACAGCTCCACCTTGCTTTTCACAGCTGCAGACAATATGTACGACCTGTCTTTCTATATCTCTGACTAACGAGTTTGACAGTTTATAGATGATTTGAGGTGACCCGCCCAGGTGAGGTCCCCGATATTAATATTATGTAATCGGATTACTCCAGCGCCCGCCCACCTCGACAGGGGTGTCCCCGGGAGGTCATCCTACCTTCAATTTGAATAACACAGTGCCCAACCCAATACGTACAAGCTATTTTACGCATGTTAATGATTTCCCGATATACATATATCTGTAGGTTATGACCAGCTCACATTGTTGCCAGAAAGTAAATAAAAACTCGGTAGTTACCCCAATTCTCCCGCCAAGGCATGCAATTGCATTGATCCTTTCATGATATTTAGGTGTAAGGGGGTCGGTTTGTAGAAAATATATTATTATTTTAACGAAAATGACTTCTTTGTCTTGGTTTCTTTCTCGAGCCTATTGCAGGGATCATTTTCAAAAGCCTTCGTATCCTCTACTTGAGGTATTATTTCATTGGCAAACACAAAGCAAGCACGGACAGGGCTTAGAGGGTAAAGTGCAACATTTGCGTAATAGATTTGTAGGGGGTGTTGATATTATATTTTCATTGTCATTAGATTCATTTGAGCTAGGAGTTCCGGACTGCGACTATTAACAAAAGATATGTAGTAAAGACCTAAAAGTTTGCCCCGTTTGGCAACGTTGTGGGAGTATCCTTTCGGAACTTGTTTGTGATCAAGTTCCCAAAGGAAGCCGACCAGTCCACGCGCGGGGATAAACTTTCTAATCCCCAGAGCTCGGAGACAAATTTGAGGATAGAGGTATGTGTGAACTCGTTCCCGTCGGTAGGCTTGTGCTGGACCCATCCCTTGGAAACCCAGGGGGAGATCAAGACGGTAGGAACGCGAATCCCGAGACGATCAAAGTGGAAAGTGTATTGCTGGCCATCCCGAGCGTTCTCCGTATAGGTCAGACTGTCGCCAGCGGGGACATCAGTCGGAGGCGAAACGTGATCAGCAAATCCCCCATGTTCATCCCAGGTCAGAATGAAGAGGGTCTCATTCCACTGCGGCGAATTTCGTACCGCCTCATAGATGCTCTTGACAAAATTCTCGCCCATATTGATTGGAGATGGAGGATGCATTGACATATACGAGCAACACTCGGGGTTGATCCATGTGAATTGTGGCAGTTTGCCAGCTTCGGCATCAGTGTAGAACTGGTCAATCGGAACCACTTTATCTTTGCCATTCTTCGCGGTCCAATCATAGAACATGGCGTCTGGCAAAAATGCGGGTTTGGACTGGGTCGAGTTCTCGTAGTTTTTCCAAGTGATTCCCTTCTCAGATAGCTGCTCGAAAATGGACTTTTGTGGCAGCGCAGAAGTCATGAAGTCGTCATCATTATGGCCATGACCATGTGAAGTGCCAGAGGTCAAGTAGGCGCGGTTGGGGTTTGTGGGACCTGGAACTGCGGCAAACCAGCGATCGAACAAGACAAAGTTCTGAGCTATGGTATTAAAGACGGGGATGTGTTCCGGTTTGAAATAATTGATCGCCTCGGCCGCACGCTGTAGGTCGTCTTTTGGGTAGGAGGTACGCTGCTCAGTGATGAAACCATTCATGGTGGACTTGGCTCCTGCAAGGGGGTGGTAGGTTCCAAAGACCTGCATGTTACCACCAGCAATGCTGTGGTTGGGGTCTTCCGACGCGATGTTCTTCGCGTTAGGGTTGGCGCAGACATGGTCTACTTGGGGGATGGAAACGTTGGCAGGATTGCAAAATTGAGGATTCTGAGGGCCGTCAATGCTGGCATCATAGTCAAGACCGCCAGCAAAGTGGTCAAAGGACAAATTTTCTTGCACCAAAACCACAATATTTTTGATGTTGCTCATACCCGACGAAGCGGGCATCGCAGCAGTACCCAGACTTAGGGCAACTAGGAGTAGAGAACGCGCCATGTTTGAGATGAAAGTAGAAAGTTGGAGTTGACGAGTTGACCGGCTTATAAGTTTTTTATTTTTCTTCTATTCTCTTTCAACATCCTCTTAAAAACTCCTTTCATACCATGTGGCTGCATGACCCCATTCTGCATACTTCCCACGCTCTTTCGGTGTCGATCAACAGTCCGCGTCGAGGCATGGGCCACGGGCTCATTATCATTGGTCCAGAACATTTTTAGCACAAAGAAAAAAAGGATCAGATGTTCCTGATTTTTGTGCCATCTGATATAATTCACACTGTAAATATTACATCCTTCCGAATGGTTATCGTATGTCCCGTCCAGCATCCTAATTTCCTAGTGATTCATGACATCGGGTGCATCAGATCAATCTAAGAATTATCTTCGACCCCCTTGTTTTCGGTAGAATGTTATTTGAAATCCTACAACGTTCTCGTCACCGCATATTCACTCCCTGCTGCATAGACTTTAGACTTTTCTTCGCTAGAAAATTATTAGCAAAGCAATAAGGTCAAAGTCCCTTGGCCATCGATTTCGGCGTGAGAGGTTGACCTTATGACTGTTATACTTCATTATATTTCTAGCGTGTTGCGCGATCAGTCATACCGCAGTGTTGTTCCCCTGTTCCCTAAAAAAATGCCACACATGTGGATCATCTCTACATCATCTCGCCCGTTTTGACTTGAGCTAAGTTGAGGGGTAAAGTCAGCAGGGAAGTCGATATGAACTTCACACGGTCGCAGGGTAGTTGGATCGGGTCACCTGGTACGGAGCAAAGGCCAACAACAGAGGTAAAGCGACAGGAAAGAGAATGAAAAGAAATCACTCAATATGAACACTGTACACTGTTGGCCCCCAACCTTGGCCAGACTTTCTTATCTCGTGATTGGTTCGTGCGTTTAACCTTAAAAAGGTTGCAAGCTCACCAATATATATACAACCGGATTTACAAAAAACGAGAATTTGCACAATTGTAAAGTAAATATAAAAGTTCATTAGCCCGACATCCAACCCATACCCCGTGAACGACGATCAAAAATATCAGACATGGTGCTCACAGGTCGACAAACTCGCCGCGAAGTAGCTCATCTTCCTGGATTCGTTCTAGGTACCTAGCCACCTTTGTTGTCAACGTTTCAATACCATACCCAAAAAACTTGTACGCCGCCTTGCCCGGGAGACTATGACCGAAGCGTGTCACGCAGATGCCCGCATCTGCATAACGTTCCCACCCGTTCGGCGCGTAGGGCTCAATCACCACAGCCGGTATGCCCTGGTGTCGCCGCAGCGTGTTGCGCTTGTATTCGACTGACTGTTTTTCAAATAGGCGCTGGCAAGGGAAGCTGACAACACGCGCGGTAATACCCTTCTGCACTTTTAGTTGCTCAGCAACCTCCACTGCTAGCGAAAGTTCAGCTCCAACGCCGATTAAGGTGACAGTAGCCAACTCAGATTCAGAGAGTACATATGCGCCAAGGGCTACGCCATCACGACGCGTCTGTGGGATCTGGGGCAATGCTTGACGAGAGGTTGAAATGATACTTGAAGTCTGCTTGGCGCTAATAGCGGCAATCCATGCACCGGCTGTCTCCTCGCTATCACCGGGACGGATATACAAGAGGTTTGGCATCGCACGATAGAGGTTTGCCAACTCAATAGGCTGATGGGTCGGTCCGTCCTCGCCCATACCAATGGAGTCATGGGTGGCGACGTGGATAATTTGGAGGTGCTGCAACGCACCCATTCGGACAGCGGGTGCAGCGTATAGGTAAAACATGAAGAAGGTCGATGTGACTGGAATGATGGTATTGGGGGAATAAGCGGCCAGACCGTTGGAGATGGCAGCCATGGCATGCTCACGGACACCATAATGAATATACCGGCCAGCATAAGTGCCATTGATGCCGCAGGTTGTTCGGAGGTCGGGCTAATGAGGCAGTTAGCAGTATTTAGGGCCATGCCAATGTCAGTAGTTTTGACTTACATGCTGGAAGTCGACTTTGCCAGGCCAGATCATGTTTACGGATGGTGAGAGATCCGCAGTACCGACTATAAAAGAGTTGACTCCTTTGGCAATTGGGTTAAATACTAGACCAGACGCCGCACGAGTGGCAGTGGGCTTCTCAGGGAAGGTGGTTGGAATATGTTCCTGCCAGTTGACTGGAAGCTCGCCGCGCACACGAGCCATGAACTCGGCCGCTAGATCAGGGTGCTGGACAGCGTAGTTGTTTACTAGCTGGTCCCACTCTTGAACCCACTGCTCTCCGCGCTCTGGAACTTCGTGGAAGAACTGACGAACAGATTCGCTAATGACAAAGTGCTCCTCCGGGTTGAAGCCGTAGGAAGCCTTCATATCATAGATACTCTTGGCACCGAAAGCAGCACCATGGGCAGTAGCGGTTCCAGCAACACTACTGTCCAGGCCGATAACCGTCTTGATATTAATAAAGGTGGGCTTTTGCTTCGATGCGCGACCTTGCTCCAATGCACGAACAATGCCCTCGATATCAAAGCAGCCATCTACCACCTCAATCACATCCCAGCCACAGGCGCGCATTTTTGTGTTCACATCTTCGGTGTTGGTAAGATCAACGGATCCATCACAAGTAATCTGGTTGTTGTCGTAGATGACAGTGAGATTGTTTAGACGGAAGTGCCCGGCCAGCGAAATTGCCTCGAGACCAACACCCTCCTGCAAGCAAGCATCGCCAACCATACACCAAGTATGGTTATTTACCACATCGAAGCCGGGGCGGTTGTAGGTGGCCGCGAGATTCTTCGTCGCCATGGCCAAGCCTACAGCATTCGCAAGACCCTGACCCAATGGTCCGGTTGTCACTTCAATTCCTTCATGTTCAATCTCTGGATGTCCGGGGCATAGCGCATCAACACGATCTGAGTGATATGATTTGAGCTGTTCAAAGGTCATCGCCTTGTAGCCCGTGAGATGCAGGAAAGAGTACTGGAAGAGGCAAGTGTGACCTATAGGTCGTTATTTGAGTATATAACACTCCCGGAGCGGTATCAATAGAAGAAATGTAGGACTGACCATTAGACAAGATGAAGCGATCCCGGTTGAAGAATGCCGGAGTGTGTGGTGCATAACGCATCACGTATCTCCATAGTGCAACACCGATCGCAGCCATACCAATAGCACCACTAGCATACAAAATCAGTATGTGCCAAAGGCAAGCCAGTATTGGTATGATCAAACCCGGGGTGTCCGCCGTTGAATTGTTGGCAGAGGTCTGCAATCAACAACCGAAAGGTCTTCAAAACCAAATCATGGTCCTTTGCCAGCTTGTGGACTATAGGCATTGCAGAGCCGTGGGCTCCGTTGACGCCATTTCGTTGAACTTCAACCGTCATTATAGAAGTCGTACAGAGCTGTGAAATTTCTAGGATATCTAAATTTTCAAAGCCGGAGGGGAATCTCATTGAAATAGTATTGCGAGTGGTGATGCTTAATATTTCCTAATCGGGCGATTACCCCCAGTGCCGACCCCACACCGGGGCTCACATCAAGTTGGGAAGTTCCAACCACCCAAAATAGGTATCTCGAGCCACGACTTACTAGTTCCCATACTCTCTGTGCTCCCATGTCCCCTTTAAAGAATACAAGTAGCTCACTTTTGTGAAGTCACACGGAAAACACACAAGGACTTTGGTACCCATCGATCAGCAAAACGGACAGCAGACCATGACAAAATCAAAGGGGGATCGCGTTCCCCTTAAAGTCTCCCATTCCAATCCCTCATTGCAGGTGACCGCAGACCACAAGCTCAAAACTATCGACACACCTGTTTACCCCCCTAAACCAGGGGAGGCGCTGGTTCATATCAAAGCAACTGGAATTTGTGGGTCTGATATTCACTTCTGGAAGACCGGGCGTATTGGAACGTTGGTGTTTGAAGGCGACTGCACCATTGGGCATGAAGCTTCGGGTATCGTTCTGCAGTGCGGCGAGGGGGTCAACCATTTGAAGCCAGGTAGATATGATTCTCTGAATGCGAAGAGCGTTTGAGCTGATAATTCGATAGGTGATCGAGTTGCTGTGGAACCTGGTGTTCCCTGTGAACGCTGTTTCCTCTGTGACGAGGGACGTTATAATCTGTGCGAGGATGTCGAGTTTGCTGGCGTTTACCCTTATGAAGGCACCATTCAGCGTTACAAGAACCACCCTGCCAAATGGCTGCACAAGCTGCCTGACAACGTCACTTTTGCCGAAGGCGCTCTTCTCGAGCCACTTTCGGTGGTGATGCACGGCATCAAGACGGCTGGTCTTTCGTTGGGCCGTGGTGTGGTTGTATGCGGTGCAGGCCCTATCGGCTTGATTGCTTTAGCTGCAGCTCGTGCCTCGGGCGCACATCCTATCGTGATCACAGATCTAGAGCCCTCTCGACTGGCCTTTGCGAAGGATTTTGTCCCGTCCTGCATTACCTATGAAGTGGATCGTACAAAAGATGCAAAAGGTAATGCAGAGGCCATTCGAGCTCTCTTTGGGTCTGGTGAATATGTTGCTCCGGAAACCATTCTCGAGTGTACGGGCGTGGAAAGCAGTGTGTGCACTGCTGTGTATACTGTGCGGCGAGGAGGCACCGTGATGGTGATTGGTGTAGGAAAACAGATCATGAACAACTTACCTTTTATGCATGTTTCGCTCGCCGAGGTCAGTTGTATTGGTGTTTCCGTGGAGTGAATATTCTTTTGCTGACTCTGCTAGATTGATCTCCGGTTCATCAACCGCTACCGTGACACATGGCCCCCGGCCATTGCCTGCCTGAGTGGTCGAATCTTAGACCTGAAAAAACTTGTGTCGCATGTCTTCCCTCTTGAAAAAGCCGAGGATGCGCTCCATCTTTGCGCTGATACACGAAACGGTAGTATCAAGGTGTTGGTGGTCGATGAGCAACAGGCATCCTTATAGATATAGTAATAAGAGATGTTTGTTTGGATCATTGAAAACCTGAGTGCCGCTAAGCTTGGTGCTATACAATATTGTTTAGTGCGGTGTAAAGCAGGACAACGGATGTTCAGCAATAAGGATTCATTTGATACTATAGACCAATTCAGACTATACAGAATTCTTACACTATCTCCCAACCTCCATACCATTGTATTCCCTCAAGATGGCTGGCAAAATATCGACTCGATGACCGGAATTGGGTCCTTGGAAGAGTGCTCTCCAGGGCTTAAGAATGTGTTGCGTCCTGTGCAGTCAGGGCCGCTATCCTTACTGTCAGTGAGGGTTCACTTGTTTTTGGGACCGAACTCACGTGAAAAGCCGGCATGGCTTTTTTAAAGACACAGTAAGAACGTCTCTGTGACCCGTTAGTCTCCGCCGAAACATGGTAGCTGGAAATCAATCTCACTCTTCCTCAATCGGATGACAATCATTCAATGGCACATCAATACCACGGCTCTTCTCGGCTGTTTCAATGCCCACCTGCATGGCCCTGTTAGTAATAGGGCGAGGACTTCCAAGATGAATATGCGCACAATTGTTCTTAGGGGATTTTTTGCTGCCGATACAGAGAGAAGCATCAAGCTTAGAACCGACAACTGTTTGAGGCCGTACATGACGCAGATGACAAGCAGAGACCATATAATAGTAGATCCGAGGGTATAGAAGACTTGACAGTGCCTGGAAGTATAATCTAGAAGGTAGAGAGCTCTTCCTGTAAGGGGGGTGCCATCTGGCTTCCCCATACCCCTTGCGTCTATTTATCCTGCAAGTGCCAGGGGTCACGGCCACCTGCCTTGTAGGATCACATCCCTTTTTTGCAGTGATATTCCCTGCACCGATTACTCTAGAGATCAGAATGTGATTTGAACTGTACGGGGTACGGGGTATATCGTAGGTTGCGATCAGGGTGCGGCGTCAATGAGTACTCTCGAATGGGAGATTGTGAACTGTATAGATATCTATAGAAGATCGACTAAATTTTGCAAGTCGTATGGCTTAACTGACAACAAATACAAATGCTTCTGTTGCCAAAAAATCAGAAATGTCCCAGGAGTGTCAAGAGAAGTGAAAGTACATAGCCGATTCCTCCGTTCTCCGTTCTCCACTTCAACTGTTAACTTCAATCTTAACTAAAAATCTTTTGGGGATTCTTTTCTTCACATTTCGCAATTCGTCTCGGGTTTAAAGTCCAAGACAAAGTCAATGATTTGATCCAATTCCTTAAGAAGTGGGAGAGCTATCGTATGGCTCTAATTACGTCATGAGCGACTGGTCCCAACGCGACGCGACTGTACCCAATCCTGCCGATGCTGCATTCACTTCTCCGTCGGGCGCTACCAGCGGGGCCGATGAATTCTCCCATGATCCAGGCTTCTTAGCATCCCAGGAGGAGCTACGATGTATGCTCTTCAATCTCGCGCAGTCTGCAGCTCCGACCCGGACACCGAGCCCAGCTACGCAGGAACAACACCCCGCACAATTGCGCGATAGGGAGGAGACACCAACGCGTCCTGTGCTGTCAAATCTGCGTCGCATTGAGTACTTGAAGAACTACGTTGGGCAGGTGGCACCATGGGTATGTGACATTGTTTATGATGTACTCAATAATCAATAATCGCTGATCCCCGACCGCAGCTGGACATGTTCGATTCGCAATGTACCTTTCGAGTGCAGATTCCTGCACTGGCCCAATCGTTCCCCGCCTTGATGAATGCGATCCTCGCAATATCCGCCCGACAAATGGAAAGGAAGGAGGGGATTCAAAACTCATTTGATAGCCTGGAGCTTTACCAGGAAGCGATTCGCCTACTGAGCCCTCTGTTGCAAATACGTGATGCTAAGGTTGTCGCCGCATGCGTACTGCTCTGCTGTCTTGAGATGATGTCTGCGCGTGCGCAGGATTGGCAACGTCATTTGGAGGGATGTGCGGCACTTTTTGACGCCTTCGAAATGAATGGGTTCAGCAGCGGGCTTCTACGAGCTGTATTTTGGTGCTACGCACGCATGGGTGAGAGCCCATGTTGATGGTCAAATGACAAGGATATGACTGATGTAGAATAATTAGACCTATGTGGCGCGTTGATCTCCGATGGGACACAGAGCACTCTTCTTCGGCCCAGCAAATGGCTCGCACCTGGATGTCACGAAGATGATGCTGCACGGCTGTTCGAATCTGCCCAGTCCCCAGACATGCACGCCAACTACGCCGTATACCTGTGCGCAAAAGCATGCGAGCTGGTGGCTGATCGTACTCAGTTTGTGGAGCTGGGTGTTCAGAATGACTGCACCGGAGAGGCCTTCAATCGCCGCTGGCTGCGACTATGGAACGATTTGCAGCATTGGCTTGACAACCGACCACCGGAGCTGTTACCAATCCACACCACGACGACCAAACCATTCCCCCACATCCTTTTCCTGCAATGGGCGGCTATATCCTCGAACCAACTATACAGCACGGCATGCATCTTGCTGCTCGACTTGATGCCCAAATCTATGAAGCTGCAGCCAACATCTGCAATGTCTGCAATGTGGCATGCAAGGCGTATTTGTGGAATCTCACTCGCCAATCCGCACCACGGATGCTTGAATAACGCTATCCAGCCATTGTGGATTGCGGGACGGCTGTTCAGCCATGTATCAGAACACGCCATTATACTCGACCTGATTCGTCACATTGAAGCTGAGACTGGATGGGGTGCTTGCTGGCGCATCCGCGACCTTGAACTCGCCTGGGGGTATCAGCTCTCACGCTCAGACCGGACTATTGATAGACAGCGGTTTCCCGTAACAGGGTGAGCGACGTTGTCGCCTTGAATAATCTCACCAAAGATAATCCTTTACTATATCTCATCAACGAGGCACCACTCTGCTTGCAGGCTCTGCAAGCAGTTGTTTGTGTTCCACCCTGTCACCGTACGGATACGGTCGAATCCACGCACAATTTCACGTTGTTGCGACTCGTGTGTCATCCGACGAGCTGCCAGCAGAAAGGATGCCAGGAGACATGGATCCCAGCACTCCCGACGATCGTTGTGGAGAGCAATACTGCATATCCGCTGCGCATTCCACAACGGAGACATGGTAACAGAGTGGAAACCAATGCGCGCGGTACGAGGCCGATTATGTAGTAAGATCAACATGGCCGTATGATACAGCTGGTTGCCAAACAAGCCTGCTGCATTCGCAAACAAAACAACCGGGAAACTTCGTTCTGGTCCAGTTAACTGATCATCCAGTTCTAATTCCAGCATGGGTTGAAATTCCCTTGGTCGCTCACGATACCATTGTTGCAGTCCTTCCACTAATTCAATCCATGTATGGAGCGGGGGTCGATTAGGGCAAGCTTCTTCGTTCTGCACAAATTGGATCACTCTGGCACAGAGCCATAGAGGGCGGAATGCGTAGAAGAAAACCATTTCGAATGGATCAGCCACAAGATCTACTTCTGTGAAATATGGGAACGATGGGGGAAGCGGTATGCACATGTCGCGATCACTCGCTAGCGCTGTCGCAAGATCTGTGATGCCCGAAGTAGTTAGTCGATAGTAATCAAAACTACACAGGCTGTTTTAGAATTCATACCGAGCCTGAAAAAGAGCCAATAAATCGCGGAATTAATATCTCTACCAACCGCGTGGGAACTCAGGGCCCTCATGAGGTCCTGATCGCACTGTCTTTCGGTGTTCCACGTAGCAGAGACATTTGAGATACAGCCTTTCACTTGATCTATAACAGTTATCAGTGCGACATATGTAATGTTAAGCTGCATATCCGAGTTGGTTTGCCGAAGGAATGTTTTTCTCCCTTCTCCGGGTGACTTTTGCGGATGAAGCTGGCGGAAAGAAGTCTCAGACAGGTCAAGAATCGAGTTCCAGGTGGTTGGTGAGGCCATCGCTAACTGAAGTCCTTGGATTCCAAATGATTGACCAAGATCACATATGTCCAACTACTGCAGTTAGCACCGTGCAGTCCGTGGTGGTTTCGAGAATCTTACCCAAGAGGCTACCTCATAACGATAGTGCCGTAGCAGAGCTTGTATTTCGGTGGATGAGAATGTCTCTAGACTTGCTTCTGGTGGGTGTTGTGTAGTTTGCGGGGGTAGGGTTAATCGACGCGACAAATTAGATGGGATCATTAGAACCCTTGGTGATGGAACTACTAGGTCCGACAGCCCCAGATCGGGACCATTCATCCCGAGAGCCAACAATCCGGCTACCGCTGATTCATCATTGTCATTGAGGGTCGTATAATTTTGGCCATCCGCGGCATGCGGGGTTGGCTCCGGCCAGAATGGCACGTCTTCATCTCTGACATCGCTAAGTGTGTTAGGGCCGGCTTGTTGTGGGCATGGAGTCACTTCAATGTGAGAGCATGTTTCATCCAGTGCATGAACATCAGTTTCGTTGCAATCTTTCGAGGTATGTTCAGTGACGAACTGCATATATATATAAGATCTCTGTCTTGTGATTACTACCGGAAAACCTACCCGAATCGCTTCATAGCTGACAGATGTTGCCTCGACTTCTGATGTTTGCACAGTACGAGCATTCTTTGTCAAAAAGGTCAACTGGTTACCATATTTGCATTGATAGTTCCGGTCAATGCAGTTTTGACATCGTGGTTTGCCTTCGTCGCCTGAATTGCTATTAGGCTTGAATATTCAGCAGATTCAGAAACACATACATTTTCGCCGACGAACCCGACAGCGCATGCATCCAGTGCGACATCGGGTGAGTCGAGTTTGCTTCCGACGCTCCATGACAGGCCAATATTGCAGACTCCAGGGGGAGGCCGCTGGTTTCTAATCGGGAAGGTCCACAGATGCCAAGCGTCCAGATTAGGAAGGCGCAAGCACCATCACCTGACTCTCACATCATTTGCTTTGTCACCGTGTTTACAGCCGGGTCGGGGCCCAGGCTGTCCAGGGGATCATTCAGGAACTTTTATACAGAATACAGTCCGAACTAACATGCAATGTTAAATCGAGTTGCGATAGGAAATCATTAAGCTGAATTATCAATGCTTGGCGCAACTACGCTTTCTTCACTGCCAGACTTCCACTCTTCCACTCGTCCACAATTCTAGCATACACCGAAGGCCCATATACCCCGGTGAGCTCGGTGTAGAACCCACCGCCGAGTCGGTGGGGATTGAGTCCCAAATCACGCAGGAGCATGTCATTGTACTTATGGGATGATTAAATTACGATACCCTCGCGGTTTCGGACAACAAACATACCTGAATAGCCTCAACCTCAAGGCCAGTTCCCGTCAATGAGCCCAGGACCACATCCTCGGAGATGGCATTCTCCATATCCACCAGCGAAAGATTTTTAAGCGATAGAGCCTGGTTTGGAGTTGACTTAATTTCCACGGGGGAGTCGAGCCCTCCTGTCAAGAATGCAGCCACCCAAAGAGCTTGAACCTCCGCAACAACAGCAATAGTGGATGATAAAATAACACCGAGCGTTGCAAATGAGCGATCACCTTGTGCGATTAATTCTGGTGCAACCATACGGCGGAATAGACGATGCGGTACCAGCTTGTGAGATTCGGCCCATGAGGGAGGGCTGCGATCTGTGAAAGCGCATCTTGTGGCATTCAACGTCTTCCTAACCATGACTTCAGAACGTCGATCTAGATCTTCCCAGTGGTTGATGCGGTCTTTCATCGTTGATTCCAGTGGTCCATTGATTCTCTCTGGTGTCCCTGCTGGAATTTCACGGTTCTCGCGAATATCCTCGCCCCCTGAGTTCACCAGGGCTGACAGTCCCAGTTCTAGACGTAGACCTGCAGGTTCAAACCGAATCGGGACTATTGGCTTATATCCGGTCGCGTGAATGACGAGATCGACTTCATCAATGGAATTGCTGTTTGACAAGTGCACCGAGGCTTTTGCTGATGAATCTGTGGTTTGATCCGGCATAGTAGCGACGATATCCGTGATGGCTGATCGATACACGTTGACATGTGGCAATCTAATTATTTCCCAGAGGTCTTCATGGTTTGCGATACCAATACCAGATGCGCACGAAACAACACTGGAAGTTATTAGTCGCCGAGTACTCTCAAATGACATTTCATTGGACCTACCTGTTCTCCGGGCGAAGTTTTTTCATCTTTGGATCTGAGCCATATTGCGCCGTCTCCTCCAATCCTTTATCAATCGATCGCCAGAGCCAACCGATCCACCACCGGCCAACTGGGTTGCCATGGAATAACCGCGCCAGCCATGAGCCCTCCCAGTGAAGGCTCCCGGAAGGTCCAAGAGACAGACGTTTTGGAACCTCATAGCAGCACGGGGTGAGATGGGTGATCAATCGGGTGCTAGCAGCCTTATCGCTTGCAACGATCTCGCCATTTGGGAGAGTGGACATTCGCGGCACCATCCACGCGGGCCCTACACCTCGATCACGGATGATCCAGTGTACCTTGATAGGATTTTCCTGTGTAGACTTGAGGTGCAGCTTTGAATCATTGCGATGCAGAGTCGCAAAGAAATGTACCAGATCAAAGGACGATTTCGCACCGCCATAAACAGCAACCGATCGCAGTTGTGGGTAAGGTGACTCTTTGATTGGAATGTTAACAGCCTCGGACTCGGGTGCTTTCAGTGGCTGATATCCTAGGTGCTCTCGAGCCCATTTTCCAACATCCTTGGCATGGATGACTGGAGCAAGGTTATCGGAGGCCGATGACGAGCCCTTTGTTTCTGGCATATTTGGTACCGAAGTCAATCCTGTAGCTAGGACCAACTTGTCGCAGATAATAGTGACACGCCGACTCGGGGATGTGGACGTGGACACATTGATGTTGAGCTTCCACTCTTTGGTTTCGAGACGGCTGATGTCGTCGACCTACAGATCATTCAGAAATCCCGCAAACCTGTGACAGAGAGGCAATGTCTTACCATCCAGTTCAATCTTATGTGTTTTTCGAGCTGCCATTTCTCAACCCATGCACGGAGATAACGATTGATCTTCCAGCCTGCAATGAACTGGTTGTGTGTATCATCGGCTTGTTCCTCTGGAACCACGTCGGAAAGAGGCAGGTCGCTGAATTCATAAAGCCCATACGAGTTCTGACTCAACAAATTTGGGTAAAGGCGCTCCTCGGCCCAAGTACCCCCAATATCGGAGGCAGAGTCAATCACAAGTAGTCGACTTTCGGAGGAGGTTTTTTGGGACGCATCGATACGCTCAGTGAAACAGATAGGAATTTCAACGATTTCATCGGTGGGTTTGCTTGTATTTTCACCGTCGTATGCCCCGACGATTTGTAGATACGTCTTCGCTGCGATGAGACCGTAAAGACCTAACAAGTTAGCCCAAGTCCAATTTAATTGTGAACTTCTACCAACCTGCTCCGACAATCACGACTCGTTCCATGGTTAAAATGATTGAACGGGGGAGAGGAAGGGGAAATAGAAATAAAACAGTGTTAAATTGAAAAGTGCACAATGAAAAGGCAACAATACGAAGAACAGCTCGGGGATACGAGCATCTTGATATTGTTCTTGTGGGGTCACGACAACAATAGGAATTCTACCAGTTAGAACTATTGGAAAATATTGGACATCACTTGCAATTTTCTGGACTTTCCCAAAGAGCAATTGACTTGACATGGGATTGACGCATATGAGCAACTACAGAAGAAAGATCCTTAGTCACCTTGGGCCTGCTCTAAGGGAAACCTCGTAAGAACGATAAAGCGATTTCTTTATTATCAAACTGATGATTGATCGTACTTAATCCCTAAGGTCGACATTAGACACACTACCATTATTGTAGGTTTATGGTTTACTGGAATGGGCGGATTCCACGATCTCTACAAGTCGGCCTCTCTATACTCTCTGGGAGCACTACGTAATCCCAACTCGGCGTTTGGCTTCGAGTTCTTACTTCAGTTGAATGAAGCGCCTGAATAGTCATACGCGACTAGTTAGACTGCAACAGGTTAATTGAACTTTGATTCATTCGCACTACCATTGTTATGGGATGGGCGGAAATATCACATTGGTTTCTACAATACCCAGTATAACCTTAATTTACTCAACGTCCTCCCTGATCGACCATAAGCAACGCGAAAGGAATAACATGAAGGAAAAGGACAGGAAAGGTCAGTAAAACTGTCCCAATGAGGAGTTCGACAATCGTCATTTACTCGGTTGGCGTGTTGTCGCCTGTTGGCTGAGACAACGGGCGAAACCGCGTCAGGACAGCGGGACGCCACCGATTCCTCGATATTCGGTACGGTCACGCCGAGGAAATCATCCTTGGTTGTACCTTGATCGGTCGGGCCACCCTTTCTATCGTCGGTCTCGTAGGTGGGAGATGTAATGGGCTGCACGCCGATGGTCAACTGGTCAATCACATCTGTAATTGAACGGATTTCGCACGGGTGGGGCCACCGCTGGACTCAAATGGAAAAGTGAGTCTGCTAAACTGATATCATCGCGGATATACCTTTAAACCGAGCATAATGGTCAGGAACTAAGGTAGAAAGGTAGCCAGGGAACAAACAATCTTCATTTTACAGAGTACTCTCTTCCCAATCTTCTCCGGTTTCCTTAGGAGGCCGCTTGAATATTAGCGGAAAAGACCTATCCGCATCACTAAATCGTAGTTCGGCTTCAATAATTTCAACGGCGGCGTGATTGTGTCGGGATTGGGCGGCACGTAAAGCACTGCCACAGAATCCACCTTCCATACGCACATCGGCTCCATGTTCCAACAACATGTCAATGATTTCAGTATGTCCACCTCGTGCAGCTGCTTGGAGAGCAGTGTTGTAGTAGCCACCAGCAGCATTTGGGTCCGCACCTTTTGTCAAAAGCTCCATGACAAGTTCTTCATGGCAGTATCGCGACGCAGCCTGTAAGCCTGTACCAAACTGCCCTGCCATTATATTGATGTCTGCGCCTAATTTGATGAGGTGTAGGGCTGCTTCTGGCCATCCTCTCGCGGCAGCCGCTTGGAGTGCGCAGCCATAGTATCCCCCAGCGATATTAATGTCTGCGCCGTGAGCAAGTAGCAGATTGAATACATCGAGTCTTCGTTCCACACAGGCAGCTTGCAGAGGCGTATGGTGGCGACCAGCCCGAATATTGACATCTGCGCCATGCTCTAACAAAATGCGAACAACCTCTATATGCCCCTCTAGACTAGCACCTGCAAGCGCTGATCCAAACATGCCGCCCACAACGTTAACGTCAGCACCTGCGTCGAGAATCGTGCGAACTACGGAAGAAAACCCTAACTCCGCGGCATAATATAATGGACTTCCAGGGCTGTGCTCATCTTCACCGAAGCGGTAGTTAGATAACCAATGGTGAAAAGCGAGGTTGTCTTGATCGAAAAGCCGAAGAATCATTGGTTCGGCCTGTTTCTGGTATTCCGAAGGGAGGAGCCGTACATGAGTATGCCACTCAAACGTGGCGTACCTTAGTAGGGGGTAGCTCGTTTCCAGGAACTCATCCGGCGAGGAGGAGTGAGAATCATCTGGTATAACTGACTTGTCAAATGACAGTAGGTATGTCAAACAACGCTGTGCGACTGCTAGGTGTGCTTCGGGGTCTTTTATGGCAAAAAACCTGGATGGCCCTTTGGAGATCCGGTCCGAAGCCAAAAACTCCCGAACAGAGTAGTGCGACAATTGAACCCAAGATAACCTCGAGGTGGTAACTAGGCTGGAACATACACCCAGAATATCGGTAGGATCAAACAGTCTATCGATCTCGACTAGAACACTGACGCCAGGCTTGATGGCCACCATTTCAGATAGCTCATCTAAGTTGACAGGACGCGACGAGATCGTTAGAAACTGCAACGCCGTCAACGCGATAGAGCGGGACTCTTCATCTATGCCGCAAAGAATACGCTCGTATATCTCGTCCAGTGTTTGAGGAAGGGACTGTAGCGTTTTCCGTACGGCTGATGGGGACAAACAGGAACGTAAGTCGTCAAGTTGACATGCCGCCAGTCGGAACCTGCACAAACCGTGGTCAGTAAATGGATATGGTAAAAGTTCACATACGGTCTCTACGACGTACATTCCACTGGCACCATTCACAATGGCGCGCTCCATCTCTCTCTTCATCTGGATTGGGCGCTTGCTCAACACGGGATCTGATACGAGAACATGGCGGACCAAAGTCTGAATATCATGGTCCACTTGCGGCCCAAAAAGAGGAATCGCCCTAGTAACCAGATCCTGCATCCCAGTCTGGATCTGCCGCTCCAAGCGACTAGTAACCATAATATTCGCTAACCATGAAGTGCCCTCTTTGATTCTGAGAATCAAGTCGAATATCTCTTTCTGTGCTAGGCATTCGTCCAAAGCGTCAAGGATAAGATATGTCTTGCCAGGATACTTCAAAAGTGTTAAGAGTGTCTCAACAAGAGTCGCCGGGCTTGGATCCTGTCCCTTTTTGCTTTTTTCTTCATACAGATTCATCACCTCTCGTGGGAATACCGTGCTTTGTCGGCAAATTTGAGCAATGGCTGACCTGATAAAGCCATCAAACGTTTGCCGTTTCCGATCTTTGAAGTCAAAGTAATAATATATATAGAAAGAGACTGGCTGCTCGTCGCTTTTGCAAATATTTTGAACATGCTCAATAATTGTTGAACAATGCACTGAAGGCGTCAACATCACTCGTAGACTCATGGCAGTTGCATACAAACCTGTCTTTCCTGAACCTGGGATTCCATACAACCAGATCACCTCCCTCATGCCAGTCAACCAAAGACCAAAGTCTTCTGAGTCAAGCAGCCAGTCACCAGTCCCCTCCTCATGTTTCGCGCAGGCAGAATAATGGCACTCGGCAGCATCGACGGTTGACAGCCATTCCAGCACCATCCGTTGCTCGCTAGCTAAATAGGTTAGATTAAAAATCATGAACGTTTACGGTCAACAGTTGACGAACCATCCTGTCTGAACAAAGTTTTCTGAGAATCTTCATGGATCTGCTTGGTCTCTTGTCGAATTTCCTTCGAAATGGTCCTATAGTATAGAAGCTTCAGAAAAGTTCAAAAACAAGCCAGGTGCCGCAAAAGCGCTGATTGGATAGTCGAATGTACTCACAAATGGTCCACTGCCAGAGCTCCAGCGAGCAGCCCTCTGGCATCCCTCGCGATTCTTATCATTTCCCGCGTGTCATCGGCTCGCCAAGGCCAAGTTAGCTTCTTTCTCAGATGCCTTGGCTCACCCTTTATTCTGAAGTCCTGGCCTAAACGGTGCTCTAGCTTGGAGAGAAGAGTGTCTAACATTTGCAGAGGGCCATCATTGGTCATCAATTCCCGTAAACTATGGTTCCATGTTTCGTCTACGCCGGCAATATCGGCGATACTTGAGAGAAGAGCGCGGGTGGTACTGATCTCAACCGTAAGACAGCGTATTTCAGCTGACGCGGAGTTTATCGTTGAAATGAGATCAATGACTTTCCGTGAAACGTGTAGGAGGGCGAGAACGCCGGTGGTGATGCTCAGGGGGTCCATAATTCAAGCGGCCTAGCATCGGCATGGATAGGTTTGGTAGAACCGACTTCTTTCCTAATCATGCTCTGAGGTTATTTGGCCCAACTGACAATAGTTGGGCCGTGCGTTGGGCCGAGTATGTGCAGTGCCAAGAGACCGTATCGGGGAGTACTATCCAATGATCTAACCAGCTGAATGGGCCAGTGCGGCGGCGGTCGCACCAGCGACTCGGGGATTGTTATCACCCATTTATCACATTAAGTGATGAAAGGTACTTGTATGTTTGGCATAGCAATGGGAGGCAGTGGGCGGTCCCCACCAGGCATGGAACCTGCTGAGTCAGGAATTGGAGAATGGCACATCTGGTCTTTGTGGACTACCGCATCCGGACCGTAACACCGTGCTGTTGACGAGCCCCTCATGTGCAACATTGAATGTACGGCACACGTTATTGTACACAATATCCGATGGATGTATTGGCTTGCTATTTTTGAACAAGGAAAAACTTTCTTGTGATTGAAGATCCAGAAGTTCTATCCTCGATGTATCCCTTCGCGGACCGTGAAGGACGGATCATGACTTCCGTCTGTCAAATATATAATAGATTGAGAGTTTCTCTGATGACCAGATAGCATTTTATTCTAACATTCACAATCCCAATGGACAAAGAACAACGAATCGTCATTATTGGAGCTGGGGCCTTCGGTCTCGGTACTGCACTGAGACTAAAGGAAAAAGGCTACAAGTCAGTCACCATCCTGGACCGTTCGGTGCCTCTGGTTCCGGACGGATCGAGAAACGACATCTCTCCCATTATTCGATTCGATTACGGAGACCCGAGATTACCAAGAAGCGTTCCACCAAATGCCCTGCTTATGGGTCTGTCAAGATGGCACCCCAGACCAGCCCGTGCAGCCTCGAGCACAGGAATACAGCCGCAAGACAAAGCGTGTCTTGACAGAGATGGATCAAGAATGGGTTCCTGTCGGGAGCGTGGAAGAGGCGAAGCAATATTTCCCTAAATTGACTGTCCGAGCCGCTTTTCAAATTCTTGGACCTGGCCATTCGGACCTATGATGAAAGATACACTCGCTGATACACAACGAGACAAAGACACGCGCAAGCAAGGTCTGCATCTGCCCATCCAGCGGATTTGTTGTAAAACCCGTCAAACCCAAGAGTGGGCGGAATGATCAAATCTGCCCGTACCAAGAATGGACGGGTTGAGGGGGACCAGTTCATTGTCGCCACTGGTGCGTAGACTTCAAGTCTCATTCCAGATTGGAACCCGATGCTCGCCGCTGGACAGGTTGTGGGATATCTGCGTCTCACCCCGGAGGAAGTCACCCAGCTCACGGATATGCCTATCTACTCCAACTTTTCTACTGGCTTCTTTGCCCTCCCTCCCCATGAGCCAACTGGCTACCTGAAAGTTGCCTGTCATGGTTTCGGTTATACTCGCGAGGAGCCCTCGGTCACATCCGCACCCCCTGGCTCAGCAGTTGCTTCGCGAGCTAATTACATCCCAGCTGATGGATTGAAACGCCTCACGTCGGGATTGAAGGATCTTCTCCCACAGCTGGTATCGAGGATTTGAAAAGGTGGGAATCTGCTGGTACAACGCTACTCCGACTAGAGATTTCATTTTTGATTTCTACCCGGAGTACAAGAACTTGTTCATTGCCACTGGAGGAAGCGGACAGTAAGTGAACCAAAGCACCTTTTGAGGGACTCCAGATTAACATTCTCGTGTCCAGTGCTTTCGGGTTCCTGCCTTTGATCGGAAAATACATTGTGGGAAGCTTCCAACGCAAGCTTTCGCAGGAGTTGCTTGACAAATGGAAGTTCCCTACCCAATTTTGTGAGCGTTTCTAGGGAGAGGTATTCACAGGAGATGGAAGCCGCGGAGGACTAGAGCGAAGGGAGTTGACAGCTCAAGAGCTCGACACATTTGAGACGGCGTTGAAAGCTGCTTCATCCAGACCAAGCAAGATTTGAATATCCGAAGGGATCTATCACGTTATAGACAGGAATATATATTAATCTTTGGAGTGAGTACATACTTTTGAACAAAGCACATATTGGAGATCAAGGCCACGCTATTCCTTCCTTTTATGAAAACATCACTTTTCTTCGGAGCCATAGATACAATCCGAGGGATATATGGCATGCGAGTACATGCGTAACATACATTATCCTACACAACTCACAAACCCCTCTTGATTATCTCACAGATGCTCCGCCATATAATCCCCCAAGATCATCCAATCTGGAATATCAGGCATTGCTACCCCAAGCACATCATCACTGCCCCTCGTTTGAAATGGCCACTCAGGTAAAGGGCCTTCGTTCATGGGTCCGGATATTTGGTCAAGGCCGCCTGGAAGGTTCGGGGTCACCCTCCCTCTCTGATCACCCTTGTTCTGTTGACCTCTCCGTTGGGCTCTCGACGAGGTCCTGCCTTGTGCGACATACCTTTTGTTTGCTTGCACTTCACTTTCTTGAGAGATAGTCAAATCCCCGAGCTTTATTGCCTCGTCTCCCCCTGACGAGCAGCCAAAATCGAGAATTTCCCACATGAGAACCTCGTCTTCTGCAGACATTCGAGGCATATTCGAGGGGGTTGGCATTTTGGATAAAGCGCCCGAGAAACCTTCCTGATTATAATACAGTGACCCATAATTTTGGTGGCGAGCGGCCAGGTCATTCACTTTGCTTACCTTTCAAGAGAGAATAATTAGTATTTTCATGCGATATTTTGCTAGGAGACTTACCAAAACGCTCACGTTTTCCCAATACACAGACAGCTCCGTCATGAAGTCAACAAGGATTCGAAATTCTTTGTTGAGTAGAAGCGCAATTTGCGGATTTTTGTTGCCAGTATGCTCGAGCTGAATTGTTGCTGCAATGGCAGCCAAATATCCCAAAAAAGGATCACAGGTTTCAAATTTGACCTCTGACATTTCCTTTATGAATCGAACTATCCATCGAGAGTGGAGGAGTGATGTCTCAAAGGACTTTTGAAGAAATGTTGCCGACAGATTTCCGTTGAAGTTGCGAAGCTTGGTCAAGATCACGAATGGGTGGTGTAGCAAGCACTGGACTGAATGAAAAAGAAATTGAACATACACCCATGTCGAGAGGTATGTACGAGATTGTGGATCTTCTCGGGCGCGGCTTTTGAAATCGACATTGATATATCGATGTGCGTCTGCAAAATGTGTTTCAAATTGCAACCATTCTGACTCGAGGATCGCGAGAGCTGATCCCGTTTGCCAAGGAGGTAGGGAGTTCTCGGTAACGGGTTCAAAAACATACTCTGTGGCTTTCCCCCATAATGAGTACAGCCTGAGGAGACATGCGAGAATACCATGATCAACCTTCTGGCCTTGTTTTCCAGGACCGTCGTGCAAAGACACATGGGCCAGTGACCCATTATCACCAAACCCTGCTTCCGTTTCTGGAAAAGGAAATGGAAGTGTGAACTGCTTGTCGGAGAGGGAGAGCGAATAATTCCGGGAAGCACTGTAAGTGCGATCGAGCATAAAAAATGCCCAAGTAATGCGTTTTCTTGTTTCGATCTCCAGGTCATTTGGGAGATACGATTCCTTTGCTTTATTCAAACCTACTGATTGAACGGCACGCAATCCCAGGGCAATCGACGCATACGCTCGATGAGCTTTTCCATCGGCAAAATCTACCTGGGCCATGAGAAATGTACCTTGAAGAAATGAAAGACCCATCTTGCCGTCTTTGTATTGATTTGACAAAATGTCCCAAGCCTTCTCCGCGAATGTTTTCACATCAGTATTATCGTGTAGAGGTCCTCGACATCGTCGAGGCAGACGGGAAGTAAGGGCCACTAATGGGAATGCGACCTCTGGTGGCAGTGAGCTGGTATATCTCAACAGCCACCCTTTTGAAAAAAGACAATATGGCTGGTCATGAAAGTAGGACAGGTAAGTTTTCACTTCCTGCTCGATAAATGCAACCGAAAGACCAGTTCTGTTTTATTTTGTTTAGGATATTTGTGATGTCAAAGAGGGTGGATTTTCAACATACTCCGGAGAAGCTAGCGAGTGGCTCTCTGGGCGATTTAGTATTTCGAGGTCGTCATGAGAAGTCTCTTGCAGCTCGTGATCGTTATGAAGCTGGTTATCACTCGATACCCCCCGTAATGAATTAGACATTAGTAATCCTTCTCTGGGGGATTCGAAAAAAAGGGATTAGCGATTTCTGGGGCTAAGATGCGAGATTTCTTCCGTACTGGAGTAAAAGTGCCATCATGTCTAGTCTCTCTTCAATGCGCTGGAGCCTCCCAGAGGTCGGGACATCCCCTTGGACCTGATAAATTTAGCATAGTCCGAAACTTCACCCCACATCCAATGGGCTAGGGTATAAAGCATAAGTACCTCATTGGTGCTGTGCGGTGGTTCATGGCTCTGAACCGGAGCCGACACTGAGTGGTTCTTCTCACGAGATGGCTGCGGTCCGTATGAGCAGCGTTGCCCTAGCCTGTGGCACAGCGAGCATGATGGCTTCTCGCCTGGACAGCGTGCCTTTTTCCGGCTGGCAGGGTATCATATTAGAAATCGCATCGGCAATCCATCGGGTACCCTGACGGTCTCGAGTTTTTTTTTTTTTTTATCAGGGGCACATACCGACAAGGACCACAAGCTTGCCGGGTTCGCTTCAATGACACTTTGTGTATGGTGTAGTTATCGCCAATTGAGCTCATACTAGGCAAATTGGCTTCAGAAATAAGTGTTATCTTGCAGATCAATTTAGGTCGAAGACGTCGAGTCGGTCCCATGCGGGGTACGGCCGGTACCAGTTGGCAGCTCGGTTGTATCAACTCTACATATTCAAATCTCTCAATCTTTCTACTACAGTATCAGATCTAGAACAACAATTTTTCATCATGTCATGTAAAGAACCTAAAGTTTCTAAAGTTTTACCGACAGAAGACAAGAAGCCTTAACAATATTCCCAACGTACCCGCTCATGTGATCGGCTGAGAGCTTATGCGGGGAAGCTAAGTGATTATCCTGCCTGCCTCTTATCCAAAAACAATCTGATATCTATTTTGACATGAATACCTGACTATGGTCACAGCGATCACAGTCTAGCCTGTCTTGCAATATCGAGTTTTAATTTCCTTAGTCTCATATGCAGTATGAATACTTGACTTTCTGCTTTGATTTTACAAGCCCGGCAGGAAGTCCGACCACCCGAGTGGCGTTCACCCAGCGCGGTAATTGCAGCCGTCAACCGATTTCCTTCTGATCGTCAGGTTCTGGCGTGGTCGATAAGATTTTGAAAATGGCCGGGCGATAAACGGCTTAGCCCCCGTTCCGGTCTTGTGATCGGTCGAAGCCTGTAGATTTGATATCTACATTGGGAAGTATAAACGCATGATCATGGCAGTAGTTAGTAGGATCTAGATATTCTATGCCTATATTAAGATGCTCGTGGTCTGCTCTGGGTCATCAGAATTTACACAACTCCAAGACAACATTCCTCAATTGGACTTTCTACATAAAGAACTTGTCTTTGGATCTTCACAATGTCGATGCTCAAGAATTACGTACTTGGGGAAGGAGACGTATCTCCAGCCCCTGCCGACAACAATTCCCCAGTTCACCCTCTCCCTGCCTCGTGGTATTCTTCACGGGATATACATGAACTCGAGCGACGCGCCATCTTCTCTCGGAAATGGCTTTTGACCACGCACAAGCTGCGTTTCCCCAAAACAGGCGACTGGCTCCGATACGAGATCGCTGGGTACGCATTCATCTTGGTCAAAGATCGCCAGGGAAATATCAACGCTTTCCACAACGTCTGTCGACACCGTGCCTTCCCCGTGGTTACTGAAGAAGGTGGCACCTCCGGGATTTTCTCTTGCCAATATCACGGATGGTCCTACGGCCTTAATGGCAAACTTGCCAAGGCACCTGGATATCAAGATCTGGAAGGTTTCGACAAGAGCAAGAACGGTCTTCTTCCAATTCACGTTCATATTGATGTCAACGGGTTTGTCTGGGTCAATTTGGATGCCGGCGAGAAACCTGAGATCTCGTGGGAAGATGATTTCAAAGGAATTGACTTACAGCCACGTTTCGAGGGGTTTAACTTCGAGGACTATAACTTCGACCACACCTCTGAGATGAGTGGGGAGTATAACTGGAAGATTCTGGCAGACAACTACAACAAGTCCCTCGGTTCATATGCTGTGGATACCAGCGATGGCAAATCTACAGCCAAGAAGACTGCCCATGGGCTGAAGATTGCCAGCACTTACTATTTCCCCAATGCTGCTATGGCTGTCTTGTGAGTACCGTTCCAATTGTCTCCCAATGTATTTGATTGGTGCTAATTGTGTACGCAGGCCACACTCCTTCTTTATGCAGCGACTCGTGCCGACGGGCCCCTCGACGTGCTCAGTGCGCTATGAAGTTTACCGCAACAAGACCTCTACTGATGAAGAGTTCGAAACTATTAATGAAACGTACAAGCGAATTATGTCTGAGGACAAAGACCTCTGTGTGGAAATACAAAACAATCTCCACCCCCAGGCGGAAGAAGAACCAGTCTACTTCCAGTCTGTCGTTCGTGGCCTGATCACCGAGCACCACAAGCGTGAAGAGGATGCAGGGGAGGAGATTTGGCCTGCGCGACAAAGAATCCCCAAAGAAGAGGCAGTCAGCAAGGAGGATATGGACTTTTGCTCCAAGCTGACAAGCAATGACGCATCAGCTTTGACTGCGGGGGGTTGTTGTGGAGGAGGATGTGGGGGGGACCTCCCACTGTTGCAGCAACGGCACCGGAGACTATGGTGGTTTAATGAAGTGCATGATAGCGTTTGATCCTTTAGCCTTGATTTTGTTCCTATTAAGATGACATGTTACATGCAAGCATATCACGAGACAGTTTTCTAACTTGAAATTTTAAACACCAAAGGTCATGTGAACTCATTTTAGACAAGACTGCTAAACGAAAACCCGACCAAATTATAACCCAAAATCTGGACCATTATATTTCTAGATGCCTAACCAGGCCGTTTAGAAGTGCGTGTCCGGAATAGTAATTCGCAAAAATCGAAAATCTAGACAATAAGCTATCTAGAGAATCACGCGGATAATTTAACCTTTTTGAGCATAAATATCAGGTCTCATGCAGATCAAGGAGAGGGGGCCTATGAGAGGGAAGGGAGAAAAACCTCATACCCAAGGCCTAGACCTTTAACCTGCATTATCGTATTATCTCATTATCTCCAGATATATATTATCAATATCCCCTCTTTTAGTGTGGCGATCTCTGTCTCATCTGTATCTCAATACCCCGCATCTAAATCCCCTTTTTCCCTTCAATGATGCCGCGAGAGAGCACCCGCGGGAGGCTGCGTTCCCATGAGGCTTGTCTAAATTGCAGGTAAGGCACATGGTCTATCCGTAGGGATATAACTGACGTCCGTACAGAAGAAAGAAGACCCGATGTCCGGCCGAGAAACCGTCCTGCTCAAGCTGTGTTCGCCTGAACCAGCCATGCCTTTACACAATACCTAGAGGGTCTCGCGGAGGGCAATCTGTAGGTGATGCTTTATGGCTATCAATGGTCAATCTTTGACTTTTTTTTTTCTTGTTTGTTATAGGACGACAGACTAGCATTCCTGGAAGAGAAGGTAAACCTCATCCTGAGTGGTAGACCAGGTCAAACGCTTCAGTCGGAGAAGCCACAGGAGTCCGGAAATGGAATCACAGGAACATCATACCCTGCCACAACACGTCCACTATCCATTGAACCGAGCACAGTCAATGACTCATTCTTCCTCGGGTTTGACTACGAGGATTCGAGCTCGCAGCCGTCATCATCTGCCATCGCCAAAGCTATTGATCTTTACTTCCAGTATTGCCATCGACAACCGATTTGGTGTTTTGATCGCGAAGATGTCTCAGACCCAAGTTATCTGCCAGAAGAGCTCGTTTGTTGCCTCCTCGCCTTGACTTCACGGTTCTCAAGAGATTGTGACCATTTACAGCATTATGGAGACAGTGCAAGGAGCCTAGTCATGCTTCGTATGGCCAACGGTACAGTGGAGCTAGGGACTATCGAGTGTCTCTGTCTGCTCTCATATTCCTCATTTCTAGGTATGAGCCTCGGGCAGTAAGTGGAGAGACTCCAAATGTTGATTTTATTCTAGATGGAGATATACACCTCGGTCGCTTCTATCTCGGCCTTGGTCTACATCTTTGCCGGTCAGCAACGCTGGATCTCGAATCAAGTCATGCCGGCGAAGGTCCTATGACCGAGCGCAAGAAGCGCCTTTTCTGGAGTCTTCAATCTCTGGAGCAGTCTTACGGGCAGCAGAATGGGTTTCTCTGTATACCATCAGAGGTAATGCGAACCTTCTATATTGTCTCTAGTAGCGACCGGGCGAAACAAGATGGCACGGAGGCCAAACCCCCTCCGCTGCCGACGGATGATCTTGGTTGTGAGAAATCATCTGATATAGGTATTTGGAGCCTAGCGGCCCACTTTGGTTGGGTCTGGAGCAGGGTGAGGACATATGTCTCTGATTGCGCTCGTAATAGGCTCAAAGAACCCTGGCGACACGATTCCATGTACTCCATGGTGCTCTCCGACCTTACAGAAATTGAGAACAAGCTTTCCCAGTGTCATCGATATGACACGGTCAAATTCTTCGAGCGAACGGCAGAGGAGCTGAGATCAAACCGAAACTACTGGACCCCGTGGCTCAAACTGCAGTTCACTTACCATAGCATCTTAACTGTTCTGAACCATCCCTTCCTCTACATTGTGGCATCACAAGACAACGATAATCTAGCAATCCCAAACGCTTTCTGGAGACGGTCATCCGAGTTGGTCCTGCTACATGCTACCTGGCTTGTCCGCATGATAGACATGGTGTCTGAGAAGAAGATGCGACTGATCGATCCATTCTTCGGACATGCTGCCGCCATTGCAGCTACGGTGCACCTGTACTACTGTTGTGCTGCGGACCCCCGACTGAAGTACAAATCCAAAGTTGATTTCACAAAATGTCGAAGGTTCCTGAAGAGTTTTGTGTCCTTTTCGCCTGCATGTGGAGTCTTGGTGGGTATCATGAAACCAAAAAGCAGCCAGCCATGCTAACAAAGGCGCAGGATCAAACGCTGGACAAGATGACTCGAATTGCCTCCGGTTCAGAGAACATCGATTATGATTGGGAGCCTGAGAAGATTCATCTCAGCATACCTCTGATGTGGGATGTTCTTCAAGTCAACTGTAAACCCGAACCGCACGAAGTGTCGACGGGTGGCTTGCTACATCCATCATTGAGTCCAACCGTCTCTACAGAAGAGGCGGAGGACAGCCCAGCATCGACTTTAGAGGTTATTGTTGCAATGTCCCCGAATGTAACCGTTAACACTGCGGATGGTGGCCAAGCTGCGCATATTCCACCAACCATGCCGCGCATATCTTCCACGCCAGCTTCTTCCGACCTGGATCTCGGTGAGAAGCTCGTTGCGCCACCCGACAGTTTAATGACCAATACCCCCTGGTTATGGACAGATCCTTCGCAATTTGTTGATATGGAGAACAATGTGGGATACCCAGATTCCGAATCCGCTCTCGGGAACATTGACGGATTCTCGACTTGGTGGGATTTTGGAAACTTATAGGAGTAATATGTTCATTGACTTCTACTACGGCCGTTACTGTCTTCCCAGGCCGTAACTATCGTCTCAATTCCCCCGGTTATATTTTGCCCAGAGCTCTATGCGAAGAATACCCCTATGCGGAAACACTCCTAACTAACCCCAGATGAAAACTCAATGCCCACGCGATCCCGATTGAGTTATGCCGCTGCGACCGTCTTCAATTTCTCCTGCAAAGCAGCAAAATTCCTTTTCATAGAGGTGTCGGTAAACTGAGCCCCAGTCACCATCGGATACTTCTTCGACGGCCCCTGAATCAAAGCATCGTTACAAGGCTGATTGAAGTAAGCAATGCTGTACCAGTCGCCAAAATAGTCGCCAGATTCACAAGGAGCCTTGACACGACGAAATTTCGACTTGAGCCGGTCATCCGACCAGGACGTAAGTAAATCGCTAATATTGCACACGATCTCGCCAGCCCTAGCCTCCACTTTGGTCCATTCATCCCCAATACCGAACTCTGTCACCACCTCGCGACCGGGACAGATTTCCAGCCCACCCTGGCCATCCTTCTGGACAATTAAAGTCAAAAAGTCCTAATGGGCATGTGCCCCTGCGCGATGATACACCTTCCCATCAGGAACTTCCGGTAACGAAAAGTAATGGAGTAGACGCATAGTGGTTTGCGAGTTCGGTCGTGCGATGCCATGACACTCGATGAAGAACCTCTCCGGGAACCCCAGACCGCGCGCAAAGTATCGCATCAAACATTCCGATACTTGTTGTGTGCGGTTCATGAAATCGAGACAGGCGGTCCGGAAACCAGGCAGGTTGTCGTGTTTGACCCAGAGGTCATTCATATTCTCGCCGAACTGTACCCGGTAGGATTCTATATTATCAGGCCGTCCGGTATACAGTCGAATTTGTGAGTTCTTTTCCCATCCGACGTTATTTGGATTCCACAGGACAGTTGCTTTGACCTCGTCTGGTAGATCCAATAAACTTTTCGATATCATGAACATAGGTTCGATGTCTTATTTGGAAATTCCATGGCCGATTAAGGTGAAGAATCCGACCTTTTCGGCGGCTTCGATCAGTTGATCAGTGATCTCATCGATTCGATCTTCGAAATCGTGAAGTGAGATGCGTGGAACAACTCGAGAAACGTATCGGGTTTGAGATGACATGGCTTGTAACAGTGCAGGGGCATTGCATATGTGCAAACGGTGAAGTGTGAACCCATTTATAGGTCAGTATCACCAACTTGTTACAATGTACAATATACGTGGGGTGCTTCGGCCGAGCTGATAAGAATGGCGTCGAGGATTGCACTTGGAATAGAACACTATGAAAATGGATATTGGTGTAGAAAATCGTGATTATCGAATGTTTTAGTTAGGTCATTGCCGTTTGTAAAGATAGATGCCGTCTCTAGACACTGATTCCAAACAAGCCCGGATGTCTGCAGGGCATTCTGCGCTCTCTAATAGGCAGAATCATGGTCGAATCAATTCACCTCATTAAGATATTATCAAGTGCTGGAGGGATGCTTAACATGAAGATCGGAGGTCCCCGAAAGCGCTTGGCTTTAAAGAGTCAAGTGTGACAAGATTCTTCGGCGACGAATTTAGAAAAAGAGACTCTGTGCAGTCGGCCGCGTCAGCTTGGAGCTCGATGGTTAATCTAATGGTAAATGCTGGCTTCAGATTGCTTTGGGTATCAAGTTATCTCTATTTAATATGTTCAGATTTCAATTAAATGCCACATATACACGCAAAAAAATGGGCCAGCGCTTGGTGCCAAAATAAATAGTGCGTTGGGGCGCAAACCGTCGAGCCAATGGTCCGTAGGGTTGATCCGATATCTAAGTATGGTTTCATTCAACCTTGCGCACTTGGGTCACAGGTGAACGATATACTCGGCGACCGTGCACAATGTACAACACAATTGCGAAAATGACTACCGCCCCGAAGACGAGGATGGACCAATTCATATCCACCGGGGTCGGGTGATTGGCGGTTGGGAAGAAGGTGAAAATGATAGCAAAGCAAAGCCAAGCCAGTGAGAAGACATTGATCGCCAAGCCGAAAATACCGAGCGAAAAGCGCGAAGGGGGAATACCGCCCGGCTGAAAACGGACCCGAATGACGGCAGCAATTGGCAAGATGTAAGTGGTGAAAAGTGCAGCGATCATCACAGATGCGACGGCGTTAAAAGCGGCAGTAGATCCGATGTTGATCAAGCTCAGCAGAACGGTGATAATGGTCGATACCAACACGGAGCAGACGGGGATCTGGGTGCGTCGGTTAACGTGAGCCAAATGCTTAGAGAACGGCAGGGCATCGTCGCGCGCAAAAGCAAAGGTCTGGCGAGAGACTGTCGCAAGAATACCGATAGCACTGCAAACTTCCATGACAAGAATGATAGCGGCTACACCATTGGTGGCGGCCACGGAGCCGGTAGCATGGTTAACTGCTGGGAGGAATGAGAATCCACTCGCTGGGGCGAGCACATCTTGTAAATCTCCCATATTGTACAGCAAGGTAATCAGCATAATGAACCCAAGGGAACCATTGATTAACGCGGTCGACACCATACACCACGGCACTACAAAGGCAGCATTCTGTACCTCCTCGGCTAATAGATGTTAGCCATCGCCACGAATTAGGAGAGCTATTGGGTTTGACTTACACATATGTGTAGCAGCATCTGGACCCGTCCAGGAGAAGATCGGGGTCAGCTGGCCCACCAGACACGCGAGTCCCATGCTTGGCCATTCGCCGGAGTTTGTGAACTCCTTCCAAACAGACTCCCCAGAAGCCTGTCCTGGGGACATGACCCACATCGGGACAATGACAGCAACAAATCCCAACAGGTGAATGGCAAGGATTAGGCCCTCCATGGGAGGGAGGATCTTGTAGCCCCAAGTATTCACCACGGTTCCGACGGCGGCGATAGCGATAGTCAGCAGTGTCCCATGCCAGCGCTCAAAGCCATACACCCAACCGGATGGATCCGAGTAGTTGAAGACCAGTAATCCTTGGATCAATGTACCGCAAAGGTAGCAAATACTAGCAAAAGCAGCTTGCCAGCCTAGCACCGAAAGCCATCCTAGAAGGGGATTAGCGCTGGAGATCATCGGATTGAATTCGAGGTGTGGGCTAACCGGTGAGATAGCTCAGGAATCGTTGACATCTCGGCCAAGCGAATTCACTGACCCAGTGGTACTGTCCGCCTGACGTCGGGGAGCTGGTTATGTCAATTTCCATGCGCGACATGCAGGTCGAATCGAACTTACATGGACGCGATCTCGGCCATGGAAATCACTGCAGAGAAAAATCCAACAAACGACCCAAGATATACATAGACCATGCCGGCTCGCCCTCCATCAATCAGGCCGTAGGTACTCGTGCTGCGCATTCCCCATTATTCGGTGTTCTCTCGTAATATCGCGCGTCCAAACTCACAGCAGAATCGACTCCCATGTGGCCATTAACGTCGTCGTGAAACCTAAGATCGAGTAGAAACGGAAGTTTCTCTATCGCTGATCAGTATTAAGTCGCGTTTCCGGCAATGCGCAACTCACCTTGAACTGTTGGGTCTTGCCTAGGCGCTGCATGTCCCAATCATCCTGGTCGGTCGCATCGAGCCCAATGTCATGGGACACCATCTCCTTGTTCAGTGCTCTCTTCATGATGTAGATGAAAGAAGAAGAGAAAGGCGAGACCAATGCCACCTGGGCAAAGGGGCCCTGGAGGTCATGAGCAAAGGGGGGGAAAGAAAAGGCCGAAAGTGGAGCCCAAGAAGTTTATTTTCTGAAGGACGGTGACGCACATGTGCTATGCATGTAAATGTACATGTGTTATTATTCCGATCTATGTTCTACTATTATATACATATGACATAAATAATAGCTAAATTATACATATAACGTATTATATTGGATATTGGCATTTTCTAGGGGAATCACACATTCTGCTTATAAATTTTTTATCCGCGAAAGTTCAGGTACCAAGGCAAAATGGAGTACAATGGAGTACAAAATATATACTCGCATATGATTCGACCTTGCTTGCTATTAACTTCAAAAATGCGATCGAGCCTTCCACTAACCTAAGTTTCTTCGGTCAGAGCCCAACGCTAAATATATGAATTCACAATATCCAGTAGAGCAGGGTTGTCTCTGTACATCCTTGCTTGATGAGGTTGTCATAAGGCCTGGTCTACAATATTGTGCACAATATTGTAGGTCATGCGGTCGCACTTCACCTATTCTTGGAATAAGGTTTAGATGATTCACATAGGATTCAATAGTATTCGATATTTTGTTCAGCTTCAGGAAATAGCATCTTACTAGGCCAGCCCCCTACGTGCACTATACGTTTGACCTCCTGCCATATATTCTACATGTAGGTTGTTTGCCCGCTTTTCCGAGTGAAATATGTTTCATTAAATATCCTTACAATGTTCCTGGACTTATTCGCACTTCCCCACCATATAATATTCATACTGTACCTCGAGCTTTGATTTCGAGTTGTTTACGGTTCGGAACTTAGAGCAGGTGAACTCTCGAGTGAGCCGGGTCGACTTCTCAAGCAATGAGGCTTTTGAGCTAACCGTTAGGGATGTATTCCATTGGTGTTTTCTAGACCGTGTGGCTTGCTAAGTAGTAAATACAGTACTAAAAATATCGGGAGATCTCCCTGATAGTCTAATTTATGAATTCCCTTACGCCAAGATATTAGAATCATCTGGCAACAGCGCTATGGAGTAAATATAACGAATATGCAGCTAGTCTAATACGGTTAAAGCCGACCAGGTGACCGGGAATATGATCGCGACATTTTTCAGAAGATGAAGTGTCGATCTTTGGTTGCATTATAGAGACAGGGCCTCATCATATTTGGCATATGGTACATACTCCGTACTGGCCACCGTGTTCTCATTGCCGACAAGTGAAGGACCCTGTTGCTTCATGTACCAGAAATTTTTGGTGTCATTCTTATTAATACTCTGTAGACGCAATACGACACAAATCCGATATCCCTACTCCGTATGCAGCGAAATACCCACCATCGACCGAATGGCGAACACTCCACGCCAAAAATCAACCGCATTGCAACTAAACCGAAAGGAGATATTAAGACCGACATTCTAAGATTTTTTTGAAAAGGTGAGCGCAAAGAGTTTGCCAAAAGAAATGGGTTGACTTGTTATTGTTCGATATATTAATGACAAATCCTTTCACATACAACGTCTGTATATTATAATATGCATGCATGTTGTACGGAGTAGACAACATTGAGTTCTCTCACCTGATCCAACAATTAAACCAGAACAGCCATCAGCGCCACATCCCGAATACCTAATCATGGCCACGTGGGCGGGCGGGTAGACCGGATTAGTCATGAGCCAATTGGCCGCACCTCGGAACGGTTGTAACCGACTGTCAATCCGGTGTCTGGAGTTTAAGATGACAGCGATAATAAGAGTACCTTAGGATGATGAAGCCCCTGAAAAGAGCATTTCTAGATTCTATTCAGAAGGTGTCTGAGATCCGTTGGATCCCCTACGTGATTGGAACCCATGAGACCAGGCCCAATGTTAGGGGAGCTATTACATGTAGCTAAAAAGGGCGAGCCTACCGATCTATGAGCGATAACAGGCAAAGAGCTGTCTAAAATACATATTTCTTCTGAGTTCTCGAGATCAATTATTCATGCGATAGGATACGATGGAGGGTGTTGGTATAGAGAAGATGGGAAAGAAGGAGAAAGGAGGAGCTGCTAGGGGCCGCGTCAGACTGCTCGGGAGTGAGACTGCTGCGGGCCACCGTTGGGCTCTTGGAGACGAGGGGGAGGAAGGGAACGGTCCCTCAGCCATTTTTATAGTTCGTTCTACCGTAATTGCGTGCATCGGTTGTCGTGTCCAGCCCAGTTGCAGTTGGCGCAGCCACAAACAAACCCAACAGGACGTCGAGAACAACACACTTAGCCCACGGTCCCGTGGTCGCACCAGCATGAGACGCACTCAATCCCCTGGACTCGACCCACAACCTGTATCATAGCCGATTCCACGTTTGCTGCCATGCTACCAGTCATCTCATACATTCTGAGTGGGGTCCAGCGAGAAGATCAAACGTGGGCTCCACGGAGTAGCGGTTCACGTTGCGGGGATTTGGTTTCCACCACACGTAGTAGCTTAGTCTTCATGTACCGATCTTCCCTTTCTAGCCGATCTAAATTCTTAGACAACCTCCGGAACAAAGAATCATTGACATATTCATATTTGGCACGATCCGATACCTAGATCCCCGAAGGAGCAATGTTTGCTAGTTAAACCTGCAACAGAAGTCATATGTAATTCCAATTCCTCATGGTTTCCATGGCGTCCTAGGTGTTTTTTGATTTTCACCTCTTCAGCCTCAATGATCATATCCTCAACGGCCTTCATCTCTTGGTCCAGCCTATCGACGGCGAGTTGCTTCCTAGCGATCATATTCAATGCCTCAGCCTTACCGGCGGTCAGCTAGTTGTGTCGTCGATGAAGGTCCTCCAGGCAATTTGTATGGCTTTGCACCAAAGCCCGTTGTCGCTTTTAGTGCAGTCGGGGCCATGTGCTCTGGGAGTTGAGTCGCCCAGAACACCCAAAACTTCGTCATAGGCATCTTTCCTGTGGAAAGTGTCCATATCTCCCACTATTCTACGCCCTTTTGAGGCCTTGTGGAAACTGCATCGAGCGCCCTGGTCCCCCCAATCGCTTTCAGAGGTCGTTTCAGAGGTGTCAGATAGATCCTTACAGGTAGGTAGAGGGTAGAAAGAGGCAAAAAAAGCATAAACTGTGCAGACAACTTTTGTATAACCTGGGAGAACATTGAAGTGACGAATCTATTCCATGTTTGATACAGGCACTTTACCCGGGATATACTCGGACGGTACATGGGTGGAGCCGTCCCACAAAACGTTCCATGTGCTAGTTGGCCAGGTTGTCCGCTGAAATTACTGCTTTCGTCATATTACCTATAATCGTTAGACAATTACGTATCAATGAAATGACCATACATTGTGCTAGGCAATAAGCTGAACTGCCTAGTCAATTGAATATCAACTTATGTTGAGAGCCTTGTTTTAGGCCACTTTTACGGACCATGACGCGTGGGTTGGCTGTGTAGTTTCGAGTTCTTGCCTTTCTTCTCTGGACAATTACCGGGTGGACCTCCCGGCAGTGTTTGGTGCAGACGCGCAATTCCTAAGGGGATTTCGACCCACGGGGAGCTTGGCAGACCATGAATCTTGTATGAAAGCCTGCCGGCCACCGAATCACCATACGCGTACAAGCTCAGTTCCACTGTTCGTCCCGAGAGAGTGGTTCCTCACACCAAGGAGTATTCCGGATAGACGGGGAATGGGCTTAAAGGAGGATGTGAAATAAAACCACGATGTCGCCGCTCCTGCCTCGGACGGAAAAGACTCCTACTGTCTTTCTCCTCAAAATCTGTCTCTCATCCGCGATGCCCCAATGCTCTTGCGGACTTCTTCTGGCATGCTTCGCCTAAGCTCCTGGCTGCGCAATGACCGTCTACATACCCGCTTTCCCTTCCGATGGGTTGCTCTGCTCCTTGCCGCTATTGGGGGCCTTGTTGCATTCTATGTGTTTGCTGTCCCGCAACTTCTCAGATTCCGGTTTCGTACCGACTTAAGCTGGTATGATCTAGGAGTTCAAGGGTTTGGTCCAGACCGAACTTACATCTCCTTTGATCAAGAGTCACCTGTTGTCGAAATCACTCCATCTGGCGCAAAATGCGATCCCCGGTACACATTCCTTGCGCCTCGGGGCGATTCAGTTGCCCATCCCGGTCCGATGATCCTGAATCCTGATGGGGAGCTTGTATGGACGAAATGGAACAGCGGTACGACGCAAGACTTCAAAGTGCAGCGGTACAAGGGCGAGGACTACCTCACTTATTGGCAAGGAGATACGGCCAACGGCTTTGGACAAGGGTCATGGTACATGGTAGGTTATATATTGAGCGAGCTGACCACAATTCTGGTTCTCTAATCACCTTGTCCAATTACAGCTTAGTTCAACCTATGCACAGAGGTATGTGGTGTCACCAATCGGCATGTATGACGGCGACCTGCACGACTTCCAAATAACATCCAACGATACTGCAATTCTGGTGATCTACGACCCCATTTTGATTGATTTGACCTCGATTGGCGGCCCGCAGCTAGGATGGATGTATGATGGAGTGTTCCAGGAAGTGAACATCGAAACCGGAGAACTGCTATTCCAGTGGCGCGTATCCGATTTTTACCGCCCGAGTGACAGCTATTATCCGATTGAACATACCGGGCATGGACGGACGTCGGGGTATGACCACTCGCACATCAACAGTGTGGACAAGGATGACCAGGGCCGGTACGTGGTATCGATACGCCACCTCCATACTGTCGCATGCATAGACGGCACCACTGGTGATGTCCTCTGGTCACTAGGAGGGAAACGTAACAGCTTTTCTGATGCTTCCGATGGAGCTGCCACCGACATCTCATGGCAGCATGACGCTCGCTGGGTAGGACCCAACCGCGTAAGCTTGTTTAACAATGCAGCCTACAATAATGGCAACCTCTCTGCAGTGAGTCGCGGCATGATTGTTGATCTGGATACGGATGCGCGGGAGGCAACATTGCTGCAATCTTTCCAGCATCCGCACGACATCATGGCGGTTTCTCAAGGGAATGTGCAAGTACTAGACACGGGGAACGTGCTCGTGGGCTGGGGTCACTCTGCAGCTTTCACCGAGTTCTCTGCAGAGGGCGATATTGTATGCGATGTGCATTTTGGTGCCTCTGCTTTTTTCACATTTGGTCGTGTCGTCTCCTACCGGGTGTTCAAGTTCGACTGGGTTGGCAATCCTCAGACAATTCCCGACACTGCACTCACACCAGACAGTGTCTTTGTTAGTTGGAACGGTGCCACCGAGGTAGCAGAATGGCAAGTTGAGGCATGGGACGGTGAAGACCTCAGAAATATGACCTTCACGGCTGTTGACCAGGTCCCTCGCGATGGTTTCGAAACTGAAATTGCACTCACCTCCGAGATTGTTTCAGTGTTCCGTGTGCGTGCAATCAACTCGAACGGCGAGTCTCTCGGTGTCACAGAGATCCTCCAGCGACTACCAGCGTCGGAGGGCTCTCCCCTTATAAGTCCATTGGCCTTGGGGTCCATTGCCTTTGTTGTACTTGGGTGCCTTGTTTGCGGTGTTTATTTCGTTGTTCACCGTAAACTTCGCCATGGGCTCCGCTCCAATCGCTCCTATCAATTAGTGTCGCACAAAGATGAAGATGAGGGTGATAGTGAGCATGATCGTCTCCCATTATGACGCTGGCGTCTGATGCCCTTCTTGCTTGTATATACGTAACTCGATCTGCACATACTAGAATTGAACTCATACACATTCCTCATTCCCCTTTTGGCTCTTTGGTGATAACTTTGGTGCCGACTGAAATTTACTGGCCATTTATCATCGCTGTTTGACCCTGCTGGCCTGGGCGACTGTGAACGCAAGATCTCGCCACCTTGATGCCTGTGTGCATCAGATAGTTAGCCCTGTGTCAGATTGCAACAGAAGCTGGCTTACCAAGTTACACGTTAAGAGCTGGGTGCAGGTTTCGTGGACCTTGAAGCTCAAGAGACTACGGAGATTGTGAATGTTTATCTTCGTTTCCGTGACCTCCTTCCTTCTCTGCCCAGTGTGGACTTGTTGGCCTACCAACACTGGTTTGCCAAGGCCGGTAAAACCCTCAGGGGAATTGGGACACGCGGGGGAGGTGGATGCGAGACTCCATTTCGTGACCGAGGCGACCCCGGATATCCTGCCCGTCTAAGATGCAATGTTGTACTAATTTGGTTAATATGCCAAGATAGCATCACGACGTTCAGAAAATATCGACATGATACTTGCTAAGCTGGGGCTTGCCCGAAAATCGCGGGTCTGGAAGGAGAGGACTCCGAGAGGACCCCTTGGCGCCAAAGGTCGCTTGTGATGTTTCAACTGGAGGCCATCTTGGCGCTTCCTGCAAGTGTCCCGCTCCCAAGCCAAGCCGAGGCCTCGACGCTCACAAGAATTTCCCAAGCACTATTGAAGCATATTTCCCGCTCCAATAAGCCCCATTGCTTGGGTGACATCCGCCTCACCTTCCATGATAAAGTTCCTAGATTTATAATTGGCGAAAAAAAAAAGAAATGCATCTTCTCCACCTCTTCTTGCCAGCATCAGGATCATGATGCTGGTTACTTTTCGGCAACGGAACAATCCCGGAGCCCTAGACTCTTCCGAGATCAGGAACATCAACAAGTCTGATATTCTAAGCACAGCCTAACATGAAGTCTTCAATTTCAGCTTTCTGTGGCTGAACGCACGCCACTTCCATGCGCCAAAACTAGTCGGGATATCCTTGTCAACATCCAACGTGAGATCGGGGATCAAGGCCTGTGGTCGCCCGCGAAATCCAAATTTTACTTCTAGCTGCATGGCGTACCTTTCCGTCTTAGCATCACGTTGCACGAATCCTGCGGCGCCGGTTCGAAGTCAGTGAATCCTTGGCGGGTTGGCCAAGCGCTATAGCCATATTGGCGCTCACCTCCATGTCCTCGGCTGCCCCTGTGTTATTGGTGCGGGATGAAATGCTGGTGGTGTTTACTGTAGATGAGGGAATTTCTCAGAACTTTCGACTATAGTCGTGTTCCAGATTGGAAATTCTCCTGGTTCAATGCGATATTGGAGTGGATCCATGCACGTTGCTTTGGTCTGTCTACGCCCCAGTTCAATCCCATGTGCCCATAGGGAGCCCATGGGGAAAGCTATTAAAGAACCGCTTAACCCCCTATATTATATCTCTTGTGCCCTGAATTCATCTCCTGGCCAGTACATGCTCTTCTTTTGCGTGGATTGACATCAACGGTTGTTCACGCTACATACCTTGTGCGATCTACCAAATAAAACCTGCCTGGACTGGAGTATACGGGAAGGCACTGAATATGTCTGTTCCAAAGTTCTCCGGCCTTTCTGGCAAATGGCTGATGCGCGCCGTCACAACCTCCGCGACCATGGGCTTCTTGCTCTTTGGTTACGATCGTATGTTTGTCTATCTATCTACTATCTGACATGGATAATAACTGCTATGGCCTATTCTAGAGGGTGTTATGAGTAGTATCATTGATGCAAAGCCTTTCAACGATGTGTTTACAGCCACACGAGGGAACTCCACCATGCAGGGCGTTGTAACTGCTATTTACGAGTTAGGTGCGTGGTTTATACTCTGATACAGCACCTGAGAGCTAACCACTTCTGCAGGTTGTCTTGCTGGTGCAGTATTCAGTCTTATGTTTGGTGATTGGCTAGGCCGACGCAGGTCAATCATGATTGGTGCCTCTATCATGATTATCGGTGTCGTGATTCAGATCAGCTCGATGGTGGGCTATATCCCACTGGCACAGTTCTGTGTGGGACGAGTCATCACTGGCGTTGGTAACGGCATGAACACAGCTACAATCCCCACATACCAAGCCGGTAAGTACAAACACCTAGTATCAAATTGATACTACTCGCTATATCGGGGGTACATGAGTGGAAACGAAACTAAGCTGGTTTAGAAACTTCGAGGTCAAACAACCGTGGTCTGCTTATATGTATTGAGGGTAGTACTGTTGCCATTGGAACCTTGATCTCCTACTGGATTGATTTTGGAGCCTCCTATGGACCTCCCGATCTCACCTGGCGCTTCCCAATTGCTTTCCAGTGTGTTTTTGGCTTCATTATTATCTTCAGCATGCTGGTTCTGCCCGAGTCACCCCGTTGGCTGTTCACTCGGGAGCGATATGAAGAGGGTGAAGCTGTCATCGCCGCACTTGCAGATCAACCAATCAATCATCACGAAGTCCAACTTCAGAAGACTATTATTCTGGACTCGATCCGCGCGTACGTTATTCTTCACACCACCGTTGTCTTTATTGGTATGCGCCACTTTTGAACATAACACTAATCTCTTATAGTTCTGGTCAGGCTGGCAAGAATACTCCCATGTCAGCTGTTTTCACGGGCGGAAAAACACAGCATTGTCGACGTATGCTTATCGGTGCATCTTCTCAATTCTTCCAGCAGATTGGTGGATGCAATGCTGTTATCTACTATCTCCCAGTGCTATTCAAGGAATCCCTCGGGCAGAATGAATTCATGGCTATGATCCTTGGAGGTGTCAATATGATTGTTTATTCGATCTTCGCTTGTTCCTCGTGGTTCTTAGTTGAACGTGTTGGTCGACGCAAGCTGTTTTTGATTGGCACAGTTGGGCAGTCTCTTTCCATGATTCTCACTTTCGCTTGCTTGATCCCCGGATCTGACAGCGCTGCAAAGGGTGCAGCACTTGGTCTGTTCGTCTATATCTCCTTCTTTGGAGCAACATGGCTCCCTCTGCCGTGGCTTTACCCGGCCGAAATTAATCCTATCAAGACACGAGCAAAGGCCAATGCGATCTCAACATGTACCAACTGGCTGTTTAACTTCCTTATCGTCATGGTCACACCGATCATGATTCGCAATATCTCGTGGGGTACCTACCTCTTCTTCGGTGCTGTCAATGCTTCCTTCTTTCCCGTGATCTATTTGTTCTATCCTGAGACTGCTGGTCGCACACTTGAAGAGATTGATCTGATCTTTGCCAAGGGCTACCTGGAGAACATGACCTATGTACGTGCTGCCAAGGAGATGCCATTCTTGACAAACGAGGAGATCGAACGTACTGCCGTGCAATATGGGTTTGCTTCTCCTGACGCTGCGGGCTATGGTAATAGCGGTAACAGCAGCGACAGTGGCGAGCTCAAGCCTGCTCATGCGAACCGTGAGAATGGTGGCGATAATTGATTTGTGAAGCTCGAGACCCAGCCTAAAGCACATGTGATTAGGCCATCTGCAGAAAGCTTAGATATAAACGAGGAACGTGAAAGTGCTAGTTAAGTTGCCAAATCATGTTTTATATGACAATCATGGTAGATTTGGGCACATATTTTATTAATATTGCATTATCTAACATCACAAATGAAAGACTGCCGGAAATACAAAGATAAAGTCCGACAATAATATTGAGATCCAGTTGTAATCGGTACGGCCGACAATTTACTAAATATTGTCAGGGCTACGAATGGGATATTGAGTGAATGAGTAAAGTCATGAATGATGGATTACGCTCAAGTGGTCACTAAATGTAATACGGAGAAATATGTAACCGCTGATGATGATTGTGTTGAGTATTGAACAGAAGAAAGGCTCGTATTTATAGGTTGGAAGTTGGATTTTCAAACAAATGAAAGTGATAGCTGTCATTATTTTTTCTCTCCAACAAAACACCCAAAATGGCTCAGCATTGCCCCGCGATGATCCTTTAATAATAGTTATAAACAGCTTCAACAGGAGCGCAAGGTTGACAAGGCCATGGACCAGAGTTGTAACATGGATATACTAGATGCTTAGTATACAATCATGCAGGGGCTACATAGTGGACCTCGGGAGCAAGTATGGGGATCTTCTCCGGATTTATGTTGCCCAGAGCACTGCCGGGGGCCATTTTCTATTAATGGTCAGGACAAATTCGATAGACCCAATCAAACCACGACAGCTCTTAGGGCCGTGGAGTGTGAGTATTAAATAGATTATAAGATCTTTTCCTAATTTATATTGCCCAGAGCACTGCCGGGGGCCATTTTCTATTGATGTTGAGGATACTTCGTAAAGGTAACAGCTCTTTGCCTCCTTCTGTTAGCAGATGGCCCCCGGGGGGGGATTTAGATGACAAGGCTGACAGTCGAGCACTGGAGGAATTTGGCAATTCGGTTGAAGTTTCAAAAGATAAAAGGCGAGCGTATTCCCAAAAGTTGAGCATCAAACAAAAGAAAATACCCACAAACGTTTCTTGCCATTAAATCATTCCCACAAAACTTTACACTACCCCTTTCAGTTTTGAAATCCTCCCAGTTCAACAATGCACTTCAAGCAGATCAGTCTTATCAGTCTTGTTATTGCATTCACAGCGGCATCTCCCGCCCAGACGAACCCTAAAGTGTTGCAAGCTCGCGAGCACAACAAAGACCGATATATCAACCCCAGATCACCAAAGATGAGCCTTGACGAGCAGTGTATGAAGGGAGCAGACGCCGGTCGTTTGTTCACCTATTGGAACGTTGTAATCAACGATGCCAGCGATTACACTGATGACACGTGCGGTTCTGGATTCTTCGACAATATCAACGGCCGCGGCTGCGCGGTAACAGGCTGGGGCTGTCACTATGCTAATGACGGCAAGACGATGAACGCTGGCTTCAAGGCACCAAATACTTGCTCCGATGTTGATATCAGTAGCGCTATCAACGCAGCATTTGGGGGAAAGAAAGTGGAGTGTGCGGACTACGACGATCAGGTTAAATGCGGAAAGGATGGTTGCAGCATTGACAAAAGGTGAGGCGATATTTGGGCCTGGGGATGAGGTTGTTTCAGGAGATTACACCACAACGCTAGGTAGCGGTAAATTCGGCGCCGAGAACGGCTACTCTTGACGCCATTTTAAGTGTCGTTTTTACGAGAATCTTAGTCTCGGAAGTCATATGTTTCGGCCCACTATTTCCGTATGCTCCCTGAGTGATCACGGCTTGCTCCCTGAGCACTCATGGTTGCTCAGGGTAGATAAACAGGGATGTCGTCATGTCCAGTCTTTTATGTCCTCTGATTGTAGCTGCTACTTCCAAAAATAGGAAAGGTCCTTCGGTTAGGCGTTGGACTATACTTATGTCAGCTTTTTTAATACTCAAGAGATCCTGCCCCCTGTCATAGCTCCTGGTCAGTGTATTTCGTCTAAGGGCCGATAAGTGCTTTGTCTCTTTCAGCTCTTTCGATCACCAGATCTTTTCTTTGCGTGTCTTTACCGCTTCTTTACTGTTCTCTTCCTTTCCCGTGATATCGGGATTCCTCTTCTTCCGGTCTGCTGTTCTTTTCTGCTTGAACGGACTGTTATTCGACACTATGTCTATTCCTGATTTATTCACGAATAAAAATAAGCAGGCCCATAGTCCCGATTATTATCGGCGACGCCATCGACAACTAGAGAAAGGCATTCTTCAGGGGCGACATGCCGTTTCGACCAAGAACAACATTGATAAAACAAGGGATGGTGGATCAGGTATTACCTAATTTGATTATTGAAATTAAAGGGAGACTGATCAAACCAGGCACTGTAATCATTTAGAAGAAGTCCAGCTTCGGTTTCGCGTACGAGCCGAGGAGGCAGTCGTCGGATGATTTTCATAACCCATATTCCTCTGATTTGTGTGGGGTGGATGGGTGTCGTCAACCACGGGAAACTCTGCGGCCCGACCCTTACTCACCCCACGCGGATTCTTTTGGTTTCCGTTGCAGAATAATAGGTGCTGACACCGGACAACACGAGAAGGCAGAAATCTATCGTCCTAACTGCCTGAAGAGAGTAGTTACCTGACGTGCGTGCTAAGGCACGAGGTACTGTAAGAGTCGAAACTGCCTAGGCGGTTGTGGCAGTGGCTGTGCATAACGTGTCCCAGGCTAGGCCGGATCTGCCATACCCGCTTTGTCCTCTCGGTTGAGCGCAAGACCCTCCTCAACAGCACACATTGACGGAGATGTAGGATGCCTACATGTGTTTCGCGAATCCAAGTCACCGAACCTCCCTTGACACTTCTCCCGACGACCACCGACAGTTAGCGAGGCCGGTATACGTTCGCCTCTTGTAGGCGCTGTGTTTTCTCGATCTCACGATGCCGGACAGACATCATAAGGCTGGGCACCTGGGTCAAGAAGCATATGTCACAGATATTTCATCCTTCGATGACAGAAAGAGAAGTCGAGGCGATACCGATACCGACGATGATAGCCCGACGCCCAGTACATCGAAGAGACGGAGGCCGGACGACGACTTCGAAAGTGACGATAGAAAATACCAAAAAGACTGCACGACAGGCACGTTCTCACATGACGACTACACAGTTGGCTGGATTTGCGCGCTTCCTATCGAGATGGCCGCGGCAAGAACTATGTTGGACACTGTTCACGAGGCGCTTCCGAATAGTCGAAATGATACCAACACGTATATCTTGGGGAATATTGCCATGCACAACATTATCATTGCATGTCTGCCATCGGGTCACTATGGCACAAACAACGCGGCGACCGTGGCGAGCAACATGCGCCGGAGCTTCCTTTCTATACGCGTAGGACTGATAGTCGGTATTGGTGGGGGGGTCCCCGGAAAAGCCGACATCCGACTCGGCGATGTCGTGGTCAGCGATAAAGGAGTGGTGCAATTTGACTTAGGAAAGGCGGTTGGGGAGGGTCACTTCAGGCGGACAGGTACTCTGAACAGACCCCCACATGCGCTCCTGACAGCCGTCGCCAAACTACGAGCGGATCATGTATCAAAACCCAGCCAAATGCCGTCGATCCTTTCCAATATGCTTGAAAAATACCCCCAGATGACTAAATACACCCACCGCGGTCCACTACAAGATCGTTTATTTGATGGTACATATGACCACATCCAGTCGATGGACAGCTGCGAGCATTGCGACACATCCAGATTGGTGAACAGGCCCGCCAGACGCAACGCTAATCCGGAGATTCATTACGGAGCCATCGCCTCTGGAAACCAAGTCATGAGACACGGAAAGATCAGGGACCAGCTGGCGCAAGAACTCGATGTCCTGTGCTTCGAGATGGAAGCGGCAGGAGTAATGGACAGCATCCCGTGTCTGGTCATCCGCGGAATTTGCGACTATTCGGACTCTCACAAAAACAAGCAATGGCAAGAGTATGCAGCAGCAACGGCTGCAGCATATGCCAAAGAGCTTCTCTCCGTCACACCGGCCAGCGGGGCCAAGAAGATGTCAAAGGTACCTTCAGCTGACACTGGTTGGTACTGTCTAGCTCGGCTTGTAAGTTATATCTCGCTCACGTCTATATCTAGATCGCCAAAAGCATCTCTTGAAGTCTCTGAAGTTTGAGCAAATTGATGCTCGCCGCTCAGGCATTAAGCCTAACCATGTGGAGACATGCCAGTGGCTGTTGACACATTCCGATTATCTGGACTGGCTCGATCCGAAAAAAGCCGTCGAACACCACGGCTTTCTATGGATAAAAGGAAAGCCCGGTGCTGGGAAGTCGACGATCATGAATTTTGCCTATACACAGGCGACCAAAGACAAGGCGGTCACAGTCATCTCGTTCTTCTTCAACGCAAGAGGCGATTCTTTGGAGCGGTCGACTACTGGGATGTATCGTTCTCTACTGTTTCAGCTCCTGAATGCGCTACCAAGGATCACCGAGGTGTTTAACGGGCCTGAACACAAGGATAAACTCGACGACTTGCACGAGAGTATTGTGAATCAGAGCAGGCATCCTGAGTGGCAAGTAGGGATACTTCAAGGCCTGCTGCGGAGCGCAATAGCGAAGATCGATCAACAACCTTTGACGATCTTTGTTGACGCTCTTGATGAGTGCGACGCGGATCAAGTGGAGGAGATGGTGGAGTACTTTGAAGATTCCGCACAATGCGCTGTCTCAAGCGGAACACGACTTAATATATGTTTCTCTAGTCGCCACTATCCACATATCGACGTCCAGTACGGCCGAAAATTGAGCCTGGAACTTCAGGAGGGACACGAAAAGGACATCGCCACTTACATCCAAAGCAAGCTCAGAGTTGGGAAAAGTAAAACTGCCGAGGATATTAAAACCAAGATGCGGGACAAAGCAGGCGGCATCTTCATGTGGGTTGTTCTAGTTGCCGAAATTCTCAACACAGAATATAAAGGCGGCCGGATCTTCGATGTGAGGAAGCGGCTTGATGCGATACCAACCAAATTGAGCGACCTCTTCAGGGAAATCCTGTGCAGGGATCAGAAGAACCTGCAAGATTTGCAGCTTTGCATCCAATGGATTCTTTTTGCGAAACGTCCGTTGAAGCTGGAAGAGTACTACTTCGCAGCCGTGTCTGGACTGAGTCCGGATGAGTTGCGCGAATGGGACCCGGAGGACGTCACCAGAGACGACATGAACAGATTCGTTCTAAGTTCTTCAAAGGGACTTGCAGAAACAACCAAGTCTACAGTTCAGTTCATCCACGAGTCGGTGCGAGAATTTTTTCTGAAAGATGGCCTACGGGAGTTGTGGCCCGACCTCACAGCAGACTTCCAAAGTTTAAGCCACGGTCAACTACAGCAATGTTGTTATGCCTATCTCAAGCTCGACATCTCGGCCTATGTGCCCTTCGGAACGACACTCCCAAAGGCATCCTCTGATCCGGCAAAAGATTTGCGAAAATCGGTGTCAGATAAGTTTCCATTCCTTATATACGCGACTCGCCATGTCCTCTATCATGCCGATGCTGCTACGAATACATTCCCACAGGACGAGTTCCTGGACACCTTCGACCTCGAAGCTTGGATTAATCTCGATAACCTCTTCCATATATATAATAGCCGCCGCCACACGCCGACTGCAAGTCTTGTGTACATTCTTGCGGAGAACAACCTGGCAAAGCTCATTAGGGCAGCACTCCGTCTCGACTCGAGGATCAATATTCAAGGAGAACGATATCAATATCCTCTTTTCGCTGCCTTGGCTAATGGCCATCGAGATGCCGTTAAAGCACTATTACAAAAGGAGGCAAGCTGTCTACAAAATGACATCTCTGCGCAGCTGGAATATGGGGGGGATTTTACAGCTCGCAAGGGTCAGACGCCGCTGTCGTGGGCCGCCGAGAATGGGCACGAAGCCGTCGTCAGGCTGCTTCAATCGACGAAATAGTGTACACCTTCTCTTCCTCATTCCAAAATACTTTATATCTTTTTCCCTATAATAGCGTGACATGAGAGGGGTCTGGGGATAACATGAATATGTAGATATTTAACCTGTTCTGGAGTTTTAGGCGTTTCTACTATCTGGTTATTTCTAATCAGTTAGCTTAGTGTGGGGAGTTACAATAGTAGCATAAGACGTGTCATTTCTCTTGTGTCTTTGTTCTGGTGTCTATCTGGCCAAAGACAAATTTTCGGGGTTTCCCATCCACTCGTGTAGGTGCCCCACGCTATCCAACCTCTTCCATGTCTAGCTTCCGACGTTGGGACCTTTGCTCCTTTTAGATACATGCAAGGGGTGGCCAGCCCCTACCAGGGCCCAGTCTTGATGTCAAAAGTGAATATGTGAACGTCTGTCCACTACTGATATACATACCATTATGGAACCAAGATGCCCCAATCTCCGTGGAGTGTCAGAGAAAGGGCACCTTTGGGGGATATTTCTGCCCTCCGTATGACGGCAAAGGCGAAAATTGGAGAGGTTGTCATTCAGACCAACTGCGTGGATGTGCAGCGCGCCATAGTTGTGCGCTTTTCTGGTCTAGCACGAGTCAAAGCTGAGCCGGCCTGGGAAGAGGAAAAGAGAATATCAGAGCATGCAACCGGCTTAGAGGAAGAAGGCCCTTTATATACCTGATAATTAACATTGACGGAGTCAGCCCCGGCAGGTAATTAGACACAGGTGCGATCGCAATATTCCAAGCTGCATGGCACGATTGGACGTCAAGCCGTGACTGTGAGACTGTGAGACTAGGCTAGAGGTTCGCCGGGCCAGCCCGACTCAACCCATTTTATTCGAGTGCTTTGCTACTCCAAGATGGAGAAAGAAGTAGCAGTCATCCAATGAAATTTACCCTGTTGTGGTTCTTTTCTCCTTAGAACCGTGACACAATACAGAGTAATAGCACCAACCAAGGTTTGTCACAGAGGACAGGGCCGGTGCTGTGACGCAATGGTATCTAGCCATGGTTGCAAGAGTAAATGATCGAAAGGCTGTTAATAAAGTGAATAATAGCACAGGCAGCGGAATGAGTCGGGGACCTTGACAGCAAGCGATACATCATACTCGGCAACTATAAATGAGTCTTGAACTCAAGATCATGGTCAAGGTCATCACTTAAGCATGACTTCATGTTCCTAGAGCCAGCTATACCTGCCATGAAACAAGCTGATAAATCGAGACCGGAAACGAACGGTTAACAATCAACGGTTTGTTACGAATAAGACAGTCGCAACAGTGAGATTTGGCGGAGTTGTCTCCCATGATCCTGGATCTTTCCTTCTCTTCTCTCCTCAGCTTCGATACTCTCGTCTAATGGCACAAGTTGATTCCGAATTTCTTCCTGGCTGTAACACAGTTAACAACAACCGAAGTAGGTAAGGATACTTAATCTAACCTCGTATATTCCAAATGAAAGCCCATATTCACAGCCATGAGACACCCTATCTATACACAAAACTCAAAGATCTAACTCTTCAGGGTACACATTTTAAGACCCGATCTTTAGTAGTGTAATTACTTCTATTTATAGCTCATATTATGATTAGTAAAAAAGTGAATGTTTAATTAGGATGAATAGAAGGAAGAAAATTGAAACGATAGAGTTAGTTACTCTGACTTCAGACATATATCAACGATGGCAATAGCACGAGAGTCAAAGGAAAGCTGGAACCGAAAACGTTTGAATATAAATATCCTGTCCTCAAGAAGCAATAGGAAGAAGGCACATTATGGGCGAGTGATGGAAAGGAAAATAAACTTGGTGAATCTACTTCTAACATAGTTCCAGGGTTTGGGACTAAAGACCTCGGCCAATTCACGGAACATGTTTTCCAAGCCCGCTAAGTTTTGGAAAGGCTCGCAGGCGAAGTGCATTTCTGAATATGATGGTCTTGCAGCCGAGGGTATTACTAGGTGGCATTCCGCATGAGAATTATGACTCTTTGAAAACATCCATACCATCATCATCCATTGATTTTGTTCCATAGGTACATAAGGTACATATAACACCTAAACGATGCCACCACAAACCATACCATGGATGGTAAATTAGACCTCCACCCAGGGTGGAAAGCAACATCAGAATTTCCGTAACTCCATCGATAGCTCGATAGCTCCATGCTCCGTCCATTCGCGGCAACGGCACCACTCTTTGAAGATAGTGGATAAAAACGAGAATACATAAACATGAAAACCAACATGCATGTGAAGTGTTCAAATAGGTCGGGTATCCGTATATTTCCCTGATACAAGCCAAGCCACACGAAACGCCGGAGAAACCACCACTGGCCCATTTCGTATGCCAGGGCTTGTATATATAGATAAATTACACATTGTCACGTAGACACAAGAAAATCATCAAATACATCACAATTCAACTAATGTGTATGCGGAATAAGAAGAAAGACAAAAGATGTGGGCAACAAAGGGTAGAATGCAAGGATATGAGAGGAAAGGCGGCAATGGGGGCAGCATACCCCAACGGGAAAAGGTGGGCGATATGTGTTGTCAACGATCGGATATTCGTTACTTGGTGTTGAACCATCCACCATTTTCCCATTCCCCTTCAGGCGTGTATGTGGCTGCTTGGCGGGCGGATGGATCGCAGATACCGCTCAAAATAACATTCAAACGAGCAAAATTGATAGGTTTCATGACCCAGCCATCAAATCCAGTATCAATGTAGGTTTCGAGGTCTTTTTTAACTAAAGATGCGGAGACAGCAAAGATAGGTACTCGGTCATTGCGTATAGCTTTATCGGAGAGCGCTTCCTTGGGTGTCTTTGATTCAAATTCGCGAATCGCCCGGGTGGCTGCCATTCCATCGAGGATTGGCATCTGAATATCCATCAGGACTACGTCAAAAGATTTGGTGGCTGAGGAAAAAGCAATCACGCAGGCTTCACCATTGCCGGTCAGCTTGACGGTGTGGCCAAGTTTGGTCAACCGCTTATGTATGATCTTGCTATTGATTGGATCGTCCTCGGCGACAAGAACATCGAGTCCGTCGTAGTCTGTTGTTGAAGGTTCAGTGGTCGGCACAGCAGAAGATGCTGGTCCAGAGGAACCTTGTGACGTTTCTGCGACTGATAAAACCCTTGGGAAATAAGAGCTGTCTTCCTTGGTATGCTTGATTTGTGGTGATCTGAGGCTGGCGGAATGTTGTGACATTCGCAGCGCACTCATCGGCACTCCCGAGTCTGTGATATTCTCCAGACCTGGGGGAGGGGGAGTGACAAGGGGCTGTAGTGTCATAGGCGGGGTATGCGTGACAGAAGATGGACTTGAATGCAAATCATGCGCGGGGAATGATCGCTTTACAGCAGATGGTGACCCGAAAGGAGAAGCGGCATGATGGCTGCTGGCGCTGGCGGTACTCGACGAAAAGTTCAATCGTCTCAGATCCAAATCTTGGCTATTGCTTCTCTTGAGGGGAGCTTCTTGCATGGCACTGATGAGTCGATCGGCATGACTTCTCCCACTGCGCCCACTCTGTCCACTGCCACCACTGCCACCACTGCGAAGACTTTCCGTACTTCGTCGTCTGTTATCAGAAGACTCATGTGCGCCGGGAACTAGCGTAAACTCTTTTTCTGAAAGCAAAGGCGTAGTAGGACCGCCAGGACGTTTAGGAGAAATTTCATCTGTATCTTCATCCATGGCTGTCCCTTCTGGCAACCGGAATTGTAATATAATCCTGAAATGACTCCCCTTCCCTTCCTCCGATCTGACGGCGAGCTGACCGTGCATGTTATGAACAATCCTTGCTGCGAGAGCAAGACCTAAACCCAATACACGTTTTTGCGGTGCGTTCTGCGTGTTGTTTTCTTCTTCGGGGTAGTAAGTCTCATCGGTCGATACTTGTTCGAGTTCGTTGAAGAGCGTCTTCAATTTGTCGTGCGACATGCCCCCCCGGTATCAACGACAACAATCTCCACTCCCATATGGCCAGGAATAGACTGAGTCGCAGATCGATACATTTCTGTTGTCACCGCACCGGATTTGGTGTGCTGAATGGCGTTTGATATCACATTTGAAATAACTTGCCGTACGCGGCGCTGGTCGCCGACAACAGACTGGGGAATACCCGGATGTACTGAAACAGTGTATGAGATGTTCTTCCTCTTGGCGTCGCCAGACAGCATATCAGCCGCTTCTCTAAAGGTCGATTCGAGGTCGAAGCTCTCGTCTTTAATGAGATCCTGGCCCTTTTCGGTGTTTGTCAAGTCCAGGAGATCGTTAATCACGTATATTAGTGATTTGGAAGCCGAATGGGATTTTGTCAAGCTCTCTCTGGTTTCATCGTCCAGAGCACCCTCAAGTGCGATCTCCAAATAGTTGACGATGGCATTCAAAGGGGTCCGAACTTCGTGTGCAGAGTTGGCCAAAAGTAGTCGGGTGAGTTGCGAGTTTTGCATGGCAGCCTCCTTCTGCCTCCAAACCTTGATAAATTTACCGTAAACCACTGTTCAAAGTATGTTAGCTTTCAAACAATCGGGGCACAATATTCAGAATGTGCATAAAACTCACAGCACAAGACTGCCGCCGTCTCCACGTCCGACTCTGTCCACTCTCTACTTTGCGATAGAACCGTCTCCCGCCATGCTGTGAAACTTTCCCGAGGCTCTAAATATCCTGCAGTCTGTTTTCGCTTTTCAATTTCATAAGGATTACCAGCCCATTTGATCTCGGTGAGATGTCCACGGCGGAAGAATGCGATAAAGTCACGGCCACCAGTAGAGAGCGGGACATATAGCAGACCGGAGATTGCCTTCAATCCGGGGGCATAGTGCAAATCAGGAAAATCCTTGACGATATCGCGCGAGGCAAGAACTGTATCTAACTGGCGTACGCGAAGGAACTCTATCAATGCAAGCACCTCCTGAGAGTTATTGTTGTCACCGAGGATTTTTGTTTCATCGCGAATCGACAAGACACCGTAGTCCGCATCAAATAGTTGTAGAAGATCATCCGAGGATGCAATGATGTACCCTGCTGGGTTGGCCTCGGTCGGGACAGTGTTAATTAGTTTTCGGGCTTGAAGGCGAGAGGCATATGAAAGCCGTTCGATGTTTCGCGATACAGTGTCGCCGAGAAGCCGGCACATTTTGCGTATCGGGAATGACACGCGCATACCAGCAGTTCCGTAGCTATGGCAGGAGATCAACCCCCAGAGATCGTTGAAAGCGTTGACGCTGATTGACATTGAAGACCTGACTTTCATGTGTGCCAAATATTTCACATGAATTGGAGACATCGCGCGAAGGTAGGCGTGAGTCATGTCCAACGGGGACTCGAGATCCTCCAAGGTCCGACACACGAGGCGAGAAGTGACTTGGTCGCGATCGTACAAGAGCCGGACCTTGTTGATTTTGTATAGTTCTCGGGCTTGCGCGGGGATATCGGATGCAGGGAAATGAAGACCCTTGTAGAGATCAATAGCAGCGTTAGGATCAACTAATTCGGCAACTACCATGCCATTCCACCTGCTATCGAACTGATAGATTAAGACTCGGTGAAAGCCGGTCAGCTCCTTAACCAATCCCGCAGTTGTATTCAGCAGCTGATCTAGATCATTCGTCCGCCCTAACTGCTCTTGTATCTGAGTTAAGATACTAAAGGCTTCCATCGAAGATGCCTCGCCCTTCCTTCGGCGGGCATTCCTAAGAACGCGAAGAGGCTGGCTGATGTTGATTGTGCTCCCAGCGAGTTGATCTGCCGTTGGAACAATACCTAGGGTGTCTATGGGAACTGCCGGAGTCTCAAGGCCCTCAACATTCAACGGGTTCACTCGGTCATCCTCAAGCTCGAACTCGCAAATAATCATATCCTTTTGGGTCTGAGAGACATGAGTGGCACACCAGAATTTGCGGCTCTCCCCACCAGCTGTGCAGATGGATATATTGAAAACATCTGGCCCGTCAACAGATGGATCGTGTGCATCATCACGAACAAAGTCAACGTGATCTAGAAGATTGTCCGCCTGTTCCTCACTCAAAATATCACAGAAATTTTTCAACTCGAACAGCTGCTTGGGGGAATATCCCACGATCTCAGCCGAGTTCTCGCTCACAATGCGGACTACGAGCTGATTTGGCGACTCTTCACGGAGGACAATCATTAGACCAAAACTTTGAATCGCCCCAGGGATGCGAATGGGCTCGTCCTCGCAGTATTGAAATGCTTCTCCATCTCGTCCTGTGATGACGGCATGACCATTATCTGTCATGACATGTTTGAAGCGGGCAGTCACATGATCATGGTCTGCGGCGTTGCTGTGCTGGGTATGAGAGGATGGGTGCGCGGTGGACCCGCTTCCAGACTGATTGTCGCCTGGAGCAGCTTTGGCGTAAATCTCGGGGTGCTGAATAACATCCGACGCCAAAGAATGTGTCGCAAGCTCTGTCTTATCATCTATAACATGTGTCGCGTGGCGTGCAATGTCGATAGGGACTATAGGTTCGGAGGGCTCGGGATCGGGGTGATGGAGGTTGTCGGAAGAAACCTGCGACTGTATTTGGTTCCACGTCCGTTCATCGATGAACGGATACTGTCGCGCTCCTTCTCGGGTTGGCGATACCGCATCCCGGGAGTGCGCTGAACCCGAATATTGGGGTGTAATGGTGGGATCGACCGAAACAACCGACCGAATAGGGAACACACGCTCGGCGGGGTCAGAGCGAGTGCCTGATGGCTGCTGAATATTTGTGTTCGACTGCGCTCGATTTCTGGTCTCCGGGTGTCCTTGTCCTGTCTCCAAGGGCTTTATCCGGTTCGAAGGCGTAACACTCTCCGGCCGTTTGCGCGGGGAACCCAGCCCGATGTGCTTGGGGTGTGGAGACGTCATCTCCACTGTTTAGACTGTCGGAATGAAAGTAGCGCGGCTGAACTGCTGCATGACAGCGCACTATTGAATTAGATTGCGAATAGGAGGGAGCAGTCCCGCGACAAGATGGTTGTGAAGTTTTACGGGGGCATCCATGGATACTCCCCACGGTTATCACCAGGCTTCGGATATTAATATTTGACCGCCTCGCTCACCGCCACCTTTTCGTCAATCTTACTAGATAAGTAATTAGTTATAATCAACTATAAACTAAATAAGGTGTAGGGATTCAATCAATAGTGACATTGTAGAGAATTGAAGCATTTAGAGTTTGCAGCGTAGAGAACATGAATAGTTGGACGCTTATGCGGCTGATGCAGTCTTTTGGTAGTCTTGCTAAAACTCCAGCAAATACTCTAGTATTTTCTATACTATTTTTCGAAGTATGCAATTTAAAGCATACTAAAAGCTATAATTGTAGAAAATAGTTTCTCGCGAATTAGACTAAAATTTTTTACTTCAGCAGAGGAAAGGTGCGATATTGGGCTACTCAGATATATAAAATGCGTGTGCCTATTTTGTCTCAGGTGCTTCAATGCGAGAATACACAACCAAAACATTCAAATTAATGTAAACTGATGTGATCTCATGTATCCTTAATCTAACTTGGTATATTCCACATGCAAATCTAAATCCACAGGTCTGAGATCTCTATATACATGCAAAAACCAAAAGCCTAAGCCTTCAGAGTAAACACAACACGACCCCGCGAGTCTGTACCCTTAAGTACAATTTCATCACCAGTACTTGAGACAACACGACGCTGATCCCCGTTATGCAAGACAATATCTAGGTCTTTCCAAGCAGGAGCAAAGCCAGCCTCATCACGCTCAAACTTAACAAGTACCTTCTCCTCAGTAGAGCTATAGCTAATCGTGTACGCAGCAGTGCCAGGCTGGACCGAGATACCATCATCTTCGTACCATGTCGTAGCAAATACCGTGCCGTGTGAGTTCCCTTTGGGCGGGAAGACTTCCACACCACGATAATCGTCGATATCCTGGACGGCCACTGACGCAGCGGTCTCGTCGCCAGGAACACGGGTATGCACGCTCTTGCCGATGGGAATGGCCCCACCAACACGGGCAATGAGCGCAATGCTCTTCTTCCATTCTGACGAGATCTCAGCCCACTGTCCAGAAGCGAGGTACTGGTACGGAGCGTTCATGTTGACGTAGCCATAGTCGAAGACGCCTATCTTGCGGGGCAGGTAGATGTTCGCGACGTCGAGACCGCTTTTGTAGACTCCACCAACGAGCACGGTCTCACCAAACCAGAATTGGTCCTCACCTGCCTTGATTTCTTTGGTCCACACCTCTGGATCAGACTCGTAGCCCCAGCCAGTCCAGCGCTGCGGTGGTGTTGCGAATTTGTGGCTCTCCAGACCGAGAGAGTAGATGTAGGGAAGCATTTCGTAGCGACGCTTAATAGTGTCGCGGACCTGAGGCGTGATCTCGGGATACATGAAGGGCTCAATGACATCACCGACAGAAGAGTCCTTGGGAGAAGTCTTGAAGCAGTTAATTGCGAAACGGGGAGCGTGGCAACCTAGTTGGATCCAGCGGAGAAGAAGCTCCGGGGAGGGCTGGGGGCCTTCGAATCCGCCAATGTCATGGCCTTCACATTGGAGAAGGGACATGCCAGCGTTAAGGGATAGAGCGTTGGCGCCCTTCATGTTTTCCCAGCTAGTGACGTTGTCGCCGCTCCATGAGGATGCAGCGTAGCGGAGAGTTCCAGCCGTTGCGCTGCGGGTCAGGACGAAAGGACGCAATTTGGGTTCCATGTCTTGCAAAGCATCGTGGGAAGATTTGCCCATTAACTCGGTGTGGAGTGCACGACCCCAGAGACCAACCGAGTTCTTGACATTCTTTGCTGCGGCGTCGGCGACGGTAGGCTCATTGAGAGACATGGTCCAGTCATCGTCGGGCAGGGTGTACTCGTTGTTATCGTTCCACATACCGTCAATGCCAACCTTCTTGAGACTCTGGACGCCGTCGTACCACCACTTGAAGGCCTCCGCGGAGGTGAAGTCAATGTGGGCACCATTGCCGCCGGTAGCACCGCCAGCGCTCCAGAGACGCATGTACCCAGGCTCATTATCGGCATCCTTGAATAATCCAGCGGCATCAACGAGCTTCTGGAAGTCGGGATGAGAAGCCAGCAGGAAAGGCTTGATATTGGTGAGAAGTCGGATACCGTACTGGTGCATCTTGGCAATCCAGTCTTGGGGATCCGGAAAGCGCTCCCGGTTCCATGTAAAGACATTGCGAACCTTGGGCTCACTCTCAGCAATGGAATATCCCGAACTCATTTGGTGGGCTGAGCAGGGAATACCGTGCTGCTTGAGCTTCTCCGCAAACTCCAGAAGGGCCAAATGGGCCTTTTGTGGCTCATCCAGCATGGTGTACTTGTAGCCACCGGAGATATAGCCATAAGCCCAGCGGGGCACCAGAATGGGGAAGCCGACCAACTCGGCATACGAGCGAACAACGTCCTTGATGGTCTTGCCAACGATGTAGTATTGCTCAATACCACCATGGTCCTGGCGGTACACCTTGAAGTGTCCCCACAGACCATCGATCTCGGCTCCTACAGACCACAGACCGCGTCCATGGGTGGTTGAAAAGATGGCCACACATCCCTCCGCAGAGGCCTTAATCAAGAGCGGGATGTGCTTGTAAAGAGGATCGGTGTTGTATACGTCATATCCAAAAGAGTCGGTGGCTGAGAGTTGAAATTGCCGACCACTCAAATCCATGGGAGCCGCCTTCTCGCCCAGTCCAACATGGAGGCATTCACGGTCGTGCACGGAGTAATTGGCTACACCCTCACCGTCTGCGACAAAAGATCTCAGCGGCAAATCCTCATGTAGAGGCTTCTCGGAGCCGGCCCATGATAGTTTGACCACGGGTGTGTGTTCCCAATCTATGGAAGCAGTGACACCGGCGATATCGATTGTCTTGGAGGAGGCACCCTCCTTGGTGAATACATTGGCACCCTGGAGGTTGGTCTCGGGCTTGGTGACACTAGGATAGGGTGGGATAGGATGCTCTGTGGAGGAGAAAGTGGCTCGGAATAGGTTTGGACGAACGGCCTCAAAGGTAAAATCAAAAGCGCTCTTGCTCTTTGTGCTGCTTCGAACGTGAACGGAAGCTTCTTGATTGGTGGCCTGGGGCACTTGCAAGTAGCCCTTGGGGCAGCTTTCTCTTTGAGGCATGATAGGTATGAAAGTCAATGGAATTTATTCGGAGGACTGGAGAGAATACCATGATATTTCATGATATGGCAGCATATTTGAATGCTTGTCGAGCTCCCCTCAGTCCGATTTATTCATGTACCCCGCGGGGGTCCCGATGATGTACCGCAGTATAGAATCGGACATCGGAGATAATGACCGAGAAGCGGAGACAAGACTGGCAGAGATGGTTTTGCCAACCGGGCCGTGTTTTCCCCCCACAAACATCCCGGGGTGCCCAGATGGTTACTTGCTAACTTTCCTCTCGGTTTTGCTCACCGAAACCCGATACTAACTATTCTGGGAACTTCTCAAAATTCTTCTTCTTCCCCATTGCCCCTCCCACGGCATTATCTCATTGAAGTGATTGGATCAAACATATCCGATATGGGTCGTGTATGGCACGGAACGTGTCTTGCCGTTTTCTCCAGATCAACTGGCCGCGTGGACGGAGACAAACTTTCGTCGGAAACTATGCCCAGAGTTAAACGGATAAATCTAATCTGTGGAGAGCTCGGGTTAGACTTTCTTGTCCGGGGAATGAAATATACTTCCTTCCCCACGGGGTTTCGCATATCCCATATTCAACTGCCTTCCTCTTCGAGCTTGATTCATTGTCTTTCTATAATCACTTGATCTTTCATCATTTCCCATTGTGCCTCTGCGAATAATCCGCGATGTTGCAGGAGGTAATTTCACAATCAAAAGGCCAACAGGAGTTCGTGGAGTCTATTGAGCCCGAGCTGTCAAGGGTTGGGCCTCCTCAGAATAATGGCACAGGAAGTCAGCCCAAAGGAGATCATGCTTTGCAGCTCATCGAAGAGGCAGGGCACTCAAACATGCTGACTCCGGAGAATAACGCCAAAGTTCTTCGAAAAATCGATTTGCGTCTCCTTCCTATTCTCCTGGGAATCTACTTCCTCCAACAACTCGACAAGTCGACCATCTCGTACGCCTCAGTTTTTGGAATTGTCGAGAAAGCCCATCTCCATGGCCAACAGTACTCCTGGCTAGGGGGTTCGATCTATCTGGCTCAGCTAGTGTTCCAGCCCCTGGTCGCCTACCTACTGGTTAAAGTGCCCATAGCAAAATTCCTGGCTGTATCCTGCCTCTTATGGGGTATTGCGTTAACGTGCATGACTGCAGCTACAAATTTTGGAGAGTTGCTTGCTTGCCGAATCTTTCTGGGTGTCTTTGAGGCTGGAATTGGTTCGTTGTCTTCTGGTCGTACCTAAATATCCCTACTAACGAGGGGTTTCATCAGCCCCGGCGTTCATTGCAGTCACTCAAATGTGGTATCGGCGTCGTGAGCAGCCCGTGCGATTGAGTTCTTGGTACGCGATGAACGGAGTCGTAAATATGGTGAGTCCTCTCCTATGTCGCTTTCGTGGTGCTTGCGTTAACACTAAAGGGAAGTTCGGAAGTCTGATTGCCTTTGGGCTGGGTCACATCAATTCCTCTATATTCGCACCCTACCAGGTGAGCTATAGCACAGAATTGTCTGTCAAGACATCTGAGGCTAACATCGACTAGGTCATTTTCCTCTTCTTCGGTCTCGTCACTGTTGGGTTCTCTGCCGTTATTCTGTAAGATTTAACCCTGTTGTCTGTGCTCTATCATAATAACACAGAGGTATGCAGTGTCTTCATGCCCGATTCCCCGGTGTCCGCCATGTTCCTTGGCGAGGAAGACAAACTGCTAGCGATAGAAAGACAGCGAATGAACCAACAGGGTATTGAGAGCCAAGTGTGGAAATGGGACCACGCAAAAGAAGCATTGCTTGATCCCAAATCATGGTTCTGGTTTGCGTTAATGTTCTCCATTTCGTGTGTTATCCCAGATAAACGTCTGCATTAAACTAAAGTTGCTGACCAAACTGCAGTGTTCCAAGTGGCGGCATCACTACTTTTGGGCCCTTGATTATCAAGTCCTTTGGCCTCAGTGAATATGATACCATGCTTTTCAACATTCCCTTCGGTGCAGTCCAGCTTGTCGCCACAATGGGAGGAGCCTGGCTAGCGACCGTTTGGAAAATGAAGGGTCCAGTCTTAGCATTGCTCTGTCTCCCACCCATCGCCGGTTGTGTAATGTTGCTGCAGATTACGCATGACAATGCCCACAAAGGGCCTCTCCTTGCAGGATACTACATTGTACGTGCCAAATTCAAACGAAATCTCACCCTGGCAGGAACACTAATTAATTTTATCCAGATCTCTGTGTACCCAGCCATCAGTAAGCATTCAATTGGTTTCGAAAGTTGAGCCCAACTGACCATCTAGCCCCGTTGATATATTCCTGGTCTGCAGGAAACACAGCGGGAGAGACAAAAAAGAAGGTTACCACCGCTATTCTGTATGTCGGACAGTGCGCTGGTAATGTATGTAGTACTCTAGCCCCCTACATCGGGTTTTGTGCTGACATTCTTCCTATCCAGGTCCTTGGACCGAACCTTTATACCACAAATGAAGCGCCGCTTTACCGTCGTGGTCTGCTTTCGAAGTAAGCTCATCAACACAGAAGCTCTTGATCATCAAATATCTAACGTCTGGCCAGCTTCGCGATGTTTTGTGTCTTGATAGGTCTGACCGGGTAAGTCTTACCCAATTTCAACTAATATATATTGTTCCTAATTGAGACTTCTTAGGGCAAACGCGGCATATCTGCTATTTTTAAACAAGAAACACGAGAGGAGACGTGTGGCTCTCGGAAAGAGCGCTAAGATTGTAGACCAATCGATGCAAACCGTTCAAGCTGTCTTCGACGACGCGAAAGAAGATGTGCCTCAACCAGCAGCAGATGCCAATGCCTGGAAAGATCTGACTGATTTGCAAAACGAGGACTTTGTCTATGTCTTCTAAGACTTGACCACCTTAAATAGTCTATATTATAGTGACTAGGGGTATTCATCTTACTTTGTTGACTCGGAATGAAATGTGATCTGTGGGAAGATCGCTTTGTACATTTAAACTGTTTTTACCGTTCATATTCTAAAATTTGCCACCAAATCATACAGTGAAGAATATCGAAACAAAACTAGATCTAAAAAGATATCTCGAAGGACAACTGCAAATATTTGAAGGTTAAGATGCAGGATCCCGTTCCGTATGCGTGACACATTACAGCGCCTATATGCCGACATCACATTGTAAACTGGCCTGGGATGCAGGTGGTCACTCTAATTACTGCTGGCCGTCATGCTTTAATTCCCCCTTGACTTTACTAGTTCATGCGTCTAAATTGTCCTATATAACTCTTCTATAACTCTTCTATTTTTCGTAGTTCTGAATGTAGAGATCTTGCACTTATTATCTTCCTGGATACAATTTCACATGTATTCGTCAGAAGGGCAACCCAAAGGACCAATGAAAAGCCATATAGAAAGGTAACTAAAAGGATAACGAAAGGGACATTGAAAAGGCGATCTGAAAAGAATACTGGCCACGAAAATGACTTGACAAGGCTGCATAAGCGACCAACTATTTTTTGTATATTATATTTCATTGTTATAAGACCAACACTACCGAAACTTTTTAAGATGGATTTTCCGTGGGACCTGGCTGATTGTAGAGCCGGATCGGACCTCGGGAGCAAAAGCCGATCCCCGCGTTTCTCCAGGTTTTCCCCCTTCCCGTCAACCCCGAGAATCAGTGCAAAGAGAAATCGGCCTCCAAATGGCCGACCAACGTGACTATAGTCCGTACAGCACGGCAATAGAGGACGAATCTTTCCACCGTATTCCAGCCCCACTAGGGAAAAAGCGCATTCCGGTATGTTATTGAACCGGTTGGGACCCTACAGCAGCAGACAGGCCCTAACGATGTATACCGTTTTTAATGCATAGAAGGCCTGCAGTGCTTGTCGACAATCAAAGGTCTGTGCTCAAGCCTCCCGAACCTGCATATTACCGGGGATTTGGCTGATCGTTACAAGGTGAAATGCGACGGAGAGAGGCCGTGTACAAGGTGACTTATATTCCTTGGTCACAGCTCTATATGAAACCCGGAAACCGGTACTGATAAACCAGATGTCAAAAATTGGAAAAGCAATGCGTATTCTTCGAAATACCGAAAGATCCGGTCTCAGAGTACGAGCCTTTCTTATGTAGTTTACCAATCAAGTCTAACATCACCCAGACGGATTGAAGGCGTCGAGTGCGAGGTCAAGGAACTCCGAAAACAGCTAGATGAAATGCGCGAGTTGCTTCAACAGAGTCGCTCGCAAAATACCCCAAATTCCCAACTAACACACTCCCCAAGCTACCTTCGTGATCGGCAACAGCAAGTACACCGCGAGAGCCCTCATGCTTCCTCGGGATCTCATTACCCTCACTTACAGGATCACTCCCAAAGGGGGTTTCCAAATATACCTATCACGAGCTCTGTTGGCTATACAGATAGTCACCAATACCAAAGGTCTATGCCGGGGTCCATACCAGGCTTCTCTCCGAATGAAACTTCAGTCCGGCCTCCCTACACCTCCAACCAGACAATTACCAGATTACTCAAGAGGAAACGATCTGGGTTTGAGATCCGAGATGACGCCATCACCGACTTTACTGACAAAGGACTTATCACGCTTGAATGTGCGGTGTCATACTTCAATACGTACGTATGATCCGAGCCTTATTTAGTGCTTAGTGATCGTGGCTGACCCGAGAATTCCAGTTTCTTCGAAGGATGCGTATGTGCCAATTGTCCCGACTATGGTTGAAATACTCATGTTTTGTGGATCATACAGGACAGGTATATCCCGATATTCGACCCACAATACGACACTTTCGACTCCGTTCGATCGCGGAGTAGTATTCTCCTCAACGCAATATGTACCATTGGCTGCATGGTTGAGACTAGTAAATTCTCTCCTCGAATACATGGCTGAAACAATATTGTACTCACGGTTCTTTCCAGGATCCGGTGGTTCAATGTCGGACCTTCTCCACGCCGAACTGAAGAAATGGATCAACGTCATAATCCAGAACAAGGAGTTGAACTCCCTAGAATCAGTCCAAGCAATGCTTGTAGTTGCTTGCTATTCCACAGAACGCTCGCTCATATTATCCTTTGCCACTCGCATGGCTTTGGATCTGGGATTACATGAGGCCTTTGATGAACTGACCCAGCGGCTTGCTCTTCAGGATGAAGATACGGCTTATACCTTGCCGCATCAGTTGTTTGAAGAGGAGAGGGCTCTTATGTGGAACGCTCGGACCTGGTTCGGGCTTTTGGTTCTAGAACATATGTAAAATAGCCTTGACATCCTTTTGATCGGGAGTGGTACGCTGATGAAATCTAATTTAGATTTCGTGTTGATGGAGGAAAGCCACCTGGCATTAGGCTGAAAGGGAATCCTCGTCGCTGTCGTGTTTTACTTCGCCATCCGTCGTCCACGGTTTTGGATTTACGGCTGTTCTCTCAAGTCGAGGTATGTCGAGGAGACAAAATAGACTTCGAGAAGTGCTGATATTTGCTGTTAGTTAAACATTCTGAGAGGTATCATTTGTTCCAGAAATTCAGATTCAATGACTAATTTAGTTTGGTAGCCAATGTCGGCGATTCTCTAGGAGGAAAAGCATCGCTTGATGGACACAGCATCGTGGACTACGTGTATGATATGAAACTTGAGCTAGACTTGTGGTTTGAGTAAATCTTCCAGTTCTATCGTATGTTGACAAATTTGCTAACCATGGGCAGCGACTGGGTACGCATTATTGGTATGACCTCCATTTCAATAATCGGGTACACGTTGCTAACTGTTCGAAGAAAATTGTGTTGCCGCCACCGAAGAAAGGCCATCTTTACTAGTTGCCCTTCGAGTACAGAAATGCTGGGCAGAAATGATGCTCAACTGTAAAGCACTACGATCCATGGGCGTTGAGAACGTAGCGTAAGTACTGCTTCATTCAGTGTGCTTCCATCTATATTAACACAGATATAAAGTGCTATGTCCAGCACGGAAAAAACGATACTGCTTACAGCAAAGGCCAGTGCCCGCCGCCACCTCCGCCTTATAATTGTCGATCCAGACTTCTACCTCGCCAAGCTGAAATACGCGATGGATTTTGTCTGGGCCAAGTGCGCGTTCTCCTATTTGTTGCTTCTCAAATTGTCCCGTCTCCTCCCCGAGCGCAACGCGGAGCACCAAGAGCTGCTGGAGCAAGGGAATCAACTCGTAGATGAGCTGAGTAAAGCCGGAGCTAGTGAGACTCAGTCAGGGGCTGGGAATATTTATCTTCAGATTCTGAAGGTCAGTATTGAGAAGTACGGGCGTGCATTGGTGGAAACACAGCAGCCTAACTCGGATGGTCCCACGGCCACCTCGCCGTTCTGGGAATTGTTTGATGCTCAGGCGGATCTTCAGTGGTTCGTACCTGAGCAGTTTGTTTCCGAGTGGGACTTTCCGGGGCTCAATTTGTTTTACTTTCCCACTGCTTGGCAGGACTTCTTTGGTGATTTCTCGTTGGCCATGTAGATGGTCTATGCATTAGGGAGACTACGTCTATTCGGGAAGTATAACACAACTGTGGGGTCAACATAATCCGAAATTCGGCTGTCGTGAGTTCAATGCAAGCGAATGGCGGCCATTGAGTATCACCCGCGACTATTCATGGGAATAGGACCCTTCTAGCCCTTATATTGAGTGATCGTACAAAATGATTAGGGAAGGAGACCTACTAAGGCAATAAAAAATCCACGAATATTCAAATTGGTAGTGATTGGATACAAAAAAGAACAAATCTTGATCTGAGACAAGACTAGACACATGGCTGCGGCTAGAATGAAAAAAAAGGACAAAACAAATATATCCGGATAGGGGGGAATCACACTGGAAGAGACGGACAAATAATTAAAATCATTAGAAACCGAGTTGGAAGAGCATTTGTCTCAAAGCAGGAAATTCTTGAAAATAGCCCCTTTTCCATTTCTATTAAGCCTGCGATGTGTCTGAGCTTGCCTCTTTAGCATCAGAAACAGCCACTTTCTTTGTCTGAATATTGCCCTTTTCCGTCATGCCATAATCTGTCTCAAGCTCCTTTCGCAAAGGCACATCCTTTTCGAAAAACACCAATATACAAGCAAGACCGCAGAAAACAACTGATACCTCCCAGACAAGCTTAAGGGAGTCAGAAAATACCTCAATAACTTCGTTTTTCACTGGGTCACTTAAGCTGTTAATGAACGTGTTGGATGCGTGCTGGTAGGCGTGACCATTGGAAAGTATTTCCCGCACATTAGCATCTGAAATACGATAGGCATATCTATTAAACTGATTGTTGAAGATACTAGCGGGAATAGCCACACCCCATACATTGCCGAAGCTCCGCATAAATGACCAGGTTGCCGTGGCTGCCGCTTGGTCCAACTCGGCCAGCGGGGCCTGGAAGGCAGGGAGCAAAGTGTTCAGGATCATTCCAGATCCAAGTGCGGCGATGACTTGAAAAACGATCCACTCTGCATCGGAGGAGTATCGGTCGAGGTGGGCAAACAGGCCCATACCCAAAGTGAGGATGACAAAACCTGCCAAGTGAAGGGCTTTGTACTTTCCAAACCTGGAGAGAACTACAACTGCAATGGCGGCGCCCGGAACCGCAACGAGGGTCATAGGCAGCATTTGAACGCCTGCTCGGGCTGGCGAAGACCCTAAAATGGCCTGGAAGTAAACCGGAATGAAGAATAGCACCCAGTAGAGAAGAACCGTGAACAGGAATGTGTTGATAAAGACCACGAGTGAGGTTCGATTTTTGAATAGGCGCGGTGGCACCACGGGCTCGCGAGAGAACTTGGACTGTTCGAATACCATAAATATAACCAGACCAGCAAGTCCCAGCACCAACGGCACGACGATCCGCCACGAGCTCCATGCATAGCGTGAGCCCCCGTATGTCAATGCGCAGAGCACTGCTGCCGTAGCTCCCATAATGAGGAAATTTCCGATATAGTCGATGCGCTTGATTTTCTGGGAAAATGTGGTGTCGCGCTGGTATTCAGTGTGTAGAAACAGGAACAGCAGCACCAGCGAAAACCCGCCAACGGGCAGGTTTATGTAGAATACCCATCTCCAAGTAGTTCGTTGGACAATGATTCCACCTACGAAGGGACCCATCGAGCTGCCAATAGCGTAGACGGTGAGCACGATGGCGATGAAATTTCCGCGCTCACGCAATGGAACCAGATCCGATATAATCACATCGACGATCATGTTGATGCCCCCACTTCCAACTCCTTGAATGGCGCGTCCCACGATGAGCATGTTCGCGCCATTTGCACCACCACAGACGCCGCTTCCCAGGGTGAAGATGGCGACGATGAATATTGTTAACCATCGACGACCAAAGACATTGGCTAGCTGGCCAAATAGGGGCTGAACCGCTGCACTAGAGAATTGCCAAAGAAAAGTGTCAGTTTCGAATTCGAGTCAGTATGACTGGTGACAGGGGATAAAAATACCTGGTGAGGAAAAAGGCATTCGTGATCCAGATATAGTTGTCTCCAATGTTCAGGTCCGCCACGATTGTTGGCATTGAAGTCGAAACCACCGTATTCTCAAGTGCCCCCAGGAGACCGGTCACACAGAGGGCAAAGATAATGGTCCAGAATTGGAACCCTCTTTTCATTGGCGGAGGTTTGGCCATGGCTTCCTCCCTGTCATCTTCCCCTCGCGGCCGATTTTCATCTCGTATTTCGGGTTCGGTTTCTACTACCATTGCTACCATTGTTAAGGGATGTTGTCCAAACACTGGAAAGGATTGGAGGCCGAATATATGAACATTCTTTTCGAAGAAAATGGGCCTACTTCTTCGCCGACGGGGAGACAATCTATCCGACCTTTTCGTGGCTTCCAGGTTCTTCTGTCTGGCCCCCCCTTCGGGTTCTATCATATCCCCTGGGCCGGTTCATCACTTCTGTAGAAAATTCATTTCGTTTCCAGTGACCTGTTTGGCTGCGTGGTGACAGGCGTTTTGCTCGCTAGGTCACCAGGTCGCTAGGTCACCAGTTGGTGGTAAACTTAGGGAACACCTATAATATATTAGTAAGTGCTAGCAAATGCTTACCAAAAACTACCACGACCTAGTGAGCCCACTATTCTGTGGTGAGTCTGGTGGCTGTATTGGTCCCCCGTAAGCTCGCAAAGGTTGTAGTAAAATCAGTTAAATGGATAAGATTTCTATCTCCCGCAAAAATAGCCGATCTAGGTAAGTTTCGGAAAGCTCCGAAGGTTAAAGAGGTTAATCGGGGGGTTATTGGCCCGGGGTCCGATGACCTCTCTAATAATGCCCCAAGGCCGAGCCCTGCTCTTCGCACGATTTTCCAGTTTAACACGTCCTCATATATACTGAAACACTTTAGGGATATTAGGAGTCTACTAGAAGAAAGGGTCTCTGGAAAATGTGTAAGTCGCGTGAAGATGGAAAGGAACTAGGGCAAGGAACTATCCACTGTGGAGGACTAGATATGTTAGGAGCAAACCGCAGAGGTGACCTGACCTCTGACAAAACGATTTGCTACTATCCTATAGTATTTCAAGTGATGGGAGATGATGCAGGGGACTTATGTGCCAAGAACTACCAGCTGACGTGAGTCACATTTCCTCAGGTGCCCATCAAGGAAAAGCACTATTCTTCAATTGCCCTTGTGCTCTCCAACCATGAGAGATCCTGTGAAATATCAGATAGATCGGGAATCTGTAATTTGTATTACGTTGGTACATCTTTTCGGCAATTTATTTAGCTGAAAATTCTGGAATGCTAACTAGTGACGTGCTGGGGTAGATTACCTTACTGAAAACATATGAACACCAATAATCCCCGGAAAGATCACTTTCGAATTGCGCATGACCGACGCTACTCCGTAGTGATCTATCTCATAAACCCGTAAGTGGGTCGAGATCCCCAACTCGATATATTGCGAGTTAAGTCTAGGGCCCTACGAAAGCCACATGGATCTTTTGAATTACGCCACGCCAAGTGTTATCAATCTCCCGATTAACCAAAACAAAACATCTGTCCCGCAAAAAAGGCAGTCGGTACTCCGTACGGAATACATGGAAGAAATTATAATTGGATGTGGGGGTGATTAGTATAAAACACGCTAGTGTGACCCCAACTAATCAAAGCAGCCATGGGATACGAAGTGCCGAGGCTATAGTCCTGTAAGCCAATAGAACTACTCACAGGGGTAAAAAGATAAAGCAAAGTTAGCCAGAACGGGAGGCACGCGGGTGGCTTTGGATGTTTCAGTGTCCAGAAACACGGGAAGCTATGGGGGTCGCTGTAACTCTACGATGTATACCCACAATCTACATGAAGTATCCAAGGTTGGTGACATTTTGCGAATAACAAAGTCCCTAGGTAGAGAGAAAAATATAAATCTTCAACATCCGCTCTTCATAACCTCCCCAAATCACTCAATCCCACTCCATAAACTAAAGCCAACATGTCCTTCAAGATCCTTATCGCCGCCCTCCCAGCCCTAGCAATTGCCTGCACCGGCCCCCCAATCAACGACAATGGTCTCGATCTTATCAAGAGCTTCGAGTCCTTCCAGCCTAACGTCTACGATGATGGCTTCGGCAATCCTACTCTCGGCTACGGTCATCTCTGCGGCGACGCCACTTGCTCAGAAGTCTCCTTCTCACAGCCATTGACTGAGGCGACAGCGAGTCAATTGCTTGCTAATGACCTAGTTGTAAGTCTCTACAATCATCATTCCTCCTGGAGAAGCATCAAGCACCACTATCCAGAGGGGCGCTAAGGATTTAATGAATTATCTAACACTAAAATCAGAGCTACCAAAATGGCGTAACAAACGCCCTTGCCACCGCTGTCACTCTGAACGACAACCAGTACGCAGCCCTGGTGTCGTGGACTTTCAACGTCGGCAACGGCAACATGCAATCATCCAGCCTGATCAGCCGCATGAATGCTGGTGAGAATGTGGGTACTGTGGCGTCTGAGGAGCTGCCAAAGTGGAACAAGGCCAATGGTGGCGTTGTTGCTGGGCTGACCCGCCGCCGGGCCGAGGAGGTGGCGCTGTTTGGTGAGGCTTCTTCCACCGGGGCTTTGCCTGTTGGTTGTTAAGTTAGGGCCGTGTATACTATCTTTTTGTGGAGGTATAGGGGGTGATAATATTGTGAATTCATTGTTGATCAATGAATGTAATTCTACTTTCAATCTTCGCTCGATGGTTATATTCGCTTCGCCGCGCACGTAGAATATTTCATGGGACAATATTTTGAGAAAGAATGTAACAATAAAACAAGCGATTGCCACTGTTTAATCGCAGTTTACGGTCAATCCACAAGTTTGGTATCTACGACGAGGAACAGTCCAACTCAAACAAGCATTCGGCAAGCGCTCTGTTCAGCGTCACGGATGGGCTCATGCTCGGGCATGTAAATCCATAAGAAGTGAAAATTGAACAACCATTGCAGATTTGATAGCCTGGATCGTGTCCTCCCTAAGGCCCTCGTTATTGTAGAAAGAGTGTTCCAAAAGATGACGTCTCCAACAGCATAATTCTCATATCGAATCCAGCCAACCTTAAGCCGGTAGTTGCTCGTGAACTGCTGAAGAGAGTGGGGATTTGTCCCAAATAGACCTATCTCAGGCTCAGCTTAGTCAATGATACCAACGAGGCGGTTCTCATCAGCATTGACCATGAAATTACACATTCGAAATTCTCGGTGAAGGAGGACCATAGGTAGTGAGAATATCATAGGCAGAGCATCAATATATTGGTGAATTACTGGGTGGACATGATTCGGAAAGGCTGCTAAGAGTCGCCTCAGATCTTTTTCTTGTTATGGAACAAGATAATGTCGCGACTCATCTTGTTCGCAATGCGTTTGGTGGAGGAACATAATCTGTTTTGTAGTGTGATGAGCGTCCTGTATTGTCACTGTGATTTTCTTCTAACCGGCGTCATTAATGTGAATATGCCTCTGAAGATGTCAGTTTATTTACAAATACGGCCAAAAGCCCCTCCTAGGGTTTAATAAACAAGCAGGACATTCCTCTCTTTGCCATCATGAATCTTGTCAATAACACAAGTCCAACAGAAGCTCCGATCGATCGGCAAGCAGATGCACCGATATTTTCTTGAACGTGCAATACTTACCGCGGCCAGTCTCACCATCCACTGCCAGTTTCCGCGCCGATCGTGTGTTGCCGGTGTTGCTGACGCCGAACGTAGCACGAGTAACCCACTCGGAGGATCCAGAATCTCCTCCCAACAGTCAATGGAAATTAATTTTACTCCCGCAGCTGCAAAGGTGGGATCGTGTATGCACTTGCTGTCGGCAGGATCAAGGACCACCATTTCTACATCCCTCAAGCCCTTCAGTATATCTAAATCGCCCAACCATTCGCCTCTATCGTTAACGGAGACTGCTGTTTCAACGTAATAGGCCTCCATACCCCGGGAGTTAGTCGATTCAAGACTGACGGGTCCTTCCCAGCCTGTAAAAGACAAATGAATGGAGGTGCCGTCGAACATTCCACCGGCTGAATTTCCATCAAACGAGTTGTGATTGACAAATTTCCACTTCTCAATATCATGTTCACGGACCTCTACCTCAGGAGGAGAAACCAACAGCGTAACTCCTGGCTTCCCAACATTCCCCATAACATGGGAGACAGCACCCGAGCAGAGACTCTTCAGTGACATTGGATCGTGGAGTAGTTGTTCAGCGATGAACAGGGAGTTGCCACTTGATATTGCTAGTACATCTGCGAGCTTAGCAAGGTCGACGCTAATTTCCCCTGCCTCAAACTGTAGAATTGCGGCAAATGCATATTCACGGGACAGGGGGCTTGGGTATATTGTTGCAGGTGTATTTGCTTCGCGCGCTTGCTGTTTTGCAAGTGGACTCAATGAATCAAGTTCTTTGACCATGGACTGCGCCCAATTCCAAGAGTGAATGGGGCCTTTGATTACACCCATGGCAACAGTGGCATAGGGTAGGTGGGACCTGTAATAGTCCACAACTCGTCCAAGCGCGAGAAGGGACCTCCCATGGGATGAGTGCGTCACGGTGAAATGATGCAAAATATATTCTGCCACAAGATCGAGCTGAAGAAGACCTTTGTCCAAAAGGTCTTCGATTATGTCGAAGGAAACTGCGTCCGAGATGGGTTTGGTTTGGGGTGAAAGCTGGCTAGTATTTCTTCTATAAACGGCCGCAAGGCTATGGTCACCGAAGGCGAAATTGAATATAACTGACTGCTGACTAGGAAGGGGGCCATCATCGACAAATTGCGCGAAAAAGTCATCTTGCGCGTTTGAGTCGTCATCCTGCATATCAGGATTGAAATATTGCGGGACATGACGGCTAGACGCTTCCGGTGAAGCGAAACAAGTCCAGATTTCTCCGGGCGGACTCTTGAGGAGATGGATGCCATCCACGTAGAGGTTTTCATATTCATCCCACTTCCTCTTTGTTCCTCCGTGGGAAGTTCGTGTGCTTTGGACATCAATTGATGTGTAGGCATAGCCACTCTCGCTTCGAAATCGAATCACGTAATCTGACGACGAGAGACGGTACTGCTTGCACTGCGCGCGGAGTACTTTGATTCTTGCCTCTCGATTCTTGATCATGCAAACCAAAGATGAGAGGCTTGCTAAGCCGAAAAAGGTTGAGGCGGAGTTTCCCGCGTTTCCAATCCATGATTTTCCATAATTAGTACCATATCTCATGAGTTGCATCGCAATATTTTTCTCGTTGTCGTTCTCACCAAGAAGTAAGTCTATACCGCCTTGGAATGGAAATATGAGCTGCAATAGCTTCATCAAACGTCTGAGGGATTGGCGATCATCTTTTAGCAGATCCACTACCTCAAAGCCAGCCAAGTCCGCTGACAGGTCCAGGGGTTGGTCAGCAATTTGACTTAGTTTTGCTTCGTAGAGACTAGAGAAGAGCTTCCAAAGTGATTTCAGGATCTTCGCGGCGGTGAATGCAGCATCGTCCGCGCCCAGCGATGCGCCGAGTATCAGAGCTTGTAGCTGTGCGACTGATATTCTAGAATCGCGCATAGTGGACCGTTCACGATGAACAATTCCATAGTACCTGAGACTGGCTAGTGGCAAAGACCAGTATACTCCGTCTGTCCGGGGTCTCGCTTGAGGAGTGATTGAGATAGTGACGATTCCACTTGCTTTGACCAAAGTGTCTTTCTGGTGTATTTCTTGTGTGGTGGGGCCTAGAACAACAAGATCGGGATAAATATGCCAGGAGACTAATCCAAGTAGGATTCCGCCGTCTGTAATTTGCAGGGGCTCACCACGGATCAGCTTATCAAGGGTAGTCAATGCGCGATTGAGGTTGAGAATCACACTGTCATAAGATCGTGTCTTTGGAGTCGAAGCATGGCTGGAAGATGATTGGGATTTAACGGCGACCGAAAGGTTGTTGACAATTAAATTAATTTGAATCTGCTGCATCGCCTGAGCTTGATCGGCAACTTGTAGCCATGCCCGTGCACTGGCATCCCAACTCCCAAGTGACACCCGATCAATCTCATGGGCGGCAGCCGACCAAGCCAAATAATTGTCCACGATCTCACCGGATTGAGCTTGGCTTTTGATGGTGGTTTGTCGATGGCTGACCAACTCTGCCCAAATCGCTGTGGCCTCTTGGGGGGACCAGATCCTGGCTAGCATACACGCGAGAAGGTGCATGCGGAGCACGGACTTTCCACTCGTCGCACTAGCCCATATTGTGGTCGAGTCAATCCCTAGATGAGATCCGAAAAACCCATCAACGATAACCTTGGGGTTCTCCGTCTTCTGTGTCATCTCTTGAACGATCTGACTAGCGCGGGTTCCATATGCTTCAAGCAGCACTGGTACGTCTGGAAGGACATCATCAAACAACACACCCAGTCGACGGGCGAGAATGTGAAACGACCCGTCTTCTGCCGTTTGTCGTCGAGATTTGGAAAGTTGTTTTCCCAACAGCTGGAGCTCAGCTGGGGCTTCACATTTCACAAGACAGAAGTCGATATTAGTATGAGCTAGAGCGATATTGGACTCGGCCACCGCATGTAAGGGGGTCCCAATTATATTCTGAACCGAGAACGACATATCTTTCGCAAAGAAATCAGAAAGGGGGCGTCCCTGTGCAGGATTGTTGTTTGTGAGAGGGCGCCCAACCTTTTACCTTTTTTTATTGGGCACTCACCCTGCTCACCCATGTCATGCGATCGAAAAGCGGCGGTAATATATTTCCCTACTTGGCTAGATCAGATCGATTGCCATACAAAGATTACATAGCTTGTATGCAACCGCCCGTCCGGGTAAGAAGTGAGTGAGCGCCGCCTTAGCGTCGGAAGGTGACTATTGAGTCGAATCGTGCAACGCATTGACCCTTTCAGCTAAAAGATAGTGTAGCCAACATGGGGAATAATTGGACCACCTTGATGCAAATCAAATGTGCTGTCTTGGCATCTGCACACAGCCACCCGCTACGAAGCACTTTGATTTCTCAAACATTTTCAAGGGATGTCATTGTCACCAGCGAAATTTAACGTTAAGGGAAAAAGAGTACACTAAATTCTAAAAGGAAAGGGGAAAGGAAGAAAATGATTGGGTGCAATAAGTGGGTCGCGAGGTTACGAGATCTGGGCTCCAAACAGCACAAACAATGCAGACAATGCAAACATGAACACAACCACTCGAGATCGCAATGATCACGTATCTACTCTCTAGTCTCCGTATAGAGTATATTCTGTTTGATCAGCAGCTTCATATATGTTTTTTTGTTCTCAACGCCATTTTAGCAAAATATCTAAGCACTTTTTTCTGTCTTCTCTTCGGTGTCATTTACCTCCATCAAGCTCCTAATTCCGTCTCTTGGTAAGGACCCATTGACATGGGGCCAATATCATTTCAAATACTATCTGACCTCCATCTCGAAACTCATTCCTCATACAAAAGCTTCAAGTTTTCGCAAGCTGCATCATATCTTGCCCTTCTTGGAGATATCGGTCACGTCGCTAACGATGAACTCTTTTCATTTCTGGAAGTCTAGCTAGGCCGCTATTCAGTTGTGTTTTTCCTCTTGGGCAATCATGATCCATATCATCTTTCGTTTAAAGTTGCGAAGGCCAAGATACACAGCTTTCAGGCCTCCATGGTCAAAAAGTCTTTGATGGGCAAATTTGTTTTTCTTGACCAAACGCGCTACGATGTAACCAAAGACCTAACTGTGTTGGGCTGCACCTTGTTCTCGCAAATCTCCATCCAGCAGGAATTCACAGTCGAAAGTCGAATGGTGGACTTTGAAGATATCCTTCGGTGGAACGTGGATGGCCACAATGCTGCACATTAGTCAGACGTCGAGTGGCTCAATACTCAAGTTTCCACAATTTCTAAAAACGAACCCCTGCGGCGGATTGCAATATTCACCCATCATAGCCCCACCGTCGATTCGCAATCTATAGACCCAAAACATATTGGCAATAATGTCTCTACGGGATTTGCCACAGACCTAAGTCACGAGGAATGCTGGACTAAACCTGTCGTCGTGGCATGGGCATTTGGTCACACACATTTCAACTGTGATTTCACAGACGCGAATGGGAAATCTATCATATCGAATCAAAAGGGCTATCGTTTGATTCCAGTGAAAGATTTCAATCCAGCAAGGGTGTTTCCTATTGGAGAACGTCAGGGAAAAGCTTGAGTTTGATGTCCGCTTGGGTCATACCCTGCGCAAGAGGATGTGTCTCTTAAGCGCCATAATTATTTTAAGCAAGCTACAGGCTATGGTTTTCAAAGGCTATCTCCACTCGAAAGTGAACACCCGGTGCACACGTCCAGGTGAAGGCTAGTAGTGATATATTTACAAAGTATCTACAGGGTCCCTTTATGTACATGTATCAATTTGGGGGGAGATACCCGCCGAGATATCCATTGGATCAACGAAATTTAAAGTAAAAGTCAACGCTGTCGTCTCATCGCCTGCGCTCGGGCTCAGTCGCCAGTAGCAAAAATGTTCCCTATACAAAATAACCCAAATATGCTCTCAACCATTCCTTGAGACTGATGGCACCGAAAGCCTAATGCAAAGAGCCCAGAACATGCTTCATATTCTTGAAAGAAAGAGTAGACGCCAGACATGGCCGTGCCTGGTGGCGGTCGTGGTACAGCTTGCATAGCAACTCTTTCCTCGGTACTCCGAGGTATCCTTCGAGGTTGATACGCTCCTCTTTGTCTGACAGCTACTGGAGGGGGGGCATGATTTCAACGAAGTGCGCATAGGTACGCATGTGTGCTGATGTATTTCAGGGGGAATCCGCAGCATACCAAGCCTTCATCTTAGTCAGAATCAGAATGGATGGATGGAAAATGTCGACTATATAACAGGTCAGCAAGGGCTCTGTGTTGAGCAGTTGGTATCGTACTCTAGCATACATTGAACGCGTTGGCAAGTCCTTGGGTCTCACCTTAAATCTATGGCAGTGCGCAGGGACGAGGAGGGCGTCGCATTCCTCCGAGTCAAGTATTTCGTGGAGTCCATATTCATTGGCTAATCGGCGCCGAAAGGGTCTTCAAGTTCCTCGTCGGATAGATCAGTAGCACCGGCCTTTTCCAATACCATAGCTCCAAATTCTGCTGGCTTTTCTGGGTCTCTGATTTCATATAGGCGACAAGGTCTGCCGTGCATTGTGTTCCATGCGGGTTGACTTCAAACTTCTCGAAATATCGGGCCATCTCTGTGATACCTCGTTACCGTCTGCTCCATCAATTTCTCGGTATCTTCAACGGATCTTCATACGCTTTTTAGTTCTCCATAGATAAGGCTCATCATTTCTTCATTCCAATCGCAATTCTATGTCGAACAGAACATGTTATCAACAATTTGTACCCCAGACGCATGAAGGAGGTCCGTGGTTCTATTGGATTGGTCGAGCAGTTCTTGATCTTTCATACTATCTACGATCGACTCGCGGGGTACGTTGAATACTTGAGCAGTGGAAGCTGAGGCCAACCAAAGACCACCCAGGCCGACTTATTGCAGGGCCAACTCATGATGTGGATCGAAACGTCACAAACCACTGGTCAGTATCCTACCATTGGTGGGAGATTCAAAAACGTTTTAGCAGCCTCTTCCTCGGAGATCGACAAGGTAGCGATGTTGATCTCCTTTACTCGTGAGGATGTTAAAAGGCTTGCTTACGATGTCTAGAGGGTAAAATTCTAATTGTTCAAGGTCAGTGGAAATCGTAGCAAGTGTATAAAAGTATCTGAAAAGACTACCAAAACAGACTTCTCAAAGACATGATACGCCTGCAGGCTGTCTTGTTATTGTCTACGATGTGTTAATAGCGGGAGTGAACCAAATATATATTTTTCGGCTACTTTTCTGAAATTTCATCCTAAGCCCGCACCCACAGACATAACCCACACACACGTAAACATACAAGGGTCTTCCACTTGTTTCCAACTGAACAAATATAAGGGTAAAAATTGAGATCTAAAAGACACAGAACATAGGAGTGATTTGGAATCCAAAAAGACAAAAAATAGTTTCCCTGGGAATCGAACCCAGAACCTTTCCGGAACATATGCTAATCGCATTTGTTAACGGAAAATCATAACCGCTAGACCAGGAAACTGTTTGATGGAATATGACACAAATTATCGTCTCATGAACAAGCCCTAAACTAAATAGATAAATTGGCCAAGTATTGGTTCCAACAATGGCAGAAGTGGCAGGAGCGGGAAGAAAAAAGGACAAAAAGGCAAGGACAACATGTTCTCCTCCCGGCTACAGAATATCCAGGGCCGCAATAACAGAGCTTGACAACACTCAGCATAAGAGCAATATACAATAGAGTAAGGAAAAATACTACTGATTTGAGCAGTAAGAATCAACGCGACTATCCAAATATTCTAATGAGGTATAATGGAACCAATCTCGTTTTCTTGTCGATCTCGGAGGAAGAGGCTCCTTAAGGAGATCTCAAAGTTCCCACCGATAGTAGGACTTCGACCGGAGACTCTAGTTTTTCGATATATACTTGTTGTATTGACTATGGGATAATTGTGGTTCTCGTTAGTGCATTTGTGTCTTAGTACTCACTGGTCGACCTTACTTCGAGATTCAGTATAGACGACTGAGAGCTATTTCACTGTCTGAGAGAGTTCCGTGCACAAAGTCAAAAGCTGGTCGGAGTTCAATATTTCTCTAAATGCATGTTGAGAGAAGTCACAAGTTATAGTTCATAGAAACCCTGGACGTGGTTGCCTCAGGGAGGAATGGCCATCGAACTTAAACATCCTGGAACAACAACCTACTCGTCCTTCACCTGGTGAGGTTGAGCTGACTAGGGTGGAGTGAATATGTAAGTGTCAACAAACCCTAGAGCTGTGCTTATTCCATCTTGACCGCATGTTCTTCGACGCTGGTTGGAATCTGCAAAATACACATAAATTGATTAGTCGTCTAGGACCGATACAAGAGCATGTCCGAGCGATTTTTGAAGCTGGCCCTATAGTCCATGCGCATCCCCACCTGCCGCTGCCTTTGTCTCGGTATATTGTGACTTTTGGATATATTCGATGACTCTGTTTCTCTACTTCTCGCCCTCGTCTGCCTCTCGTCTGCTGCTTTAACAGCTCCGAGGAAAATAGACCACTGGCGGATATGTTGGAAACAAGCATTAAGCAACATGGCAAATTAGGCAATTGGAAAGCATAAAGCCCGCGGATGGGAGGTATGGTTTAAACCCGTTCGAACGGTGACTTGCTCACGCATGATAATAGGACACTTCATTTGCATATCGAATCTGACATCACAGTGCTTTGAGCCGATTATCGAAACAGACAATATCTTCAGGACACTGTGTACCCATTCAGTTTTGGGGTTCTCGCCAGCGAGTCCCCGCCAATCTCCGAACTGCTTGCCCCCCCTCTTTCCCCCTTCAGCACCACCCGCGCACCCACTCTCCCACACGCACCCAGAATGTGGGTGGATCTTCTTCCATCTTGACAACCTCCCGCAAAGGGGACTGCAGGCACTGGAAGGCAGACTCACGTCCACGGCGGCGGCGACGAGACTTTTCCCGAGACGCTGCCAAACTTGTGCTTGGCAATTTGCTGCTCGCACGCAACAATCTTCTCGTCCACCTCCCGTCGCATCTGCTGCAACCCGTGGTAGGTCACCAGCAGCTTGCGGAGGTCATCGAGGGCCGGCTTGCGCTTCTTCCTCGCCTTGACGGGAACTATATGTCAGTTTGTGTGGAGAATATAGATAGGAAATTAAGGGCTCACCTGCGAGGAATCACGGCCCGCCGCGCGCTTTCTCTTCCTCATGCATGAAGGCTGTTACAGAATCAGAACTCGTTCACATAGACCGGGAGGATCGGGGTGGGGACTCGCCAGTGAGGGCTGTTCATACTCGCTCTCGCTGGTATCCATGTTGTTTTACACGGTGGATACAAAGAGCGATATGGATATGATAGAAAGTAAACCGAGGTTATATCGCACTCTTGTGTGATTTATACTATGATACAGTAGGTACTGTAGTTTGGCATATATTTGAATAGCTATTGTGTTCATTATGCGGGTGAATAACATAGGATGTCACCGAATGAGCATGATTGACTTCTGTAATTTACTAGAACAATAATGACGGCACAATGGAGACAATCAGAACCACATATGAATAGCCAACTCCCTTGGGGTAAAAATTCTATTGAAAGATATTGTTTGCATGTTAACACATTCATTGAAATTGAGACTAACCCAAACTAAAAGTGACATTAATAGTAATTAATAGAAAATTAAGGAACAAGTGAGAGATTCGCTAAACACCCAGTGAATCGAATAAGAATAGTATGATGGAGGGTCGTATTGAATATGATACCTATTAGTATATGCTCTATAATAACTTAGTTAATGCCATATACCGCCTCCGTTCAACTCAATCATGCTGCCCGCACTCGAAAGCAAGGCGAGTACTTCCCAGTCTGAACACCAACAGTATTAACGATGTTTTGGTGGTGAAAGGCAGAAAGTGCCTGACGCATCTCAGGTTCTCCAATCTTAAGCTGCTCCAAAATCTCCGCCACAGCCAAGTAAAGAACACCAATATTACCATCTTCAATCTTCACCGAAATTCCAATCGCACCCTTAGCCCCAATGGATCGTGTTTGCTCACACTCCCGAACCCCAATCCCATAGCAACCATCCGCCCCGAGCTTCCCAATCAACATACCTCGGAATGCAGTCATGAGGATCGTACAAAACCGATTCTCCCCCGCGACAAGCTCAGGATATTTCCACATAGCATGAAAAACCCGACTTAACGCCTCAGTCCTCGATGACGGACCACCGCCCGAAACCACATCCGCCGCCGCAGCAAAGGTCGCATTCATACGAGCCAAACAATGCAATTTAAAAGCCGGTGCAGGCAAATTACACCCATCAAGACCCCACACGGCCTCGTCCACCTCAAGACCACAGACATCCTCAACAACACGCTTGACATGCATCTGAACTGGATGGGTAGAGAGGTGATAATCCGCCACATCTCCACCTAACATCTTCGCACCCGCAATCATCCCGACATGTTTGCCAGAGCAATTGCTGCAAATCGGAGTCGGGGTGAAATCGCTCTTGATCCAAGCGCGTTGCACGATATCTGAGATAGGGGGATGTGCACCGCAGCGCAGATCTGTCTCAGAAGCAGAGACTTTCGATAACATACTCCGGGCGCGAGCGATATGTCGTTCCTCGCTGCTATTCGAGGCGCACATGAAAGCTAGATCGGCTGAGTCGAATTTGAATTTGTCCACTGCGCCTGTTTCGAGGATTGCTAGTGCCTGTGCGGGTTTGGCCGCTGAGCGGGCGAGGGTCATTCGATATGGGTCGCCGACCGCATAGAGGAGGTTCCCTGCGGCGTCAATGATGGCTGCGTGGACGCTGTGTCGATTTTCTACGACGCCGCTGCGATCTGAGGTGATGAAGTCGGTTGGAATGAGGCTTCCCATTTTGGATTCTCTTGTGTTGCAGTAAGGATACGTTGATTTAGTCTTTTGCCGTGATGTGTCACTGCGGTCGGAAAGCTCCGACACGAGACGAGATGAGCCCACTATTTTTTAGACGAGATGAGTCCACCATTTTTGGGCGATCAGAATTAAGGTTCTGTATGATACTAATAGTGGTTGGTATATTGTTTAAAGTAGATCGTGGTAGAAGTCTAAGATGATATCGCTCAATGACGCCTCCGTCTAAATGTATGAAATGCAATGTAAAACCCAAACGCTGAATGACGCTGATAACCCGAAGTGTAGAACAAAAAAGCGCAGAGATATCACACATGTATGATAGAAATATGAAAAGAAAGCAAATGAATAACTAGAAGCTGAACAGACCAGTTCGCTTCTTGCCGTAAGGATAGATAACCAAAGCCGCGATGAACAGTCCGACTGTGATACCGATCGCGACTTGGATCATGCCGAAACCAAGACTGGCAACTGAAGTGTCGGAATAAGAACCGGAATTTGAACTGGTCCCATTTTTATTGAGGTTCTGACGGACCTCGTCGGCATATCTGATGCCAGCGATCAAAGATCCACTAGAAGCAAGACCAGAAGGGACCAGCACAAATATACCAGGAAGAATGGCAGTGGCAGCATGACCATGCCAGAGACGACTGTACAGATTGCCCAAGACACCGATCGTGAATGCGCCGACAGTATTGGCGACTTCTGAATTGCTGCCGAGCTTGGTGCTGCTGAAATAGTTGGCAACGTACCCGGACAAAGCGATAAACACCATGACGGGCATCTGCTTCCATTTTCCGTGGTTCACAATGGCTAGGAAAATAGCGTAGATGGCCACGAAGGGGAATGTGCGCACGTATATCGAGCCGTAGACATCCATGCCTGAACACGTGGATGCAGATGTCGCATTGCCATCCATTAGCCCATAGATCGTAGTCCCCACCGTGATACCGTAGCCCAAAAAGAGGGAATAGATAATGGCATACACCATGCGGATCGAACCAGCGATGATCTGATGAGATTGCAGTTCCAGACTGCTACAAAGAACCATGAATCCAGGGAGAATCAGAGCGATGGATGATTGCGCCATAGCGGAGAAGCAGAAAAGTGGTTCCGATTTACCGTTACGGTGAACCATGATACTACCGAATGCGCGGGCGAGGAAGGAAGTCACGATAGCAGCAGTAACCTCAAAGACATTGGAGTAGAGGGTAGACCGTGGCGCAAGAACATGCTGCATCAGTCCGACAATGCAGCCGAGACAGAAGATGATGGGCATATCGATTGGTCGCGCCATGAAAGCGAACGGGCCAACAGTCGCACTAGCAAGACCGTACACCAGGACCAAGACCCATTTGTTGACTCGAGGCTTGCGCTGCATGATCTCGTCTAGTTCTTGAGTCGCCTCTTCGACGCCGATAAGATCGTGGACGACATTCTTATAAACGTTGTGGGTATCAGCAAGACGACCCAGGTCGACTCCCTGAGCCATTCGCACGAGCTTGACTTCGGCCGTGCGTGTCGTAGGGTCATCAAAAGACATGATCATACAACCGGGCAGATATAAGAATTGGCCCGACACTTCCAACACCCGGGCGGTCATTTGCATGTACTCCTCTAGACGATGGGTCGGCGCACCGTAACGCATAAGTGCACGACACAGCTGCATGATATACCGCTGACGTGCGATAATTTCTGCGATGTGGACGGTGACACGGATCTCATCTTCCAGACGGGTCTTGTGCTTCTTGTGCTTCTTGTGCTTCTTGTATACACCCGGAGCGGCCTCCACTCCAGCAGGCAGACTGGCCGTGCTCAGGTTCATGGAAGCATTGATCAGCGAGGCGGTGGACCGATGAGACGATTTCTTATACCATTTGAGCTTCTCCTTGCGCGGGGTCGCAGTACCCGAGACTGGCTGGGACGCAGGGCAAGGGGGCGTGATAGAACCCTTCTTGGGAGTGGAGACACCGGAAGAGACCTGTGTGTCGCTGTCAGAGTCATCGGTGATGACACTTTCCGGGCGTGAAGAGGTTCCGCTCTGGGACGCTTGGAGCTTCAGCAGCTGCGACAAAATACCGCTGCCGCCGCCGAGTCCACTGGATCGTCTGCGCTGAGTAAAGTCCCTGATCAAATTCTCGGGGGTCGTCTGTCCCGACCGCTGATATGCGCCCCGTGGTTTGCGCTTGTGAAGCTCCATGGTCATGCTACGGACCAAGCGATGAGCCTCGGCGCTGGGGGGCGGCTCGTGAAAACTCTCGCCACGCTCCAATGCCTGCTCCCGGTTGGCATCATATTGATCGCGGCGGGCCTGCAGTTCCTCGGGTGAGATAGCGGTGTCAAGGTCGTCTGGAATGTATGAGGCGTTGAGCGGCTCACCCTCATCCGAGGGGCGACCGAGCCGTTCCGTTAAGCGACTAGTTTTCTGTCGCAAAAGGTGACCGGTAGCTCTGAATCGGTCGCGCGCCGAGGTGGTGCGGTCCATATGACCATTCATATGACCCAAGACATCATGTTTCTCCGATTCGCTAACTTCGTCGGGGGTGTGTGCGTTGGCGAGGCCAGAGCCGCGGCGGGAATGTGTGGGGGCTGGCGGGGTGATGGTTCCAGATAGCGGGACTTCGCTGAGGCCCGGCGGTAATAACGGGCGCGACGAGGGATGTGCGGCAGATTCATTTCGGCGCACACTCATCGAACGAAAGCGAACCCGATGAGATCGGTCGCGACGGCTTGCCGATGGCTCGGGCCGGGCTTCATAATGGTGATCATATTGGTTGGCATCGGCAGTAGCCTCGCGCTCGAGACTTTGGCGATCACTGGGATTAGGAGTGGTTGGAAGAGGGTATTCTGTGTATTCCGCGTATTCTTCATTTGGGCTGGGATGTGGGTTGGAGATGCCCGACATGAAGGAAATTTGGGTGAGCTTGGCTCACGGGAGATTGGCCGAGAGCTGCAAGCCGTTATGCAAGGCACACCGCAACAGAAGAAAAAAAAAGATATAAAGGCGAACACCGTGAAAAGGAAACGATAAAAAGAGCTCTGGAGAAAGAAACGTATAAAAAAAAAATCTGAGAGTCTAGAACATAACAATGGCAAAACCAAGGAATTGGCGCGCAAGAATTCCCTCAAAAGGATTTAGGGTCTTGGATAGTTAAAATATAAGAAAAAAGAGAGCTAAGAAGAGGTCTAGATCTTAATGAAATCATGGAACTTGGATCATGGATCTTATATGCTTCACATATACTTTGTAGGCGCAACCCTAACTTGACCCTTAATCCCATAGTTTGTGAATGCACCATGGACAATTGACCTCTCTCCCCCTATCATTTGTCCGCCGGGGAATAAAATTATTCTAGAGTTTCTAGTGTACGTACTTCCCTGCAAATCAGTGTGTTGTGGGTCATCGTGGCGATCTTTGTTCTATCCACTCCGAGCCATCCGGTCTAAAATAGTTTGTATCTTCTAGACCATAATTTTTGTACCGACTTTATATAGTATAAATGCTTTGTTTTTTTTTTTTGTTATTTTAACTTTTATTTTGTTTCCATATCTCTTATCTTTAATACACAAATCACCCCTTAGGCCGCGTTCAGACTGCCCAAAACGTCGATCCTGACCCACGTCTTGGGCATCTATTTTGCAGCCACCTCCTGAGAGTGGAGTGAAAGGTGTTAAGAGTCCCTTGCAACTCTGATGATCCAAAGGGAGAGAAAGGGATAGGCGAACATACAGCAGACTTATAGATAGAAATATGACCCACAAAATCTATTACGAAGCGCCGAGAACTCAAGGCCGCCACCCGGTGGGGTCAAAATGGCGTAAATCTGTGCGGTTGCACATGATACAATTAGGTCGAGACCCCTCGATGCTATCTTGTACAAGAGCTCTTCTTATCTCAGGTCTGACCGCTGCCTCTTAGAAACGGAGGAACCCACAAGGCATGCCGCGCATGGAAGCCACGTAGTGAAAGGGACGAGGCACCAGAATGCGGTCCGAGCTGTCTAGTAGATCCACCTTCCCAGCTATGAGCGCTCAAGCACTACGAAGCCCGATCTCTCCAACCAGAAATATGTACATCATTCAAAGCCCAGCTGCATAGTGTAGAGCGTTTGGATTTGGTGGGCATCCCAGTCGGAGGAATATTGCGAAGCGGTTATGGTGGGATTGTATCGTAAGAAGTGAATCCCATAAAGCAGAGTCGAGTCAAAGAGCCAACCTGATGGGGAATATGGTTGAAGCTTTTTAGGTCTCACATTTTCCTTGCCTGCATCACGAATCGAAAACCAGTCATCCAAGTCCAGGGCAAAATGTAACCGGGCAATACGATTGGTCAAAAGAGCCAAAACGGATCCTGCGGTGATAAACGTTGCCACCACCAAATGGGTCCGGGCAAAGATAGTCCGAGCAAAAAAAAAAAGATTAGAGCATGAGGATAATATACTGGGGGGAAAATAAAAATAGTAGGAACTAAAGGAGATACAATATGAAGTTCTACCCAGATGAAGTCATGGAGATGCTGGAGAGAATCTGGAGATTCCGACCCTCACGACGTCAACGGGCGGTACTGTGGGGTTGTTTTTGCCTGGCAGAAAATTAGTTGTTATGGAACCAGTCACTTGATGATTTTCAAACATTAGATAGATGATAGCTATTCCTGAAGCATAAAGACTTCAATGTTTAGTAGGCTGGCAAAGGCCAAAGCTTTCCGGCGTTGTTCAGCAAATCTAGTTATACGGAGCGCGAAGTATGATTTTATATATATGGCCGGCCTGTCTGTATATGCTCGGCATGAATCCGAACTCTGAAGCTACAATTGCAACAATTCCAAAGACACTCGGACGTCTTATTTGATGCCGACTCAATCAACAGAGAGGACGAAAGGGACGTAGGTGATGCGCAAGATTTTAGAATATGCTACGTTGATTCAGAGGCCAAACAAGAAAGGGTTCGATAAGCTGCGATAAGCTTCGTATTGCGACAAGATTGTTTGTAAAGAACTGGGGAGAGGTTGGGCAATGATGACTCCAATCCTCTTTCTATTGGTTCTTCCCAACCTGCGCAGGTAACCCAAGTTCGCTCTTTCTGGAGGGCGCGATGTCCCCACCTGAGACCATAAATACCTTTCCTTTTCGATGTGTGTTGCTTTCATACACGACTCAGATGACTCGGAAGGTATCTTCTTCCTATTCGAGTGTCGTGAAGAGGGCCTGGTAAATGTTTTGCACGAAGAGAAACCGGAAGTAGGACGGACAAGGAACGGAGAGCTGTTCGATTGCCTCAAGGGCTGCTCGCAGTTCCTAGAGGGTGTCGTCAGGACATCAGCACTATGAAAATCGAAGTCATCGGTGGGATGAGAGAATGGATTCGGAGTGTTTGAGGAGTTCTGAGGCAAGCCAGACAAGCCTGTTATCTGCGAATCTAGGAGAAAGTCATCCTCGTGCCTTCCCGAGGTCTTCATTCGGACCTTCCGGGTTGCCAGTGGCTGTCTATCACGTGAAAGCCTATGACAGGAAATAGAAGGAGTGTGAATTTGACCAAGTAAATGTGGTGTTTCCATATCTGGTCATTGATCAGCAAACAAGCCAAATTGGGTCAGTTGCTGGGTGTGGTACTTGTTCGAATCTGGTTGTATATTATGTAGTCTATGGTTATCACCTCTCACCGATAATATGTATTAAGTCCCACTCGCGCAACAGGATACCGTGTCAAGGAAGTCTTATTAGAGGCATTTCAATTAACATCTCATTATGGTGTCTGCTTAGATGTCTGTCCAAGCCGGCCGATCACTGGGAAACTAGGATTTGGTGAACTGTACAAATCCATACAAACCGACGTTTTGACATTGTAGTGTAGCCTATATGACTAGTTCTACTTAATGTATTACTACAATAGTCCGGAGTAAGAAGCTATGTAGATGGTTATTTCTCTCCTGTGAAAAGAAAAGCCAATAACCACCTGCCTTGACACACACCTTATCAATCTGGAAATACTAATGGGTGGTCCCTAACCGCCGTGGCTTTTTTTAGGGTTGTCAATTGGATTTAATACAATACTGAGTCAGTATACATGAGGTATTGAGACCGAGGTGTCTGTGCAACTGACAACTTCGCCGAGTTCAGGCCGAACTGGATTCCGAAGTTGATCTGTCTCATTACGGCGAGTTTCAGGGCCCTGGTCGTTCGTGCATGTCGATGAAACGAAGCCGAACGAGTTGATTTCCTTTTGCGCCGTGGGTTCTTGTTTGCCACAAAGGAAAATATAAAATGTCGCAAGAAGACATTACAATCACCATGGCAAGTCGCTGTGAGTCTTGATAACGGCGAGTTTTGCTCCACTTCACCTGTCGATCGCTACCCAACGCAATGCCGCTACGATTGTTGTGTCTCCATGGCTGGGGGACGAATCAGAAGGTAAGTTACCGACACTGCTGATAGGGGGGTGACAGCATACTAATTTCCAATAGATTCTACAGTCACAATTGAGTATGCAATCTCCTGCTTTAGTGGCGAGACACAAAACTCTAATTAAACAGGTGGCCTCATCCATGAACTCCAACGCGACAACACAGCGACCTTCTCTTTCCTTGAGGGGGACGTCGATTCAGGCCCCGGGCCTGGAATCGCCGGATACTATGATGGTCCGTACTACAGTTACTACCGTTTCCCACGCACCTTTTCCCACGAGGATAGCGATGAGTCCGACATCCTGGAGGCGTACGAGCAACTTAGTGAAACAGTTGCCTTGGAAGGTCCGTTCGATGGGGTTCTAGGCTTCTCCCATGGTGGCACATTGGCTGCTGGATTCATGATTCATCACGCCAAGATGAATCCAAATCAGCCCGCGCTATTTCGATGCGCAATATTCATCAATTCCCTACCACCATTCCGTATGGAACCTGGAAAGAATCCTGTTGTAGATGAAGGATTAGAGGGGTTTATTTCTATTCCCTGCGTGCATATTGCTGGGGCCAAAGACCCACTCTTTGAGTACTCAATGGCTCTCTATCGGCTCTGTGCTGCGAGGTATTCGACATTCGCGGTACATGGAAAGGGCCATGATGTCCCTGGTGATCGAAAAAATGTCGCCATCCTCGCAACTGCAATTCGAAAACTTTGCAATCAAATGTTGTGAAACCCAATACCAACGGAAGGGTCTTCCTCGGCTGTGCGACAAAGGTGCAAAAATTGCGTGAAGAAAAGTCTACTGGAAGAGGGGAGTAGTATGATTGCGGTTGTGGAACATAGCTTGCAGGATGTTGTAATGGTAGACTGCGGATTTTTCGCGAAGGTAGAAGATAGTTTCAGATCCAGACATTCATGGGCTTTGAATTTGGCTTCGCCGTTGAGGGTTGCACCCGGATACTTACCTCGCTGCGAATAAGGTGAAACATGCCCACATGTCCAATGTAGGCTGCTACCGAGAACAAATGACGCCAGAAAGTTGAGTAGACCGATCGTGCTGATACAGGAAAACCCATTGCCCTGGCCTGAGAAAAGCCAGATCCTTCACTTTTCCCTGGGATGCGAAATATGATCATTGGCCGATGTCTAGCAAACCAAAAGCAACAATGCCGTATCAACCTAGCGTGAAACCCCTAACGTCGACCATTTCGGAAGATGATCTGGCGAAGATGGCCGCGGAAACCTGTACACCGATAGCAATTGTGGGAATTGGCTTCCGGGGACCAGGGGATGCTAAAAATGTCGAGAAGCTGTGGGAAATGATTCTCACGGGTAGAGAAGCATGGAGCCCAATTCCAGCTAAGAGGTGGAACAGCGCAGCATTCCATCACCCAGACCATGCCCGCCATGGAACGGTAAGTCATAGATGCAACTTCGCGGAATAATTAATAATGTGGGGGTAGATCAACGTGGAAGGTGGCCACTTTCTGGAAGAGGATCTATCTGTGTTTGACGCACCATTTTTTAACATGACAAGCGACGAGGCAGCGGTGAGTACATATTCAAGTGTTGTAGATCTCATCTGATTGTGAATATTCTAGGCCATGGATCCCCAGCAGAGATTGCTTTTGGAGGTAGCATATGAAGGACTTGAGAATGGTAGGTTATTGCTCCCAATCGCGCTTTCAAGACTGACGGTGGATAGCTGGCATTCCCCTGACTAAAATCATGGGTACACAGACATCTTGCTTCGTAGGGTCTTTCTCTGCAGACTATACAGATCTGCTACTTCGGGATCCCGAGTGTGTACCCATGTATCAGTGTACAAACGCCGGGCAATCTCGTGCAATGACGGCAAACAGACTCTCTTATTTCTTTGATTTGAAAGGGCCTAGTGTCACGGTAGACACGGCTTGCTCGGGAAGCCTCGTGGCACTTCATTTGGCATGCCAAAGCCTCCAAACAGGGGACGCATCAACGGCGATCGCAGCGGGAGTCAATTTGATTTTAAGTCATGAGTTTATGTCAACCATGGGCATGATGAAGTAAGTAAAAAAAATTACCCCTGACTAAAAACAAAATGCTCATTTAGTGGCAGGTTTCTCTCCTCAGATGGAAGATGCCATACCTTTGACGAAAAGGCTAATGGGTACGCGCGAGGCGAGGCAGCTGGCTGTCTCATCCTTAAGCCTCTGGCCAAGGCATTACACGACCGCAACAAGATCCGGGCCGTGATACGAGGCACAGGTTCCAACCAGGACGGGCGTACTGCAGGGATTACGCTACCCAATGGGGCGGCCCAAGAAAGCTTGATCCGGAGCGTCTATGCACGGGCTGCTCTGGACCCCTCGGAAACCGATTTTGTGGAGGCCCATGGGACAGGCACACTGGCCGGAGACCCTATTGAGACAGGAGCAATCGCTCGTGTCTTTGGGACTGGTCGTCCACCTGACAATCCTGTACGGATTGGTTCCATTAAAACAAATGTCGGCCACTTGGAAGGCGCCAGCGGTGTGGCTGGTGTGATCAAGGCAGTCCTGATGCTGGAAAATCACATGTTTTTGCCAAACAGGAATTTTGAAAGAATCAACCCACGTATCCCACTGGATAATTGGAAACTCAAGGTTTGGAGACTCGGATAAGTTGAAAGTTGGGGGACTAACGTCAGTAGGTTCAATTGCAAACTGAGCCATGGGAGACCACAGGGCCTCGTCGCGTTTCTGTGAATAGCTTCGGGTACGGTGGGAGCAATGCCCATGTAATTGTCGAAGATGCCCAAGGCTGCCTGTTTAGCTGGGGACTCAAGGAGTACGACATAATCCCGACCACCGCGTGCAAAAGCCATGATGAGACAGTTAATAGCTCACTGCTCGGACCATCTCGCATATTTATGGTCTCTGGTTTCGATGAAAAAACCTGTGCGCAACAAATGCAGGCCCTAAGCAATTACATGCTCGATATGCAGCATGAGGTTGGTAATGAGAAATTTCTCAACGACCTTGCGTTCACAGTAAACGAGCGACGCTCTGCCTTTCCGTGGAAGGCAGCAGTGGTCGGAGATACGATGGAGGGTTTGGCGGTCTCTCTATCTCAGAAATTCAAAGCTAGGAGCGCTCTTCGGAGGCCAATACTTGGGTTTATCTTTACTGGGCAAGGCGCACAGTGGGCTGGGATGGGAAAGGAGCTGCTCCAAGCCTATCCTGTCTTCAAAATGTCAATTTTGGGCATCGACAGATTTCTGAACGACATTGGAGCTCCTTTTACAGTGGAAGGTAAACAGACATCACCCCTTTGAAAATACCGGTTCACTAAGGTGGTGAAAACAGAGGAGATCACAAAGTGTGCCCAGAATTCCGATTTGAACCATCCAAGTCTCAGCCAGACAGTATGCACAGCGTTGCAGATTGCGCTGGTCGACTTGCTAAAATCATGGAATATACATCCAGACTCCGTGACGGGCCATTCTAGTGGGGAAATTGCTGCTGCATATGCTACCGGTGCACTCAGCATGAATGATGCAATGTCAGTGGCATACTACCGAGGCGCTGTGGCAAGCCGCCTTCTAGATGACCAGGCAAACAGAGGTGCTATGATGGCAGTTGGGATGTCTGCCGAGGCGGTGCAGCCTTACTTGGACGGATTTCAGCCCAGACAGCTGGTGGTAGCGTGTGTCAACAGTCCATCGAGTGTCACGATATCAGGTGATACGCTTGCCATTGATGTACTCGGACAAACATTGAAAGAACAACAGGTATTCAGTCGACGCCTTGAAGTGGGTGTCGCTTATCACTCTCCTCATATAGAACAGGTTGCCGAGCAGTATCACAACCTTATAGATCATATCCAGCCCCGAGGACTGGATGGGATAGCGGGAGAAATGACAGCAAGTTGCGCATCGTTCTTTTCCTCGGTCACTGGAACGCTAGTTTCTTTGGAAGAATTGGATGCTCAGTACTGGGTGTCAAATTTGGTTGGGCAAGTGAATTTTGCCAAGTCCCTGTGGACTTTGTGTTTTGAAACGAAAGGGAAGCGTGCTGGGCATGCAGGGACTTCCAGAATGAGAAGGGCCAGGGCAGCCCAAAAGCCATCTGTGGATTGTCTCATCGAGATTGGCCCCCATGCAGCACTTTCTGGGCCAATAAAGCAAATACTTCAGGCGGATGCGAAGCTCAATGCCGCCGATATAAGCTATATTAGCATTTTGATGCGAAAGGCCAACGCAGTCACTACATCGCTCGGCGCAGCCGCCACATTAGCGTCATTTAATTACCCCATTGATTTTGGTGCAATCAACCGCCCTATGGGGACAAAGAGAAGCAGGACACCTCAGCTACTAGTTGATCTTCCGACGTATGCCTGGAATCACACCAGGTCATATTGGGCAGAGCCACGACTGAGCAAGATGTATCGGAACCGAAGGTCCCCGCGGATGGATTTACTTGGTGCACCAGAAAACATGGCATGTCCATTCGAGCCTCGCTGGAGAAATTATCTTCGAACGTCAGAGCTCCCTTGGCTTCTCGATCACAAGATTCAGGGGAATATTGTTTTCCCTGCTACAGGTTATTTGGCCATGGCACTTGAAGCATCAATACAGTTGAACAAGAATGAGGAAAAAGTTGCTCGTTACGTCCTGCGAGATGTGGAAATACAGTCAGCACTGGTCCTCAACGAAACTTCCGCTGTCGAGGTCATGATATCTCTTCAAAAGTCGACACAAAACCAAGAACATTTGTACAATTTCCATATATACTCTATTTCAGAGGAGAATAGGTGGACTAAGCACTGCACTGGCTGGGTCGAGGCACTAAAAAGCACTGGCGCTTCAGGGAATGGAGTGGAGGGAACTGATAGTTACGCCACGGTTCTGTTGGGAACGGAAGTCCATGGAATATCGGCGATTGACGTCGCTAAATTTTACGAGAAGCTTCAAAATTCTGGTCTGGAATACGGACCATGTTTTTCAAATTTGACAAAGGCACATGTCACCCAAGACGGGGTATGCTTTGCAGAAGTCACTGTACCGGATACACTATCTGTGATGCCTGCGTCATTCCAGAATGAGCTTTTGGTCCACCCTTGCACTCTGGATAGTATATTTCAAACCATCTTTGCCGCCTTACCCCCAGGTATGGGAGTTGAGGAAGGACCCGCAGTCCCTGTCTTCATCGAAGAGATGATCGTATCATCCGGCCTCAGCTGTTCGGCAGGAGATCTCATGAGCATTTGTACTCATGTGTGCCCGATGCAAACAAAGGACATAACGGCATGTATAGTGGCAGTGATTTGTAACGAGAAGCAATTCGAAACTGAGCCAACAATTTCACTTCGTGGCCTACGATGTGCGAGGATTGAGCGTGTCGAACCAGCATCGCAGAGAAAAGAAAACCGCATAATTTATCAAATTGACTGGAAACCAGATCCAAGCTTTCTTTCCAGCAGCAATAGCTCATTCCTATTCGACAAGGTGGATGCTGTTCAAGAGCTCGCGCCTCAAACGGAGTACGAAGAGAGCGCAGCCGGCTTCATCAGAGCTGCGCTGGAGGAAGTCAGCACAACGGAGGCAATGGGACTTGACTATTCTCACCGGAGATTCCGGTGTTTTCTCCAAGATTTGCTTGAAAGACATGACAGTCAAACTTCAATACCATCATCTCACTTGGAAAACATCCATCCGATCCCGACGGGAAACCTCCTGCGGGTCATTGGCCATAGCCTTGTTCCTATTATTCGGAATCAAGTTGACTTTTCCACCCTCATGACTGACGATCGCCTATTGGATGAGTTCTGGGATATATTCTCAGCGGACGCTTCGTACCAAGCAGCTGCAAAATACGTCGACTTGATTGGCCATGGGAAGCCAGATATATCCATTCTTGAATTTGGAGTTGGCACAGGCCAGATAGCAGAGATATTTCTGAACTATCTTGTGACGCTTAAGGAGACACCTCACTGCGGAAGATATATATTTATCCACGAAAACGCCTCCGTACTTGAGGATACCTCGAAGCGACTGGAGGTTTGGTCAGAATGGGTTGAATGCAAGTCCCTGGATCTTGGCAAGGATTTCCACAAACAAGGGGTTGAAAAGAACTCCGTTGACATCATAATCCTGCCTCATGGATTGTGTACTGCACGTTGTGAACAAAAGGCACTCAGCAGAATCCATGATCTTTTGAGACCATCTGGCTATTTGATTGCAATTAATCCCTTCGACCCAAAGAAGGATGTGCTGAAAAATCTCTTGTTTGGTGCCTTGCACTGCCTGTCCACAGATGAATTCTGTTTAGGCCAGGGTGCCTGGACGGAGAGTCAATGGGAGGAGATCCTGCAAGATGCGCATTTCACTGAAGTCGATGCCTATGCGGAGCAGGACTCCGAGAAGAGCCACCAGTTCATCGTGGCCAAAAAGCGAAAAATACAAAAGTCGTCCAGAAAGGTTTCCATCATTTGCGAGGACAAAACTGAGACTGTCAGGCATATAGTTACTGAGCTCGAGAAGATCTCATGTGAGGTGAATGTGACACAAGTCGATAACGTGGAGTGTAAAGATCAGATTTGTTTGGTCTTGGATACTTCAACGTCCTCCCTGCTAGCTGCTCCCAATGAAATTACATTCAGCAAGATAAAAGCTATATTTACCCAGAGCGGAGGAGTTCTCTGGATAACAAGAGGAGGGACGGTTGAGCCTGTCAACCCAAACGCGGCCTTGGCTGTTGGATTTGCAAGAACAGCACGTGCCGAATCGGGTGTAAACCCAATTGTCACCCTTGATCTGGATGCTCATGATTCTCTCTCGGAATCTCAAGCCGCCAAAATGATTGCAAAAGTACTGGTTACCAGATTTCTCCGTGAAAATCCAAATGAGGACACGGAATACGCGGAGAGAAATGGACAGATTCTGGTTCCACGAGTCCTAGAAAGTTTGAATGAGAACAAGATACTGAGCACCATTAATAATATTAAGGCTGTGTCCGAGCAGTCTTTCCATCAGCTTCAGCAACCTCTCCGTCTTTCCAGAAAATTTGATGACCCCGGATTTGTTGGCGATTCGCAAATGACTGAACTCCCAGCCGGATACGTCGGGATTAAAGTACACGCTTTCGGCCTAAATAAATGGGACATTCAGCCTGACCATTCTGATTGGCAACCTGACGATACCCTCGGTCTAGAGTGTAGTGGCATAGTATACAAGGTTGGCGCTGGGGTCCACAGCATCACCGTAGGTGACCGGGTTGCGTGTCTTGGAGCTGGGACGGCGAGAAGCTTCTATCACGATCGCTCATCAGTTTTCCAGAAGATCAATGACGAAATGTCATTACAGGTGGCGTCAGCTTTGCCTTTAGCATATACAATTGCTCATTATGTTGTGAACCAAATGTCACTGGTCGAGTCGAATGACACCGTTCTCGTGCATGACGCTACAAGTCATTTCGGCCAAGCACTTTTGGAAGTGTTCCTGCTGAGGCACGCTCGAATATTTGCAACAGTGCAGAGCCCCCGCGAAAAGGACTTGTGAGCTCGAGGTTCGGGATACCCGGGGAGCATGTCTTCATAACCGGGAAGGACGATGTGGTCAAGGGTGTGTTACGGTTGACCGATGGCAAGAAAGCAAATGTAGTAGTGACGTTCGAGACCGCAGAGGAAAGAACCTTTCAGCTCTGCACTGCGCCATTTGGTCGGTTTATTCAACTTCGCACAACCAACCTCAAGACTCGACCATTGTCATGTGCTCAGAATATGTCCCTGACTACAGTCAATATATTTGAGTTCCAAAAGGAGAAGATTGAACTTGCCAACCGAATATGGCCGAAGGTTTCTCCCTTGTTCCTCCAAGGGCTACTCAAAGGGCCTGGCCCTACTGATGCATATCATGTTTCACTCATTGATGAGGCACTAACCGCAGTTCAAACACGACAGCATGTTGTGGTCCATGTAGAAGAGAGTGATATTGTGAAGGTTCAGCTTATCCCATACCCAGATAATAATTACCGCTAGCTAACGAGATATAGGCCACGCTCCCAAGGGCTACTCAGCCATTGTTCCGCGCAAATGCCTCCTACATGCTGGTCGGTGGGCTTGGGGGGATTGGGAGGGAGGTAGCTTCGTGGATGGCGCAAAATGGAGCAAAGAGCCTGATTTTCGTCAGTCGAAGCGGCCTTTCAAGGCACGAGTCTCAAGCGACAGTGAGAGGTCTGGTGAAACAAGGTATCCAGGTAACCACTCGAGTCTGCGACATATCGAACGAGACTGAAGTCCAGCAAATGTTTCATGATCTCTCTCGTTGCGTGCCTCCAATACGAGGGGTGATACAGGCAGCCATGGTCCTCAAGGACGTTCATATTGAAAACATGAGGGTACATGAGTATTATCGTGTCATGAGCCCGAAATATTATGGCACATGGAATTTACACCGACATCTCCCCTTAGATCTTGACTTCTTCCTGATGTTATCTTCCATCAGCGGCATTGTTGGGAATGCCACACAGGCTGCCTATGCTGCCGGCTGCACTTTCATGGACGCATTTGCCGCTTACCGAAGGACCTTAGGTCTTCCAGCAGTATCTTTGGATCTCGGAACAATCAAAGATGTTGGCCATCTGGCCGAAAACAAAGAGCTGGCCACAAAAATGGAGCGACAGGGATTCCAGGGCACTGATACGCCGACACTTCTATGCCTGATAGAATTTTCTATCTCTCAGTCGACGACGGGAGGCGCACAACTTATAACTGGTCTCGGACAATGGAAAGAAAACGAATCACTTGGAAACTTTGATGCGCCCTTGTTTGCCCACTTCCGCTACAAGTTCCAGGGTTATGGCAAATCTATTGCACTCGGCGACTCGATGGAAGGATTGAAGGTTGAACTTGATGCTACAACAACGGTAGATCAAGCCACCGTGGTAATTTGCGATGCCCTGAGCAGGAAAATTGCCTCCCATCTCTCCATCCCAGTTGAAAATATTAATCCTTCTAATCCAGTCTCCGAGTATGGAGTTGACTCCCATGTGGCAGTGGAGCTGCGCAACTGGGTATCACGGTCTATGAATTGCACTATCCCCGTTTTGGAAATTCTAGCAAGGTCTATGCTGGAGTTATCTCACAAAATTGCCAGCCAAAGACTTGACGGCAAGCTGGAGTGAGTTACTGTTCTAAGTTGGTGATGGAGAAATGTGGAGAATACACTAGAACTATCCAATTTGATACCAAGTATCCACTTAGGCGAGGGGCAAGCGTATCAACGGAATACGCTAACCTATGTTAACTTGGTCATTTCGTCAACAACTGTGCATCGAATATATCCCTAGGTTTCCGAACACAGACTATAGCGATTCCTAGTGAATGAATTTAAAATTTACTAATCAACTAGAACATGACATGTTACAGCTTAGTCGCACGAGCCCAGAACAGCTGCATCTCCCCACTCTGAGCGGCGGGGACGGGCGATAGTCGATCCGCTAGCTTAAACTGCGACTCTCCACAGCCCGCTTGTTCGAACAACGACAATATCTGGTCCTTTGAGAAACTGTCGTGGGAGATGGTATGTGCTGCAGGGTGTTTCGAATCAATAATCTCATGCATCTGATGATGGTGGTGGTGGTGGTGGTGGTGGTGATGATTCTCCGAACCGGACGGAGTTGTCTGCACCCCAGCTTGCTGTTTAGTCTCGTTCGACAAATCACGCGTCGCCCAGTCGATGATGAGAAGCACACCACCCGGCCGCAGTCTTTCGGCGAGACGTTTGGTTGCCAAAGAGGTGTCGTCGACATGGTGTAATGCCATGCAAATAACCACCAAGTCGAAACCATTTAGCTCGTCCTCACTAAGTGCAGGCTCAGTCGATGTGACTGTGGGAGCCAGGAGGTTCCCCTTAACGGCCAACATGCGCGAGTCTTCGAGGCCTAGTTCGGCTGCGGTTGCACGATATTCGTCTAGCATGCCATCTGCCAGATCGACGCCAATGCATTTGGAAAAATGAGGGTGGAGGTACTTCAGAAGAGCGAGGGTCAGTATTGTTTGATGTGGGTCTCATTTTTCTTAATTGCCAACGAAGGTCTAAACTCACACGAGAAACAATGCCATTTCCGCAGGCATAATCCATCAACTTCGTCTGGGGGCTATTGTCGCCGGTTGGAAGCTGGATGCCAATCCAGTCCACGCTACCCGTCAGAAATTCAGATATCTGATTCTGCAAATCTTGCACCCATTTAACTTTGAATACATCTTGGGAGGCATGGCTAGACACAGTCAACGGTGAGCATCTCTCCTCTTCGTAGGTCTCTCATGGGAGTCCCTCCATCGCGTAGGACTCACTTCCAGTATGCTTGGTTCTTGTCGGCAAGTGTCTCCCCCATTATGTTAGATAGGTTAAAGATCCCTTAGTTGAGTGTAGTTCGATATCGAAAAAGGAAAGCAAATATAATACCGCCAGGTGAGAATTAGTTCAAAAGATAATGTGAGAATAGAACCGCCTATTTATATAACCCAACCTTACAGCGTACACATGATTGCCTGAGCAAATTATTATCGAAACCTCGAAAACTACCTAGGCACCGCTTACAAAATAGAAAGCAGGCCAGGTCGTGATCCCCCAAAGAATGCTGGAGTGGGGTGAGAGGCATGGATGGTACACGGGTATTGGCTGATTTCCAACGGACCGAAGCAACGGGCCAGTAGCCATGTGGGGCTCGGAGAGTATCCCAGAAAAGTCTCCGAGGACTGTGGCCAACAAATTTCTATGGAAAGCTGGAAGAGGTCGATTGGTTAAACCTCCTACATTAAGTTAAAACCAAACATAAAAATAGGCAGTAGGACAGGCCGTCAGAGCCAGCAGGAGAGTTCCATGGGCTGGTTTGGCGCTCCAATAACTGACACAATGTATACTCGTTAACTTAACCATAACGTTAATTCACCACGGTAGCACTGTCATAATGAGGTGATTTGCTAAGCCACTTCTAATGTGAACATCCGAAAAAGGACTTACAGTCCTCTATACCACACTATCTTTAAGTTTGTATTTGACAAGTTCGCACTGTGTTGGTTCTCTCTGGCCTGTCTTGTGTAGTTGATCCCCTCCGTTCTTTGCAAAGATGGCCCAGCCTTATGACAGCGCCACCCGACATGGCCCTCAGGATATTGAAGGACTACCTTCTTCGGTCAATGTATATCACTACAATAGTATGGACGACTTTTGTCGGGTCATCTCACTTGAGCGTAGTCGTCTCTATAGCTCTTTACGCGCTGCACAGGGGAATTACGAAGGACGCCAGGACAATCTGCCACAGACGGAAGGCACCCACAGCGGTCACATTATCTTCATCATTCAACCTTCGATTTTTGCACATGACTTCCTTGATCCATCAGCAGATCTTCCCTTTCATGATAGGATATCCTTCAATCCAAAAACGAACTTCCTTATTGTGAAGATACTCTACCCAACGCACGAGCTAACCGCACGGGCTTTTGAAAACATGCTTAACTCGATGCTCCAGGAAAGGGGCCTACAAAACACGATTTTCCCATGGGGATCGACGACATTGACTGATGAAGATGACACATGCAAGGAACCAGACGGGGGATGGGGTCCACGAAGACCTCCTCGCGGAGCTCCTAAGAGGCCCTCGGTGGTTCTAGAAGTCGCATCGTCAGAGACTCCTGGAAAACTTCGCCGCGATTGCCACTACTGGGTAGATTCAGCAAGAGGACAGGCCAACATGGCTTTCGGAGTAAAAGTCCATGTAAACATTCCCGAAATCACCATCGAGCAGTGGGAGTGGAACTCGGAGGTCTCCCGACCCATCAGAAAACAATACCTCACGATCACGAAATCGAGATCCGATGGGAAAGTCGGCTTTGATCCCGAGCAGCCTGCACCGCAGCTCCTCATCCCCTTTCACCTTCTATTCCGACGACCAGCAGAGAATCACAGAGAACGTGACATAGTGTTTATGACACAAGACCTCGTCGAGTTCGGAACTTTGGTGTGGGACATGCAAGACCTGCAATTCGAGAATGAGTCAGAATAAACCGCTTTTTTTTCTGTATCGCGGGAAGCTTTTCTTTCTTCTTTTGTCTCTTCTTGCTTCTGTTGTCTCTTTTAACCTTGTATCCTTCATCAGTATCAAGAAGATTTTAATCAGACTTCTACTTTACAAGGGTGAATATCTAGGTCGTTATAGAATTGTAGATCTATAGATTATTGTGGTATACTACCAAGCTTAGGGTGATAGTATCTTACTTCAGTACAGTAGCAGGAGTCAAGGAAAGATAGAAGTATAGCCAAGTAGATGATTAAGGTCACAGGGAGTTGCGGAGCTCAGTGATACGAACATATCACAACATTGCATCATTGGAGGACTCGGAATACAGATGCGTGGAAAGAAATAGCACAAGATTGAAGCTATGAAGTTGAGGCTGCGATAGAGGTGGGGAGTGGGTTTATTCGTCAAATTGAAGTGATACCTTATAACATCAAAAGTTTTCGTATTTTCAGTAAGCATCTGATATGCACAAGTCCCGCTCGAGGTATATGTAAAGATAGTGATAGAAATCTCTTCTTCGTAGGTCCATTGAAGTCGTGAAATGCTCCCGCTGTCAATGGTTTAGCCAACTAGCGCGGACGCTTAAGGATGCCAGCATATTAAACTAAGAAACAAGCTTTGCCCTTAGGGATGAGGACATGATGACATGATGCCTTGACTCAAGGGAAAAATACCTCATCGGTGATCGTGAACATTCGACCCCTGTACATACTATGTTTATAGTTCGCAGCATTAAGGAAGCAAGATGGGCTCTTAGTTCATTCTAGAGCCTCGTCTTCAGTATCCGATCTTTCCTGGGAGATAGAATCCCGACAGCAACAACGGTGAAGGCAGATATGTATCCGAACTAGAGACCCCACTCACCGTGTCCTCGTATACTCCGTTATAATTCCCATTCCTGGCAAATAATGATGATGCTTCTAGCTGTAACACTAAGAAAGTAATATCTAAAAAAATGTAAATGAACATGTGAAAAGAACACGGGCGGATTGTTATTAGATATATAACGTCCCTCATGGGTTTAACTGTGACGATCCATGCTGGGTATTTCGGCCGAAATTATTCTGTCGCTCGTTACCGCTTCATTGTGTTTGCAGTTTTGCATTGGTGAAACAGGACCCACAAACCATTCACTCCACCAATGCCTTCCTTTCTTTCTTTCTCTCTCTGTACTTAGTATTATAGTTGAAATGCACTCTTTTGCTTAGAGAACTGGATAAATTAGATTATCCAAAGTCTTATGTGACCAACTGCTCTGACAATAACTATGTAGCCTAGTGTGTAGGACAGAAGACGAGGGACTATGCACATGTATATTTGCGTACATAATGCCTAGGTGATCTTATTTAACCTCGACCCGAAGATATATTGATGCGCTGGTCCCCAGCAGAAGGTCTCGAGAGCCGAAGGCTTTGTACATAGTGCTAATGATCCACTATAATTAGAACCCGTGCCTAGATTGCTATCTCCGCTAGATCCGAGTAAGATACTAGGTCTCGCTCGGGTTTAGTCTAGATGTCGTCTCCGGGGGGCTGTCGAGCTAACAAAGCCCGATAGGTTCTTAGCACTGCTTATAAGAGCCTCGATGCGTTATGGGAGATCGCATATTTCATCATAAGGGGAATGTTCGCAAAACTTTGTTCTTCCTATCACTATTATTCGTCCATGTCGTGGCCGTATAGAATTAGTCGGCTTTCGGCCTAGGCACCTCCGTGGCGGGTTTTAACTGGTAGTACATAGAAAAATCGTCGGTAAGGGTTATGCTTATTAGCGCATAGTAGAGTGGTAAAGCCAACATGGTCCTAGCCAATCAATAATTCCCTCTACGAGAAGAAAAAAAATATAAAAAGCACACAGTAGTGGTCCATGAAATAAAATAAAGGAGCAGAGGATGTGGACTGCCTAATGCCAAGACTCCAATCGGAACCTTGGCCACGCGAGCAAGGCGGTTAGTAAGCGGCTCGGACTCAAAAGGTGCCTCCGAACCCATTTTGTTGTCATCAATTTTATGAGTCTTACTGGGATCTATCACTTGGGCCCGCACAGAAATCTCGATGCTGCTAATAAAAAAATAATAATGATTTCGGCCTCGGACGTTCGGGGCCGCTTATCGGGGATCTCTGAAATTCTCATAAAAGGATGTAGTTCCCCTAAATTGGTATCTGCGTGGTCTCCTAATTGGCCTTTTTCAACACCTCTTCCTCATCTCTCTTCCCCGTCATCATGGAAGGGCCAGAGAAAGCCCAGGGCGGGAGCTCTCACGAGCTACAATTCGACAGCGAAAGTGCCATGACAGTCATGGGTGACGAAACTATAGAGACCCCCAGTCCCAAAGGAAATGACTGGAGCATGATGACCAAGCTCCAGGAGGATAGCGATCGCAACCTAGCTGCTGGATTCAGAAAGCAGGAACTTGGTATCACCTGGAAGGATCTCTCCGTGCATGTAACAAGCTCAGAAGCTGCTGTCAATGAGACTGTTCTATCCCAGTTCGATATCCCTACCAAAATCAGAGAGAGCCGACGAAAGCTTCCTCTCCAAACGATCCTCAACAAGAGTCATGGCTGCGTGAAGCCCGGCGAAATGTTGCTTGTCTTGGGCCGCCCGGGCTCTGGCTGCACCACATTGCTGAAAATACTGGCCAACAGACGAGCAGGATACAAATCAGTGGAGGGCGAGGTTCGCTTTGGATCAATGCAACCCAAGGAGGCTGAACAGTTCCGAGGCCAGATTGTGATGAACACCGAAGAAGAGATATTTTTTCCTACCCTCACAGTCGGTCAAACTATGGACTTTGCCACACGTCTCAAGGTACCCTTCCATTTGCCAGACGGTATGACTGCGAAGGAATACCAGCAAGAAACGAAGAAGTTCCTCCTCCAATCCGTCGGTATCTCTCATACTGAGGATACCAAGGTCGGCAACGAATACGTTCGTGGAGTCAGCGGTGGTGAACGCAAGCGAGTTTCCATCATCGAATGCATGGCCAGCCGAGGATCCATCTACTGCTGGGATCAATCGACTCGTGGCCTTGACGCTTCTACTGCCCTCGAATGGACGAAGGCTATCCGAGCTATGACTGACACCCTCAATCTATCAACCGTCGTCAGTCTTTACCAGGCTGGTAATGGCATTTACAACATGTTCGACAAAGTTCTCGTGCTTGACGAAGGAGAGCAGATCTTCTACGGTACCAGAGAGCAAGCCAGGCCATTCATGGAGGAAGCCGGGTTCCTTTGTCGCGAAGGTTCTAACGTCGCCGATTACCTCACTGGTGTTACCGTACCCACCGAGCGCAGAGTTCGCGATGGCTTCGAGAACCGCTTCCCGCGCAACGCCGAGGCCCTGAGAGCCGCATATGAAAACTCACCAATATATACCCAAATGATCGCAGACTACTCTTACCCGGACTCCGACCTTGCCCGTGAGCGGACAGAGGAGTTTAAGCAGGGTGTGCTGTATGAAACTTCCAAAAACTTGTCCCAGAACAGCCCCTTCACCGTTGCCTTCATTGATCAGGTTAAGATCTGTGTGCAGCGCCAGTACCAAATTCTTTGGGGTGACAAAGCTACCTTCATCATCAAGCAGGTGGCAACACTAGTCCAGGCCTTGGTTGCTGGCTCCCTGTTCTTTGATGCCCCCGATAACTCTGGTGGACTATTCATCAAGTCCGGTGCTATCTTCTTCTCCCTTCTTTACAACAGCCTGCTCGCCATGAGTGAAGTGACCGAGTCCTTCTCTGGAAGACCGGTGTTGATCAAGCACAAGGGCTTCGCTTACTTCCACCCGGCTGCTTTCTGTCTTGCCCAAATCGCTGCGGACATACCTGTATTGCTTTTCCAAATTTCCATGTTTGGTCTGGTTCTCTACTTCATGGTAGGACTCACAATGACCGCTGGAGCATTCTTCTCTTGGTGGATTATCGTGTTCACAACAACAATGGTAGGTATCTTCTTCCACTTAGCTCACACGGATGTCAACTAATCGCTACACAGACCATGACTGCGCTTTTCCGAGCTGTGGGTGCTCTTTTCAGTACCTTTGATGGAGCATCGAAGGTGTCCGGTTTACTCATCATGTGCACCGTTCTCTACACCGGTTATCAGATCCCAAAGCCTTCAATGCATCCTTGGCTTGGCTGGATTTTCTGGATCAATCCCCTTGCCTATGGGTTTGAGGCTATGCTGAGTGTTGAATTCCATGATAAGACCCACATTCCATGCGTCGGCACGAATCTCATTCCCAATGGCCCTGGATATGAGAATGTCCAAGCACACCAAGCTTGTGCCGGTGTGGCCGGTGCGATCCCAGGCCAGAACTTCGTGGTAGGCGAAAACTACCTAGCATCGCTTTCATACAGCTACTCGCATGTTTGGCGCAACTTGGGCATCAACTGGGCCTGGTGGGCTCTGTTTGTTTTCATCACGATCGTCGCAACCACGAGGTGGAAGTCACCATCTGAGGCCGGTAGCGTGCTGGTTATCCCTCGTGAATATTTGCACAAACACATCAAAAGTAACCAGAATGATGAGGAAGGCCAGAGTTCAGAGAAGAGGGTCTCCCAAACCAAGGATGAGTCTCCGAAGCTTGACAATCAGTTGGTCCGTAACACCTCCGTCTTCACATGGAAGAATCTTTCATACACAGTGAAAACGCCTACTGGTGACCGACTCCTCCTTGACAACGTCCATGGATGGGTGAAACCCGGCATGCTTGGTGCTTTGATGGGCTCCTCTGGAGCTGGTAAGACAACTCTGCTTGATGTTCTCGCCCAGCGCAAAACTGAAGGAACTATTCATGGTTCTATTATGGTTGACGGTCGTCCATTGCCTATGTCATTCCAACGCTCAGCCGGATATGTTGAACAGCTGGACATCCATGAACGCATGGCAACGGTTCGGGAATCATTGGAGTTCTCTGCCCTTTTGCGCCAACCAGCTACGACTCCACGCGAAGAGAAACTTGCTTACGTGGATGTTATCATTGACTTGCTCGAGCTTCATGATCTGGCTGATACCATGATCGGTAGTGTGGGAGCTGGATTGAGTGTCGAACAACGCAAGCGTGTCACTATCGGAGTTGAGCTTGTATCTAAGCCCAGCATTCTGATCTTCCTCGACGAGCCTACCAGTGGTCTTGATGGCCAGAGCGCGTACAACACCGTCAGATTCCTTCGCAGACTCGCAGACGCTGGCCAGGCTGTCTTGGTCACCGTTCACCAGCCATCCGCACAGCTTTTCGCCGAGTTTGACCAGCTTCTTCTTTTGGCCAAAGGAGGCAAGACTGTTTACTTCGGACCCATTGGAGAAAATTCACAGGACATCAAGAAGTATTTCGCGCGAGAAGGAGCGCCATGCTTGCCTGAGACTAACCCTGCTGAGCACATGATCGACGTCGTTTCGGGTCAATTGAGTCAGGGTAAAGATTGGAACAAGGTTTGGCTGGACTCACCTGAACACGGTTCCATGCTCAAGGAGCTTGACGATATCATTGAGACCGCTGCATCGAATCCGCCTGGTACCACCGATGATGGTCGGGAATTTGCTACCAGCCTCTGGGAGCAGACAGTTCTAGTCTCGAAACGTACCTCAACCGCCTTGTTCCGAAACAGCGACTACATTAATAACAAGTTTGCCCTCCACATCTCGACCGGCCTGTTTGTTGGCTTCAGTTTCTGGAAGATTGGTAACTCTATCACGGATCTTCAGGTAGTCTTATTCTTCATCTTCAACGCCATCTTTGTCGCGCCCGGTGTGATCAATCAATTGCAGCCGACCTTCCTTGAGCGCCGTGATCTGTTTGAGGCACGCGAGAAGAAGGCCAAGATGTACTCCTGGAAAGCGTTCACTGTTGCCTTGGTTATCTCGGAGGTGCCCTATCTGGTTATTTGTGCCGCTCTTTTCTTCAACTGCTGGTATTGGCTGGGCGGTATGCCCGTTGATTCTAGCAAGAGCGGTAGCATGTTCTTCGTGTTCCTTCTCTACGAGTTCCTCTACACCGGCATTGGTAAGCTGACCCGTCTATCTGATATCGAAGTCCACTAACAGATAACCCTAGGTCAATTCATCGCTGCGTACGCACCCAACGCTGCCATGGCTGCCATGATGAACCCTCTCATCCTCGGCGTAAGTTTTCTTTGTTCTCGCCCTTTATGATATTTCAGCTAACACCACGCTACTCAGATCATGATCTCTTTCTGTGGTGTCTTGGTCCCCTACGCCCAAATCGTCAGCTTCTGGCGGTACTGGATCTACTGGCTCAACCCTTTCAACTACCTCATGGGCAGCATGTTGGTATTTGGAGAGTTTGATCGCGAAGTCCACTGCAGGGAGCAAGAATTTGCCAAGTTCAATGCGCCCAATGGACTCACTTGCGGTGAATACCTGAGCGATTTCATGCAGACCATGGGCACCCGTATGAACCTTGTCAACCCCGAGGCCACCGAATCATGCCGCGTGTGCCAATACACCCGTGGATCTGATTACCTTGTCACCGTCAACCTAATGGACTACTACTACGGCTGGAGAGACACGGGCATCGTCGCTCTGTTTGTTATCAGCTCGTATGCGCTGGTGTTTGGTCTCATGAAATTGAGAACCAAGCAATCCAAGAAGGCCGAGTGATTGCGGTTGAACTTTCAGGTGTATGGATTGACAACCTTTTCAACATTCACTCTCTATAGACTTGCATTTCCTTTCCTTTCTTTTCTTCCTATGCGAACACCAAATGGTGCGAGCGCGTGTCCCTTTTCTTCTTCTTTGCAGGTAGCTACAGAACCTACGCATCTATACATCTACACTCACATAAATACTCATTTGAACTTGAATATATATTAATTGATATTATTATCTTGCAATTTAAAAGTTAAGGGAAAACACCACTATCAAACATGCCGAGGATAGCGAAACTCATCCCGAGATAGGAGTTACGCCGGCCAAGGCCCAGGGACACGGAGAAAGTGCGAGACCTGGAAGAAAAAAAAATAAAAATAAAAATAAAAAAATAGCAAAGCCTAATAGAGCCAGTAATCGGCATAGAGAAATAGATACGGTACATTTACCCCGTGAATGCTGAATTCCGGAGAAACGTGGGGGTAACTTTGCGGGGAACTCCAAATTTGGAGATTTAACGAGAAGATCATGTCGGATGACGAGGTTGACGTTGTATGATAGGGAGATGCAAATCACGGGGGACCCCCACGGTGCACAATCGGCCGACACCAGCCTGTGATATTAAGAATCCCAAGAGCGATATGATGATCCTTTACCCCAACCAATCTCGCCAAGCCTGGCCTCTTGGGCTTCCACTTTGAGCTTTTCTTGAATTTACCTCGGACAAAGTCCGTGATCAGCCGAGTTCTAAGCGATACCTCCTCTATTAGTGAATCTCAAACTTGTAATATCGTCATGCCATGGTCCATGCGGCTCTCTCATATAAATGAGTGCTGCCCCCGGGACATTGTCCCTATCTGTACTCCGTATTATTCATCCGATCTGTCACCATGGTTGGAACTGAAAATGCCATCAGCGAGGCCGAATTGGGTCCGAAGATGGATTTGACTCATCAGGAAGTTGTTCACATGACAGAGTTGAGCCCAGAGGATAAAGTCATCGAGAAGCAATTGCGCAAGCGCATCGATGCCCTAATTATGCCACTGGCTATTTTGGTCTACCTGATGAATTATATCGATCGGTAGGTTTGTCTCATACCTAAGAGTCGGTCTATTCTAATGGAACTAGCAATAATTACGCTGCAGCGAAGCTCCAAGGTCTTCAGGAGGATCTCGACCTCGACGAAACAAAATACCAAACCGGTCTCTCTATTCTCTTCGTTGGATACATTCTCATGCAGGTGCCTTCCAACATGCTTCTGAACTACATGGGTCGACCATCCCTCTATATTGGATTCTTCGTCACCGCTTGGGGACTGGTCTCAACCGTGACAAGTCAAGTGACAAGCTATGGAGGCATTGTGGCTTGTCGATTCATTCTTGGTTTGGTCGAAGCGCCCTTCTTCTGCGCCATCCTCTTTTATCTGTCCAAATGGTATACAAAGAAGGAATTGGCTTTCCGAATGAGTATCTTTTACTCCGGCTCCCTGTTGAGTGGAGCTTTCGGAAACCTCATTGCCGCAGGTATTCTCAACGGTCTCAAAGGCCAGCGAGGACTTTCCGCATGGCAATGGCTTTACATTATTGAAGGTTCCATTACCTGTGCTATTGGACTGGTCATTTGTTTCGTTCTACCCGACTTCCCGGAGACATGGAAGATGTTGGACCCGGAGATGCGCCGAGTCGCCCAGCGTCGTCTCGCCATTGAGGCGGGTCAGGCCGATGTGGATGAAGGAGGTAGCAAAAGCCAGTTCGAGGGTTTCAAACTTGCCATGACCGACATCAAAACATATGCCTTCGCCTTGGCGTATATGTGCATCACGGGAGCCTCGGGTTTCCAAAACTTCTTCCCTACATTGGTAAAGACTCTCGAGTTGCCCGAGACTATTACTCTGGTGCTCGTGGCACCCCCATATCTCTTTATGGTCGTATACTCCCTTTGCCACTCGGTAGTCTCCGATAGACTGGAGAAGCGATTCTGGTTCTTCGTCTACCCGATCCCGATCACGATCATTGGATTCGTCGTCTTCATGAAAACCGAATCTTTTGGAGCACGATACTTCTCATTCTTCTTGATGATCTTCGTCTTCGCCCAGAACGGAACTCTATACTCCTGGCTTGCGAGCTCAATTCCTCGTCCACCTGCCAAGCGTGCTGTCGGTAAGTCATATTCCCTTTATATATATATATATATACCATGGCCATGAAGCTAACCAAGACAGCCTTTGCATTTTTCAACTCAATTGGAAACAGCGCTTCCATTTGGACGCCCTATACGTACATTGAAAAGGAGCAACCTACTTACGAAACGGCAATGGGTGTTTGCATTGCGTTGCAAGTGATTGGTGGTCTTGCGGCCCTCTTCTTATACTTCAACTTGAACATGCTCAACAAACGCCAGGAGCGTATGGAGAATGAGGAAGTTCAGCTTACCGAGAAGGATATTCGTCGGCTGCAGGCGACCGCTGATGTTGAGGGGATTGATATTGCTGCCGCTAGACGGCTGCAGAAGGGATTCCGCTATGTGTTGTAGAAGCATTTAGTATATATACATACATATATGGTTTAATTTGATTCCTTAAATCAAGCATTTTGACTTGATGATTGTCTATGAATATTGGACCACAGAACAATTTGACCAGATGTACCCCGTAGCAGCCCCATCCTGGTGCAATGGAATGGAGTCCGAGTGGTACGATATATTCTCCGGATTTCCCAATGCGTCCAGACTCAGACATCATCCAATCATGGGATACATCAACCCATATGTGGTCACCTGACTCAATGAAGTCATTACCATTTAAATAGTCTGAACTGCATCACATATTCCTCTATTATCTCTCAAATTATTCACAATCCAATATCTGAACCCGACACCAAGTACACTTCCAAGTACATAATCGGACACAGTGTGACCGACATCTCAAGCTCCACATCGCTTAACTGATCGACATAAACCCCACGTTTCACCATGCAAGCAACTACGCGACCTATTCTCCGTATCACTACGAATCCAGCTCTTCTCCGATCCCTATCCACTACCCCAAGAATCATGGGTGCAGGTGATCTAGGTTCGACAAAGTCGGGCTTCATGGCCGAGTAGGGGACTCACTGTAAAATCGATGACGTCATGTTTAACCATTTCCAACAGGAAGGACGCTTTCGCCAGACGCGAGGCTGCACACGAAGCCATGTACATTCGGGAAAAAGAAATGGAAAAGTGAGTTTCAATAACGAACGTACAGGATATAAGCTTATCAGGTGATAGGCTTGAGCGTCTCAAAGCAAAGGTCAGGGAGCAGCGCAAGCATATGAATGAACTGGACAAACACATGTAGGGATCCTGCATTTTCCCCGTGAGGGCCACACTAACAGGTCACAGTGATGAATACACTAAGAGTCAGGGGGGCGAACAGAACTAGATTTGCCAGCCTCTCCTAAACGATCGAGCTCACCCGGGACATCGACATGCGCTACAGTGCCATAATAATTTTTAACCCTTTGTACACGATAATTTTCTATCCTAGCGCTATTATGAATTGAAATGCAAGATCGAATTTCAACTTTCATGAGATCCCTCTCTATTTCCTTCATCCGCTTTAGATCTTTGCCTGCCATCTCCACCGGTAGCTCAAACAGGCCCATCTTGCCATCACGAACAAACCAAGTGAGACTATCAGGACACTTCCCAAGTATGCCACCATAGCTCTTTTTCCGACCTTGTCGAGCATCTCACCGCCAATGGGGATACAGATTAGTGTGCTAAATATTCATTAGCGACAGACTACCAACAGGGTTTTAATGACATACGCAAAGCTGACAATGGAATATGTCAACCCAAATCTTCCACCAACCTCGCTCGCCTTGGAGATCTGTCCGATACAGGCCGGCGCAAGGCTCAGGAAGGATCCCGAAGACAACCCAAAGATAACCGAGAACATATAAAGGCCGACAAGGGAGTTGCCAAATGGTAGCCAGATTACAAACACTGCGAATGCACCCACAGCGATGAGTGCAGTCTGCGTGTTGATTCTACCAAACCGATCGGCCACACCTCCAGCTACCAATCGTCCTACCGTGGAGGCTCTGTGCCAAACCAGTCAGCGCTTTTTCTGAGAGACGACCAACATCGATTGCCACTTACATGTTCAGAACGGCGAGAAGAATGACACTGGTATTGGTAGAAAACCCTTGCATGATGACATAGGTTGGATAAAGACCCAGACCAGCGAAAACCTCGAGCTCGAGACCTATTCCAAGTCAGCATTTCTTTTCTTCCACCGTCCGAATCCTGGACCGAAATCAACTCACCAAAAATGCCCAGCGTCAGCCAGGTAAACCTCGCATCTTGCAAAGAACGCAAATTGACAGTTGATTTACTCCTGCCCTTCGGAAGACGCGCCTTCACCAGAACTGTGCCAGCCACACACAATACCAACACTACCGATGCCAGCAATCGAATTGTCCACTTATATCCAAGGCTCGTGAATCCAGCTCTGAGCACAAATGGAAACACCACACCACCAAGACCCGCGCCTGCCATCGAAATCCCAATAGCAAGGGCAGCCTTTCGATCGAACCATTGAGGCACACTAGCCAACGCCACTGTACTCAAGAGTGCAGCACCAGTTCCAGAGAGCACACCAAGACTAAGAACAAAATGCCAGTAAAGACGGCTTTCGGCGAGAAGAATAAGACCAGTCACATAGCATACAGTGCCAGTCACAAGAATAGCCTTAGGGCCGTATCGATCAAACATCGGCCCAACCTGGACAGAAATACTCAGACCAAAGAATGTGAACAGTCCCGGGATCCAGCCAATTGCACTAGGCGAGTAACTGGCCAGCTGATGAGTAGCGAAGTAATTTTGCAGAATTCCTGTCGTGTTCATTACACCAAAGGTAGCCATTAAGAGGCAAAATGAGCCTGCCACAACACACCATGCTTGCAGTCCTCCATCTGGGAATGTGTTGTCGGTACTATGACCGGTGAGATGAGTGGTGAGCGTGGATAGCTCGGCTGGGGGTTCGATAATGGAAAATGCCGACCGGGGAGCTTCTTCGTCCAAGTTTGAGTTGTGACCGGTGGGATACTCAGTGGGATAATCGACTACGCTTCTCGAAGCCGATTGCCATGGCTCTTGCGCTGGCTCTTGAAAAGTTGCGGTAGCGGACTTTTGCATGATATTCCTAAGCCTCAGTGAAAGTGATAGGGACTAAGGTGATACGTTGGAACTTCAACAATTTGTACAAAATATCCAGAATCTCAAGTGACTCATAACGATAAAAACTTGCATTAGTCTCCCGGATTTGGTGGGGGTAGTATCCCGAGGTCCTGTTTGAGTCTTTGGTGTACACGCATTCCGATGTGGGACATGTCGCGATCAAGAGGATATACGTATTTTGGTTCGTTGGACGAATCACCTTAGTGTCTCACATGCATTTCGTAGTTGTTATTGCATTTCTTTAATTGAGCGATATGATATTATCACTTCGATAGTTACCACCATCGGCTCCCTTCCCGTTTCACCATCGGCTCCCTTCCCGTTTCACCATCGGCTCCCTTCCCGGGATCACTTGGCACCGAGTCGGAGTCCATGAAAGGAAATTGCCAAGAATGCTTATAAACTAGATTCCTCCTAATATATATTAGAAAGGAGATAATAGATAAGATTCTAGACTACTGGAGGCCTTAATTAGTAGTAGATAACATAGAGTCTTAGCTCCTATATATATTCAAGATAAACGTAATCATTTTTCGCGGAGATCATACACTTATAACTATCCCCGTTAAATATTGTGAAGGGAAATGGCGGTGAAAACTGACTAAGCGGAATATCAAATAAGCAATGTCACATTCACATTGTCGCTTGCTGAAATCACAACACAAGTGTCAAAAGATTTTAGCAGCACTTTCCATTGGCGGTCGTCCCATTGGAGGAGCACCCATTGAGAATCTGTGGCGCCCGGGAGTCATCCAAGCGGCAGAAGCACGACGAAGTCACTGGAACATCCGCCACGGCCAGGGCCAACTGAAGCGGCTGCTCAATTACAGCCGCTTCGTCTACCCTCCCCAGTCGAATCAGACACTCATGGTATCCCTGCAGCGACCAGACATTGTTAGGGTGCCGACGCGGCCGGATCACAGAGTGGTCCAAACCCAGGTCCGCGCGATATATCTGTGCTGCGTCTTCCAGATGGCCCTGCTCCATTAGCAGGGCAGCATATGCGTGGCGGACAGGTTGCATCCACGACCACGGCTCGCTATATGGCAAGTTATCTTCAAGATCGATCGCTTGACGGAGAGACGCAAAGGCCGTAACGTAATTGGCGCAACGGTATTCGATTTCTCCTTCCAGCATGGCTGCGGCCACCTTGAGAACGTCGACCAGTTTGCCATTGTAGGCGCGGCGAGTCTCGGGGACACGAGTCCAAGCTTGATTGAACAGCTGCTGTTCCTCTCGGGCTGTAGTCACATCTCCTGTGGCGGCGAACGCTATACCCCTAGCATAGTGAGTGACAGCAGTGGTAGCTGCAAATAGTGTGCAATCGTGGGGCAACTCCTTGCGTTTAAGCTCTTCCCACATCCCAAACCGCACCATCACATGTAAACGGATAGACATGAATTGTTCCAGCCAGTCAGCCATAGGGGGAGACTGGATGCGAAGGACTTCCTCAGGCACGGTGGATTCCATGCGGGTGACCGCATCAAGGGCCGTCTCCTTTTTGCCGGCAAACATGGCCGCGTAGACTAAGGAGTGATAGTCGTGAAGGCGGTAAAACGTATAGAAGTTTTTCGCGCCTGATTTTCGGAAATATTTATCATCGGCGAGAGTCGATTTATAGTTCGAAGAGATAGAGCGCCGCCAATCACCGACGAGAATATCCAAGTGTGTCGGCATGTGGTGGATGTGACCAGCGTCAGGGACGAGGTCCCGTAGGTGATCGGCAGCGTTGATACCCAGCTCGGGAGTGGGTGACATTTCGATGAAGTGAATGTACAGGTGAAGCAGCCCAGGGTTCAGATATGCACCATCCTGCCCTTGCGCGAGCGCCCGGTCTAACACGACTTTCACCTCCATCGTAGGGGCTTGGGGGTTCGGTTTGCCGGTGAACAGATCCCACAGGGCCCAGGGGGTCATGTTCATCAACGCATCGGCATATAGGGTGGCAATATCCAAGTCATCTTTAAAAGCGTCATACACCGGCTTCATGGCAGCTGCATAGCCTTTGTTGAGGGCTGGGTAGTCCATTGCAGGCTGAGGGGACGGGAATCGGAATTGGATCGCGTCAATCAGAGCTTGTTCGAGTGGAGTTGCGTTCACCGCGAATTTCTTTGCCGCTCGGGATGCATCATAGCCGCGCTGCACAGATGTGTGGAGGTCACCTAGGTCGAACTTCTCCCACGGCTTGTTATAGTTTGGACCGACCGAGTAAGCGAGACCCCAATACGCCATGGCGCATACAGGGTCGTGTGCAATGGCCTGCTCAAAGCAGTAAGAACCTTCCACATGATTGAACGAGTATACCCATATCAGACCCCGATTGAACCAGGTCTGAGCGTCGGCGCTGGTGGTGGTGATGATGTGGCCGAACAAGCCAAGGTCGTAGTACTCGTCGCTGGCCTGGACGGCCGCAACACCTTGACCCATTGTTTGAAAGAGGGAATCGAAATCAAAGTGAATCTCAAACAGCGAAAACGCAGGGCGTAGGGGTTATATAGCTCGAACCGCATCCGATCATGCCACGCGTTTCCATTTCATCGCCGAGATCAATGACCGAAGTGGAGTGGGACGAGTTGCCAATCCAATAAACACATTTATTTGTCAAAGTCCCAAGGTTATCCATAGATTTACGTATTATACCATGCCGATCATGTGACCTCGAGTGCCGTACCATATATTACGTTTAGTCATCACCGCTGAGATTGTTGAAATACAGTCTTCAATATCTGCCATTTTTACCATACATTGGTCGTACGCCTGATTGTAATTATTTCCTCATGGTATTAATGAACACCCAAGTTGCCGAGAGTTCCCGATACAAGCTCGGCCGCGAATATCCTCGTTGGTGGTTGGAATCTTTGATCTCCTTAACTATCTATTCCAGAACCTCCTGGTGTATTTCTCCTTTTAATTGAAACCCGCAATAATACCTTCAACGCTCTCGGCATGAGTACAGTCGGCGGGGTATCTTTAGAGCAATACGGAAAGACAATATTTGATAAATATCTCCGCATATAACTAGCAATTACAGATCTCTCTGCTGGCAGAGATGTACAGCACTCGAGAGAAAGTATATTCCAAGATTTTACTTATAGACCTACAGGTACGATTCAATCTACCACAGTCCAATAGATCATCTCGTAGGGCAAGATATTTAGATGTCGATCACAACTATACGCTCGAATGCTCCATTTGATAAGCTCCACGTCCCCCCATATCTTGCAGATTTCTAGTTTTGCTGGGCGGGGACGGAAACCGTATGCTGCAGTCCCCGGCCATAGGAGTTTGTCGGGCGCTACCTCGTTAACTCTGTTGATATCGGCGTTCTTCGTGGTGGCTGGAGCACTTCATGTTGGTGGTTACTATGCTTCACGTTGATCAATAGTTCAAGGCAACGGTTACATTGGCACACGGTACATGCTCATTACAGCGGATGTTTGAGTTTTGGGTTGTCATTTATTAATGTCAGCTTGATCCTTTGCATAGATCCCCCGAATCATCGGTCACATACCAACCAGACATGGACAATTCCGGAGGCCTAGGAGGGATCAGAATTATTCTGCCTCGTCCGTTCATTTTCTGCCATATGGTTTCCGCCCCCGCTCAGCAAAACTAGAAATCAAAGGGTAGCGTGGGATCTGGCGGAAGGTGGAAGGAGAAGAGTTGATTCGGCGTCTTCGGTGTTTGGCCGATTATTGGTGGGCTGTTGGCTAAATGGGTAATTGCTTCGGTGTTTGAAATGGTCTCGGGCGGATCGCGAGCAGTGCATTTCAAACGGCACTGATCTATGCTGCCGCTGCGATAGAATGTAGCCTTACTATCCAAAAAGACAGCCCAGCAGCTTTAGCTGGCATTTTACTCATGGCACAAGTTGCCCTTGGACGATCGCTCAAAATCACGGATATTACTACTGCGATGGCTACAGCAGCCATCACTGATGTCGCAGAAGACCTTTTCGCAACGTAGATATTTTCGTTACGTCTGACCATTCCTGAGCTCTGGCTTCGTATAGAACGAGCTCGACCTTAGCGATATACGTAGCGAGGGATTCGTCGGTAAACAGCTAAATTGAAAGGAGACGGCCTTCGGCTTCTCATGTCTTATTTGGGTTGTCGTACACAAGTCGAAGTGGCTAGTCTGTCGATAGAAATTTGCACGCGAAGTAGAAGCTTGCTGCTGGTGGAGGGTTTGAGTATGCTGAGACTAAGCTTGAATCTCGCCTCAAAAGTTATCGATATTGGCGGCGAATTCGGCGCGAAGCTCTGCACGTAACTATTAAATTTTTTCATTCATATTGACGAGGATCAAAAGGAGGAAGCGAGGTAAAAAGGCTTGCTCTGGCACCTATGTCTGAAATGTCAAAAAAGAAGAAAAAAATGTAAGGTTGGTTCAGATATGAAGGATCTAAACAGCTTCTCGCAACTGCTTACTGAATGTCCCGAAGCAGCCCATTCTCTAGTTCACAATCTGAGATTTATCACGTCACCGAGCTATCTAAAGAGAAAAAGGGCCTCTATCGAGAGTGTCCTCAAAACAATAGAGAGTCCTCCATACGGTGCGCGAAGCAGGGGGCCAATTCTTATACTACAACCCGTTGTAGAAGGGTTTCTACTTTTATGTTACGTGCCAGTTCAATCAACAAGAAAGACTTATAGCAGAGCTATCCCAGCAAGCAAACAACATCTTTCCTAATTAGGAAGTATGATATTACCCGAATAGGAATGGTAACAAACCGAGAACCGAAAAAAGGAAGCAAGCAAAGCATGTAATCACGTAGATCGTGACAATTTCGAGTGGAATTTACCATTGATCTGCACTTTTATAGTATCCGAAGCTTTCGACCTATTTATTGAATATCAGTTACTGTGGATTTCAGCAGCGAGTGACCATAAGTGAACATTTTATCCATCCATTTTAGGATAACCTTTGCAGAATTATGCTAGTGTAGCACTAAATTTGCTGCTGTGATAGTACTACAGCATTTTTCCTTATAAACCTAGAAATCAGTCGTTGTCGAATAGGATTATGTTGTATATGTATATCGTAGGAGGTGGGTGAAGATCAGTGGCATGACACTCTCGCCACCCAATCCCCACCCCCCAAGATCCGCGTCAAATATCCCGATTTCATCCACTACAAAGTGGCATGATTGGGAAGCCAGGTGACGCTGTAATGATATCGGTTATGAACCACTCTTTTTGGCATAGCTAGCATATATCTACCCTATTTCTCTTCATATCTAAAATCTACATACATCAATTAAGATCCCCAAAATGTCCACAACACAATGCACCAGGCTGTTCGCCAGAAACATTCCTCAAGTCAGGCGAGGACGCCAATTACAAAGTCCTCGTGTCACCCTCGTTGGCACTCCAACCCCAAGTCAAAACCCTACCATTGACTCCGACCGTTTACCATATCGACTCTACGAACTCTCGCTAAGGAAGATCCGACAAGAGGCCCACGCTCGTGAACCCGATCTACGCCATGTCATCGCCGGCCTCGCAATGCAAAAAGTGGTTTCCACTGCCGTGCATGATGATCTTCTACACCGAGTCGACATGATCGAAACCACAAAACCACCAAGACTACCCATCTTTCCAGGTGCCGATGAGCCCTGGGAGCATGAAGAAATCACCCCATGTCAAACATCAAATCCAAATGCATGGGATATTGCATCTCTCGATCAAGCGCTTTGCGAGATGGAACGCGCGAGCAAGAAAGGAGATGTCGCAAAAACTGTTTGTTTTCAACTAATTAGTGATATGTAACTATTCAAGATCAAATTTATACCAACGATTGCAATGACCCATTCGAAACTGTTCTTTGAGTGAGATTCAATCCACCGTTAGACTGATGCTATGGATCTTGTTATCATATCGCATCACATTTGTACATCACCTTGCTCACTCTAAGCCCTCCTCTACCCTCCTACAAAGTATTCGCCTCACTTGAGTCTCTGGCTTTTGTCACTTCTCTCGCTTTCGTGTTGGACATCTCGCAGTTTGATCCGTCCTCTCTCTCACTATTCATTGATCCTATATATACTTACTATCTCTGCTGAGACCACTTTTCTTTCCTCAAACCCGACTCGCTACTTACTACTTGTCACTTAGCGCCTTTCTTCTTGACTCACCACCTTCTTTTCCTGACTCAACAACTTCTGTCCTCTTGAAAACCTGTGTATCATTACTATGGATTACTGCAGTGTCTAACCTTGCCCGAAGGAACGATCAAATCTGAAGCATCACCGCAGCGCTCAGTCATGCCTGAAGAAACTGGGTGGTGTTACACTTGCAATAGTGGGAAACCAATGGATTGCTTTCGGGCACCCAAAGCTTCTGGGCGGGAGTTCTACAAACTGTGTGAAGCTTGCCGCACAAAGTATCGAGATGTAAGTACATCAGGTGTCTAGAAGGGCAGCATATTACGCTTGCTTATCAGGCGCAGACTAAACGCACACAGAGATCGCGAGCTAAAAGGGCCAAGAGAGACGGGGGGCGAGTTCGGCCGTATTATCTTCACGAATCAGGACCGCAAACTAACGCCTACGTCGGCGAGTCACAGACTGGATATACCCCTGGAAGCACTGGTGCTGCACCGATCACCGCAATGCCTGAGCAACTGAACCATGTACACCCAAATTCCGGCCACCGTAGTTCTGTCACAATTGCACCGCCCGCGGTCGAAAGATCTGCGCAAAGCACAACAACAACTACTGTCATCACCATTTCAACCACTACTGTCTCCACAAATACGATGGAAATCCCAACCAAACCAGCGGAGGACGAAAAATCCGCACAAGACCGCCCCCCAGAGGCCAGTAAGCAAGATCTAGAGTCACTTGCAAGTAGATCAGGATCCGAGCCGCAAAGCGAGAGCTGTGGAGGTTCAAACCAGCGTCCTGAGCTCTTTGGCTGTCTGCATTGTGAGAAACTTTTTCCGTGGCCAATGGCAGCGCTTCATATTTGTTTGCTCTGTATCCGAGAGTGGAAGTGGTGTGCGAAAGGAGCCCACAACCAAGCGAAGGCGAACTTCTTGTGGGAGTGTGTTATTTTACGGGCATCTAATACTTCCTTGCGTAGCATGGAGAGTGCAGGATTTGTATCTCCACGTGAAGCACCTATGCCCAGAGTGCATGGTAGCTTCATTCCTGATTTTCTTCTTCTCAGTATCCTTAGTATTAATTTGATACGCGATTTGTATGTATTGAAAGATATTGGAGATTGGATCCTTGCAGACTGCATAAGAACAAATTGACGAGGGTATACGATTCTTCTCTTTCGGTGTGTCTTTTTCGACGTCTTTCGGGAGGTCTTTCGGGTCATTCGCCAACTACAAAAAACACCTCAATGTCTAACCTGTATATAGGTCAAAGAAACGAGAATTTAGACAGGCTTGCAACGTAGCTACTGACATACCAAATATCGAGACATGTGTATTGAGATGCTGATGAAATTAGACGGAAAGCAGAAGATCTGAATGTGTTGATAGACATACCACTGCACGTGACAGTCATCAAACTCAGGGGGCTCAGTCAATGTTGTGATTCTTACCAATTCGTACAATGTACAATTTTGAGCTCGCAATTTATCCATTTGGCTATCTTGACTGCCTCATCTCCATACGTAACCAGCAGTGTCCTGCAAAATATACTCCAATCAAAACCACTGAATTCAGGCCCAGTCGTAATGGCGGAGTCCCTCCACCGACTCACTTCCACGTACCTATCACAACCTCCGGAGGCGTGCGCTAATACCTCCTGAGAGCAAGACGGTCCACCCTAACGGTAGCAGATCTCGGACTCCCTCGTCCCAAATCTCGTTCGCCTAAATCCTGCCGTGTCGTTGGCTCGGGATGAGGAACCATTCCCTTCTTCCCCCCTCTGAGCTTCCCTTGCCGCGCCGCTATGGTCGGTGATACGCGATTTGTCCCCGACTCACGAGTCAGAAAGGCTCCGAACCGTCAGTCGCGGTCTTGTAAGGTCTGCCGGCTCCGGAAAGTCAAGGTCCGTTACCCCCGTCCTCGTGCTCAGATCGCTCTTGGGGCCGGGACGCTCCCGCACCCATCTGATGCGTCCCACTGGTCGTAAACACATCACCCGTAAGGCTAACATGGATCCTGCTGTCAGTGTGACCGAGTCAAGCCCTGCCACGCCTGCTGTGCTCATGGCTACCCGTCCAAATGTGTGTATGAGCACGTCCCCGACGAAGAGGCCCACCCCATCAGCCAAGCGGAGGAGATTCGGAACCTACGGGCGGAGATCCGCGACCTTCGTGGAAGAATAGATGACAAAACGCATGGTACGCTTGCAGGCCCGCTCACACCTTCCTGTAGTGTGTGTGGAAACGTCATGTGGATGCGGAATAATTGCTGATGACTGTGCAGGATCTGGGGCACAGGATCTCCAACGCCTGGACAAGCTTGAGAGCTTATTTGAGTCTATTCGCTCCGCACCAACCCCGCTAGTGGATAATCTTGTTCGTGATATTCGGACCTCACATGTCGGCCTCAAGAACAGTTTGGTCCCTGTCGGACCATGGGAAGGCAGGGAAGGTATGTGATATAACCATTGTTCAAAAGGTTACCTCTGCTGACAGCTCCAGCGTATGAATCCTACGACTATCCCCCGAGCCCTTCTGTAACTTTTCCGCTTCGGACTCGCCTGTTACTAACCCCGGACGAAGACTTCAATAATTTTCAAACTGAGGATGACGATGACAGCGACTTCGAGCGCATGTCGCTGAGTAGTGGATCTGACTCATCTGGCACGATCTCAATCATGAGCATGCAAAGACCAGCGGTGGATGTGTTTGTCGAGAGATTTTTGGATGCATTTAGTCCAGAAGTGGATATGAAATCCGGAAGAGCGGGTGCATTACGAGCTGCCGCGGGGATTCGGATGTTCTCACCACTCATCACAGATGCATTCGAGGCCGTTTCGGTGGCATTCTTTGGTCGTTCTGTGCAGAGCAAGCATATCGAGGCATCCGGGTTCCGACTTTACCCCCGTGTGCTACGTTCATTACAGGATGCGTTGGTGGATCCCGAAAAATCCAAAGCAGAGTCAACACTGGTGACGGTGATTCTCTTGCTGGCTTTTGAGGTGAGCTTTTTAGAACCCTTTTTCTCCCCAGCCAATACTAACTTCGGCAGAGCGTTGAACGCACTACTCAGAGTGGTGTCTCATCTCACGTCCGAGGAGCAATGCGCGTGATCGAACACCGTGGGCCAGAAAATCACATCTATGGGGTTGAACATCTTATATTTACAGAACTCCGTCCATATTGGGTAAGATCACACGCCATCCGTAATTGCCTCTTATTAACCTAACGACTTAGATTGGCGCCGCTTTGGCAGCTCGACAACCCTCATTCCTGGCCCATGAAGACTGGAAGACCATTCCGTGGTCAGCAGGGACCACCCAAAAAGACATTCTACACAGTCTGCTTGACCTGGCCACCGAGGTCCCAGGTTTACTAGCGATATCCGATGCCTTCAAAGAAGCACAAATCACATCTCACATGGGGAGACAAGAGATGGCTGTCAAACAGTCTACCCTTTGGAACAAAATACGCGATCTTACAAACCGCTTCTATCGATGGTACGAAGACCATGTTGTCGCATATCCTGACGGGCCACCGCAGGAAGTCGAACAAATCGGTGACCAGGGTTTCCCAATTTTCCAACGCCGCGACCTCCGCACGGGGGCTACTTTCATCCCAACAAGATTTACATATCCAAACCTGCTACTCGCACAAACCATGTGTGTCTACTACGCCGTGCGATTGGTTTTGTCCTCGATCGACAAACGGCCAGACGATTGCGTCTCACCCCTTGAACAATACGACTTGGGCTGCGGGATCTGCCGCGCGTTTGAATTTTATATCCTCACTGCGCCGGGCAACATGATCAATCGTCTTGCATTTCCCACTCGAGTAGCGTGGGAAGTATTTCCGGATGGAGGTCCAGAGCGCCGTTTCATGGTTGAGGTATTTCAACTAGTTGAGAAGCGGCATTCTCTTGCGCTTTGGGGCAGTGCCATGCCAGAGTTATCTACAAAAGAATCCTCGCCACTGAATACGGGTAGTTCGTAGTGTGGACGCAAGTATTGCGTATAGTATGGATGTGATGTTCCGTCACGATTTAATTATTTTATCTCAGGGTCTGTGATCTAGCTATTCAACACAATAATTGCTCTGAGGGCGCTGTCATTCAAACCAATACGGAGTACAGATCCCTGCACAGGTATACATAGCCATTTCCAATAGTTAGTATAGGGGCTAGTTACGGAGTATGCTCCGCAGATTCCGGCTGGACCATAAATATCGCAATGAGAGTTTACACAAAATACTAATGTATGCAGGTGAAATGATCTATCCAGAATTCATTTAGAACTTTGCCTCTGGTTGGATGAATTCAAAGGACCTGCCCTGACGCTATAACGCATTCGACCTGGTTCCGACGGGGATCGGCAGGGCCGACCAGTCATAGGCAGATCCGATCGATCGATAATCGATAGTTCGGTCGTGGAAAAAAAAAGGAGATGTGGGTTCGTGCAGATTCCCTCATAAAAAGCATGAGGCCCCAAGCTACAACTGGCATTGTTATACCTGTCATACGTCATGCCTTCATTCATCAAGTTGGCGCTCTCTGCTCTCGCGGCTACCACCGCCGTCGCAACAGGAATCAACGATTTCTCCTGCAAAAGCTCCTACAATCCAGTTGTCCTCCTACACGGACTTGGCGCGACATATTATGAAGACCTGAACTACATGCAGTACTGGCTGCAAACGCAAGGCTTCTGCACGTATGCGATCACCTATGGCGCATACGATGGCTTCCCATTGCTTGGTGGCTTGAAGGCAATCAACGAGAGCGCCCCCGAAATTGCCTCGTACATCAAAGAAGTCGTTCAAAAAACCGGCAAGAGCAAAGTCGACCTCGTCGGTCACTCAGAGGGCGCTTTCCAAACTCTCTACGTGCCCAAGTTCGAGGGTGTCGCCCACCTCGTCGACAAGATCGCTGCCATCGCACCTCCTACCCATGCCACTACATTTGCCAACATCTATGAAATCGCATACTTGCTCGGTAAAGCATCGCGCGACGTCGTTAGCGAAGTCCTACATACCCTCGGCTGCCCTGCTTGTGACGATCTCGGCCCCGATGGCGCTGCCGTCAAACGTTTGAATGACGGTGCCCCTATCGCGCAGCCCGGTAACAGCGTCACCATCATTGCGTCCAAGTATGATGAGCTGGTTACTCCCCCGACAACATCGTTCGTTCACGAGGAAGGCGTGACAAATCGCTGGATTCAGGATACTTGCCCATTGGATCCTGTTGGTCACATTGGTGAGGCTTATGATTTAAATGTCTGGCACTTGGTCAAGAATGTGTTGGCCTCGACCCCTGATGAGAAGTTTTTGTGTCTGCTTGGGTCACCGGGTAAATAAAGGGCTTAATTACCTGAAGTGGCTAATTTTACTGTATATATAACAACTAATCTTTAAAAGGAGAATCTCTTATTCTGTCATTGTTCGGGTTCTCCGATATCTCCTAATTTCTATATTTGATGTGGCTTATCTAGTCAATGTGGCTTGTCTTGAGTCGGGGAGTATATGTAGTACCGGCTTTGTGAATTTACATTGCTTATCTTCAGGGGCTCGGCTTTTTTTATAGAGCAAATTGGGAGTATTGCTCTGATGGCTTATTCAATTATTCGAGGATACTACGGGTACTTTAGACTAGCCTGATTATCTGATCAAACTGGATAACTATTATTGTTCAGTCGAGTCATGTGCCCATCTTGGGCTCCCTTGACAACTGTTTTTCGAATCATCAAGAAAGTGTCCCAAATTTGATAAACAAAGAGCAAAAAATATCCAAGTCTAACGCGGTGATCCAATTACCATGCTTAGATTTGCTCTCTTTGTTCACTGTAGCTATATAAACCTTTGATATGAACGCTCGAGGTCTCCCTTTGATGAATCTCGATTATCTCGTCGCTTTAGCTATACTGCTAATTTGCCTAGCAAAAAAGAGTATATTTTCTTAGTCACTCATCCTATAAATCTGGAATTATTCCAACTTTTATGGGAAACTGACAGTTGGATCACATAAAGTTAGTTAGTACATACTAGATTGGGAAGGACCTATCCAGGTGTTGTTTGGTTAATGAGACAGCTAACAACCTCTCATCCCAAGCCACTCTCGAGAACTGTTGAGAATCCAGACTCCTCGAGAACACCTCAGCCTACCATTCATCACTCTGACATAGTTCTCTCACCTTGAAAAGGTTACTGCCTTAGGCAACGTACCATGTGACTTTCTTCACGGACTTCGGAACTTTCCTTTCTCCGTGCACTATCTTATCGGCGACGCGCAAGGATTAAAAAAATCACCATGTCAGAGCCAAAGAAACCTGGCTCTGAATCCAACATTCATCGAATTGAAGAGCGATGGGAGCGTCTGAATGAGATGTTTCAAAACACCGATCCTGAGCCTGCAGAGCTGACAGGCTCTGCCGATGACCTGGAGGCGGAAATTCGTCAGGCTCAAGCTCAATTATCGAGACTGAAGAAGCAGCGAGAGCTCATTGATATCAAACAAAAGGTTGCAGAGGAGGAAAGGGAGTTGGAACGGGCTCGCACTCGACTTCTGGCCGCGACCACCCTGGAACTTCCCCCGGCTACCCCAGCCACGACTCCATCCAGAGCTGAGCCCAAGCAGAACATCAACGCTGGTATTGATGAAGCCCAAAAGAACATTCATCATGTCCGATCTGAGCAGATTACCAACCGAGCACCTCCGACACAACCTGCTGATTGTTCTTCTGACGCTAAGCCGTCCGAACCCAAACCTTCACCTAAACCCGCAACCAACCTGGTCTCCGGCTTGAACCTTGAACAATTGCGCGCCCTCGCAGCAGCTACCAGGTCCCCGGCCACATCCATAGCCATCAAAACCGAATCCCGTCCCAGTCTGCCACCTTCCGCCCGAACTTTTCGTCCTGAATCATCCCTCCACACCCCACCGGTGCCCAATGTGCCGGTATACAACGGACGGGCTTTGGGAGAGTTCAAGAACTTTTCTATGGGTCTAGAACGACACTTCGATAAATATCCGGAGTGGTACAAGATCGATGAGCGCAAGATCACGCGGGCGCTTAAGCACGTTGCCCTTAATATCGAGGATGAGTGGAAGCGACACGTACGTCATCTACCTGCCGAGAAGATCACCTACGGCAGTTTCTGCACCTTCCTTATTCACCAGCTTCAGAACGGAGTCTACCCTGATGTTGCTAGGTCCCGCTATATGGATAGTTATCAGCGACCGGCCCAGTCCGTGACCGATTTCTCCAACTGGATGCAGCAGTGGGTGCCACACTTCCCGAATAACGACTCGGAGCGTGATCGCATGCGCCATCTCTTTGAGCATCTGATGAACAGGGTTCGCAACGAGGCTGACAAGACCCATCTGGACTTTGATAACTATTATGAGTTTGTCGAATATCTCCAGCGGGTCGAAGATTCCATCGGCAGTCGCGCCGAATCTCTGGGTCGCCGGATTATCAACCCTCGAAAGCGACCTCGCAGCCACGAATAAGCGGTTTCGACCTACTTGAGCGATCTCCGCATAGAGATGCAGCTCCGACGATCCTGACATCATCCCTATCAACATCTGCACACAGGGATAGATCGAAGGGGACCTGGTGGGTTTCGTTATTGAATGGGGAATTTCATTCCAATCTTCCTGACTCTTCCGTGTACATACCGGGGCGTTGCGAAATCTTTAAAGCGAGGTATTCGTAATGACTTCAATTTTTTATTTTATTTTTTTTTTTTCATTATGAGAACTATCTCTCCCATGTCGACTGTCATCGCTGCGGTCTTTCCTAGATTCCCCCTAGACCATCTAGAGCATACTCGCAATACCAGCAGCCGGGTTCCTGGCTAGAGCCTCTTCAATCTGCTCTTTGCTCGCATTGATACTGCGCTTCCCCCAGCCATTTTCTTCCGTCCAGCCACTACACCTCTCCCCTGAATTCGGCTGATTCCCCCAAATAGCCTTGTATTCCTCGTCGGTGAAGTACAAAGCCTGGCGCTCGTGGAAACAAGCCAAGATAGTGGCGCTAGCCTCACCGCTACAGCAGGCGCAGTAATCAATGGGTGGGGGAGGTGCCACGGTCCCATCATCCAGTCCCTTATTCAACATCTCGTAGCTAGTTCCATAGATATTATAAATCGGGTCGTCCATGGACGTATGGACGAGGCGCACTTCGAGGGATGCGTGATCATCGTGGCATTGCGATCCGAGCTTCAGCCAGAGGGTGCCGATATCGTTCAGATTACCGGTTCCTTCGTAGTCAGGGTGTTGGACGAAGTAGCCGTATTCGCGAGGGACAACGCTTGTGAGGCCAGGTATGAGGTCTGCGATCGCTTGAATGGCCTCGGCGAGAGGGAGGACTTGGAGGGAGTCGATGTGGTCTTGGAGTTTGGAAGCCATGTCTGTATAATTTCAAAAATTCATGGGAGGACCATTTCTCCTTTTTATGTGGATGAGGCTCTTTGCCGTTTGCCATTTCCTGGAGCCACGTACTCTATACCCCTGTCAAATCAAGTGCGTTTGTATCAGTAGAAATTGAAGCTGAGTGGCTTGTCAACGGCAGCTGCCTGGTCTCCCACGGACTTTCCGTATATCTGCCTACTGTGTACGTAGTTCAGAAATTTTCATATATTGGTTTCAGAATGAAATCTGCGAGTTCTGTGGCAGCTGAATTCCCAATATTTGTTCCAGGTTACAATTTGAGAACATTTAACTGGTCTTGCCCAGCCCGAAAGAATGGCTGACTGGACCCTGGAGATATGGAGGTGCATTGACCCATAAGCGTTCCCTTACTGCTCGCATATCTTTTGTTCTGAACGAATGGCATGGATTGGATTTCAGTTCGATACGTCAACTCCCAATAGAATGCAAGGCAAAGGGGAAACCCCCACTTGGCGGGACCGGCGGGATTCCAAAAGTCAATAGACTTATCTGATTCTCGACTTGTTTTTCTATATGGCCTCTGGGCTTTTTTTCTGAGCGTTGGAGATCTTTTGGAAAATTCTTCTCTCTGGGCTTGGGGCTGGGGAATCTATTTGTTTTGATGTTTTGATGTTTTGATCCCGTTATGAATGTAAAGTCCGCGTCTTTACCGCCTTATCAGGTACGCCAGGCTCCTCATCGATATGTTCGTTGGGGATTGCCCCTGGCTGCTGTGGTGTTGATTCTTTTAGTCTGGCCTGTTCCACTGCCCTGGAAGGTGGTGGAGCCTTTGGCCATCCCCATCCCAGTCACCTGGGACGAAATAGTTCCTTCGCAGTCGTTGGAATACCATAATTGCGGCGATGAGTTCCAATGCGCGAGACTGGAGGTGCCTATGGACTACCAACGGACAGATGGACAAGGTCGCACATTCGCTCTAGCTATTGTCCGACTGCCAGCCAAGGTCCCAGTCACAGATTCGCGGTATGGAGGTGCGGTTTTGATCAATCCCGGTAAGTGAATTTGGACATGATATAATGATATAAGCTCATAGTCCAGGTGGGCCTGGTGGACCGGGAACAATGCAAGCGTTTGTGGCGGGTCGCAATCTCCAGCTGATTATCGATGCGGAGGTCGACCCACATGAGACCGGAGAAGAAACCGACAATAAATATTTTGACATTATCGGATTTGATCCTCGCGGAGTAGGATCCACAACACCTCCAGTGATGTGTTTCCCTGATCCCGTTTCCCAAAGGAACTGGGAGTTGCAAGTTTTAGCAGAAGGCGTTCTGGGAAGTGGACCGGATTCCTTGCAGAGAAACTGGCAGCGGACCGAAGCGCTAAACTCGGGATGTTCAGTATTCGATATGTCGAGTCTAGGAGCGGACGAGCCAATGATGTCCTATGTCAATACACCACTCGTCGCGCAGGACATGCTGACCATCATCGAACGCCATGGAGAATGGCGTGAGAAGGAAGGCCAAGCAGCCCAGACAGCCCACAACAAGTGTCATGGGTTGGATGAAGCAAACTCAATCTTGCATCGCACTCAATGGCACCGCGGAGAAGAGCCACTTCTCTATTGGGGTCGCTCATACGGTACCGTGCTAGGCACCACATTTGCCTCGCTCTTCCCAGAGCGAGTTACACGAGCTGTTCTTGATGGCGTAGTCGACATGGTGAAGTACTACCAAGGGATAGGACCGAATGTTGTTACTGACGCAGATGCTATTTTTGATCGATTTGGCGAGTACTGTAACGAGGCTGGACCGGTGGGGTGTCCGTTCTATATCGAGGGTGGTCCAGACGCTATCAAGGCAGCGTACTGGCAACTTGAGCAGCAGATCCGTAACACCTCAATCCCTGTCATGGCATCTACAGAACGGGGCCCAGAAGTTATAACATGGACTGATATCAAAGAGATTCAGCGTGTTGCCATCTACCAGCCCCTCCTTGCATTCCCCGTCCTGGCAGACAGAATGACCGAGCTGGGCAGGGGGAACGCCGTTCCCATGGCTGACTTTAAACATGGGAGCCGCTTCGGCGCGTGTCCGTCCAATAAGTGCAGTCTTGCTGGACCTTGGTCCCAAGAATGTGCTACAACGCAGGATAACTTTCTCTACGCCATGGCTGCTATCATGTGCTCTGATGCCGAACATTTCACGACTGTGAATATTGAGCAGTTCCAGGCAGAATGGTCTAGCCTTCTGGCGGACAGTGTATCTCTGGGTGATTATTGGGCGCAATTGCAATTGAGCTGTGTTGGATGGAAAGCTAAGGCCAAGTACCCTTTCGCAGGTATGTCCTATTATGTCCTCTATGCATCTGAAGCTGACCGGTCTTAGGTCCGTGGGGCACTACTACCGCCCATCCCATGCTCTTCGTATCAAACACCCTGGATCCAGTGACTCCTCTCCACGGGTACGTATTCGTTCGTCACCAGTGGCTGTCCCAGCTAATAGCCCCAGTGCCCAACACATGTCCCGGATTTTCCCAGGATCTAGATTGCTCCAGCAAGAGTCCGAAGGGGTGAGTTACTCATAGGAATCCCTGCAGTGCTTCATCCTTGACATATTTCATCTAGCACACAACACTCACAGCCCCATCGATTTGCGTGGCGAAGGCCATTCGCCATTACTTCCAAACTGGCACACTACCAACGGTAGGAACTCTTTGCCAAGCCGATTTGAAGCCATTAGTTGGATCTCCACATCGTCGTGCGACGATCAGCCATAGTTTCAGCCCAGCCGACCGTAAACTGTTCGAGGCATTGATGGCGGAGGTTCAGCGGGGGCCTCTTTTTCCGCTATAAGGATTCACACTATATTTTATACTGGGGGAAGACGTATCAGGTCTATCCCTGGCCCTAACTCTCACGATTTGATGCATTAATGGTTTAAAGTGCTGCGCGAAAGTCGAGCAGTCTGATTCGATGTGTTTCGGTTTCATATTAGGCATTCTTTTTTTTTTTTTCAATCCTACTTATATACTGTTTAATCTGTGCCAACCCTCGAATATCACCGTATTACCCCCATGTGGCGATGCGCGGGTAACCGCTTGCGGAGAAGCAGTACAACCTCGGCTCGCCGGCCAATTGAACCTTTGATGATCAACCCCGCTAGGAGGGATTTCTCTGCATTGTTAGATAAACTTGAAGCATATCAATAATTCCTCTCTTGATAATCCCACACTAACAAGAAACATGGCTCCCCCGACTGTCACCGAGACCCTTGCAAACACCGTCAGCATGCATGCACCACAATCATCTCAAGCGGCGGGTGCCGAAAAGGCCAAGATCAAGATGCAGATGCCCAGTATGCCTGTCTTCGAAGATAAGATGAAGGAGCGAGAGTATTTGAAGGGTCGCCTAGCAGCAGCATTCAGAATCTTTGGCGACAAAGGATACGATGAGGGTATGATGGTCCTACAGCGAAACATCGAGTTGGCAATTAGCATCTAATATTCGAATTAGGTGTTGCTGGGCACATCACTGTGCGTGATCCAGTGGATCCATCAACATTCTGGGTGAACCCCTTCGGCACGGCATTCAAGCTGATGAAGGCATCGGACTTAATCCAGGTCGACCACGATGGCAATGTCATTGCGGGTGGAGCTAATCGGATGCTGAATGCCGCTGCATTTATGATCCATTCTGCTATCCATGCAGCACGGCCTGAGGTGAACTGCGCTGCGCACAGTCACAGTCTCCATGGACGGGCGTTTTGTTCGCTGGGCCGACCGCTCGATATCATCTCCCAAGATGCCTGTGCTTTCCACAATGTAGGTTCTCCTAACATCATTCAATACCCGCGCGTACAATAGCCCCAGCTCTAACAATATCAGGACTTGGCTCTCTATTCATCATTCAAAGGCGTCGTCCTAGCCAAAGAAGAAGGTCAGAACATTGCCAAAGCTCTGGGCAACAAAAAGGCAGCCCTACTTCAAAATCACGGCCTTTTAACAGTCGGCAACACTATTGAAGAAACAGTGTTCTGGTTCGTGAGCCTGGAAAAATGCTGCTACGCTCAACTCCTAGCGGACGCAGCCGCCACCGGACGAGGCGGCCAAACAGTGAAAATTGAAGAAGCCGATGCTTCATTCACTTACAAAACAGTGGGAACCCCGAAGGCTGGCTGGTTCAGTGCGAAGCCCCTGTTTGATGTTATCCACGCCGAAACTAAGGGTGAATACTTGGAATGAGATCTCCACCCGGTCGAAAGTTTATATATCTGTCTTTCGAAATAGATTGTCCTGGAGATATTAATAGTTTGCACGTTAATTGAAATATGAAATAGTCTTATGGGTCTTTATGCACCACTAGAGTATTCTCATATATTGCGTAGTGCATAAATGTAGTCTAACCGGAATACTGGGTAGTGCCACTTCTAGCACCACGAATTTATCCTGCTAGGTAAATAAAAAGTCCATATGCGGGTCTTCGGACTTGAATCAGTGTGTTTGACAAAAGTTAATGCGTCAATAAGAAGAAATCATGCACTGGAGTTGGCCAGTTTTATCAGTCAGACTAGTGTTGGGCTCGTTTCGGGGTGAAACATCCAGCCCTGAAGAGCTTCGGGAGGCGCTCCGCTTTTGGCTCAATTCCACCACTCCACCTGGTACACCTGTAGAGATCCACCGTTGTCTCGTAAGGGGAAACTATAAATCAAGGGATTATTCACGGCGCTATGGGTTAAATCTGCTCATATATTCTATATTTGAACGCTTATCGATTGCGGTCTTCCAGCTCATAGTCATCATAATGCGCTTCATCGTACCTTTCCTTGCCGCCGCCGGCCTCGCCAGCGCAGGATTACTAGAGACGGTTGTCAAGAGAGATGACTATTGGGGTGGCAGTGTCTCTCTCGGTCCCTCCAAATCGACCATCATTAACGCCGTCACGACCCTGATCCCCGGAGCTGCGCCAGAAACTCAGAACGGTGTATTGTTCCTCTGGCCTGGTGTGAGTCCTCACTCCTTCCAATGGCCTTTTTAGGCTCTAATAATTATAGATGTCCAACGGAACCGGTGACCTGGTCCAGACCACCCTCGAAAGCTGGCCTAGCAACTCGTGGTGCGGAGCCGCCACCGGCGAGTGGTGTGTGCGTGCCAGTGTCTTTGGCAGCTTTGGCCAGCTAGATGGGGCGGGTTCACCCGTGAGAGGAACTGACCAGGTCCGAATTGAGTACAATCTTGAGTCTGACGGACAGACCTGGAAGCAGTAAGTATGAAGTCAACATGGCGAAAGACATCACAACTAACATGTTCAGGACTGTCACAAATGGCCAGACTGGTGCCCTGCTTTCAACTTACTCCCACGCCTCTGGACCGTATATGCGAGGGTAAGTGCCCAGAATGATACTGTATTGAGGACTATACTGAATTCAGTTAGATATGGCACCGGAACTGAGTGTAATGACAACTGCTCGGGAGCTATCGCTCCGCAGAAATATTTGAACACGATTATCACTCTCGCCTCGGCTGATACTAACTTTGGCTCGACCATTGCTAGCGCGGGTGGTGCGACTTATACCGAAGTTTCGTCTAGCCAGGGCGGGAAGGTCTGGACCGTCAAGCAGATTGACATTCCCGCAATGCATTAAATGAACGTCCCGAGTTACAAGGGTTGTGCTTTCGTACAAGTTACATATGAAATATAGCCTGGGACAAAATTATCAATTCTGCGAATAACCCGCTCTTATTGCTACCCCTCTGCAAAATGCACACATATACAAAACTTCAACCTCATCCCCGATAATCAAGAATAACTTTCAACCGCACAGGACCAGCCACCGCCTCACCACCAATACCATCGATGTGCTTGACCGATTTAGTATAAGCAGCAGTCACCTTCTTAGCACCGGCCGTGATGATAGAGCATTTTTTCCCATCAGCCTGACAAATGGACATTCCCTGCACAGGCTGTTTGGCAACCTGTGCCTGAATAGCCGAAACATCCCACCCCGACCAACCATTGTTCTCCCCGTCACCGAACGTAAACTCGCCCCAGGTACATGAGTATCCACCATATTGATCCGTAGGTAGGTGATCACCAGGCGCAGCGCCCCAGGCTCCCTCAGAGTCCTCATCGAAAGCAACATAGTGAGTATCACCGGGAGCAATGGTGAATGTCAGGGCAGAGTGGCCGTACCACCCAGTCATCTTGCCGTCAGGACCGATCTTGTTCCACACAACCACTGTCCAGGGCTCGTCGTTTGCACCCGTGAACTGCGCCACGTATTTATATGCATGTGCCTCGTCCTGACTGACAGTGATGATATTGCTTCCCCATGGTCTGCCGACATTGCCCTGGTAAAGTATCTTCGCTCCTTTTGCTTTTGGCGAAGTACGTCCTCCGAATCCGGCTGTTGAGAATTGTCCAGCCGGTGGTGTTTCGGTCCAGTCCAAGGAAGTGGGTCTGTGTGACTTTGGGCCTGGGAGGATCTCGTTGACTACTGGCAGGTTAGGTAGATTGAATCCGGCATTGGGGGATCCGCCGGTGTTTTTGTGAGGTGGGGGAGGAGGGCGCCTTGCTGGAACAGCCTTTTCTTCTTCTAAAGAGCCGTTGGGCAGAGTTTCGGCAAGGGGTACGGCTTTTTCTGCTTCTGAGGGATTCCCGGGGAGTGTCTTTGCAAGTGGCAAATGGCTGGCTCCTGGGTGGACGGTGACCGTTATAGTATTGGTTGCGGTTTTGGTGACTGTCTGTGTCTTTGACACGGTAGTGGTCTCCTCTGCCTGTGTTGGCCCGGGAGCCCAGGGCCCAGGATGAGTGTAATGAGGTTGAGCGGGCCATTTGTTTGTCAGTGCAGGGCGAATAGGCTCCGGCTGTAGTTGATCCCAGTGATCTTGGTATGGCTCGGGACGCGGGATGATGAGCATGTGATGATCAGGACTCCACGGCGTAGGTTCAGGACTATGCTTGACAAGCGTAAGGGTGCTGTGGATAGTATTGGTTGGTGCGCACTTTCCAAAAACCGTAGTCGTAGTCGTGATCGTAATGGATTCTACCACAAAATCATCTGGGGTGTTATTCGCATTATCCCAACCTAGATTTTGCAGCTCCAAGTCTTCGGTGGGTGGCATCAAGTTGCGATGGCGATGGTGATGAAGATGGTTATGTGCATGATGGTGAATGCTAGCAAAGGCATACCCAGCAAAGCCCGCAAGAACAATTGGTATAGACACGCGCCCCATAGCAAAATACACAAGGGGTTGATCAGCGATAGCTCTATAGCAGATTAGGCAGGCAATAATTGACCTGGTAAATCAAGGCGTTAGCGGTGTTATATCCCAAAAATAAGTGACGCGCTTAGTTGGTTGAACGCATATTGGTGGCGCGGTGTTGGCGGTTTGTCATTGTCGAACAGACGCACGATCCGGGGATGTGACTTAGCTTTATACAGCCCCGGGAAAGAAACAAGGTCTGGACTCTTCATCGGAATGCTATCGTAAACACGGTCCCTGAAAGGCTCGAAAGGGACTGTAGCAGCCCTGAATTCCGGTGTTCCTTGGCCTACCCTTGAAGGCATTAAATCAGACTACATGTTCGAGAAATTCAATGAGTATTAGTGTAATATGTATGATGAATCAGATTTCTACTAAAAAGCCTAAGGAAAAGAAGAAAATTAAGTATACTTCTTGGGAAAGTAATGTTCAACGCGTCCACGTTGGGGTTCATGCTAGATGTGGCCTATAACCCCCTCGCGTCGCATTCCGGACCTGAATAACATTCGCCCCTCTGTTTTCTTTTTCGTGTGAAAACAGGTTTCAAGGGTAGTATTCATTAGTACTCTAATCATTTCGTCTAAGTCGCTTGGTCGATATTAGAAAGTGGATACATGAGTCAAGGGCTTGAGACAACAGATATTTCAATGAATGTATGAAGGATAAATTATATAAAGGAGTGTATATTAACAGAGAGTATTATGGGCTGTTTCCTTGAACAAAAATGGAAAAAGAAGAAGAAAAAAAACATAGTGAAGCATGAAAACTAGAAAATATGACTGAACAGATATTTTTCTGCTTTCTTTGTTTTTCAACGCAAGACTTACAATGCCACCTCCAGCCCCCCCCCCCCCCTTCCGGGGAGACCATCATGCACAGGAACCGGAGACCTGGGTTTGCGGGGGTCCGACATCGACCAACTGGGTACCAATGGCAGTAGTGATACTGTGGTCAATGCCGTTGAAAACACAAGCGACACCCTCGGTGCTGGTTTGAATGTGGGAAACGCTCAGAGGATTCACTGGGTCGATTAGTGTCTTGGGTTGGCTTTTTGCGGAATATATAGATAGACATACCAATTTGAACCGATTCACCATTGGACGGGAAACTCTGAGTAAACTGACCATCGGCAGCTCCGATGAAAGTGACATGCACTTCATCCCCATGAGCGTGATCTCCAACCGGAGCAGGATCAGTGGAAGGAGGTGCTGGGGATGAATCCGATCCTTGGGCCTGGCAAGATGCAGTCACCTGGGTCTGGGGAGGGCCAACATCTACCCATTGAGCTCCGTTGACGATTGTCACGCTGTGATCAATGCCAGTAAAGGTGCACCGAACCCCGGCAGTATTGGATGAGATGTGCGAGATACTCAATGGGTTTTCTAGGCAAAGTCAGAATGGTTTCAATTCAGCTGTATACAAGAACAAGGGACCTACCAATCGAGACAACAGACCCATCACTAGGGATGCTTTGAGTGAACTGGGCATCGGCAGCGCCGATGAAGGTGATATCCACTTGATAGTCTCTTTGTTTCAGTGGAATTGCACTAGCAGTAGCTGCATAGGCAACAAAGAGACCGAGAATTGTAGACGTCTTCATTCTCAGGCAAAAAATAATTGGAAAATTCAAGCTGCTGATAATGTATATAGTAAGAGGCTGTACTGGTTGGATTGACACGGATGATCAATGAGAGACCGAAGGGCTTTATATACCAGTTTATGCTTGTTATACCTCCCAGACAAGTCTGTCTGATATTACTAGTTTCTAATATTAGATGAGATATTTTTTTCCATGGTAGATCGGATAGTGGCGTCGGGGTCTACGGAACCTTGGAGCAGACTCAAAACATATTTAGATGACCCAAGGTCGACAATTCTCTATTATATATGCATTGGAGGATAATTGAAGTTACAGCAAGCTGGGTGTTATTTAGTACATTTTATTAGGGCATATGGGTGATTTAATCGAATATCCAATGATTATTGCCTTATAGTTATCCAGAGACGCTCTCAACACAGTTATACCAGAAATACAATGCGTCGTCTATACTATAGAAATTCTTATTTTCTGGTCCGAGAGATCTTGTGACTGCGGAACTGGCCTCCCCCGGATTTTTGGCTCTGAAACCTCGCACCGTCAACCTGATTGTCTTCATTTGTCTCAGAAATGCTGTCAAGCACGTCATGTCTTTTCTTGTTTCTTTTTCTTCACGCACCAATTTTCCCCCGGGCGCAATATGTCTGAGTTAGACATGCCGACCCTCCTTTACCTTCCTATTTTTGCCGTTTCCCGGTAGCACCTCAACACGCCACTCAATGTGCTATATATAACCCTTCTCTGTCTACTCAAGACGAAATTCTCAGGTTCGACAGGGAGTACTAACCAGTAATTCCAACCAAGTTCCGGGGAACCCCAACAATTATCGGATACAATTACACATAGAACAATCGAGAGACTCATTGACCAATGTCATGTACTGCTGTCTGGGTTGATTTGTTAGAGCAATTAGAACATAAATATACTGGCAATATCTACCGGTATGGCTGGACCCATCGCCTTGATTTATGCGTACACTTGGACATATATATTGTGGACATGTATAGGAAAAGTTAACCTTACGAGAGTAGCTTTTGAACTCAGTTCCCTCTTGTTTACCTTCATTGCCACAATCCGTCTCTTCTCCGTATTCTTATCAAAAGGGGTACGAAAGCGAATTTTGACATACTGGGCCAGAGAATGTGAGTTATTCAAGTGTTCTTTACAAGCAGCCCGATGCTAATATGTGCTTTAGCCAATATTCACACAAAATGGACACTTTCATATGCATCAGGGAGGTGTCCCAAGGGTCCATTTCTATCACTGATACTTCCACGTGTATTTCTCATTTTATTCACATACTTGCAGCCCATCTTCATTGGAACAGCAATACGATTTGCATTGTATGGGTTCAATCAATGGTATTCAATTCTCTGTATTTCTGATCCACCCTAATTACATAACGTATTTCACTACCGAGTCGGCCACACCACCGAGTCGGCCACCCCACCCAAAACGCGTCAATTAATTTTAACCCTTTATCTTCAACCACCCACTATGCCACCAATTCGCTCCCAAACCTCTAGAAATTCAACAGAGCAAGAGGGTAGGATTCTTTTAGCCATTCAGGCTTTTAAGAATAAAGAAATCTCTTCTATTCGTGAAGTGGCGCGCCGATTTAACGTACCACGTTCAACTCTCCAAGACAGACTACGCGGTCTTCAACACCGCGCGATTTCTCGCGCAAATTCGCATAAATTAACAGAGGTTGAGGAGGAATCTCTTCGAAAATGGATTCTCTCTATGGATTCTCGTGGAGTAGCCCCCCGCCATGCTACTGTACGAGAAATGGCGAATCTTCTCCTCGAACAGCGTGGAACTACCCCGGTTCTTTCGGTCGGCGAAAATTGGGTTATGAAGTTCGTTAAAAGAAACCCTCTTCTTTTATCCCGGTTCTCGAGACGTTATAATTACGATCGCGCGAAATGCGAAGACCCAAAAATCATTCGAGAGTGGTTCGATCTTGTTCAAAAAATAATCCTTCAATTTAGAATCGACCCCGATGACGTTTATAACTTCGACGAGACTGGTTTCGCGATGGGGTTAATCGCTACGGCGAAGGTGATCACGAGGAGTGAACTCTCTAGTCGGCGCTCAGTTTTACAACCTGGAAATCGTGAATGGGTGACTACTATTGAGTGTACGAATGCTTCGGGGTGGGCCCTCCCTCCGTGTGTGATTTTTAAAGGCAAAGTCTTCCTCGAATCTTGGTTCGACGGCCTTCCAGATGACTGGCGGTTTGAAGTTAGTCCGAATGGATGGACCTCCGATGAAATTGGACTTCGGTGGCTCGAAAGGCTCTTTATTCCGACGACTTCTTTACGTACGAAGGGGAGGTATCGACTTCTAGTACTCGACGGTCACGGAAGCCATTTAACCCCAAAGTTCGATGAAATATGCGAGAAAAATCATATTATACCGATCTGTATGCCTCCGCACTCCTCTCATCTTTTACAGCCTCTTGATATCGGTTGTTTTGCGGTGTTAAAACGATCATATGGTCGGCTAGTTGAGATAAAAATGCGGAATGGGATTAACCATATCGATAAACTTGACTTCCTCGAAGCATACCCCCTCGCACGAATTGAAGCCTTTAAATCAGAGACTATTAAAAATAGCTTCGGAGCAGCTGGCTTAGTACCTTTTGCACCCGACCGAGTGATCTCGAAGCTAAATATTCGTCTTCGAACACCGACCCCCCCTCCGAGCCGGGGGAGCGAATCGAGTCGGAATTTTACACCAAAAACACCAGCTACAGAGAAAGAACTACGTCGACAGGCTTCGTCAATCAAAGCTTTACTTCGTACAAGATCTCGAAGTCCGCCTAGCCCGTCAGATCGTGCATTAAACCAGCTTGTGAAGGGCTTCCGTCTTACAATGCAAGGTGCTATCTTACTGGCGAAAGAAAACAAGGAATTACGCGCTGAAAATGAGAAGAAGAAGCAAAAGCGCACCCGATTTAGAAGGCATATACCTTCCGAAGAAGGCCTCTCAGTTCAAGAAGCCTCTACTTTAATTTTACAGACGGGGGAAGCAGTTGAACCACCTCCCCCCAGCGCCAATATACAGGGAGAATCGGCTATTCGGCCACGTACGCGCCCCCCCGGGGGTGTGGAATATGCAGGTTGCCAGGGCATAGAAGAGAAACCTGTCCAGATAGACCGATTAGTTAGTTGAATTAATTTAATGGCGTTTTCGTTGAAATAATTGCAATTAAAATTCATAAGTTAGATTGGGTGGCCGACTCGGTGGTGTGGCCGACTCGGTAGTGAAATACGTTAAGAGACATTATAACTAGCATCTGTAGGATCAATAAATCCTCCGGTATACTGACGTAACTGCACCGACACGGATGTGTGGCCTGACTGGTAAGGCCACAAGGCTCCGAGGCCATTAAATATGCATTGCCAATGCTGACTCCTTTTCTCTTCACGGCCACAATTCTTGTGTCTATGTAAACATGGAGACACTGCACATTACTGATCAATCAACACGGTCATCCTTCTAATATCCCCAGTCAACTCCGCAATCCACGGCTAATGACACTTGTGGATATCAAAAGCACAGGCGCTAAACCGTTTAGAGGAAAAGATGCGCCAGATAACCAACCAACCAATTAGATTGCCACAACAGCGCGAAAGATTTGCCCAAAACGGAGATCAACAAGATGACTGGGGATCGTGCGAATATAAATTCATTGCCATACCCCAGTTTTGCAGAAACCATTCAAAAATTATTATGGCAAGCCTTCACCCCTTTGACCCTATCACACCTGGGGAGATCCAATTGGCGGTCTCCGTCTTGGAATCCGCTTTCCCCGGTGCCAAGCTCCGCTACAAGCGCATCGATCTCCAGGAGCCTACCAAGCATGAGGTTATCCCATTTCTCGAGGCTGAGCGCCTAGGCGAAGTGCGCCCCCGTAAGCCGGCCCGCTTGCTGATGGCGCTGTTCCACCAATTGGACAATGGGTCTTTCTTCAAGGCTCTGATCAACGCAGACACCAAGTCCATCGTGTCAGCAAAAGAGTTGCCCAAGGAGGTCCAGGGTCCACTAGACGTCGATGAGATGATTGAAATTGAGGAGCTTTGTCTCAGCCACCCAGCCGTCAAGGCCGAAGTTGAAAAACTGAAGCTTCCCGCTGGCCACACCGTCTGCTTGGACCCGTGGATCTACGGCACCGATGATGCCAACGAGACTCGGCGTTTGTTCCAGTGCTACATGTACATCGTGGCCACCGACCACCCCCAGAACAACCAATATTCGGTGCCTTGCAAATTCTCGCCAGTGTTCGACGGTATCAGTCGCAAGCTGGTCCGTATGGATTATCTGCCTGGTGGGGCCGATACTCAAAGCACTGAGACGCAACCTTGGAAGCAGGTGCCTACTGTGCAATACGCCCATGACTTGCTGGATGAGCCTCTGCGCACCGATCTGAAGCCTTACATTGTCCAGCAACCAGAGGGAGCGTCATTCAATGTCATTGGAAATGCCGTGTCATGGCAGAAGTGGCGTTTCAGAGTCGGCTTCAACAACCGAGAGGGTCTGGTGTTGCACAACGTGACTTACGATGGTCGTAACACCTTCTACCGTCTCTCTTTCTCCGAGATGACAGTCCCCTACGCCGGTATGTTTTACTACTCCCCCTTTAGCAACACATCTGATTTATTCTAGATCCCCGGGCTCCCTACCACCGCAAGCAAGCCTTTGACGTCGGTGACGTCGGCTTCGGTATCACAGCTAACCAACTGAGTCTCGGCTGCGATTGTCTCGGTCACATTAAGTATTTCGATGGTTACCGCACAGATGCACAGGGAGCACCGATCCAACTCAAGAATGTCATCTGCATGCACGAGCAAGATAATGGCTTACAACACAAGCACACTAATTACCGCACTGGTGCGGCAACTGTTGTCCGTAATCGCCAGCTCGTGGTTCAGATGATCTGCACCGTTGCGAACTACGAATATATCTTCGCTTTCATCCTCGACCAAGCAGCTAATATCGAGCTCGAGGTGCGGGCAACCGGTATCCTCTCAACCGTGCCCTTCGATAACGAGAACGGCCAAACCGTTCCATGGGGAACAAACGTTGGACCAGGCGTTATGGCCCCATTCCACCAGCACATGTTCTCCCTCCGTATCGACCCTGCCATCGACGGCCACAAAAACACAGTCTACTATGAAGATAGTGTGCCAATGCCCGAGGATGACAGCAACCCATGGCTCGTCGGGTATACTACAGAGCAAAACGTCATCAAGGCCAGCGGTAGTGCCTCAACCAGCGTCGAGCGCCACCGTGTCTTCAAGATCCGGAACGACTCCATCGTCAACCCCATTACCCACCACCCCATCGCATACAAGCTGCAAACCAACCCCAGTCAGATGCTCCTCGCACACCCAAACTCATTCGGCTCGAAGCGCGCCCGCTTCGCGACCCGTCCTATCTGGGTTACTAAATACCAAGACGACGAGCTATTCGCCGCCGGCGAGTTCACAAACCAGAGCAAGAAGTCTGAAGGCGTGGAAGTGTGGGCTGGACGCAACGATGCGGTCGAAAACGAAGACGTTGTTCTCTGGCACAGTACGTTATCCCATCTAAACTGTCCTGCAATAAATAGCTAACTGTTCCTAGCATTCGGTCTCACCCACAACCCACGCATTGAGGATTTCCCTGTTATGCCCATGGAGCGCGTTAGCGTGATGCTCAAGCCGGATGGTTTCTTCACTAAGAACCCTGCACTTGATGTGCCGGCTTCGACCCAGTCCTTCAACCAGTCCACTCTGCACCCTGAGCCGTCTTGCTGTGCGGCTCCTCAGGAGCGAGGACAGGTGAAGTTGTAGATATTATATGTGAAATGAAATGTAGAGGGCGACCTCTGTAAATGAATGCTCTAGTATAGGAAACATAATGAAGTTATTTCTACAAAATCTTACCTTGGAAACATATCATCACCGTTGTAGAGTTCGAAGGATGCGTGACACCCCCAAGGTCGAGGCCTAGCAGGAACATGATGGTGCTACCGATGACGGATGAACATCCAGTCCAGGCGACAGACATGAGATCACTCCGTATCCGCGTGCTGCCATATTTCCCCCAATGCAATCAATCAGTAAACGAACACCGGAACCGATCGTCCTCCTGTGATATCCGGCCAGATGTGCTCTTTGAAGTCAAAGCCCCCAGAATCTGGCAAGATCTCGCGCAGTCGATGTCGCATACTGTTCAATGGATTTATGCTCACAGTGGCGATAATCCCCAACTGGTTGTTCACTGCCTTTGTGACCGTCAAATGTGCCTCCCCTACTAAGAACTTGACCCCCACCAGCAGTCCAGAAACTGACCCCTCTTCGGTAGGTGTTAGAATACGTGTTGAAAGAGTAGTTTGAAGCGGCTTGAAATGGCCTTCCTTGCATAGCACAGAGCACGACCGCATTTTTCTCTCCTCGGGAAACTCTAGACACCTTTCACTGTAGACGGCAAAGCTCGACGTGTCCCGCGTATCTTTGACGATAGGAAACCAGTTATGTGACTCTTTCGGTGTGGACGGCAACACTGGACAATTGGCGGGGCTATTGATGAAGGGCCATGATACTTGGAGGTTTCCATCGCTGTCAACACCCGAGTGCTCGAGCGCGAGGATGGAATTTATGATCACACGACGAGCTTCGACACCGGTAAGAGGCTGGTTTTCCCCGGGCGTATGGTCGAGGGAATCTATATCGTCCATTGATTGCCATCTATTCCAGCAGGAGCTGATACAATTCTTGTCGCCGACCTTGTGGGCGCAGTTTGTTCGGTGCTCTGTGGGTTGGGTGCTTGTTTGAGAGAAGCGGAGAGCATCCCAGAGCGTCACTCGCTGGGCGTTTCCGGTGCACGCACTTACTTCTAATCCGACACGGAGATTAAGAAGTGGCACAAGCCTTATGTCTGCCTTTGTGCAATCCGCGATGAGCATTGCCTTGAGTGTGCGCTTTGGAATCCGTTTGTACTTCTTCATGATCCCGGCTGTGACGTATTGTCCGCCACCAAGCTGAACTTCGTACCCATCACTCACGTGTCTTGATTTGCTTGTTCCAGGGTACTGAAGCCGACAGGCGATTTGTTGTCCAATGAGTGACATTGACGACTTGCACTTGTCGTTAACAACAAGCCCAGCCTCAACATTCGTGGGTGTGCCGATCAATATTCTTGATGTGTTGCGAAGGCGGATTTTTATATCTGAAATCTCCCCAGGGAGATATTCTGGAACCCCTGGCACCCAGTGGCATTCAATCTGACCATACAATGAAGTCTGCCGATCTTGAGGAAGTGGAATGATGAAGCCTCTCTCTGTTTGAATCACTGGCCCTTCATCTGCAGTACCCCCTACCAGCGAGACTGGTCCCCACAATTCTTGAAGGTCCTGGACGGTAAAACAGATCTTCATTCCATCGGATTGGGCAGAGGTTTTTCCTAGAACCCATGCAGGACCACCGACAAAGTCGTCCAAGCAAGCCAGTTTCTGTGGCCTGAAGGCATACCCATCGAAACCGACTGGGATCTTTTCCATATTCTCATTCCATAAATTCATGTCGAATCGACACACGTGTGAGCCAGAGAATGAAACAAGCCCAATTGACAGAATTCCACACAAGAAGCGAAGAATTCCTACCGAGTCACAGTCCGAGAGGGCCTTGTCCTCAACATTGAGCACCTTTTGCATCCAGCGCTGTATCGCCCTCTTCAATAACTCCTCTTCGTCGAATTTGTCAAGAATATTCTCTAGCAAAGTGCCAGTCTGGCTTAATGATACATGAAAGGCTTCGGCAACTCCATCACAGTGTTGGTCTTCCATTAAAATGCTCATGGTGCTTCCGCAAAAGCCTTGGGACTGTAGATACCCCAGCGCAGTATGCCAATTCCCAAGACACTCAATACAGTCATCCAGCGATTCAAGCTCAATGTATGGGCTACTTTTCATGCCGAGTGTCTGCGCGGTTTGAACCTCGAGCTGGTCCAATTCACTGAAATAGCGAGCTGCGTCCAAGATGTGGTCCATATTTCTTGTCTCGGGTATGCCTGCATCTATTGAGTCCTCTTCGGACTCTGGACTTGTAGTATTCGTTGCGATTGAGAGTGCAACCGAGGGCTCAAAGCTTTGAGGAAGGGAGATGCGCCTTGATTGATGCATGATTAGGTCCTGGGGTTGTATTGCACCCGGAGCTAAATATTGAACCAGTGACGGATCAACGCCATCCAACAATCTAGCATTTGCTGTGTCCATCCCGCAAATACTCTCTTCAGGCGGATTGACGGAATTCGAAAGATACGATGGTAGTGGAATAGGCGACCGCCTTGAGAGACGCTGGTACAAATCCCCCAAAGTTCCTAGAGTGCGAGCGAGCCCCTGGTCGGACACTATCTGCAACGCCATCAGATTCAAGACGGCTCCCGGCCTCCACGCCTGGTGAAGGGGATCCAGTAATGCCTCCCGCATTGTTATAATGATATCTTCTAGCTGCTCACGAGCGATTGAGTCACCTTCCTCATATCGACCATCAAGTCCTTGGCAGTGCTGATGAAACTGATTTTGAATCTGAGTACGGGCGTGGTTTAGTGCCTGTTCTAGTTGCCAGCTGGAATCGAGTTTGTCATATCTTGAGGTGATAGTAGCAAGCGCCATCAATCCGTTACCATAGGCGGAAACGACTGTTTGCCGATTTGGGTTTGTCAATATCATTTCTTGGTGATAGGAGAGGAGACGACCTTACTGGCTGCCACATAAATTCGGACCCAAACCACCTCCGCTGGATTCACGGGTCTCATTTTATAAGTAGGCGGACTGTAACACATATGACAAGTAAGGAGAGATTGTGATATACGGCCTTCAGCCAGACTATGGCTACACCGTGTGCACATCCTCCGGATTGGAAGATTTTCACCAACAATGTGTTTATTTGCATCCTCGAGTTTGCGATTTTGGCCAGATTGCCCGCCGCGGTATATCAACGGTCTGCTTTTGTTGTCTTCTGGGAGATTGATTTGTGCAAGCCGCATCAAGTAGTGATCCTTCAAATGTTTATAATAATTGGTCCAGTTGGCGGTGGGCTGAGAGCATGCTTCGCAAAGGCTTGGGCATCGGAGTTGGATCCTGTGCTTTGCTATCTGATGCAAACTAAGACTTTGCTCGTGTACACTGCGCATGTGTTCTTTCATTTCGTCTTGCTGTGGTGTAGTCACAGTACAATCGGGCTCAAGGCAAAGATATTCCCACTCCTGAAGACCATGCTCATCTTGAAAGTGCTGCTTGAAGAAGGAAACATCCATGCAGGTCCCATCTTCTGCTTTGCACAGACGACAGCAAAAGGCTTCAAACGGAGCAGAATTAATAGACGCCATGTGTCTGGACGATTTAAGTCCATCTCTGGGCGAGAACGGCTCTCGGAGTCGTATATCCACCTTTTGCAGGACGGCTTCAAGCTGGGACTTCAACTTTGCTAGCTGATCGTGGTTTAATGAAGGGATCCTGTCTGAAGCTGCATCCGCGAGTTGCTCCATCTCAGATAAAACATCCATGGTTCTACCGGAGTTCAAATCTGAAGACCGGGATATCACACGGTCTGAAATAAAGCATCTTGGCTCAATACCTTCGAGATCATTTGAATGTTTTTGGAGTAGAATAGGACTTTCGGATGTATCATCACGGCATCTATGACTTGAATCAAAATCCGCGGAGTGTATCGAGGGACCCGGCCCTGAGTCTGTAGAAGCCACAGGTGGAAAGAACCTATTATTACCAGGAGTCATCTTAGGATAGTTCAGAATTGCAGGCAGAGAAGAGAGTGTGATCATTTACCAATTTTAATAATCTCTGCTCCCTGTTATGCACAGCCCTTAACACGTGCTCAACTAGGCGTCGTGGTGGCATGGGATTGGTGCATGAGTGTGGCTTGGGAGCTCTGGTCTAGGCAGAAATTCATACCACACATCGGACATAGAGCTGTCCAATTTTGATTGATGAAGTCGTGACCGTTCCTTAAGTTGATAATTGTTCGTATTAGTTATACTCCGCAGGTTTCGATAAGATACGGATGCTCAATCGATGTCTCCTCACTTCGGGACATTGGGAGGTCTGAGAGCAATCACCAGCCAATCATACTCATTGGGCCCTCATTGGGTATTGCTGATCGATTATGTGATATGGCACTCAGCCAGTCAGTGAGATAGGCACTGAGCGCCCTCCCAAAACGGCGACAGCTAAGAAAGGAGAGCCCTGGACGAGGAAATAAACTACAGAGGTGTTTAGGCATTCACCGAGCATGCAAGTTGGGAAATATTTTCGCCGAGGGAACTAACACGACGTACTTAATTCAGTGGGCATCGGTAGTCCGGCCCATAACGATTCGGTCAATCCACTGGTCTCCATATTGAAAGCATAATAAAAACAGCCAGTAAAAGCAAACACCCACCTCAAGACATTTAGCACTCTTTCACGATGGAAAGCTCAGCCCACTCCTTGGCCGAAACAACATCCGCCTTGCGCGCAAAGACCTTCTCCATTAGCACACGGTGCAACTCCTCATCACGATCCATGCAGCAATCCTCCAAAACCGTAACACGGTAGTCCATATCCATTGCCTGGCGAACAGTCGATAGCACAGCTCCGCTGGTGATCAAGCCGGCGACAGCGATAGACTGGGCATTTCCGCAGCGCAAAAGCATATCAAGTTCCGTAGCGAAGAAGGCGGAAACACGACGCTTGGTGAGCACCACTTCTCCTGATACAGGTTCAATGGCTGGATGGACTTGCACCGACGAGTGGCCTTCGATATATTCACCACGTGCGACGACAGCGGGCATAGATGGGTTGTTTAGGTTGTTTTCAGGATATCCTGGACGGAAGCCAGTGATGACGTGGATGATTTTCACGTTGGCCTTGCGTGCAGAAATAACAGCTGACGACAGCCGTTCGAGGTAGGGCTCTGTATTGTCGAGGCGGTCGATTACCCCGTTTTGGACGTCAAGGATGAGGAGGACGGTTGCCATGGTGGGCTGTTCGTGGTTGGAGTCGGAGAGGTTGGAAAGGCAGAGATCTAGGAGGATGGGTTTAGACTAAAAGGATAATTCGAAGAGAAAGTTGATATCAAACGAGGTGAATGTATTGAATGATCGCGGTTCCGGTATTATGGATCCCGGTACCGGCATGGACATGTGAGACCGATGAGGCTATTTTATACAAAAGGAAAGTGCAACCGCAATTGCTCACAATGTTGTTAAATACATTGTAGAAAGGGAAAGTGCGTTGGGACAGGAAGAAGTGGAAGTGGAGGCATATCAGTCGAGTCTCCGTCTCTTGACCGCAAACTGTTCCAATAACTCAACCCTTTCTTTGAGACGAGCATTCTCTTTCTCTAAATTCCCACGATCCAGAATTAAATCATCGCGGTACCTTTTTTGTGTTCTGGGTGATCCTTCTATACATTTATCCAAGATGTCCCGGTGCTTCTTGGACGACATCACTGAATCAGATGATTCTGTCTCTGGAGTCCGAGCCCGAGGGGTCTTTGGCGGCCTGGGTGTCCTGCATGGTGTAATAGGCTGATGATTGTGGAAAGTCTCACTGTCACTGTCGAATTGACCTCCCTCCGATTCGGAGGTATTGTCTCTGTCTTGGCTCTCCTGTGATCGCCGCGACGAAGGATGTGAGTACTCGCAGCTAGAGTGTCGACTCACTGACTCCGTCGAAGGCATGATTGGCAAAGGAACACTTGTTCTCGCCGTTCTTGGAGTGGTGTCGTCTGAGTAGAGACGACTATCAAGAATAGAGATTCTATCCTCTGGCACGGCAGTAGCTCGGTTCCCCTGGAGACAGTTCCGAAGGCGGAATTCATCTAGCGGCACAAGGCAGCTTTGACGCCAGATATCTGCAGCTTCTTCCGCCCGTTTAGATGAAGATACCTCTCCATCAATCCACGATGCAAACTCCCTCCCATCCAGTGTGATGGCATTTTCATTGTTATCGGAGAATCGCTTTCTCATGTAGTCTGTATAGCTCTGTTGCATGGGACCAAAAGCGATGTTTTCCATTGGGTTGAAGAACTGTTGATCATTCTTGGGGAAAGAAAGACACGCGATCCTGTTGTCCCAGCAGAACTTTTCGAACTCAGGAAAGACTATGCGGAATCGGTGGGAAATCAGCAGAATTCTCCATACTTGACGCCGACCTTTGGGTCGAGTCTCTGGCTCGAAGGTGTTCTTCAACCAATCAAGTGCATGATTGGCCTCAGACCAGCCTGACTGCGTAAAAGAAGCCTTGATTCGACCAAAGTTCTTGGTCTGCGGTGGATCTTGGCTCCTGCAGACAATGTAAGGGGGCAGGTGCTTTCCTCGTGTTGAGCAGCAGTGGATCACAGATGAGAACGCCCGTTCTTCTCTCTTGTGGTTTTGGTTCATTGGTCGAACGAACATAAGGCTTGCCTTTCGATACATAGTCGTAACAAATGCGGCATCCTCCATAGCATAGATGTTATCATTGGTAACCGCGAGTCGCTGCTTGATATCTTTGAATGCTTGAAAGAACTTCCAGGCTCTGCGATCTTCATGCGGACCTTTCAATTTTAGTGTGCTGCGCTCTTTGGCTATGTGATCAGCAAGTCCTTGATGGCGCGTCCAAAATCCCTTTTGCCAACCAATGTTGAGGTTCGGCCTGTTCTGACTATAGTTTGGGTGGTTGTGGAAATATGCATTGGCTGTATCTTTTGCCAACATGTGGTAAGGAAAGAATCCATGATTCAACCACCGCTCCACCTGCTCAACAACTGCATTTTCATCCTCGACCGAGAGAGCCGGTTGACCCATGACACCCGACTTCTTTCGCAGATATGCACCAGCAAGGTTTGTGGCAACTTCGGAAGCAATCGTGTGAGATGGGGGCGCCCCAACAATAGTGAGCATAACCTACCTGCCTTCAGGTATGTGATTACCCTGGGGCTTAAAAGCGAGGTACCGAGGATTTCAGAACAGCGGACCTGAAATTTTGACCTAAAAGAATTTTTTAGCGCTGAGAGTCAGTCCTGGGGTTATCAACATTGACCAAGCCTCCACTCTGTTAGTTCCATAAAAAGTCCGTTTTAGATTGGATGGCTGCAGTTTGTATGGCTATTGGAACTTTCTTGTTTGACACGAAACTGTCAATTTGGGTATAAAGTGGATGCTATTCCACTTCAGGCCGGCTGGTTTCCATAGTGACATGTACATGTATCCACAAAATGTTGAACATTTATTCTAGCTTGTTTTTCTCCCGGTAATTTTGCCGGCTGCAATTGTGATGAGCGAGATTGGCATAGCAGGGCACATCGAGTGAATGATACGAAAAGTAGTGTATAAAATATAATTAACCAGAGGGCGGCTCTGCGTTGTCGGATCGATTACCCCCTTTTGGACGTCGAGGATGGGGAAGACGGTTGCCATAATTGCTGGCAATTGAGATATGGTGGAGAGTTTGCAGAGGTAAAGATATTCTACAAAGCTAAGAGAGAAATTAAAGAGGAAGTTGACATGAGAGAAAGTTTATGTGTTGAAGGATCGCGATTCCGGTATTATGAATCCCGGTACTCGCACCAATATGGATGTATGAAATTGAGTTATTCTGTACAAAAATGCCCATCTAAGTCCTAGAATCCACAGTGCAATGATAAATCAAATCTTGTATTCAACGAATCCTTGATCCTTAGGAAACTTGAACAGTGCAGCCAATGCTCGACACAGAATGATAAACTTTCTAGGGCAATGATGTGGAGTTCAGGTTGTTGCAAGAAACATCGAAGAAATCTCTATCAAACCGTCTGTATAGTGAGGGTCCCGATGTTTTGAAGGGGTTCGTTTCATGGCCTGATGTTACTAAGGAATCATGATGTTAGGCCCGAGTCAGCGATCGGGATGAATGGAGTTCCAATGTTTGGTGGCAGGTGCTCCGCGCGTATCCACAGCGCTGAACGACCCAGGTCCAAAGCAGATGACTGTTGACACCATGAGAACTTTGACGATAGTTGTCACTTATGCTCAAGTCAATTGGCCCTTGACCTCGGGAACTGCGGCCTGTGAGTTGTTTATATAAGCAACACATGACAGGTGTCAATGCCAAAACTAGTAAGACGCGACTCTCCTCGCGCGCATGTGGGTATTTCTTCCTATGTCTACCTTCAATCACCGTCAGAAGTGTCTAAGGACACCACACCCTAGTTTATATGCAAATACTCTTATAACCTAAAACCAACATGGCTGTAGCATCAGTCCCAATAACACACGGCGGTGACAGTAAGTATTTCTGGCTCAAATATGATATGGATACTAACTAGACCACAGGTTTTCTGACCTCAGTCGCAACACTGAACAGTCGCGTCTTCGATACCGACCCGGTCATCACGTACATGTTGCTAACCCTGTCTCAGCAAGAAAGGTCGGCTTATCTGCCGACATTCTGGACCACGCTCATCAAGTCAGCCTTGCTTAATGACGCAGTGATTACCGAAGCCGATGGCTGGAAAGCAGCATCTGTCATGACTCCGCCAGGCCGATACATGGACAATACCTGGACTCTTGTATGGGCTGGATTTCTGAGCGTGCTGTGGAAACTAGGCCTGCCCGGCGTTAGGGTGAGCCAAACCTCAATATTCTCGCAGAGGACACTCCTAGGTTAACCAATTATCTAGCGTCTTTGGTTCGAATTCTCTGGTATGGTCGACAACGCGAAGAGAAACGGTCTACGTGGACAGACCCAGTACTACTACATCTTCAGTATCGGAACCGAGCACGAACACCGTAGAAAAGGTAAGACAGCGCCATTCGAGGCTCCGTCGTTCTCCATCTCTTACTGATCCTTTTCCAGGCCTCGCCAAAGCGATCCTGCGCGATCACCAGCAGGATGCCCAAGCCGCGAACCTGCCGATCTGGCTCGAAGCAACGACTGCAGGCTCGCGCGCTCTCTACCTGTCGATGGGTTTCGAGGAGGTCGAAGAGATTCGGCTAGGAAAAGGCAAAGTAGCTGCTGATGCTAGTCCTCAGTCTGATGGACCGGGAGTTTCCCTTTGGGCGATGGTTTGGTGGCCAACCCCACCTCCTGAAGCTACTTCCTAAGGGGTATCGGCGTCCTTCTGCTTATCCATACGCTCATTGCTGGCATATGTATGTATATAGGCGCTGACTATCAACAACCTTATTTTATTCATATTTGTGCAATATTTCATTATGGGCGATATGATCCTGCTATTTCAAAACAGCCAACAGTATACATATGTACCGCCTAGCGAACCGCTAACCCGACCAAAAGGCAAGCTCAGCAAACCTTCTGCACGCTATTCAAATCCTTTGGAATAACACCAGCCTTGACAGCATCTGCAAGAGGTCAGCTACCATCCTCAATAATCTACGAATTAAAGGAAACTCACCCTGATAAGACCACCGGTAATCATTCAGCTGAGCTTTCCAAGTCCAAAAGACCCATCCCTGCTGCTGCTCATAGGAGTGAACCTGCGCCGCAAACCATTTTCCATAAAATTCGGTATTAGAACTGGGCTCCCAATCCGGCGACCCCTCGACATCGTCCGGTACAGAGAGACTCCATTCGCCAACGATATTAGGGAAGTTACTATCACGCTTATCACCGCAGGATGAGCTGATGTAGTTATCATGCGAAACATCAACGCTAGTATCCCACTTCAGGTAGCGGTGATCATCATAGGCCATGTAGGTCAAGTCCTCGAGATGCTCGTTAGGATCGCCGGAGCCCCAGGCTTTATCCATGGTCTGAATATGGAGGTAGTCATTGGCGTTGATAGAGAGCTTCGTCTCAGCAGCACGGATACGCTATACTCACACATTAGCCCGTAACCACTCAACAAAGACCAAGATACCTCCTCACCTCAACAGCTTTGGGGTAATACTCCGACCGCATAGACGAAGCCATCCCCTGATCCTGAACAGGCTCATTAACAACCTCCAACATCCCCACATTCCTCATCTCATCAGTCTTATAGACAAGCTCAACCATCCACTCGAGCCACTTAAGTGCTCTCTCATAGTTATAATCCGTATAGAATCCAGGCGTAGCAGCATACTGTCCGGTAAACGAATTCTCCGCTGTCTGCGCACCGGGCGCACCATGCAAATCCATGATAATATACAAACCATTGTCACTAGCCCACCCACACACTTTCTTCAGATACTCAAGTCCACCCTGCGGGAAATGCTCGCTGCCATCAACCAGGTCCTCGCGCAGCCAATAACCAACCGGTACGCGGATAGTGTTCAAGCCATAGCTCACGATCTCGTCGATATCATCCTGTGTAGTCCACGACTCCCAGTGTTTGGCGAAGGCGGCGTTCGCGGCGTCTTGACCCAGTGAGGAAACGCAGTCGAATTCGGATTTCTGCCCGTCGCAGCCCATGTCCGTCCATGCTTGCTGGGCAATCCAGGGTTCGAATATGAATTGGGAGCCGAGGTTTACGCCGCGGATTTTGCCGTTGGAGAGCTCAAAGAGGTTTGTGCCATCTTTTGAGGTGATGGATTTGTTTTCTTCTGGGAGCCAGGCTGTTGCTAGGGTAGTCAGGGTGGTGAAAGCGGCGAATTTGGATATCACGCCCATAATGGCGAATTGTGAGTGTGTGGTATTGAGTTGGATGAAGAGATGGATGCTTAGAAGGAGAAATAGGTGGATGTCATCGAATATAAATAATGTCCCTTGTATTCCCCAAATCCCCGCAATCTATGTACTTGAATTACATGTCTTAGTGGATATTATGTCCCGCGATGTTACAACGTAGTCCTGGGGATGAAACCGCCCGTTCCTTGATTAGGAAATTGTGCTCATGTCAGATGCTTGTGCTCATGTCAGATGCTTGTGCTCATGTCAGATGCACACCGTCTGGGTTCCGGGTTGGTTCTAGATTACTATTATGGTTGTAGTGGTTTCTAAGAATCTGGTAGGAACGATCTTTTACCTCCTAGGTTTCGTCGATCTGAATATTAGCGGCTGTACCTATTTGGCACTCCTAGCTGCATGTGAGATTATCCATGGTCCCTGTTAATTAATCACTCGCTCCGGGGTTTCCCTGTGGATAAGCTGGTCAGCTTGGTAGATGATCATCTCGAAACTCGATTGATTTGGCAAATGCAGGCTTCCAAGAAGGGGGCCAGATCGACAGCCAAATATAGAACACATTTGGGGCTGTCAGCCCATTGACTGTGCTTAACAGTATTCCCATGGACACTTTGTGGATTTCTGCAATTATTCTACTTATTCGTAAAATCACCTGGGCTTTCATCATGGCCTACATGAAGATTCTACCGACTACAATGGAGCAAATATCAGACAACGTTAATTATCATTAGAGAACATTAAAGATCATAATTGCGTGCGTTGCAATCAATATAAGAAAATCATAAAATATCACCTCACAGCGCCTTGAGCAATTCCTGGATCAAAGGTAAGAAGCTTGTAACATCATCTATCAGGATTGATGTCTCATTGACGAATTTAGGAGTGAGGAGATCATGAGCGTTCGCCAAGAGCGCGCCAACATCCGAAATAGTAGAGGGCTTGAGCAACTTCTTCACCTCGGGCATCAAGTCGGGTACGTATCCAAGAATATCCTTGAGCACGCTGACTACCTTGGGAGTTAGAAGGCCATCGGCGTTGTCGATGAGGTCTGTGGTCTCGACGACGAAGTGGGGCGTGAGCAAAGTGGTAGCGTTGGTCACGATGTATCCCAAGTCGGTGATGATGGTTGTGTTCAGGAGTGACCTTCTGAGATCTGGGATCAGAGGACCGACGTCGCCGAGGAGTTCCTTCAGTCCAGTGACGATGCCTGGGGTCAGGAGGTCGTCGGCGTTGTCGATCAGACCAATGGTCTCGTTGACGAACTTGGGGGTCAAGAGGGTGTTGGCGTTGGTCAAGAGAGAACCAATGGCAGAGATGGTGCTCTTGTTCAGAAGCAACTTCAGCTCGGGCAGCAGAGGAATGACGTCCTTCAGGATTGACTTCAGTCCACTGGCCACCTCCGGAGTGAGGAGGTCGCCGGCCTCGCCGACTAGACCCTTGGTGTCCTTGACGAAATCCGACGTGAGCAGATCTCCGGCATTGTTCAAAAGGGTCTCGATCGACTTGATCATATCCTTGGTCAACAGCGACTGCAACTCGGGAATCAGCGGCGTAAGATCGCTGAGGAGCGACTTGAGAGCCTTGACTAGGTCGGGGGTGAGAAGGCCGACAGCCTCGGTGATCAGGGTGTTAGTGTCCTCGACGAAGGATTCTGTGAGGAGCTTGTTGGCATTGCTTAGTACATTCTCGATCGCCTTGATAGTGGCTGGCTTGAGCAGGCCCTTCAGCTCGGGAATGATAGGAGCGAGCTGAACGAGGAGAGACTTCAGACTGTCAATGGTATCCGAAGACAAGAGCTCGCTGGCTTCATCGATGAGGCTCGTGGTCTGGTTTACGAAGCTGGTAGTCAACAGGCTGTTGGCATTGCCAATCAGACTCTCAATCTCCTTGACATTGCCCTCGGTAAGAAGACCGCTAGCCTGGCTGATGAGGGGACCGGCCTGCTTGATGAGCTTGCCAGTAGTCGAAATAAAGCCGGGCGTGAGCAGCTTGTTGGCATTGTTCAAGAGTGCCTCAATCTCCTTGACATTGCCCTCGGTAAGAAGACCGCTAGCCTGGTTGATGAGGGGACCGGCCTGCTTGATGAGCTTGCCAGTAGTCGAGATGAAGCTGGGCGTGAGCAACTTGTTGGCGTTGCCGAGCAGACTCTCAATTGCCTTGACATTGCCCTCGGTGAGTAGACCACTGGCGTCATCGATAAGAGGGCTGGCCTTGCTGATGAGGTTGCTGGTCTCCTTGACAAAGGTGGCAGTGAGCAGCGTGTTGGCGTTTGTTAATAGTGACTCAATCGCGTGAACATTCTTCTCGGTAAGTAGGCCGCTCGCGTCGTCAATGAGAGGGCTGGCCTTCTCAATGAGGTTTGTGGTCTGCTTGACAAAGTTGGAGGTGAGGAGGTCGTTGGCGTTGTCGATGAGGCTGTCCACCTTGTCGATAAACTGACTGGACAACAATTTGTTGGCGACCTTAAGAAGCGTTCCAATCTCCTTGGTATTCTCTGCGGTCAAGAGCTCGTTGGCATTGTCAATGAGAGAACCGGTCTTCTTGACGAAGCTCGAAGTCAGGAGGTCGTTGCCATTGGCCACCAGGGTTCGGAGCTGGTTGTCGACTGGAGGTGCTAGACCGGTAGAAAGATACTCGAAGGTGTCGGCAAAGTTACCCAAGAATTTGGGGTTAAGCAGACTTTCAAGCCCATGCAGAAGGTCCCCGATACCGCCACTGCTACCGCCGAACAAATCCGAGATAGCTTCTTTCATGTCTGGCAGAATAGATTTGGCAGTATCACCGCTGTCCGAGTCGCTGTCGGAATCACTATCAGAGTTGGTAGACTTTGTGCTTGAAGTGCCTGTAGCAGGGGCAGCGGAGGTAGTCTCGGCAGCGGAGGTAGTCTCGGCAGCGGAGGACTTAGGCTCAGTAGCCGAACTATCAGCAGGCTTGGTGGGGGCGGCTGCATTGGCTGCATCGGTTGATTCATTCGTGTCTACACCAAGAGCAGTCTTTATGCCGCCAACCACGGATTCCACGGGGTTGGCCTTGGTCGGGTCGGCAGTATCTGCGCTAGCGGTATCATCTTCTTCCTCCGCAGGCACAGCAGCAGCCGTGTTAGCGGCTTTGTCTGTGTTGGCGGCAGTAGTAGTGTCTGCGACAGCGGCATTGGCCTGGTTGACATTGTTTGCTTGAGCAGCCGAGGTTGTCGGGGCGGCCTCGTCTACAACGTTCACGGCGGGAGTGGCGGATTGCGTTGGGCCTGAAGCAGCAGCCGGACTTCCTGTCACATTGACTGCGAACAGGAGCGCGGTGGCTAGCGTTGGTAAAAGACGCATGTTGTATGGGCCGATCTGGCTGTCGTTTCTTTATTTGATATCTTGTCCAGCCAGTCCAATTGGCGTCGATTCCCCAAACCTGTCGTCCAAAGGTTTGTTGCTGAACAGGAAGAGCCTTCGGGATATTCAAAAACTCAAACTTGGAGCGAGCCGGGTCTTTATTTGCATTGTAATGGTCCCGATCGTCGCCCATCAGCCAGGGCTCCGGCTAACCGCAATTGTACTAACATCTCCTTTTTTGCGTATAGAGTACGATGTAGCTCCATCATCGCCGAGGAAATAGGGATCGACACCGAGGCAGATACTGATAAGCTACCATGTGATGGGCATTGATGGGCATTGATGAGCAATTTTCATCACAACTCCATGTCGTAGCAGAGTCTAACAGCTCGCCGTCAGCCGTGCCTGGGGACTAGGTAGGGATCGGCACGACTAGTAGGAAAAACACATAGGAATTCCACTCCCGAGGTCCAGCCAGGCACATGTGCTAGCTTTGGGGGCTGGGCATCTATTAAGCCCATCGCAAAGCTTTTGCGTACGAAGTATATTGGTGTACATTGGGGGATGCGGGATTTCCGGGGGAAATGGCAAAAGCGGGGGATGATATTTCCCCACAAGAGCCATGGGAATCAAAGCCAATGATGATGTGGCTGACGTTGGAAATCCGAACAGGATGAGAGGGGAGGTTCGGAGTTGAGGCTGAAAGAGGAAAAGAACTACATATTGTTGCTCATCTCTGCTCATCTCTGCTCATCTCCACCAAATCTCCACCAAAAGCTTCGCAATTCTCATACATCAAATTGGACATGGTATTCTCTATTATATTTGTTTATATTTGAAAATTAACCATCATTGAGAGATTCCTCATATGAGTTTCTATATATGGAGGAACAATCGGTAACTACAGAGTACTACTTTATAACGGGACGAAAGAGGATGAGATCGTCGAGTGTCTAGACTTGGAAAGCTTAAGCGTTCATCTTTTTATTGCCTACTATTTGCTTCCTTGTTTTTGGATTCTAGGTGTGTTAAACCATCCTTCTGTACGGAACACCCTATATTCTATACATACTGGCTAGATCTCTGTCTTCCTCAATGCCACATTCCTTCAGCACTCTCAATCGCGTGTCTGGATGAACTCGACCATGAGGCAAATGACTTGAATCTCAGAAACCACGTGCGAGCCTCCTTATGATTGGCTAGGTTTCCCAGTGGAAGACGCTTCCACTCTGCGTCTTCCTCTCCGAGCCCGAAGCCAGACCCCGTAAATTCCTACCACACAGGGAAATACCCTGAGTCCTCCCAGTCAATCGGAGCGCTCAACTCAAAGTTTGTTGGGTCCACGATAATGATGCAACTACAGTAGTCAAGTCCCCGTGGGTAAAGGTCCACAGGTGCGGAGAAGACATGCCATCGTGGAGCCGCGATCTAAAAACTTCCTGTATTTTGTCGGCCGTGCGCAGTGCGCCATGTTGAACTCCAAAATCCTGCCCTGTAAACAAATGAACACAACAAACCGGTTAGCCGTGTACACTTTCCATCTTAGCGGAGTGGAACGAGCGGAGCTGCCCCAGGTAGTCTGTCGAGCGAGTTTCTCCCGGTCGGGTTGGGGGATTGACAACCAGATCTCCTTTAATGGTACCCCAGGCACCCGCCCGACGATCTGGGAATATTTTTCGCCTTCGGTCCACTCCTGGTAGTGTAGACGGGATGGTGGTATTCTCTTTGATGAAGTGGGTGTTGATGACCTCATAACTTGGGGATCCTTCTGGCGCTCTTTGAGAAGAAACTTCAACCGAGGGACTAGTAGCCCCGAGTGCTGACTCCCTGGAAGAGGCGCACGCTACTCTCGTAGGCGCAGCGTCTTTGCTGATCTGGGGTCCATTTGCGTGCGGGGCAGGGGACCGATGATGACATTGAAGCTTTTATTCCGTATTTCCTTGAAAGTGATATATTAGATAGATTAATCTGTCCCAGGTTGATGAGATCCAAATAAGAGGATCACTAGATAAACTGCTCGGTTCTTTCAATGTACTAGCGGGGAGTAAACAAGACTCTACCCGTGAAGTGTAAGCACATACCTCCGGATGGATGCATGCGCAATGACCTATCGTGTATATTGTATATTAAAATGATACATCTCTTGGTAGATTTGGAGAGCCTCGGGTTTTAATTCTAATGAAAAGCCGTTGATCGCACTTAGCATTTGTCTCAGTTGCCTCTTTACTTCTACCTCAGTCGCTTCATCGCTTGAACTTTTGCAATTTTGTGACCATAGCGATATTGTCTTTCAAGATATGATATCCCATGCAGTTCAGACTAGTGCAGGGCGAGACTCGAAATAGGGTTTTAGAGGGTTGGATAAAACCTTGGAAGTACTATGTAGCAGTGATACGGGCTATGAAAGAACCACAGTGAGATGTGTTACTTTGAATGAGAAGAAGTATCTCACTCTGTCCTCTCCTTTGACTAATAACAGAGACCCAAACAATTTACTTGGAGTATTAAAAATCAGTCAAGAGATACTCTGGAAAAGAGTTGGGCATGAACGTTGCTCCCAAGTTTTCCTTCCACAGGCTAATTAATTACCTATTAGTCGCTTGAAAACTCCCGAGATAAGTGCACATAGAATAAATCAGTACTGTTATTAGTTTACTATCTCGTCGAGATTTAAAATATCCCTCTTCGTTCTTCCAAATCCACCCCAGAAAAACGGATGTGTAAGCGGTAGTCTAACTACCTTACTTCTATATTGTAGCGCAGTTGAACTCATATGCACATTTAATTTAACTCCGTGCCCACCTAAGATATGAAAATCCTCCTACTTATTCCTGTCTGGGCCCCGGTGAAGTATTCACTGTTGGAAGCTCCCTTGGCTATCAGGTATAGTGCTCTCAGGGGCTATTTAGTCAAACGGATGTTCTACACAATCATGTATTGAGTATGGAGTACTTCGTATATTGTATTATAGAGCTAGCTAGAAATCAGAGTCCAGAGTTGAGCTCACCGCAATTATGCTTGAAAAGGGACTATCGGTTCAGCCCGAGTCGATCCCAGTATATATTGGGCGTTCCCGGCAAGTCCCGGATACACCCAAACCCCTGGAACTAGGGAGAGATATTGACCCACTGACAAATCAAAGGGATATCGATTTCGATCGGATCGAATCGAAATGTCCGATCGGGGGAGTAAACAGGCGTCAACGGAATCATTCGTACAACATGCCATTATCCGAGACATAAGTCCTAGAATGAGCATGAAAGCAGCCTGAAGGATCAAATGTCATACGAGTGAGGTAAGCCTAGATCCTCCACATCACCCCATAATCTCGATGTATATTGTACCTCATGCTTTCGTAGGCTCTCCAGAACGTTCATAAGTGGATCCTAAAACGTAAGTACTGTAAGGAGACAAATCGTTAGAAAGCAAGAAGAAAATGTATAGGAATTGTCCGTATGTCATAGAGCAAAGTCAAGTAACACCCGGGATATCCCCGGCCGGCCGAACCGACACTCCACATAACCCTTTTACCGTCCTCACCTTCCCTTGAAGTGTAAGCGACTTCAGATGCTTCAGACGTTGATTTGTCCACTTAATGCACTCCGTGCTCCATACCAGATGTGAAGGATTCCGTCGGCCGACCAACTTGAAACCCCCGAGATTCGGGGACCCTTGCAGCTGACATCTATGTTGTAAGAAATGTGCCAACTTTCACTTTTCTACTTTCTTCTACACTTTACAAGACCGAGTTTAAAAATTCAGTTTTGACCTTATGTTTTGCACGGATATATGCGATATCATTCCTCCCTGTGGGGTAGGGGAAGGGGGTATGTATATAGCGCACCAGATGCTGACCTCATAGGAGATGCCAGGTATTGTATATTCCCGTTATTCCATGTTCCCCAAATGCCAGACCAGGGAAAGAAAACAATAAACAATAAAAAAAAAATAGTACATGGGCAGTTACACTATTGGGTTATTCCCGCTCATGCTAGGGAATAACATCACATCAGAAACACGACCAAGAATGTTTCGCATGCTCACACCTTCCATCGGCTGCAGACCTGCACTGGTGCTAGCCGATGATGTCACGTCCGGGCTGGGGGCAAGAGACGGAGGGGAAGGCAACACAAGGGGCGAATATGTTGTGCTCGATGGTTGCCCGGTTGAACTATCCGTGCGAGTGCTAAATGCCTCGCGGATCTCCCGCAGAGCACGGAGTGACGAAGAAAGATGCTTGGCAGAGTCGGTACGGTTGTTGTGGTCCATGTCACTGTCTGCATAGACATGGTCCCCCAGAACCATCTCCAGCCTATCGATCAGCTGCCACGTCTGGGGGCTGTCGTCATTTGCAACGAGCAAAAATGCCGAGGCAATACTTCGCTGCAGACTGATCCAGGACCGTGAGCAGTGGGAATTGATTTCGTGCAATTCGACAAATGCGTCAATTGTGTTGAACAGACTGCCGATGCAGTCTTCGCGAATCATGGCGCGACGCGGTGCATCCAAATGCGCATGTGGATCGAGCGAGACGCGACAGAGGACAGAGAGAAGGTAGGAGGAGTGGAGGCGCAATTCGGTTCGCTCAATATGCTCCGCTAGTGATCGACAGTTGTCTCGATGCCGCAGATGTGGAGTCGCTTCGGCGAGCATCCGGTGGATCTGTTGTTTATACTCACGGATCTCTTGAATACGTAACTGGGATGATCCAGGATACATACGCGACCGCAGGACCTCCAACGCCAAGGATACAATGCGACAGAGAGTCTCAAAATAGGAGTGATAGCCCGGCAATGATTTGGGATCGAATGGAATTTCAGGTTGGCTGACCATGGTGATCGATGGTCGGTCATAAGCAAGTGAGAAATGGCTGTTCTGGAAGGCCATTGTCCACCTGAGAAATGTAAGTTTGAGATCGGCCAAAAGACGAAAAAAAAGGTATACATACCAGACACGCCTTCGCACTTCCTGGTCTGCAGCTGAAAACCCGATCGAATCAACATGGAGCCCAAGAACAAGACACATTCGCTCCGTCATACCTGATATCGGTTAGCTTGACCAACTTTCAATCGAAACACTCGACACGTACCAAGCAAAGTGTATGATGCACCTGCGTTCATATTGTATGAAAGAACATTGCTAATGATGAGAAGAATCTGAATTACTTCTACAGTGGGCTGCGACACATAATTCAACATCCGAAGACATTGGTATGCACAGGAAACTGGAGAAAGTCAGCACAACGCTCCCGAGCTTTCTAGAATGTGACGCACCATATACCCATGAGGTCAACTCACGGTCGCTTTCTGGGATACCAGACAGCTGACATCCCGATGCAAGAACTGCAAAAAGCAGACTGAGAAAAGCTAAAGGCATCCCGAATGGTTTCACTAATCCATTGGCATCGGCTTTATAAACACCCCCCGCTCGTCGTCGATTATCGAGAAGTCGTTTGGTTTGTCGTGCTAATTGTGTTGTGTCCGACAGTACTGGGTATAAAACTGATCCTATATCCTGGTAGAACGCCAGGAACCTGACAATTAGAATTAGCATGCATCACAGACCACCGGATATATTCGACTTACTCCAAACACCGTTCGTCTTCCGGAAGAATCGCACAAACACCGGCAATATTGAATGTGAACGGGTCGGAGGACCACAAATCCACAAAGGGATATGCAACCGACTCATTCCCCAAAGCAAGTTCAGCAAGAAGATCATCCTGGGGCAGCGCCTGCGCTGTATTCTCCGACCTCTTCGATTTGTCCAAGATATCAACCAAAGCCGACCGCGACCCGAGATGGACTGTGCCCGTCTTCAAGGCATTCGACCCGTAGACACCTTCCGACCGGGTGGAATTTTTTCGTTCGATCAGTTCAGGTTCTAGGTCTGGTTCTGGCGGCTTATGAGTCGAGTGTTTCTGGAAGAGTGAGTGCAGACTGCCGATGATTTGTTCCATTGCGACCATCTTGGAGTTGATTTCATCCCACTCAGTCTGGGAGATATCAATTATCTCCGGTAAATCCGGATCCGCGCTGGCGGTCGAGGGATGATCGGTTGCATATGAGCCATCGAGTGTGGGAGCCGAGTTGGCATATGGGGGAATCGTGGGGGAAACGAAGGTAGGTTGCTGTGATCGCGTGGAGGAGACTGTGACGACGGTAGGAGGGGAAGGTTTTGCAGACGATGGACGACCGTAGGAGCAGGTGAAGTTTCGTTTGGTGCAATTGCCGCAGGGGACGTTGCGATCGCAGCGGACTTTGCTTGCTCGGCAAGGTAGACAGGTCTTGCACTCGCGCGGCCGGCGGCGGATAGGGTAAGTTGGCATAATGTGAATTTTCTTTTTTTTCGTTCTTAATTTTTTTCCTCACAACCGGATCCCCGCGATTGACGGCAATGAAATGATGGAAGAGGCTGCCTGCGGCGACCGGGCAATAAGAGGGAGCGGCATAGGAAGACGTAGATTAAGGTGAAGACTGAAAATGGACAGCTCTCACTGGTGCTGACCAGTCGGAATAACGCCAATCACTAATTGGTACAGAGACTAGGCTTGGGGCGATTGCTGCGATGGCGTTCGACTGTGTCTATCATAGGCCAAAGGAGGTCCGTGAGCTGCCCCGGATTGTTCTGCAAATAGCCAGCAGCAGAAACGAAAGTAATCGAGATAAGATGTGGCCCTGAAAAGGCTTAAACCTTTCAATATAGTGCCGGGGTTATTAGGATTCGAACTAAAAGAAGTGTGCGGGAAAAGAGTTGTAAATTGTGAAGATGCCCAGGTGGCAGAGGTTGATTTCATAACCAGCGGGTATTCCCGTTGGACATGACAGGCCCCGAGTTGGGAATTGGGTATTTTTTTAAACTTTTTTATACTTCGTGTTACTGACTTAAAGATAACTGACTTAAAGATAAATGTATAAGTATCTATGCATATCTGAAATCACTTTTGACGTATTTACTATGCATGTGTAAGCCTACAGCTCTAATTGGCTCAACCCACACTATATATATATATATATATATGTACAGGTCCGCTGGGTTTATATAAAGCCATGATCATTTCTAGAACGAATAAAAGGTATCACTTATACAGCAGTAGTTACTGGAGAAATCAGACAGACGCATTCCATAGGTTGACATATCTTTCACGTCTTGGACTTCTTCTCAGACACCTGCGGTACCACCCACCAGTCATGCCAACGAGACTTAGATCCAACCTGAGGAACAACCACCTCTAGATTGAGTGGTTTGTCTTCAGAAGCTGCCGCAGAGAGTGCCTTCTTGACCGCCTCAACAGCAAGACTGGTTCCAATGCAGGCACGCATAGTGTTCTTCATGTTGCGCTTCCAATCCTCTTCAATGGCCGAGGGTCGCGGTGTGTTTGGCGCAGAAAGGTCATCAATGAATGCCCCGTTGGCAAGGGTCGCCTCCCACGCCTTGCGCGCTTCTGTAATGGCTTTGGAGGCACGCTCCAGAATGGTAGCATCGGAATCACCCTCGAGAGCTGCCTCGCGCTGGTATTCCTCGTATGGGACCAATTCCGGCAATGTGATTGGGATAAACGGCTTCATCCGAATTTCGTAGCGAAGCCGGTCCGTGGAATATGCCTGGGGAGACGACGCAGATGGGAGCACGTTGTGCCGGGCCAGTACAACATACAACGCATGTAGAGCAATCGCAAAGGCATCCACCGCAATGATGTGCGTGGTTAGCCTCTCCAAAGCGTGGAATGATCGGTGGAACGCCGATGCTTTTTGGGCGGAACTTCCAGAACGGTCGCCACTGGCCATCAAGTCGCGTTTTCGTGCAGCCACAGTAAACGTACGAATGCGATCAATGTGACTGAGATGTGTAGAACAAATATGAGACAAATACCAATACATGCCCGGTAACTCTTCCGGTGAGTAGATCGACAACTCAAAGCCCATCTGGAGAATGAGTCTGAATTGGACAAGCTTTTGGTGATAAGCCCAGCTGCTAAGTGGGAAAGACCAAGTCGGTTCGCCGCCTTGGAATTGTAGAGGTGGTTCCGCACTCAAAATGCGGAGTTCAAGATCAATTTCTTCTGCCTGCATTGGATCAGCATCGACACTCAAATGGCAAAGAGACTCGGGGCAAGACTGACCTCCATCTGCAGATTGTCCCAATCGATGAGGGTGTGGCAGAGTGTTCGGCGAATGCGACACCTATTGAGACAGGCGCACCGCACAGTATCAACAAACGGCTGTGAAAGTTAGCGAATGGGACATGTCAGATCTATATGTACACTAACCTGGGCGAATCGCTTCATGAAACCATCCATCTTTTGAGCAATCTGGAACCGAGGATCGGACGGAACTTCCACTTCATCGGTGTTAGCCTCGAGCAAAATATTGGCAGGCAAGACGAGTTCCGCTAGTTCATCGTATAGGAAGTCCTTGACTGGTATGGCGCCGAGGATCGTCATGTTGCTGACAATCAATGCTTGGAGAAGACAACGGATATAAATAGATGGTTGTGGTTTTCGAGAAAGGAAAGTCCACACAGCAGTCTGCAATATGAGTTAGAAGCAACATTAGACCCGAGTTCAGGATTGCATACCTTGAAATTGCTGGGACCAGTGTAATCAAGCATTTGCTGCATATCTATCGCATCTTGGCACAGTCTTTTCAGATGTGCCAGCGCATCATCGGAGTTAATATTAACCATCGGACGAGGTGGCACTGTGCTAGCCAGCTTCCGTTGAATCTTCAAGCTGAAGGCATCTGGCACTGGCCTTCCCAGCGCCACTGTCTCTGACAAAGGTTGGAGTTGAGCTATACACGAGGAAAAGTTTTTTGTAGATCTGGTTTCAAGAACCTCAAGGTCCTGATCTAGTGCAGACAAAAACTCATGCCGAAACACTAGTCTGCAATGGATGGCATCTTTGAGTTTCTGGTCAATATCGGTCTGCTCAGCAACCCAAGCAACCGCCTGGTCCAGCAGACGGTGAAAGTGGGATATACTCCAGGCAGACAGAAGATTGCGGTTGTATAGTTGACTGACAAAATCCTCTTCCTAGTTGGCGGATGGTATTAGCAACGGTCATATTTTGCGACTTAGTCGACTTACCTCATAATAATATTCAGTGGCCACTCGGATGTGCACAAGATCACAAGCTTTGACCAACCCAAGACAATAAGCTCTCAAGACGAGGTTGACCAAAGGAGCATCACTTGGTACACGGTCAAATCGAGCGTCCTCCATGGTCCTCGGCACAGGCCACAACAATTTATCGAGGTAGATTGACGTAAATAGCGTCTGCGATAGAGGATGTCCCTTATGCCACGCCACCTGCTATTAAATCAGCAATCTGCCTGTCCCCATATGGGCGATATAATCTCCCACCTCGTGGCACAACAACTGGTCCATCAAGCCAATGACTTCCTCTGGTGTCAACGGCCGCCGCACGTCGTAGTCGTCTTCCAGCGCCTGCGCAAGATTTTCCCCGGGGGCTATGTAGCCGCTATCCATCTTCGAGTCCATAATCTGTGCGGTTTTAATCGTCGTCAGCTGCAATTCTCGTTGCATGTTTCACATCCGGTGAGAAAGCTAACGCACCTCCAATGCGCCCACGGCTTCGAACAATGTGAACGTTTCATCTTTCACGAGTTGCCCTGTATTGAGATCTACAAGTACAAATAATTAGAGACTTGATCAAAGTAGCCGGGGGCAACATGCTTACTCGCGGCAGCTTTTGTAAATTCATCGGTTATGTCGCGGGGTGCGGGTTGCGCAACGAACCGCGGACGGGGAACGCGAACTTCATTATTCGGCAGCATCGCGAAGGATCCTAAGTTCCCGCAGTGTAGTTTTTATTAGAGGACTTCAAACAAGTATTGTGCTGTTGGACGTGTTTGGAGGAATTGACAAATCGAGGGGAAGAGGCGGGGACGTGAGCGGAGGAAAAAGCGAGTCGGCCAGTCGACAACTGGACCCTAGAGGTGACGTGCAACCTCTGACCGGCCACGCTCGGGCAGTATCCATATGAATTCTTACGGCAGTTTTAATTAACAGTTTATACGTCGTTTGAAAACAAGACGAGTGCGATTTCTAAGCTCTGCCCAACCAGACAGGCCGGTATTGCTACACATGTACATTTCAATGCCTCCCCCGGACCAAAAATTCGCTCAAGTCCGTCACACTCGGGCCCTGCATATCTCCAAGCTCGATTCTCTCAGGTTATGGGTGAATAAGGCTTATTTCTCGGCAGCCTTGGCGAGGGCCTCGTTGTTGGCCTGGGCAAGGGACTTGACCTCACCCTGCCTGCCGTTCTGTTCGTCGTAACATTGTCATCAGTCAAAAGTGTGCAGCACAGAGCTCGGGAGTTCACTAACCTCCCACTTGGCAAAACGGAGGTCCATCTGGCCGCGGCGCTCAGATGTGAGGCGAGGACCTTCCTTCAAGGAACGGCGCACCGTGCGGGCGGCGATGGCCAGGTAGCGGTTGTAGCTGGGTCGGCGTTAGCATTGCATTTGAAGACGATTCGTGAATGCGTACGTCAAACCGGCGGCTTTCCAGGCAGCAGTCATTTTGAAGAGAATGTGGGAGGTATGGTTCGATTGAAGGGGTGAAAACGGTTCGGGTGAGTTTGGAAGCGTTCGACTTCGGAGGATCGGGATGACAAGGTCACGTGAATATGCGTCTGCTTTGGGAAGGCGGTGACTATGCAGCGGTGAGGATTTGGTCGGGTTGAATATTTGGTGCCAATAGTGCACGTGATCCGGAATATAGCTTGGCCGAGAATGAAAGGTTCCAAGGTTAATCCGGTATAGATTGATAAGCGTCTTCAGCGGTTTCTATCACGTGACTGTCGTTTATTTTGACAACATCCCTTGTGAGATGAACGCTATCCCACGCGACACACTATATTATCCAGTCTTAACAACGGTTAATTGATAAAATTATGACTGTGATGTGCGATTGGACTATTAATAAATACATTCTATGTCTTTCCTTTGTTTCTTCGATGGGGTGGGATGGATAGGCCTGACCGTGAAATTATATAGATCGTTCGTCACGTAGATTTGAGGAATACCCTCGTACAAAGAACCCACGACAACACAATATACTTTGTTCTTCAGCTACAACCCGTCGAATTGATAAAATTGTAATCGATATATGCCATTGGGTCATGCATAAATGCCTTCCATGCCTTTCCTTTTTTTCTTCGATGGTGATGGGGCGAATAGGCCTGACCGTGAAGTAATATAGATCGTTCGTCACATAGATTGAGGAATACCCTCGTACAAAGAACCCACAGCAACACGACACACTCTGATCTTCAGCCACAACACGTCGAATTGATGAAATTGTAATCGATATATGCCATTAGGTCATGCATAAATGCCTTCCATGCCTTTCCTTTCGCTTTTCCAGGGTGGTGGGGTGTGAAAGCATTGCCGCAAAGTTATATAGATCGTTCGTCCCAAGAGCACCAAAATGCACATCCTCGCCGTCTCAAATCCATTATTAGTCCCAATGCGTCTTCAGCTGCCTTGAAGTACTAAACCAGATGATTTATCAGCACATGTAAATAGAAACGTAGGCTCCAACAGGCAGACATAGACAAAGATTCAATATGCCTGCTTGTGGCGAAGGGTATAAAACGCGTCAATTTGAGTAAGCCACGTGCATAAAATACGCGTAGTCGATCTTGAAACCAAGAACCAAACAAGCACCCTAAGCACAACTGGAGTTCCAGGGTGGTTTGTTGCTCAAGGGCATTTGCCATCCCCACCACCTCTTTTGGTCTCGCCTTCTCTCACTTATCTTTCAATCCCATTAACCTTCATCCATCTCCCAACGTCCACAGCATTCTCCATCTTTCTGTGCTTCGATACCAAAGCATCTGCATCGACAGTCCTTTTTCATCATATCCACCAAGTGAGTAATGCAGCTTTGCGCTGGTTCTGGCCCATAGCCTCCCCCTGGCATATTCCCACTCCCCACCATGTGATCAGCATATGATTCTTGTGGCGCACTGTGATGGTTGGTACTCCGCATTTCCATCCAAGCTTCAGGTCATCTGGGTTGCTGTGTCACCCATTGACCTTGTCGAGGATTGGCTCTTGCACATCAACGTCCAAAATTTTGCAAGCTCATATCATTCGCATGACCTCTGGACACCTGTGGGGCTCCAGTCGAACATGTTAACAATCTTGCAATGTGATGGACTTGCATCCGACCGTCATTGGCCTCATGCCTTTCATGACACTGGAGGATGCCGATATCGCACACAGCATCACTATGGTATCGGACACCAATTGCTGCGAGTATGGGCGGCATCTTTGAGCCTTGCCCTAAGGCCTTACTGCCATGGCATTGCCACTCTTTGCATATTTGTCCCAACATAGCTTGCTTGTGCGATACACCGCAACATACTCCAGCCCCAAATGCGTACTTTGAAGGAATTCCGCATTGAGAACATTGCGTGTTTTGGGCTTGGTACATCACGGTCCTTTGTTGCCATACATCTCCCCTCTGCATAGAAAACATTCTCGAATGCCATACCTCCTGTGCTTCTGAGTTTGGAACTAATGTAGCAACACATTGATCATGGCCTGTTACCTCCTGATGCCCTGTCCCTATATTCCATATTTTTTTGTTTGTTATGAGCACAAATGCTAATAATCATGATGCCGCGCAGAAGGATACAAAGGAATTGTTCCTCCAACATGCCGACGAAGAAGAAGGCTGACGGCCGCAAGCGCGACAATGAGGCGGACCTCGCTGAGCTCGAAAGTCTCCGGAAGCAAGTTGCTGAACAGAGCAAGGCGCTGAAAGCTGAAGAGGCTCGCAAGGAGGAAGAGACCCAGGGCAAACGTCAGGTCAACAGCCGGCGCCAACGGACACTGGTTCGCTGGGATGGTACGTTTTTCTTTTTTTCTTTCCCCCATGATTCTCAATCCTACTTTATATTTGTGTTTCGGAGTTCATCGGGGAGGATGTCAAATCCGGGAGCATCCGTTGATGGAAAGATTGCTGTCACACTGACTTGCGTTCATATAAGGAATATTCCATTGAATTATGCTGACATTTGACTCGAACAGTGGATACCGACATTCGGCTTCTGCTGGCCATCCAGTATGCCTGCAATAAAGGCGGCGTCAAGATTCCATGGAAGGATGTCGCGGAAGCGATGGGAGAAAAGTTCACAGAGGGTGCCATCGTTCAGCATTTGTCCAAGCTGCGTACCAAACGGGATGAGCAGGATAAACCAAACCCGCCTCCACTGAAGCGTGCAGCAAATGGCCATCACAAGAGCGACACAAGCAACAAGAGTGATGCGTTGACTTCCCCAAAGGAGGACTCTGCGCCAAACACTCGTAGCACCAAGAAGCGGCGCCGTGATCCATCCGACGATGAATCCGAAGACAGCGTGTACACCCTGAAGAAGAAGCAGCCTGCAAAGAACAAGAAGAAGGACAAGGTCTTCGTTGCTCCCAAGCTGCGCACAAAGCGTGAGGATACCGACAGCAATGGCTCCCAGAAGCTGGTGTGTGTTGGAGCGGAATGGTTGCGTGACTTCGCTGGTGGTGACGAGCATGAAGTTGACCGTGAGGATGACGAAGAATCGGAAGGTTCTGAGACGGACTCAACTGAAAGCAGCCTGGCAACTACTCAAGCGGCTAAGAAATCAAAGATGGTGATACTCAAGGTGGGCAGTGAGCGATTGGCAAGTCTTGACCGCACCCTTGGGGACTCTGCAACCTTCCGAGACCCTGTTACCCCAACCAGGCAGCCGCGTGCTATCGCCAACATGCCACCCCGTCATCCATCCTATTTCCCTTACATGCATTCGGATTCTATTGCGCCCTTTTCGCCTCTGCCGCCTGCTCCATTCTCAAACAACTCCGTTTCCATCCCTTTCCAATCCAATGGCCCCAGTCCATTCGACATTGTCAACCAGACTCCCGACGCTTTGCTTGGTGCAACCTCCAGCGATGAACTGAACTCAGTTTATTCGCAGTTTGATATAAATGCCGAATTGCAATTTCCTGGTCAGTATGGCTACCTGGAAACCAGCAGTTTTGAGAACCAGTTCATTACAGACAATGAACTGTTTGTGAGCCTCCCTGACGTAGAGCCTCCTCGTTATTTGGGCTACGATGGTGAAGACGTCAAGGAATTTTAATTTCTTGGTCGTTCGTCATGGTTCCTGGCTCATTGATGCTTCGTCAATGCCCCTATTTTTCGTTTTTGCTTTTTTTGACCTTTCTTTGCGGTCTCCTTGCGTTTGTTTTTGCTTTGCTTCTGCTTTTCTTTGCGTTTGCTTTTCCCGCTGGTTGATCGGAGGAGAGGGGTGAGACTTGATCCCAATCAACGGCTGCAACTCCGGATAATTGTTCTTGCGTGCCATGGAGTCACGCCTTGTCCGGAGTTGCACCCCAGCGATTTCATGCGTTGCTCGTTGGCTCCCTACGGGGGGCCTGGTAGTTAGTTACCCCCAATAAGAGCATATTGCATCTTTTAAAGTGCCTCGTAGATTTTTTACATGGATCTCACTGATTTAGGGTAATGCAATAGGGATATCAAAACAAGGTGATATGAGAAAGATAGCAATATCTGTGAGTTGACCTTTGATTGTAAGAGCTTTGAAAGGGAGCTGGTAGTGTGAATATTCCAATGGGAGTAGTATGTGGGCTTGGGTGTATATAGAGAGAGATAATCTTGTGTTTCACGCTAAAGATACTGATATAGTGAAAAGCATGAACATAGGAACCAAAAAAAAACTAGATATAATGAATACAAGGGACGTTGTTAATTTACCAATATACGGGGAATTCCAAGTTGCCGAAAGCCGGAATACGGAGAACATATAGCCTCCCGAGGTATAAGCACGGCTTGAGTCTACAATATTGTATAACAGTAGGATATGTCTTTCAAAACTTTTAAATATGGACCAAAGAGTTCAAACTACATACTACGACACATTCTCAATGTAATGATATCCTATAAATATAATACTATAGTCCAATATTCGACAGCCGATTTAGGTCCGCTGTTCCGGCTCACGTGACGGTTCTAGCTGTTTCTGCCGCCAAGCTCTGGGGATGAAGGAAGCGCCTGGAAAATTTTCGAGACTTTGGCTTCATCTCTCCCCCAGCTTTCTCCATCTCTTTCTTTCCCCCCGAAACCCGTGATTTCTCCTGGGTTGTTGTATTTCTCCCTTCTTTTAATTATTTTAATCTCGTCATTCCTAGCCATGCAGCGCGCTCTCTCTACCCGGACCTCCGTCCTGTCGGCCGCTTCCAAGCGTGCCCCTGTCGGTCGCTCGACTTTGAACCTCCAACAGCAGCGTTTTGCTCACAAGGTGCGTTGAATTGGAAATTGCCTGCAGCCTCGTCTTGCTTCGGCATTGGCCCCGTGTTCCGTGGATTCCGAGGCCTTTGGTCGTTCCCCTTGCTAACAACAAGTAGGAGATCAAGTTTGGCGTTGAGGCCCGTGCCAGCCTCCTTAAGGGTGTTGACACTCTTGCTAAGGCTGTTACTTCCACACTCGGCCCCAAGGGTCGCAATGTCCTCATTGACTCCCCCTACGGCTCCCCCAAGATCACCAAGGGTAAGATTTCCATCAGGACAGATCCATAGCAATCTGCAGAAGACTAATCATTCCCCAGACGGTGTAAGTGTTGCGAAGGCCATCCAGCTTCAGGACAAGTTCGAGAACCTCGGTGCCCGCCTCATCCAGGATGTTGCCTCCAAGACCAACGAGGTTGCTGGTGACGGTACCACTACCGCTACCGTCCTCTCCCGCGCCATCTTCTCCGAGACCGTCAAGAACGTTGCCGCCGGTTGCAACCCCATGGATCTGCGCCGCGGTATCCAGGCTGCCGTCGAGGCCGCTGTTGAATACCTTCAGGCCAACGCCCGCCCTATCACCACCGGCGAGGAGATCGCCCAGGTCGCCACCATCTCCGCCAACGGTGACACCCACGTCGGCAAGCTCATCTCCACCGCCATGGAGCGTGTTGGCAAGGAGGGTGTCATCACCGTGAAGGAGGGCAAGACCCTGGAGGACGAGCTTGAGGTCACCGAGGGTATGCGCTTCGACCGTGGCTACACCTCTCCTTACTTCATCACCGACCCCAAGTCCCAGAAGGTTGAGTTCGAGAAGCCCCTGATCCTCCTCTCCGAGAAGAAGATCTCCGCTGTCCAGGACATTCTCCCCGCACTCGAGGCCTCCACCACCCTCCGCCGCCCTCTGGTCATCATTGCCGAGGACATTGAGGGCGAGGCTCTCGCCGTCTGCATCCTGAACAAGCTCCGTGGTCAGCTCCAGGTTGCCGCCGTCAAGGCCCCCGGCTTCGGTGACAACCGCAAGAGCATCCTCGGTGATCTCGCTGTTCTCACCAACGGTACCGTCTTCACCGATGAGCTCGATATCAAGCTCGAGAAGCTCACCCCTGAGATGCTCGGCTCCACCGGTGCCATCACTATCACCAAGGAGGACACCATTATTCTCAACGGTGAGGGTAGCAAGGACAACATCTCCCAGCGCTGCGAGCAGATCCGCGGTGTCATGGCCGACCCCACTACCTCCGAGTACGAGAAGGAGAAGCTGCAGGAGCGTCTCGCCAAGCTCTCCGGTGGTGTTGCCGTCATCAAGGTCGGTGGTGCCTCCGAGGTTGAGGTCGGTGAGAAGAAGGACCGTGTTGTGGATGCCCTTAACGCCACCCGCGCTGCCGTTGAGGAGGGTATCCTCCCCGGTGGTGGTACCGCTCTGCTCAAGGCCTCCGCCAACGGCCTTGCAGGTGTCAAGCCCTCCAACTTCGATCAGCAGCTCGGTGTCAGCATCGTCAAGAGCGCCATCTGCCGCCCTGCCCGCACCATTGTTGAGAACGCCGGTCTCGAGGGTTCCGTCATCGTCGGCAAGCTGACCGACGAGTACGCCAAGGACTTCAACCGCGGATTCGACAGTGCCACCGGCCAATACGTTGACATGATTGCCGCTGGTATCGTCGACCCCTTGAAGGTTGTCCGCACCGCTCTGGTTGACGCCAGCGGTGTTGCCTCCCTCCTCGGTACTACCGAGGTCGCTATTGTCGATGCTCCTGAGGAGAAGGGCCCCGCCCCTCCCGCTGGTGGCATGGGCGGTATGGGCGGTATGGGCGGCATGGGCGGCGGCATGTTCTAAAGCCCCTAACCCTCCCCTGAAGAATTACCTCCAGCGCTCTTCTTTGCATCGTAGCCTGTTCTGATACTCGGATATTTGTGTAATGTCTTTTCTTTGTGTCTCTATTTGGTGTTTATTTGTTTTCCTTTTATTTTCTTCCCATACGTGTATTCTTTTGGACTTGTTCTGATCTCTGACTCTCTCTCTCTCCCCTCTCTCCCTGGGACTTGACCAAAAAAAGGCCCCACTGTACTATATCATGTATTCCAATGAAGTCCCATCTGATACAGCTTAAACTTTGTCTTTTAGATTGGCCGGGTCAAAGTTCCGGATCTCTCCCCGAGCCAAACAGTTAGATCGGCGGGATCGACAATGTCCCCTCCTTCTAGAGTTCATATATGTATAGCATATAGATCTTTGAAGCTCTTAAGATTTCCCCAGATACTGGGAGTACAACCCTTGCATCCCACATTTTCACCTAATCTAGCAATCCAAGTGATTGGCTACTCGGCTCGGCTATTTGTGCAATTTACAATGCATGCCACCCTAAGAGTCTAGACTGAATACATGGGGATCATAACAGGGATAAATAGTATCTTGGAAGTAGCTCATTTAGGCCGATATAAGCGGGCGGGACCGGCAAATAACTGGTTTCCTTTCTCTTCTCTTTACTCTCTCTGTTTATTCTCTCCGCCTTTTTCTCTGTCACCAGACTCCCGACATTCCGGTCCTGCATTTCTGTTTCTGCACCTGACTTGAATTTCGATCTGAAGTTCATTATCGTGGATCTTGGTCGGGAATGCATACAGCGCTTGCGGGGAACGAACCGTGTTGGCACCTCTGCCTATCACCATAAGGTTATGTCACCCCATCTGATACCCTGGTCTGTTCCTAATTTTCCTTTAGAGTGCCTGTACGTCGTAGAAAGCCTTGACCTGATTCGAATCGAAAATACACCGTGATTACTGCCGACAATGGCTGCCATGGTGGACACCGCTCGGCCAGCTATGGTGAGCGATGCAGATCTCATGCAAGCACGAGCAGCTCTCCAGCACCAACAGAGTCTAGAAATCTCCGTTCCCCGCGAATTTATTTCCCTCATTGTTGACGAGCTCATTTACCGCCGCGAGTGTCATTCTTCCATCGCGGAAATCGAGCATGAACGCTCAAACCTTCGGAAGGAACTCCGAAAGCACACTCACATCAATGAGGCCTTTCAGAAAGAATTGCGGGAGATCGGCGAAATCATCACACAGGTTGCCCATGGCGATCTTTCACAGCGGGCCCGCATGCACCCTCTCGAGATGTCACCTGACATCGCCACTTTCAAACAGACAATCAATACTATGATGGATCAGTTGCAGGTTTTCAGTCAAGAGGTGTCGAAGGTGGCTAGGGAGGTCGGTACGGAGGGTGTGTTGGGTGGCCAAGCGAAGATCGAAGGCATACAGGGAATTTGGCATGAATTGACCGTCAACGTGAATGCCATGGCCAATAATCTGACCACGCAGGTCCGCGACATCACCACTGTAACGACTGCTGTTGCCAAGGGTGATTTGCAGCGCAAGGTACAGGCGGATTGTAAGGGTGAGATCTTGCTGTTGAAGAATATTATCAACTCGATGGTCGATCAGCTACGGGAATTCGCATTCGAGGTTAGTCGTGTCGCGCGCGAGGTCGGGTCAGACGGTGTGCTCGGCGGCCAGGCTGTTGTGCACGGCGTGGAGGGTACCTGGAAGAATCTTACAGATAACGTCAATCGCATGGCATCGAATCTTACGCAGCAGGTCCGCGAAATTGCCGATGTGACGACCGCCGTTGCTCGTGGTGATCTTACGAAGAAGGTGACTGCTGACGTGAAGGGCGAGATTTTGGATCTCAAGCTTACCATTAACGCGATGGTTGATCGGCTGAATCAGTTCGCGTTCGAGGTCAGTCGAGTCGCGCGGGAAGTTGGAACAGACGGCACTCTGGGTGGACAAGCGCAAGTCGAAAACGTCGAAGGTCGCTGGCGTGACCTGACCGATAACGTCAATACTATGGCCCAAAACCTAACGCTGCAAGTGCGACAAATCTCCAACGTGACTCAGGCCATCGCGCGGGGCGATCTTAGCACCAAAATTGAGGTCCACGCCCAGGGTGAGATCTTGACTCTCAAAGAGACAATCAATAGTATGATGGACGGGTTGGGGGAATTTGCGGGGGAACTGAAAGGCGTGGCGAGGGACGTGGGTGTCCGGGGTAAACTCGGCGGCCAGGCCAACGTTGCAGGATCTCATGGAATTTGGAGATCAATCAGTGAAGATGTCAACACGATGGCGGACAACCTGACCTCTCAGGTTCGTGCCTTTGGTGAGATCACCGAGGCGGCGATGAGTGGAGATTTCACAAAATTGATCACTGTGTCTGCCTCTGGAGAAATGGACGATTTGAAACAAAAGATCAATAAAATGATCTCGAGTCTGCGTGACAGCATTCAGCGCAATACTGCTGCTCGTGAAGCGGCAGAGCTGGCAAATCGGAGCAAGTCTGAATTTTTGGCTAACATGAGGTATGATAATGCCTTTACTTCGTTTTCACACGATTTACGGAGCGTGCTTTTGATTGATACTAATCGAAATATAGCCATGAAATTCGAACCCCCATGAATGGCATAATTGGACTCTCCAGCCTGGCGCTCGACACTGACGATCTCCAAGCTCCCGTGAGAGAGACTCTAAATATGGTCCATAACCTTGCCATTAGTCTTTTGACCATCATTGACGACATCCTTGACATCTCCAAAATTGAGGCCAACCATATGATAATCGAGAAGACGCCGTTCAGTCTTGGTGCAACGGTGTTCAGTGTGCTGAAAGCCCTTTCGGTGGAAACCAACGAAAAGGCATTGGGCTTAGTCTACACAGTAGATGGAGAAGTACCGGATTATCTGATTGGAGACGCATATCGACTCCGGCAGGTAATGTTAAACCTTGTCGGCAATGCCATCAAGTTCACAGACCACGGCGAGATCAGAGTCACGGTAAAGCGTGCACAGGACGACAAGTGCGCTTCAGATGAAACGGCCTTCCAGTTCTCAGTCTCAGACCCCGGAATCGGCATTGACGAGAGCAAACTTGGCTTGATCTTTGACAAATTCCAGCAAGCTGATGGGTCGATGACTCGCCGCTTTGGCGGGACAGGTTTAGGCCTCGCAATCTCGAAAAGGCTCGTTTCTCTCATGGGTGGTGATATTTGGGTGACCTCGAACATGGGAGAAGGCAGTACGTTCTCATTTACATGCCGAGTGAAGCTAGCTCAACCGCCACCGAGCTTTGCAGAACAGCTTGTCCCCCACCGCGGCCGGCGCGTTCTGTTCTTCGACCACGGTCTTGGGCGCACCTTCCCAATAGCTACTGTACTCATGGAGCTCGGATTAGAACCAGTCATTGTGACAGAGGACCAATTCGAATGTGGTCAGTTCAAAAGTGACTGGGGCTGCACCTTCGACGCTATCCTCATCGAAAACTTGGAGATCGCCGCAAAGCTCCGAGCCTGCGCAGACCTCCAACCCATTCCACTAGTCATTACAGCGCACACTGTATCCCTAGCTCTCAGGGCCGCTGGTGAACTCGGTATAGCATCCTACATCACAGTGCCCTGTCGACCCATTGATCTATGGAACGGCATTCTTCCGGCCCTTGGCAACCGCGCAACCCACACCCCATCAGGCTATACTCGCTCATTAGCAATTCTTCTCGCAGAGGACAATGATGTGAACCAAAAGGTCGCTGTCCGAATTCTTGAAAAATTCAACCACAACGTCACAGTCGTGGAAAACGGCTTACAAGCCGTGAAAGAGGTCAAACACCACCGCTACGATGTGGTCCTTATGGACGTTCAGATGCCCGTTATGGGTGGCTTTGAGGCCACAGGGAATATAAGACAGTACGAGAAGATAAGTGGGCTTCCTCGTACGCCGATCATTGCTCTTACTGCTCACGCTATGCTTGGGGACCGAGATAAGTGCATCCAGGCCGGCATGGACGATTACTTGTCTAAGCCGTTGGACTCTAGTCGCATGATGCAGACTATCTTGAAGTGTTCAGCTATGAATTTTGCCTCCTCGCTGCCTGCTATTGAGGCCTGAAGATCACTGGTATATGGGATGAAACTGTGCTGAAAAACACGTTCGTGCCAGTTATTCCACCATTGCCTCCGCCTCTATATTCTTGTGCAACACTTGTTTAATGTGTATAAGCCTTTTATGGCTATCCAGTCCAGCCTATTTCTCCTTAATAGGCTTGGGGCCTCATTTCTCCTCACGCCCTAAGCGGACTAATGTCCCTCCCTAGGAACCCCCTTATCCCCTCATTTTCACAACCTGCGTACATCTATAGGTTGCTGATGAACCCCAAAATGTGCACTGGAAGCACATACATTTTGAATTTCTATGTTTTTGAAATACCCCACCTTGTTGAGCAGTCTGTTAATCATTTTCTTCTAACCATCAAAGTCTGTTTTTTTAATGTTTTTTGTTTTGGTTCACGGTGTTTGGCTGCTTACCACGCGAGATGAAATGAATACAAATCATGTCTAACGGTGTCTATGGTGAATGTAAGTTGTCTGTTGCTTTTTATATATATCCTTCAGTATACACAAGGACACAGTGAGCGGCTAGAATCGGCTCTCATTACACCGCTACTCTGCCTACTCGTTTCCGCTTCTTGCCTGCGATGGGGCAGCGCTATACCCCGTCGCACTACTATCTATGAATACCGCTCGTGTTCGTAGCTTCGTCAACGCTCTTTCTCGTCGTTTTCCTTTGCATTCCCCTATATGACCCAATAAGATCTAAGGGGAAACTTACTCATGCAATTGTGAGAATTACTACATGACAAGAGGTATTCGGTCCCCGGTTGGGGGATCGACAGAAACGCTTTGGCCAGACAGCAATCTCAACAGGGTGGTGTTAGACCGTACAATCTGTTAATTTCTGGATTCAACCTCATGTTCTATATATATCATGTTATTACTTTGGATTTACCGACCGGACAGCCAACTATCGACAGCCTGTTCTGTTTAGCAACGCTTCGGGATGAACGTAGGTCCACTTCAACACCCCACCTGTAACCCACCGAAAAGATACGTTTTAAACGTACGTTAAGCATTTTCGGTCAATATAGCTCCACAAGGATCAGACAAGGTCAATCATCTTCTGGTGTTAGCGAACAGCTTTGACTGACTGGGACTAGCTAATAGGCAAATGACCGCTGCGCTTTCTTCAGAAGGCAAATAGCTGTGAAGCATAACAAAAGAACAGGAAGTGGCAGTGAATAACAATTGTAGATCATAATATTTATGCATTATATAATTAGAATGTATTTCCTGAAGAGCGCCAGGTGCTAATAGCGGTGACCTACGAATGGAACGGCCCCGGGGAGTGGGATACTTAAGACGCCGTCTAAGATCCACAGTAACAGTCTAGGTAGGCAATGCAAGAGATTTCGAATATCAAATCCTGCAATTTTCCAGCAGTAACCGTCAAACTTCCCGGTTTATGATTGCTTTGATCCTTGCATTCGCCTCCTACTTGTCATTGCCGCTAGGAAACATGCCTTTATCGACGAAATTATGGAGATCTAGCAACAATCTCTCAGTCCGCTAGCAAGCAAGCAATAGGAGATGGGATAATGCAACGATGTATGTAGGCTTTATCCTTCTAGGGGTTACATTTGAACCTTTATGGCCCATGAATTCAATGGCCAACATATATACTGTTGCAGTTATGTCCAAAATCAATATACATGTCACTGTACTATATACATACTCCGAAGAAAAGAAAAGAATGCAAGATATATAATGCAAGATGCAGGGGTATCAAACAGCCACCAAAAACAAAAACTTATACCAAAAGCAAGAAAATGTAAACTACACCTCCCCACGCTTTCTCTGATCCAGTCCAGCATTCATCTTATAGTTCCCCTTAACCCCCTTCCCCCCGGAACTCCAATCCCCCTGCCATCGCTGCCAGATATCGTCATCACGCTGCATATTCCGCCTCCCATAACCGAGGTACTCATCGAATCGTTTCCTGAGCCTAGAGTCCTCAGGCACAACATGAACAGGAATTTTACCTGTAGTGGGATCCACCACCAATGATTGAACAGGGTGCAAGATGAATTCTTTCAGTAGGCCCATACTGATCTTGTACGCTTTTGATACGATATCGCGTAACGTGTCGCTAAAGGCTATGAAGAGGGAGAGGAAGATTATTGCAAAGGAGGCCGGGGCTGGAGAATGTTAGTGGTTGTAAGTGTTGATATGGTAATTGGATGAAACGCACCAGCTATCTCGAACATTTCGCCTAAGGTTGGGTTTGTCTGTTCTCCACTCCACTCTCGGGCGTTGATTCCAAATAAGGAGGTGAAGAAGGATAGAGGGAGGAAGCTTGGATTGTCAGATTGTTATTGAATTTATGAGAGAGGATGTAGACTTACACAACACTGAATATGGTGAAGACCATTACTGCTCGGGATTGCGTTTGAGCGACTTCAGCTTGCCATCGGGTCATCTTTGCTTCGTCCACGTTTGCCTGTTTCTGCTTGAGATCGAGGAGGGTCTCAACCTGGCGATGGTTAATAGAGGCAAACAGCAAGCAGCGAGCAGGTAACGTGAACCCTTACTGATTTCTGTGTTTGATGGCTGCTGTCTTTCATCTCGTTGATTTGTGCCCGATATTCGTCGATCCGCTCCTGTGCTGTATCGAGGAATGACATACCGTATCCACCCCTGCTATCAAAGTATTTGACCATACCTTTGATAACAGCATCTTGTTGATCGAGCAGCTTCAGGATGGTGGATAACTCATCCTCGATGTCGCGCAGCTCGAGGAGAACGGAGAGATCTTCTCGGTTTCGGCGAGCAACCTGGAATTCTTTATATTCCTGCTGGGCGAGTGTCATGATCTTGCCATCTGAGGTGCGATCATGATCCGCTGGGCGGTTGGTAAAACCTCTATTTCGGAAGCGCTTGAACGACTTGGTGACGGATTCGGTCTGGTTTTGTTAACACAGTGCACTCGAGGAACTGAAAGGAATAACTCCTACCAAGATGCTGATTGACTCCTCGAAGATTCGCAAAACCTGCAGATCGTGATGCAGAGTCTTGTCCAGGAGTACGGTGACAGAATGCAGCATAATGAGAGCAGCCAAGTCACCGGCAGTCTCAAAATGACGCGATAGATCTCCATTCAGCTCATTATAAATGCTACTGTGCAAGTTAGACTGTTCAAAAAGCTTTTCCTCAGAGGTATTAGCCTCCTGATTCGGAAAGAAAGTAACAACAGTTTTCTGATCAACAATCCAAAGCCAGAGCTGATCAACCATCAAGACTTTCCCATCCTTAAACTCGCTCATCTCCTCGTTATCTGGATCATCCCGTGCAGACTGTAGACACTCTTCTAGTTGTTCGTCAATGCGCGCCGGTCTACGAGTACGTTTCCAGAGCATCTGGTCGTCGTCACGAGCGATGGTCGACCGCAGATTGGGATACCCGTATTGATCAAGTGTGCGGCGGAAGTGCACTGGAGGCTCACAGCCGAGGTAGGTCCAGATTAGTTGCGCTTCTAGGCTTGCTTTTGAGATTCGGCCTGGGACGGGCCTGGATCGGCCTTGGTTCAGCCGGTCTTCGACTACCTTGCGCCGTTGGATTAGGTTTCGGTATGTATCCCAGTGGAGCTAGGGTAAGTTAGCATCTCGTGGAAGAATATCTAGCTAATTCGAAGTACTAACGTAGGGAGACTGAAATGAATATATGTTAGCGCTGAGATTCATATGGAGGGGCTCAAACATACATATAGAGCGAGTTGAGGATCCTCGGCAGCATCAGAAGGGCTTTGTGGAACATCCATTTGTCTTGAGTGAATACACGCGGGCTTGACGAAACGTGCGTGAGGCTCGAGATGACGAGCTCTATTAAGCCGGTGATACCAATTCTCGTCATTGATGAATTTTCGAACACTGCAAAAAGTTGTTAGCATTGTTTGAGATCTGGAGTTAATATGTCATACAAATTAGGCTCTTGACTATCCTGACATGCTCGGCGGATGACTTGAGAGACCCAGCCAGTATGCGTATACGGCACATGGATCCACATAAGTTTCTCAGTATCAGCCTCGGGTCGATCGAAACGTGGGACTGCTCGAGGGACATCTGGCACGTCCGCATTACGATCTCGAGTAGACTTTGGTATTGCCAGGAAAGGCGACTGCGCAGGTTGCGATGTAGAAGCGCTCCTATTATCTATTAGTTTAGGGTTTCGGCTGAAGTATTCGAGTGTGATTTCCTCACGAAGGTGGCCGTTCAATGCTTCCTTGGGAACTGCTGTCAGAAGTGGTCCGACGGTGGGAGCGCGACAATGGAAAGAATCCCAGCGCCTTGCTGAGGGAGTTCTTTCTTGTCGGCTCCTGTGGTGGAGGTGGGCTTTCACTTGGTATATCATTCGTGTAGTCCTCCATATCTGCTTTGGTGATGTGGATCTGTGGAGATGGACCGGATGGATCATCAAAGCTTCGTCTGTAGGGTAGAGGGGGTCGCAGTGGCCCTGACTTCTCATCATGATGGTCGTGGTGATAGCCGTGATGATGACCTTGTGAATCGGAACCAGGAGCAATTTTAGATGAGCGAGGACTATCATAACTGCTGATTGAAGAGTCGTCCAAGCCACAGGGCTGAAGTCGACCTAGTCTCTCCCGAAGGCAAGCGGACGGACCCCGAGAGAGGTAGTCTTCCAAGGACACCTTGGTTGACCACAGCTTCAGCGGACTTTCGTCACTGACGCCCAGTGCGGTGTCTTCAAAGAATCCATTGATTTGAACCATGACTTGCTGTTCCACGCCCAACGGCGTATCCTCGCGTTTTGATATTTCGACAGCAGTCTCGACGGCATCACCAAGCTCATCGAGAAATCGATCTCGTGTGGACTCTTGACCGTGGAAAGTCGCCGTCCCCGCATGATCTGTTGCCATGGGCAGTTCTTTTTCATTCTCAATATTCAACAAACCCGACCGAATCGAAGTAATCGGGACATGAAACTCTAACGTTTTATTCGTCTCAGCATCAATCACATGCATAGTAGAATCGACAGTTTCGAGAAAAGACCAGACCCTCATATCGGCTGAAAGAGACTTGAACTGGTTCGATAAATGCCACAACCGGTCTTGTCGGGTGCGTAACTGCTTTCTGAGTGCGGCCGGTGTGTCATGTTGCAGATGCAAGAGATGGCGAATACTAGCAACATACTCATCGGCGGATAGATAGGTCGAGCCTTGGTGAGGAGTTGCAAAGAAGGCGATCCCATGACAGCTGGTTAAGATGGACTGCCCCGGCTCCCGTGATGCCAGCGCTAAAGCTGCTTTAACGACGAGACCTCCAGTGCTATGACATATGAAGAAAATGGGACGTCGGGTTGGCTGGTGAACTGTTTAGCAAATTATTTGTAGGCTGTGGAAGGAGAAGAGTATAGCAGACCTCATTTTTCCGCTCAGTGCGTAGTTGGTTTAACAGCCGCTCACCCAAGGTGTCGATTTTATCGTCACGCAGATCTCCATAGTTATACAGCAATACTCGCGCTCTAGGGATATGCTTTAACAGTTCAAGTTCAAGCCAAGAGGATCTCGCACCATGCGCTATCCATGTCTTTCTATGATCGGCGCCGATAGGCGGGACAGCAACAATACTGAGGAATGAGTTAATATACGAATGCATGTATGATAATATGGGATAGGCACATACTCGACATTACTATCTTTTTCAACAGCAATGGATTCAAACCATGAGCGCGTCTGGTCGGTCAAGGGTGGCCGTGAAGTCATGTTGCCTTGTAGTTGAAGTTGAACATACAGAGTTACGTGCAGAAAAACGCGGGGATCAAAAAGACAAGTTCTTAAATCTCACAAATTTGGGGGGGGAAGAACTTCATCAGCCTCATGTTTGGGGTCCGAATGATCACGCCCCGACTAGTTTGCCCGCTAAATCTGCACAGGGCTGTGTTGTGAGTCAAAGCGATGTATCTAAATTTTTTTATATTATATGTCTAGAGAGAGAGAGATTTCCATTAATGTACATACATAGAAAAACACCAAATGCTAATGCACCTCTATAACTCATGTATCAAAAACGCCATAAAAAGGTAGAGACAATGTGCATTATACACCATTATAATTGTACAGGGATTATGCATCAGGGTGTCGTCTTTCGTTGGCCTCTCGAGCCATGCGCTTTCCAAGCTCATAGGTTGAGATCATGATGGCGCAGGCCGGGGCAACTTTGAGACATCGTGCCGTCCAACCACGGAATAGGCCAGCGGTACCTTCTTCACGGAAGATGTGCATGAGGAATTTTGGTAAGGATAATTGCTCGGGCGCCAAGCTGCCGGGTAATATGCGAGCGCCAGTAGAAGGAACGTCGTCCAGATGTCGGAAAACTTGTTGTCGCGTCTTACCAACATCAAACGGGGTAGTAACAAGAGCTGCTAAAGAGCCTGAAATACCTCCAGAGATGAAGCTATCGAGGAAAGATTGAACACTAGATTCTTGAAGCTCGTGGTCAGAGCCCGAAAGATGAGGGGCCTTCTGGCGCGCCGCGATCAGAGCCTTTTTCACCTCCTCGTATCCCCACCAGTAAAGTCCGGAGAAAGGAACATCACGCCACATGGTAAGAGTGAACCCTCGCCAGAGCGAGCTATATCCCTTTGCCTGTGTCATATGGTACAAATCCTTCACAGTGGTTTTGAAGTGGCCCGCACCTGTCCCTGGAGTTGCTTGGAGACGCGTCCGAAACATTTCCAGCGGACTGGTTGCTGCTGCGGCTGCAACGCGAGCCAAGGAACCAGCTATCAAGGGCGCATATCCTTCAGATACCCGCTGCTTGATGAGACTCCGCTCATCTGTGCGCAGCCAGTCATAACCAGCAAAGTAGATGACATTGGCCGGGATTCCCATCATCAGGGTCGGGCTCAACCCTCGCCATAGTGTCAAAGTTCCTTCATTGCGCGCGATCTTCCGTAGCCCGTCTAGCGTTGATGTGAATGTTCGCCGCTGCGTCTCTTCGACGGCGCAATCGATCGCCGGGTGTGGATGGGTTCCGACCGTGGTCGTCTGAGGCCCTAGCATACACATCTGGGCATCGTTTCCGACCCAGAATACTTCGCGACAGCAGGAGGTGATACCGAGGTTCGGAGGTAGGTTTTTCAAGGTTTGGGTGGTGTGAGAGGTAAAGGGTGAGGTATTGTGGACTTGTGATTGTGACTGTAAACGGACCCGTACGACATCCAAGGGTGTCACTGAGCTGTTAGTATTGGATTTCCAAGGATCGGGGGCTCTTCCGACTCACCTAGAAGCCCGGTCAAGACATTGCCGGCGGTCGCAGACACCATCCGCTGCCCGGGAGTGATATTATCTGGTGGGACAGGGGTCTTGGGCGCTGGAGGAGAGGCTGTCCCTGATGTCGTGGCCATTGTAGAATCTTCAAACTGTGTCCATGACGTCCCTACAGAGGCGTTTGAGTCTGTGCCGAACTGGTTGCCAATACCGTGGCCTGAAGTAAATTCCACGTCCGGCATTCGATCAATTCAACGTGAGGACAACCAAGAGTTCCCTGAACCTGAGGTACAAGAAAAAAGGATGCGTCACCGGGAAAAGGAAGTTTTTCGGGGTTTCGCGGGTGGCGGTAGGCGGAGATAAGCCTTTTGGGGGGGTTGAGATTTGGAGACACTCGGGGGGACTGGAGGGAGTTGAGGATGTTGATTTTCAAAACTAATATTTGCTTTCAATAGGTTTAATTCCGTGACTTGATATGGCTGGTTCCTTTTAGGCCCTTTTCACACGGCTTATCAATCTGATCTGATATCCGAGGTCGGACATGAGGCAAAACAGGCTATTCTGGCTCGACCAAAGGGAAGGTCGGTAGATCTGAGAGTGGACCTTTGGTAGTGGGGTTTTATAGGTTTTTAAAGGGTTCAAGTTTCCATATTTCGTGGATTAATAGGTGTGTATGTATCTGTAAGGGTATACTCAATTGAAGTATATAAACCCAGCCCGTGCGTAGCCGACTATAGCCAAGCTCATGTACATTGAGCATGTGGCAACACCGTCATTTGTCTAACAGGAAGTCCTTACATAGACTGCTTCGATTTACTATGTCCAGTATATATATAAAAGTCGACATGTAGCATTAATAAGTTTGACAGCGTCGAAGATTAATATGGACGGAGATCTACAACGGGTTTAGTATATGTATTATAGGTATTCTTGACAATCTGTAAAATAATCCGAAAAATATCGTTAGAGAGAGCGACGAAGATGACATAGAGAGCGATGAAGAGGATCCGGATGAGAACGCAAAGCATCTAGTCAAAAATCGTCCAAGAATCACAAAACCTCCAAATCTCGCTGTGAGCATAGGCGGTTCATGGAAAATTCTCGAAGTACTTTTGTCATTCGGTGCAGACGTGTCCGCCGTCTCTTCACACGCAATTGACCCGATTTTGACTACCGCATTGTTCGTCGAATTGCAAGACCTGGAATATCTCCTAGATCAAACTTTGTCTGATCCAGGAGAGGGCCGCTGGCCAAAGTTGCTGGGAACAAACGATCCTATCGTCCGTGTGTGCCAGAGTCTGAAAAAGCGGACGTCCTGCACAGAACCAACTATCAAGGCCGTACACTTCTGCATCTTGCAGTAGAGAAGGGTTAATATAAGCTGCTTACAACATTGACATTACATGGGGCGAGAACCGACATCTTTGACAATCAGAGATTCCTTGCCATTGAGTGCGTTGCTATTGCCCGCAATGCACATGCGTTTGAGGCGCTTTCCACAGCGGGAAATGTTACGGAGTCATACTAGTAAGTTACTAGGCAAAGATAATTAGTCGCTAACTATCTCAAAGTTCTCAAAGGTGAGAGAAGCTTGGGCAATTGGAAAATAAAGTTGACCTTGCTCTTTTATGCTCTAATTAGGGCGTGGGCGTCATTTCGACCTTGCTACAAATCGCCCCAATTACATCTTCGATCGATACCTAGGCCCCAATAACCCTCCAATGATCTATCAAGCGGAATCTGGAAATACGAAGCTTTTATTATTTCTGTTGAGTCAAAAAGCCGACAGCGAGGCTGGTGATACCTGTGGTTCGCGAATACTGTGTATTGCATGCTATCGCGGCCACACAGAAATCGTCCAGGAGCTTATTGCTAGAGGGGAAAATGTACATTGTGCTACCCACGCCTGGAATGACAGAGATGATAAGCCTTCGGGTCTTACTCGGGTGATTCCTGGACGGGCACGCCTCTCCATCTCGCCCCCATGGGTCGTCATGCAGCTATTGCACAAATGTTACTCGACCTTGGGGTCGATATTCATGCAAGAACAAGGACAGACACGAGGTTATAGCCCTTTTGTAGCTCGGGCCATGGTCCGACGGCACTTCACCTCGCGCTCGACACGCATGTACACCACCGTCAAGAAGTAGTCAGTGAGGGGAGGCTAAAAGTTGCGCAGTCGCTTGTCAATGCGGGCGCCATAGTACGGAGTGTGGTTTGTCGGATGTCGGTTAAGGACATACTTAGATTTATAACTTTCCTAGTCTCTAGGAGGCTCTTCTCGCGGAGGACATGACCGCTGATGAAGAGGCTGGCTAGGTCAAGGTGTGATCGGGAAATTCACAGTTAAAACACGCACTTTGTCTATATTTTTCAGTCTGCTGAATTCCACCATCCACCCTGCGAAGCCGATCCAGCATGTCTGCTCTTGAGGTCCCCAGGCTCGTTCGAGAGGTTTAGGTGCATGAGGCAGAACGTTCGTGTGCAGGTAGCAAGGGTGCCGGGGGTTGAATTATGTGCAAACGGCATTCTAAAAATGTACATAAATATTTAAAGGCCCATGGCTGGTCTTGAATACATAGTAATACAAACTGCGATAGGAGCACGATGTGAGGTCATCGCCTCAAAAAGCCGGGGACGCCAAGCCTTCCGTGATCGGTGGCCTTGGTGAGAAACATTTGGGTGAACGCCGCTTTCCGACCACCACCTCGCCATGGACGACAACGATGAGCTTGAGTCGTTCCGCCAACAGTGGCGCGAGGAGGTCACTCATCGATCAAAACCCAAGGCTACCCCTCCTGCACCTGCGTCCCCGACTCCAACTGCCCCGCCTCCGGCTCGTCTTCCTCCCACACGCCATGAGGCTTCCCACCGCAAAGAGATCGAGGAGGAGGGTCCCCCGCTGGCTTCCTTCGACCCAGATGAGCTAGCCGTACAAGTCGGAGAGCTGAGCGTGAAACCAGCAGAAGATGACTTCTCACGTCGAGAGGTAACAGAACCAACATCTGCACTGGAACACTATGAACGAGCGGTCGAGAAGGAGGCCGAAGGCAACTTGGGAGATAGTCTTTCGCATTACCGAAAGGCATATAGGGTGAGTTCTGATCGATATGAAGTACCATACGTCCCAAATACTCATCCCTGTCCAGCTAGATTCAGCTGTCGATAAGTCCTACCGGAATAAGCACTACGCCCATGTATGGAAGAAGTCTAATTTGCCCGCGTCCACTGTCCCTATCGATGCAACCCAGCAGCCCGCAGAGGTACCCATCCTCCCGACACCTGAGCTCATTGCCTCATTTGCACACCTGCCAATTTCACAGCTGGAGCCTATCGTCGAAAATACACCACCGCCTCCTTGCCCAATTGCCAATGTGCCATCGGAAGTGCTGGTAGAGGTTCTGCGACATGTGGCGATGGATGATCCATCGGCCTTTGGTCGAATGGCACTGGTCTGCAAGCGCATGGCCTACCATTTCGCCCATGAGCAGCATATCTGGAGACGAATCTGTCAAGGCCGGCAATTCGGCTTCCAGGGAATGCAATATGACTTCGCATGCGACCTGCGTGGGGAACCTATCTACACGCTTGCGCCGCGATACACTCCATTCCCCAAGGGCGTGCCTGTAGACATTCCCCCGCCGCTGTCTTCATGGAGCCAAGTGTTCCAGACCCTTCCTCGGATTCGTTTCACGGGGATTTACATTAGCACGGTCAACTACACTCGACCTGGTGTTGCATCTGCTTACTCGAATCTGTCCTGGAACAGTCCCATCCATATCGTGACTTACTACCGCTATTTGCGATTCTACCCGGATGGTTCGGTAATCTCGCTGCTCACTTCCACGGAGCCAGTTGATGTGGTCCCTCACATCAGCAAAGAGAATGTGATTGCGGCGCGCGCTCCAGCGCACCGAAAGCATCAACGGCATCCCTCTGATGCGGGTCATACCCTCTCTGGAGCGACTGATGCCGTACCACCTGTCGCCATGAACACATTGAGACATGGCCTTCGGGGCCGATGGCATCTGGCCTCACCCATTGACACTTCTGAAACTTCCGAAACCCCCGCCGAAGCATGGAAGCCTGATTCAATGTCTGATGAGAAATCGCTCCTTTCCGACGAGCGGGATCTCATCATTGAAACAGAGGGTGTAGATCCCAAGTACGTTTATACGATGCATCTATCACTGCGTTCCACGACCGTACCGAAACCTGCTCTACTCGGACCGGCTCCTCCCAACCCATCGAAGAACACCAAACTAGCCTGGAAGGGCTTCTGGAGTTACAACAGATTGACAGACGACTGGGGCGAGTTCGGTCTTCGCAATGACCGAGCATTCGTGTTCCGGCGCGTACGCGGCTGGGGCCTGGACTGAAATGATTGATGACTTTTACACGAATGATTGTTACATACATCGAAAATGAGATAAGAATCTGAATATATTAAATAGCATGGCCCCCGGAGCGATATTACAAGATCTGTCCACTTCCCAGAAGACAGGTGAACATAATGAGAGCTTGTGAGAAAAGGCCCATCCCCGGCTCTGAGCGGTCTCAGCCCCCTACAAAGTGCTCAGGTAAGCTGTTGATTCCGAGAAAGCTTGCCATTTGCAACATGTCTAACTTTTGACTGTAGATGAATGGGAGGAGGCATTTAATGGACTAAGCCCAAAGCTCAAGACGTTTCTGCTCAGAGCCAGAGAAGAGAAGGCCGAGATGTATTGACTGCGCTACTATAGGAGGCAGAGTCAAAAAAACCCCCCCGTCTGTCTTCAGAAGCGCTGGGAAATCAACATGCGCGGTAAAATAATTGTTCTTCGAGATTTATTCGACAAAATTATTCCATAGGTACACAAGTTCAAGGCTATTGACACGGCTGTCCACTTCGACCTCGTCCCGTCCTCTCTAGCGTGGGCATTGTCAGTTGATTTGTGTCCCTTGAATAGCTGTTCAGAGACGACCCGGTTGCTCCACTCTTACTCTGCCATGGGTGCAAGTATCGGGATACGATGCAAAAGGGGACTTGGAGCTTTTCTCTTCTGTGCATATTCAAAAAGAGAGGAAGAGAATAAAAGAAGCCGAAGTTATATGTATTGACACAAACAAGGTGTGCCCTGTACCATATCTACTCGGGACATTTCATAGAAAGTGATATGGAAGTTTCCTCCTACTGAAGCCGCAAGGGTGCTGAGAGTCACCAGAGATAAATCAGCGCAGATTGCCCAGGAACTGACGGAAACGGCGAGGAAGAGAAGGACGTGGCCCTGGAGAAGATGTCCGTTCCGCGACTACATGGTAAGCCTGCAAGGCGTTGGTCTTGAATGCATGTGTGCCACCCCACAAGAACAAGCGAAAGACACGATAATTCTGCTCCCCCCAACCTGCGATGAGATCTTCTTTGGCCGAATCCAAACGCTTTGCCCATTCAAGCATGGTGAGCTCGTAGTCCCGAGTCTCATTGGCAACATCCAGCACCGCAAACCCGTGGTATAAAAACTCAGCAAGAACATCTTGAAGAGTCATGAAAGTGTGCGTGCCACGCCAAATATAGTCTCTGGTAAACGAGCTAACAGCGAATTTCTCAACAGCCGCCGAGCCGTCAAGATACATGCGACCACCAGGTTTCAAGACGTCCCACATCTTGTGTGCAAAGCGGCGATAATTGGGAATGTGCTCAATGACCCCCAAATTGACCACGTGGTCGTACGGCTCTCTCGGCTTATGGTCAAGGAAGTCTTGCAGGAAGACTTGACCAGGGAGATCATTGTCCTCTATAACACGTTGGATATAACGAGCGCCGTTAGGTGCGAGTGTCAACGTCGTGACATGCACGCCCCGAGCACCACAATACTGCGTGACACCACCCCACCCACCGCCAATATCAAGAAGTCTCATTCCTGGTTTGAGATCGAGAGCGGTGAATATCGTCTCCATTTTGTGCTTGGAAGCCACTTCGAGTGTCTCGTCAGGCCGCTGGAACAAACCCTGCGAATAGAACCGGAACTGGTTGTCAAGAAAGGTGAGATAGAACCCGTCATCGAGCCCATAGTGATCACCGATCGCCTCGGCGTTCATCTTGGTTGCTGTCCGGATAAAGTCGTATGCGAACTGGAATTTTTGTCGCAGAGGCACTTTCTCTTGTAGATTCTGGCGAGCGTTGAACAAAGCGCCGAAATCACCCTTCACCTCAATATCACCGGATAAATAAGCTCGACCAACGCCCATTTCTGTCATTGGGGTGCGCAGGGCACTCTCCGAGCGGAAGATCACTCGATAGACCGGTTCGCCGATCCCAACAGGCACAACTGCACCATTGGGAAGCTCTATTTCTCCGGGTGTCTTTAGCCCGGCTAGGAGTGCGGCGACACCTGTACGTGGTAAATCATTGCGGGATGCTGCTACCAACATACTTGATCTGCTGTTAATGTATAGCCTCTGGCAGATGAAGTCGAATATGCCGGAGATTGGGTTCAGCTAAAAAGTGCAGAGTAGTCATTAAAGTATTTGAAAGTAAAGAGCGGGCTAATTGGACCCGTTCAATCATCGCAACAGTATGCAAGATAGTCTGCAGTAGCGGCCTCGCCGCTTATTCGTTCGGTTTCTCACGTGTGACAGCACCTGCACCAAGTGCATTGCATTTCACACCTCGCTTTCCGAGAAAGAGCCTATCAAAGGTACGGATCTATATTCTGGCTCGAGGTGAGATGATACTCGTGCTTCAGGTGCGGCTGAGGCGCGCAAGATACTATACTTAAATTTTAATGCAAATCAGGGTCCTCCGTAGAAAAGCTGAACAGGATATGAATATGTATCTTCCACTAGTATCACAAAGAAAGGAGCTATATACATGATAAAGGTCTCGAATATTGAACTAATTCCGCCAATTAAATACCTGCTCCTCATCATCCACGACTACAACCATCCACACACCCACTTGGCTATTACTTGCAAGTAAAGGCATGCAATGGATCCAGCGATTGCGACCTTCGGGATTGGTGCGCGTTATCCACTTGATGCGTGCAGTAACACTGCGTGATGGCCTGCAGATCATCACGGAGCAATCCGTACTCCGTATGAACTACAACACTAGTATCCTCTACAATGTGCCTCGATTTTCAAACCACTATCTGAGTTTTGTTCTTGTCACTCGGAGCAGGCATGAAAAAAAATATTTTGGGCATCATCATACTCAAGTATCTCGTAGCGGTTACCACGGCTGTTTGGATGTTAGCAATCATGGCTACGAACGATTCCGAAGAAAACTCCAACACATTCCAGGGCAAATCAGGGGAATGATATTGCAGTAAGACCATTTGAGAAGAGACTAAAAGGAAGGTACCAAGCGGAGGGAACAGTGCCCAGGTATGTGTCTAGCTGCTGAGAATAGTCTATGCTTTGCGGTCTTCATACGCGCCCGGAAAGGTGTATGGTGAATGTCCTTCCGCACAGCTAATGTATGGGTATGGACTGCGAGAAGCGGCACAATCGCCAGTTTTTACTTTTGAATTTGTTATCTTTGACTTCGTCGTTGGCCTAGGCCCACGGCGACAAGTAGGGATGGCATGGACGACCGAGTAGCCAGGGAAGAAATGAAGTCAAGGGCTTGTTGACCAGATACAGAGAAAATGCCATGATCAATCAATTGTCCTTCTGTTCATTATATCCATCTACCTTTTTTTTAAAATTTTAGGATCACAGTCAGGATCACAGTCAATATGGCAATATAGGTATACAAAATTAGTCACGGAGTTGGTATATCTTAACCTCGCTATCAAAGTTAAGCAGGTAAAATCCCCTTTATTTATTCTATTTAACCCCACCGCTTCTACAGTCCTCTCCCCTCCAACCAGCTCCCTCTTCTCAATGTCAGACGTTGGCTGTCCCTTCTTGATACTTTTCCACTCCAGAGTAGCCGCACCGAGTAGCGTCAGACAGAAAATAATCATACCGACCTGAAACATCTTCCGTAGTGTTTCATTGTATAAGTGGAGGACTATGTCGTGCAGACCGGCTGGTATTGTATTCAGAAGCTCTGTGACAACCCCAGAGGTCATAAGACGGGGGTTGAACCCCGGCAGCCCGGAAAGTCTTTTCACCAGTTGATTACACAGGATATTCTCCCCGACAGAGACAAAGACGGCGGCCCCAACCAATTTACAGAACAGAATCGGTGCTAACCCAGATGGCACATCGGCCTTCGGAAGTATAGTCTGCGCGGCGAGGTTGGGGATTTGAAAATATAAGCCGATAAACGACATCGGGTTCCTGTATGGCGACGATGATGTGCGCCAAGCCGTGATCAAGAAGGCATGGAATCATGTCAAAGCAACGACCACCTTTTATTCAGTTCGCGGTAGGTAACGTCGACCTTTCTGCTTCCCATCCAACCCAGGTGCAGATCTTCAGGCTCTGGCAGATCTACTTGGACAATGTCAACCCTCTTCTCAGAGTCACGCATACACCCACCCTTCAAACACGTATCATCGACGCTGCTAGCGATATCGCCAACATCAATCCCACAATGGAAGCATTGATGTTTGGCATGTCTCCATTTCAAGTATCACGGAGGATCATTGCAGTGACTGGTTTGGATCTCCCAAAAAGGATCTCTTGGCAAGCTATCAGTTTGCATTCCAGCAAGCGTTACGAGATTGTTTCTTTCTACGTTCCAGTGACCGGGAGTCCCTGACTGCGTTATATTTATACCTAGTAGGTATGCCTGATGGATATATTCGCGCTCGCTAATTCTTGCAGGTGTCGATAAGACCTGACACAGACCCTGCGTCTCTCTCATCACTCCTTAGCATTGCTATGCGAATCGCTCAGCGGATAGGTATTCACAATGAACCATCCCCTCTGGTCCCTTTAAATAATAACCACCTAAAACATGCTATAAAACATGCTAGGAATACTAGGGCTAATCTAATTGGCCTACAAGGGAGCGCTATAGGGCGTTTTCTTTGTTCCCAATTTCATTGAACACCCATGTCGTCTGTAGGTTAAGACAATGAATCGTGTCTGCTAGTTTAGAAAACACATATATCTAGTTGTTCAGGCAATTCAGGATTTTTAATGAATCATTCCTTTCCCAGGCGTTTTGCTCCAAGAGAAGAAGTTCTACATTAGTAATGTTTATATTACCGTATAAGTATCCACTCGGGGAAGAGAAGCTTTGTTCACCTTCCAAGCGAGAATCAAGCCGTGTGGAATTTGCAGATACGCCGAACGTGCTATACTATCTACTCTACACCCTTGGACCAACACTGCTGTTCAATCTGTATTCTTCGTGGAGATACCTACGTCTGAGAAAGGAACAACGGAAAGTGAGACCGAACTACCGAGGGTTTTTCAAACTAGTACGTCGAGGTTATTTTACGCCTTCTCTTTCTCAATCTTCCTACAATTGCTAGGGCTAACCTCAGCGCCAGATAACTGCATCTACCCTGGTCGTGCTCCAACTGATAATTTTAATATTGGAAGTTCGAGCCAGGTCCAATGCGGTATATATTTGCACAGCCACCGGTGCCTTTATTGGCTCTGTGCTCATTCCCTACTTGTCCTTCTTGAAGCACAGTCGCACAATCAACCGATTTGACTCGCTGAACATGTTATTAATCATATCAATTTGTGTCGATATTGCGCAAAGGGCTGCGTTGTACCTAACAACTGAAAGCCGATGTCAGCCTTCTGTTTTCGATACAACCTTGTTGGTCGTGAGAGTGGTGCTTGCAGGCTTGGAATTGCAAAGTAAAAGGCCAATTGTCCATCAACACTGGCTGAATCCATCACTTGAAGACACAGAAAGCATTTTTGACGAAGGTTTCTACTGGTGGAAGAATGCGGCATTGCGAACATCTGATGGTCTTCTGCCACTCCCCACCCCATTGCTGTCCGGCATCCTAAGAGAGAAGATGAAGGGTCATTGGGAAAACCGATGTAAGTGATGCAGTACTCAACATGCGACTGGGGGCGGACCCTTTAACACTATACTCGGCAGCAAGACCAGAGGGAAGACATGCCCTAGCACTAGCAATATTGAAATGCACACTACGTGAGAACCTACGTGTCATACCGTATACGCTAGGTGCAATATGCCTTCGCTACGCACAGCCTACGCTAATGTCACAATTAATCCTCTATGTCAGCGATTCTCCGACTGGCGCCACAGCGCGAATGCAAGGATTCAAATTGCTTTCTGCAACGATGTTGATTTACGTCGGATCAGCTGTCAGTAATACCTCTTTAATTAGTCACCGATAATAACTTATGAAGAATCCAGGTTTTCAATGGTCGCCGAGATGCTGCTAAACAACGGGTGATGATTGCAGTGAAGGGCTCACTAATCGGTATTCTTCACGACAAGACCTTACAATGCAATGAAGATGGCCGTTTTGCTATTACACTGATGAGTGATGACATGGAAGATCTCCGCATGGCCTTTGGCCGGGCTCATGTTATATGGTCGTCATTCCTTTCATTGTCCCTTGGTCTATATTTGCTCGCATCTAGGCTAGGCTGGGTTAGCCTATTTCCATTAATTATGGTATTGTGTAAGTCAAACCATTCTCCCCGACCCTGCTTGTTATCGGCATTCTCATACTTTACTTTAGTGGCTTCCCAATGTGGAAAATATGCCTCCAGGCATTTTTTCCGGAAACATAGCATATGGAATGATGCAACACAGCTTCGACTCGGTCTCGTGAAAACACTGCTAGAGCACCTAAGAACGATCAACTTGATGGGCTATTTGCAAGCAATGGGATCAAAAGTCCAAGCTGCACGTGAGAATGAGCTGAGAGCGGGCCTAGTCACGTCCCAGCTCGAAGTTATCATGGCAGCCAGCGGTAAGACAAAAAAAAAGCTTTCTCTGATCTTCGCTTGACAACTAACAATGTTGAATGTATGTTCAGGAAGTTTCTCAAACGTTGCTAGTCCCGCCATAACCCTTGCGTTGTATACTCTTTTCGCCAGAATGATTGGGGATGTTGCTCTTAATGCGGATCGAGTTTTCGCATGCTTTGCTCTGATCCAAATGGTCACCCTGTCGGCAACTTCAATCATTTTCAATTTTCCGGAGTTTATCGCAGCCATGGCAGCCTTCGATAGGATACAAAGGTTTCTCCTTCAACCCGACCACAAAGACAATCGCAAACTTCCCGAAGGCCAGGTCGAACACTTCCTAGCCTATATCTATAATTACCAGGATCAGCCTCGTGATATTATCGTTGGGCCCCTATACCCCGAGGATGGCTACGCCATCGTGGTCAACTTTGCGACAGTCCGATACGATACCGACCCCCAACCCGTGCTGAAGGACATTGATTTGAAAATAAAAGCTGGTTCGCTTGTGCTTGTTGTTGGCGTGACTGGATCGGGGAAGACAACTCTTGCTAAAACGATTTTGGGAGATACAAAGCTTCAGAGTGGATCTGTATCAACCTCTTCTGATCACATGGCTTTCTGCGCCCAATCTCCATGGTTGAGAGATGGCACGATCAGAGATATCATAGCAGGGCCCCCGGGATGCAGGGTGGCAGATGAAGACTGGTATCAAAGAGTTCTGCATGCCTGTGATTTGCGGTTTGATCTTCTTGGACTACCAAAAGGAGATAGAACCCTGGTAACACACGAAGGTATCTCTCTTTCTGAGGACCAGAGGCAACGATTGGTAAGTTTTCGAATCTGAGGCGAGGTTCCATCAATTAATGACAAGAAGGCACTGGCTCGAGCTGTATTTTCGAGACTAGATATTCTCATTCTAGATGATGTTCTGAGAGCCCTTGATGAGGAAACTTCATCTCGTGTAGTGCGACGACTATTGGGTCCCGCTGGCCTGCTCCGTGAGCTGAACAAGACGGTTGTTTTGATCACGGATTCAAGTGGGTGGCTCTTTACAGTCCTAGACTCTTGGGTTTAACTAATATCTCTAATCTAGGAGACCTTCTTCAACATTCGGACTTGATAGTTATTCTCAACCCAGATGGATCTATATGTGAGCAAGGGACTTGGGATGAACCCAAAGTTCAGGCACGGTACAATGAATTGAGTCTCCATTTAGAAATCGATTCACATCAAGAAGAGTACAAGAAGGGACTTCAGCAGATCAATACCCCCCGTTCTTCAAATTACGAACAGTCAACGAATCTGTTCCGAAAGCCTGCAGACAGCAGCACCTACACACAATACGTCGCTGCAATTGGATGGTACCGAGTTCTAGTCACTATATTTATCTTCCTCTCCTCTACAGTTTTCGCGATGCTCGTTCAGAACTGGCTTCGACTGTGGACTGAAAGTGATGAATCCAGCAAGCGAGCAACTTTCTATCTGGGTGTTTATTTTGTATTGGCATTTGGACACTGGGTGTCATTGACGGGAATTGGCACTGTTGAGTTCCTCGTTGTGCCTACATCTGGTCGCGCTCTGCATGACCAATTGCTTACAACAGTGATCAAGGCCCCATTATCTTTCATCACCTGCACCAATATCGGGACCGCACTCTCGAGATTTAGTCAGGATATTCGACAAGCCGATCGTAACCTACCTCGGGAGGTTGCTGCACTGGGAAGTCAGATGTTCAAACTCCTGGCTCAAATCATTTTGCTCTGCATGTCACAGGCGTACAATCTCGTGGCACTCCCTGTCCTGGCGATAGTTGTCTACGTTATCCAACGGATGTATATTGTGACCAGTCGGCAAACCAAGAGGCTTTCCATGGAAGCGAACTTCCTCCCAAACAACAGCTTTGTGGAAACTGTTCAAGGAATAGCCACAGTCCGGGCTTTCGGTTGGGAAAACGCCTATGCTCTCGATAATAGTAGGGCATTGGATGCCGCTCAAATACCGTCATATACACTGCATAGTCTTGACCAGTGGCTCGGATTTGTGATGGATTTGATAGTCGCCGGCGTGGCGCTAGTCAATGTTGCCTTCATCGTCACATTCAAGGGTAGCATGACAGCCGGTGATGTTGGCATCAGTATGAACGTGATACTAAATCTCAATATGGTGTTGATGATTACAGTCCAGTCATGGGAGAATGCTGATACATCGCTCAGCGTGATTTCCCGCATCAGGAACTTTGTACTGACGGTAGCTCCCGAGTCCCAGCCCAAACAAGAGCATCCCAGCCCTGAATCATGGCCATCCAGTGGCGAAATAGACATAAACAGCGCTGTGTTTGACTACACTAACACGGGGGAACAACCATCTGCATCCGACCATGCCCTCACCGACGTCTCTTTCAAGGTGGCACCTGGTTACAAGATTGCCGTGTGCGGACCAACTGGTAACAGGAAACCATCTCTGCTGTTCGCCTTCTTGCAGATGATAGATTTGTTCGAGGGAACCATTACAATTGACGGCTTGGACCTGAGCTCAATAGCACGAGATTTTATAAGATCCCGAATGATCACAATCCCGCAGGATTCATTCATCATCCCAAGCGACTCCGTTCGCGGGAACCTGGATGTTGAGGGAATTGCCACAGACAAGAGGATTGTCGAAACTCTGAAGAAAGTCCATCTTTGGTCAAGCTTGGAGTCCAGAGCTATGGACGCTGGACTATCGCCAACCTTTTATCTAGACTTGCCGATGAAAGCCTGGCCATTGTCGGAAGACCAGTTGCAGCTCACTTCGCTCGCCCGTGCTCTTTTGCTTCGCTCCTCCCGTGGGAAAATCGTTGTCTTCGAAGAGTCCACCAGTAGTGTCGACACGGAGACTACCAGACTCATTCAGCAAGTGATCGATGAGGAGTTCCGGGGATATACAATTATTGTGGTGGCCCACCGACTGGATACAATCGCGGATAGTGATTCAATCATTGTGATGGACAAAGGTCGGATTGTCCAAGTCGGGTCATTCGATGTCTTGCGGCAGAACGAGGGAGCCTTTAGATCCTTCTTGGATTCTGAGTCGGAAGTATGAAATACTTTTCAAACAATGGAATAGCCATACAATTTCAATCGTTTTCTGGCTACAGTACATGCAGATATGTAAAATGGCTTACTCGCACTTCCGTACGACATAACGAAAAAAAAAAAGTACAATTTTTAGGGACTGACTAGCTGTGGGCGTTCCCATCCCAATTGCCTAGTCTGTTGTTAGGGTCGATAAGGATATTCTTATCAGCTTATCGATAAGGCAAAATTTTCAGATTTGAGCTTCGTCCCTGGTCAACATTCTTTCGCGCCACACGTCAAAATGCCGGAAAAGGTTCGTACCGTGTTCGCGGACTCGGACGATGAGAATATTGTAAAGCACAAGCTCTCGCTTCAATCCACAGAAGAGCCCGAGCGCAAAAAGAAGAGAAGCAAGAAGCGCAAGCTCGATGAGCGCGAGGCCTCCAAACCCGCCGATCAAGATGAACCGTGCGAGATCCCTGCACCTGCCAAGCAGGTAGAAACAACAGTTTCCGTGCCAAAAAAGAAGCCAGAGGCGGCATCTCACATGAATGGCCCCCCTGCGTCAAAAACCTTCCCAAAATCGAAGCCGAGACCCTTCGCCGATACCAAAACCAACTTCACACCCTTACGAGAAAAGGCCAAAGCCCTCCTCGAGACGCGGCGAAAGCTCCCCGTATTCGAAAGTGCCGATTTGATCCGCGAACTGCTACGAGAACAAGATGTCATGCTGTTGGTCGGTGAGACGGGTAGCGGAAAGAGTACGCAGATCCCGCAGTTCTTGGTAGACGAATTTTGGTGTCGGCCCGTACCTACGCAAATCACTCGGGATGGGAAAACGGAAAAGAAAATGGTAGGAGGATGCATCGCTATCACGCAGCCGAGACGAGTCGCTGCCATTTCGCTGGCCCGCCGTGTAGCTGAGGAGATGGGGACACCGCTAGGATCACACTCGCCTGCTAGCAAGGTCGGATACTCTGTGCGTTTTGATACGTCTACATCACCTAGTACACGAGTCAAGTTCTTGACCGAGGGAATGCTGCTGCAAGAGATGTTGCACGATCCGAATCTGACCAAGTACAGCGCTATTGTTGTTGATGAGGTCCACGAACGGGGCATCAATGTGGATCTGACACTTGGATTCCTGCGTAATCTCGTATCGGGTAAGAAGGAGGGCCGGGGTGGTGTGCCACTCAAGGTGGTTGTTATGAGTGCTACGGCTGATATGGAGAGTCTAACGGACTTCTTCCAAGCTGGATTTAAACACCCGGAGCCAAAGCAGAAGGCTATTGAAGGAGCCGAGGCTGAAACCGATAAAATGGATACCTCAACTCCAAAGGATATCTCTGTCTGCCGTATTAAGGGTCGCCAATTCGCGGTCAAAACTATCTACTCGCCCGCGCCAGTACATGACTTCGTGGATGCAGCGCTCAAAATCATCTTCCAAATTCACCAAAAGGAACCAATGCCGGGTGATATCCTTGTCTTCCTGACTGGTCAAGAAACCGTCGAGGCCTTGGAACACTTGGTAAATGAGTATGCCATGAGCATGGACCCATCGCTTCCCAAAATTCTGGTTCTACCTCTGTTCGCCGCACTGCCACAGGCTGCCCAGCAACGGGTCTTTGCCCCTGCTCCACCGCGAACGCGCAAGGTTGTGCTATCCACTAACATTGCTGAGACTTCCGTCACCGTTTCTGGTGTACGGCACGTGATTGACTGCGGCAAGGCAAAGGTCAAGCAGTTCCGTTCTCGCCTCGGTCTTGACTCGCTCCTCGTGAAGCCTATCTCCAAGTCAGCTGCGATCCAGCGAAAGGGTCGAGCTGGTCGTGAGGCTCCTGGCCAATGTTTCCGGCTATACACAGAGAAAGACTATCTGGCCTTGGATGAGACAAACACCCCCGAGATTCTGCGCTGCGATCTAAGCCAAGCCCTGCTGAACATGAAGGCGCGGGGCGTTGATGACATTGTTGGATTCCCGTTCCTGACCCGGCCACCACGCGAAGCACTTGAGAAAGCTCTTCTGCAGCTATTGAATATTAATGCTCTTGAGGATGATGGAAAAATCAGCGCTGTCGGCCTTCACATTGCGAAGCTACCCTTGACTCCAACTCTGGGACGTGTCCTGTTAGCAGGTGCTGAGAACGGGCACGAATGCTTGCTAGATGTCATTGATATTATCTCTTGTCTGAGTGTGGAGAACATTTTCCTGAACACCACCTCAGAAGAGAAGAAGGAAGCAGCAGAGGCAGCCCGTCGGGACCTATACCGTCGCGAGGGTGACCACCTCACAATGCTGATGACTGTACGTGTGTATGCTGCCGAACACGCCGACCGCAAGGCATGGGCCGAGCGACACCTGGTATCCCACCGGGCCATGCAATCAGTCATGGTGAGTAGTACATGAGTTCCGGATGCCAGCCATATAAACTTACAGAACCCCATCAGGACGTCCGCAAACAACTCCGCACCCAATGCCGACAAGCCAAGCTGCTCACCAGCGAAGCCTTAAACAATACCTCATTACACGACCCCTCGCCCATCCTCATTCTCCAGAGTTTCCTAGCCGGATTCGCGACCAATACCGCCCGCCTCGTCCCCGACGGCAGTTATCGTACGATCGTTGGAAACCAAACCGTTGCTATCCACCCTTCGAGTGTGCTTTATGGCAAGAAGCTGGAGGCCATTATGTACAACGAATTTGTGTTTACCAACCGCAGTTACGCACGTGGCGTCAGCGCTGTGCAGATGGATTGGGTGGGAGAGGCTTTGGCTGGGAAGGATTGATCTTCGGCTAGAGATGCTATATTTAAGATTAATGTATACCCCGTAGGTGATGATACCAGTCAAATTCACCGTTTTCGCATCTCTGCCTCTGTTCCCTCTTTCGATAAACACCTGGAAATTCTTTCCCTCGAGGGTGGTTGCAAGTTCGACAGAAACCGTGAAGCCTTAAGCCCCATTTCGCTTCAAGAAAAGGCAATGATCTCGCTAGGTCAAGCCAACGGCCGGCATGACCAATGCAGCTTGTGTGCCGGCAACATTGGCCATATTCCGAGCCGTTAAGATGCTAAAATAATTCTTAGACAGAAAAAGGGAACGTTGAATGATGGTAATTACAGCCTAATCTCCTTTGAGATTTATGGATTGCTATTTATATTTCAGTACTTCGTACTAGGGATTCAAAGAAGCAGAAGCATCTCACGACACCTTGAACTTCAGGCACTGATCCCAATCGGGGAATTTCTCTACTCGCGCGTTAGACATTGCGATTAGGACAATCAAGCAGCCATTTCCTTTTAGTAATTGCAACAATTCAACGGGATTCTAAAACAAGGACTCGGATGAGACTCCGTACAGGAATTACACAATCATCACACCTCCCAGCCCCTTACACCGCATATGCCACGGCCAACCCCCGGGATTCTTTCGAACCAATTGCTCCATGTGTTACGTTCGACGTTCGATCAACTTGTCCCTATAAATCACCTACAATTTTTAGGTAATCCAATTCCGGGCCACAACTTAAGCTAAAGGTGTCCCCCTCGTTGGCAGTTTGCTATCTGTCTCAACCAAATATAGGATCAACTGAGGGGCACATATATATATATACATATATATTAGTGCAAGCAAGGCAACACTGACACGTCTGCTTGGCGATATCAAAGTACGGTGTAGTGTTTTTTTCTTCGATAGACCCATCTTGGGTGTCTATAAAATGTGACATATGGCAAATTCACACGTCACAGTGTCGATCCCGGTGACCGTCTGTCAGCTGATAGGTGTTTAAGATTATGGCCTCAGTATTTGCCTCATAAAACAGGCTAGTTGAACGGATACGGATTAACTAGTTCAATAAAGCACTCGAAAAGTGGTCTCACCATTCTACCGGTTGCATCATTGGAGGATCCAGAGTTGGATGGTTGAATCCCTTGGCATGGCCTATTCCCGCTTATCAGCTAATCTCTCCTCACCTCACATCATCTCTAAGGCTGAACACTCTTGTTCCTTGAACTTGGATTCTTTCTACTATATTATTTCTATTATCTCCATCAATCTCCTTATATGCTGTGATGCCTCTATCCCCCACTTGACCACATTCCCTGTGATATCTGGACCCACCATCGAATCCGCTTATCTGTGTCACTATCTGCCTCCCTATCTGCTTTAGAGCTACCAGATCAGCATGGCGTTCCAGGTCCCAACACACGTTCCTCGCCGCAGAACGTCCTATTCAACTCCCCAGCCACCTACTCTTGACATCCCCTCCTCGCCCGAACAGCGCGATGACGACACCGCACAATGGGTCCTATTTTCCCCGACCGCTCGTACACACACGACTTCAACCGATCGCACGCGTACTGTGGGAGCTTCTCGACTGAGTGACTTCGGCTCATTCGCTGCCACCCAGTCTGTATCTGGCGTCGACGGTGAACTCGATGACGAGAATGCCCTCGACGACCAACTAGACGAAGATGGAACCGAGCTGGACAGCCTAGACGATGGACTGCACGCCTTTCGGGCACCCGATCTGGCCCCGGCTTCCCCAATAAAGGTTGATCAGGGGCCGCCGGCGATGCTTCCGGCCCATGATGGGTTGGGCAGTTTCCAGGCTTCGAGTCAGGCAGTCCAAGATCAGCTCTGGCGGCACGAACAATACAACCCCCAGCGGCTATCGTATGGTCATCTCCAACATCGGCGTAACTCGAGCGTGCAGAGGCATTTGGATACAGTCGAGGAGGGCGAGGCAAATGTCGAGCGAGAACGGTGGCAGCGAATCGAAGAATGGCGCATGGACCAGAGCCGGGCTCTATTGCAGGAGATCGAACGGGAAACTAGACAAAGGCGGACTAGTCTGACCAGCCGATCGACCCTTCGTCGTTCTGTTGATCACAGCCCCCAGACGCGTGTGTCCGATGTGCTATCACGAGATGTATCTCTGGCGAAAGATGTGTCGGAAGACGAAGAGTCTTTCTGGCGCCGTATTACCCGAACGGTGATCCGTGACCTGATCGGGATTGATGATTCCTTGCTCTCTGTGATCTTTGGTGAGTCGTTGCCGCTGGACGCGCAATCTCACACCGAGGAAGATCCATTAGACATGGAAACGGTACTTGCTCGCGAACCAGAGCCAGAGTATAGCGATTCACCGCTGTGGCAGGCAAAGGTGCTGAAGACGATCGCCCATGAGCTGGGTATACTTGTGCATCAACTTTGTGAACACCCCGGGGCATTTACAGCATATTATCAAATGACCAAAGATATATCCGCCGAATATGCGGGGATGTCTCTCAACCGCCTAGCGGAAAGCGGGATCTCTCAGAAACCCGCCGAATCCACCTCATTCACCACCGCGGATACAACTGGCGAGTCCATGCTATCCCCCCACTTCTTGCCCACACTTCGAGACTCAAACCGTGAACACGAAGCACAGTGGGGCATTGAAGATGAGGACCCAAAGCAAGCTGACCAACTCCCCGAATCAACAAAACTCCAACACGAATCCGAGTACTGGGAGAGCGGCCTTGATGTAATGATGGTCTTCCGCTACCTCCGCAACCGCTTCAGCCGCCGAGGCTACATGCCCAACGAAACGCACACACCAACTCCACCTCGCCGCCCGCAAGATGCATCCCGCCGAGCAGCCATTATCCGGCAACATCACCCACTCGTAGCGCGTGCCCACTCCCGATCACAAATGCAGAACCGTCGCGCATCACAATTCTCTGGTGTGTCCAGCCCAGCGGGTGTCTCCTCCCCACTCCTACGACCGCATCTCCGACGACCTAGCTCCAGCTGCGCCAGCCAGAGCGCCAAGCTCTCGGCTATTTCCAGCCGGCGGACGATGACAAGCTCTAGCCGGAACTACTGGGATATTGGCGGTAGCGAAAGCAACAGCGTTATCGGTGTTGGAGCTGGGCTCGGCAACTGGGGCGAGGTGTGAACACATGCATATTTGCACAGTGCATGATGCATCTATTGGAGTCGGTGGATGTCAATGTCATTTCGGGGTATCGCTAGCCATATATTGGCGCATACTGTCTGTCTCATGATCATTTAACGAACGAGCAATTTCTGGTTTCATTGGCTTTTGTTTACACCTGTGGTTTATGGTGTTGTGGCGATTTGTTATTCTCGGTCTCTTCTCTTCATATATTGAAACTCGAACATACGGCATGCAATTTTGTCATCGACCTATACATTTCGCCTAAAAGATCCACTGGTGGAATAAATAAGTTTGAACATTTGAGTGCGGCAAACTCCTTGAATCTCCAAAATTAAAATTTGGATTCAACTGTACAAATTACTTTGCTGCAACACCCCAAGGCAGATCTCCATTAAAAATAGGCTTCCCCTTACTTTCAGGCGCATCAACATCAAAGTCGAAGCGATCTGGCACCTCGAACCCAGCCTCGAGATGATGTCTGACAAAGAGCAAAGAAACGCCATCCCTGAACAACCAAGCATCTTCCGTCCTGCGTTGCCACTTCTCCAGAGCCACTCTCATATCCTCAAGAACAGACTGATACTCAGGGTCCTTTGCAAGGTTGCGGACCTCATTCGGATCAGCCTGGATATCATATAGTTCCTCGGCCGGACGGAAGAAGTAATCCTTCAGAGGTCTAGACCCAATCATCTTAGGACTGGTATCAGCATTTCGGATCTCCTCCCAAGTCAATGAGCCATAGATATCAGCCGCGAAGGGGAAATCAAGTCTCCAAGCAATGTTGCGGTGGTACTTGTATTTCCGGTTGCGCATCATGCGCGTGGGCCAGTAATTGGTGACCTCGTGGAATGTGTGTGAACCAAAGACCTGGCCCCAGTCCTCGAGCGAAGATGTTTCAGCGAGGACGGGCAGTATTGAACGACCGATACGCTCTGGATGCTCGGGGCTAGGATGTTTTGCGTAATCGAGGAGAGTGGGCAGAATATCGATGTACGAAACCATATTGGGGTTTGTGATTCCGGCAGGGGACCCGGGGCACTTCATAATCAATGGCAGACTAACACCGGCGTCGTACAGCGTTGTCTTAGAATTAATGAACGGCGGCCCATTGTCACTCAAGAAGATAACCAGCGTATCATCTGCCAGCCCGGATTTCTTCAATCCATCCAACACCATGCCCACGCCTTGGTCGAGCCGGGAGATAGACTTATAATATTCTGCAAACTCATAGCGCACACCGGGCAGGTCGTTCACGAACGGCGGGACTTCCACGTCCTCGGGCGAGTAATCGTTCTTCTCCACGCGGGCGTCGTACTCGCCATCATTTCCAAACCCGGAACGAGTCCAGTCCCGATGGGGATCAATAAAGGCAATTGTCAAGAAGAAAGGCTTCTCGTCTGCACTTGACTTTTCAAAGAATGCCGAAGCTTGATCGGCAACAGATGCCACATCGCGACTGTCACTCTCCGCGCACATCTCCCAAGGGTACACGCTGGATGGGCCAACGTGAAGCTTGCCAATCAAGCCAGTGGAGTAACCATGTTTTGAGAAGAGAGCAGGAGCAGTCTCGACATGGTCGAAAGTTGTAAAATGGTGTCGGTTATTATGTAGCCCATATTGACCGTTCTGGTGAGTGTGCAGGCCGGTATAGATGACGGAGCGACTCGCGCTGCAAGAAGCAGTCGACGTGAAAGCATGATCGAACTTAGTTCCCTCAGAGGCTAGCTGGTCCAGATTTGGGGTTTGGATCTTGGTGTTTCCGTAGCAGCCTAATTGTTTGCCTAGATCGTCGGCGATCATGAGCAGGATGTTGCGTTTAGCCATGTTTGCGATGAGAGCTCAACGAAGTTTCTTCTGCAATTGAGATGTGCAGGGTATTTTTGTTTTTGGAACTTAACTGGGATCCCCACGACATTACTATTTAGCTTAGCTTGTGTTAAACCGGATGTCGGCTTGTTGGAGTGTGGGGATGAGCTATTGGGCGGATATCGGCCGGATCTCGCGTAGAAATTCACTGGCCCCCCATTTAAGTCCACTCTGCGGTTGCGCCATAATGCGCGTTTATTTCGTGACCGTGCAACATAGATTGCTCAACTTGGATGAAGGGGTGGAGTGTGGCAAGGTGGGAAGGTGAAGACAGGATGTGTACGGCCGCGCTATAAGGCTGCTTCGTGCTACAGTTGAAGATAGTCTCAGATGCAACACAATTATTATTAATTATAGAAATGCATATATCGAACTATTAGCTACTTCTGCCAATGAAACATCTACTTCTCTGGATTATTGCCTACTTCTTCGGCTCAAAAATAGTCTCGGGGATTTTGCCCGCCTCCAAATCCTCCTTTGCCTGCTCAATTTCGGCAGCAAACCGGCTTGATACAGACTTAGCCTTGAAAGCCCAGATACTTTCATTATTGAAGCTTGCATCAATCTCCTCCAGTGACTTGCCGCATGTCTCTGGGAAGAGAAGGAAGACGTGGATCGCAGCAACAAAACAAAAGGTTCCGAACAGGAAGTACATCTAGGACTAGAGTCAGTCATATGCTATGCTTCTTTAGTGAGGAATAGACGCACCTTGTACTGGATATGTTGGAATCCAGGAGGAGAGAAGAATGTCAGAGCAAAATTGCAGGCCCAGTTGAAGAATGTCGCGAGAGACACTGATTTGCTGCGGATATAGAGAGGGATAATCTCCGGGGGGTAGGCCCTATGCACAAGGTTAGCTATTGGCATCAACAAAATATCTACTCCCATGTAGTCAAACGTACCATCCTAGAGGTCTTGAGAGAGAGAAAATGTTAGCTACCAATGTTTCAACTTATAGGGCACAAGGTACTCACCCCCAGCTAGGCGCATAGACGGCAATGAACAGGTAAGAACAGGCGATAGTTGCCTTTGACGCTGTTCCATCAGTCACCCTCCATGTAACCGTTGGAGAACCCTTAAGGCCTCCGGGGACAGCCTCGCCGTATGATTTCATGAGGGCTCCCTGGATGAACTGAAGAAGAGACATGCCAAGAGCACCTGCAATAAATAGGCGGCGCCGTGGGAGACGATCCATGAAGAGCAGTGCAGGGAGAGTCATGACCACATTGATGATATATTGGATCGTCGCCGACAGGAGGGCATTGTTTCCCGACAGACCAGCCATCTGCACGTACCAAGTCAGTCCTATATGCCAATGCGAATTGTTTCGTCTATAAGTCTTACCTGGAAGATATACACAATGTAGTACATCATGGCGTTTGTTCCGCTTAGTTGGGACCAAACATGTGTGAAAATGCCACAATGCACGCGAACAATATTCCTGGAATTGAACAGTTCGGACCAGGCAGTGCTCTCGTATTGCCTCTCGAGTCTTGAGGTCAGTTAGTAACAGCAAACGGATCAATCAAGAAGTCAAGGAAACTTACTCAAGCTTTTCGCGAATTTCGGTAGCTTGCGCAACGACGATTGGATCAAGGGTATTGCCCTTTGCGTGGAGTCGTGCAAGAACATCCACCGCCTCCTCCCACCGGTCTTGTGTAGCCAGCCAGCGAGGTGATCTCGGCATCATGGGCAAAGCCGCCATGAGAATAATAGCCGGGATCATTTGGAGACCCCAAGGTAGACGGAATGACGCATGGCTGCTCATGAAGGATGCGCCGTACGATATGAAATACATAATAAGGATCTGAGACCAACGTTAGCTAGGCACAATCTGAGAGGTAGGAGAATTGATCACATACGCCCCAAGTGATCATCCACTGTTGCAAGCTGAGGAGTCTACCACGCTGCTGGGGAAGACTGATTTCGGCAATCAAAATCGGACTGGAAACGGTGTTAGCGGCGGTTGCAGGGTCTTCATAGCAAGTATCTCACCCTTGACTAGTGAGTATTCCAACAGCGAAGCCATTTATAATGCGCGAGACAATCAACATGGCGACATTTTGCACTGCGCTCATCAAAATAGAGCCAATCAACCACAAGATACACGCAATAAACATCGAGTCACGACGACCATATCGGTCACTTGTCCACGAGGAAAAAAGCGATCCAAGCAGCGAACCACCAGCCATACTGGCTGTAATACCACCCTGAGCAACCGAGTTCGGTTTGTTGAAGTAGTTCTTGTAGTTATCGGTGCCAATGATAGCAGACATGCTGGAGACATCAAAGCCCTGGATTAAACCGCCGATGGTCGCCAGTCCACTGATGAGGTAGACATTGTTCAACTCAGGTATTTTGCCCATCTTGACACGCTTGATAGACAATTTGACACGGAAAAAAGGTCATGGAATATAGCAGGAAATACTCCATGTCAGGGACCCCGGATTTTATGTAGCTCCACTTCGTCGAGATGGGTTCGATAGCTTCATTCGTCACCCATTGTGATTGGCTCTTGAGCCGATATCCGCCACGTTTTGGCGACAGCCGGATAATTCTGGTCAAACGTCAAATGGATATGGAATGGTGAAATCATGGCGTTCGGAGCTAAGAAGTATACGAATCGTTTTGAGTTCTCAATATTAATGAAGCTGGTCAATTGGTTCGATATCCTCGGTAATATCCTCGGCGATCTTCTCTGGTTGTGGTATAAAGGGCAAAATAATGTGGTAGCACACTTAAGTCTATCCTCGGAGTAGGCTAAACAGAGACTATCGAAAATCTTTCGAGCACCCATTCGCCGAATATTTCACAAGAATCACCAGAATCATCAATCTGGTAAAAAGCTGCCAAGCCTAAGCTTAATCGGGTTTTGCCGCAGTCCCCCGCCATCGGGGATATCCACGCGAGATCCGCTCGCTTCTCTCTTGTCCCCTTTCTTTTAGCCGTTCAGTACCTACATCGGGAGTCGGCAGCCATGTTATCGTGGAGTGGAGATGGAGAACCTTCAACCACGAGGAGATCTCGATCAGGTTAGGCCCACATGCCCTTCCATGCCAAGCAATTCGGTATATGCAAGGGCTAACAATCCCAGGGTGCTTTCTGTGTCGCGCACGCAAGGTAAAATGTGATGAGCGATGGCCAATATGCTCGAATTGCGAGCGTCTTGGATTGAATTGTCCTGGCAATCCAGGTCAGGGCGGGTTTGCTGCAAGAGTTCAGAAGAGCGATAAGCGTGACGCAGCATTAACCCAAGCGGGCACAACACGACATCGAGTGTCTAAATCATGTCACTCCTGTCGCTATGCAAAGGCACGGTGTTCGGGAGGAGAAAAATGTACCCGGTGCTATCGAAGAGACATTGAGTGCACGTATAGCGCAGGTCGCATGCAACAGATTCAAACCAAGTCGACTTCTGAATCACACTCGAGTGTTCATATCCCATCTTCAAGCTCTATCATTACATCTAATAAGCCTCAATCAATTCAATTCCCTTTTCAACCGCCTGCTGAAAGCACTCCTAGCTCTATCTCATGGTATATTCTTTCATTCTGCTCATTGGTCGTGACACTGACTAGGCCAGGCTTCATTCTACACAACTACCCGACAAAGAGCGAATTCTCATTCTAGTTGAAGAATATTTTGCTCATGTTCACCCTTTACGTTGTTTTGGCTTTGTGCATAAGCCCTCTTTCATGCAGCGATTGGACGAAGACCTAGAATCCTGTTGCAATAATGAATCACTTCTTCATATTGTCTGTGCACTGGGAGCAAAGTAAGTCTCAAAATCCGTGTCCTTGTCCGTCTATGGAATTCCCGTCTTACAAGAAACAGGTTCTTGGCGCTTGACCATCCCTCCCAATTTCCCCCGGAATCAGTACTCACAGCTGGTAATCAGTGGGCAAAGATTGCCAAAGCGCGAATATTCGCGGACTTGGATGATCTTTCCCTCGAGAAGTTGATGGTAAGACCGTCCGATGATCATGTATGCAATAACTGGCTCTGTCAACTGACCTTCGCTCACCAAGACTGCAATTCTGTTGTATGATCATGATCTTCGAATTGGAAGCTATGCAAGTGCGTTCATCCTCAGTGGCGTCACTGCAAGAATTTCACAAGCATTACAGCTTAATCTTGAAAGCTCCGCCGACGTCCTCTGCACTCAGTCGGACTCCACATGCCCAATTTCAAATGAATCTAAACGACGTCTGATGTGGAGCTGTTATGTCATGGACAGTTGGGTGGGCAGCGGTGTCAATCAGCTCACTCTCCTTGAAGACAAAGATCTCAAGATCCAGCTTCCTTGTCACAGCCACAACTTCTCTCTGGGGACTCCCTGCATTACTGAAGTCCTAGATGAGGGAAAGGTTCTTGGCTTTATTCCGAGAGAACATAGTCATTTCCAGCCGGCTCAAAATATGGGCATAGAGGCTTATTTTATTCGCCTTGTGAGCATTCGGAAACGGGTTCTTCGGTAGGAACAGGTTGCCTCTAGCTCGATCATACACATTTTGCTTACCTTGGATCATTTACCAGATATGTTAAACAGCTTGATACGTCTAAACCCCCGTGGGAACCGGATTCTGAATTTCAACAATTATCGACCGAATGTGAAAGCTGGCGGCAATATCTTCCACATAGTCTCAAATGGCACTCAGGCTCAATTTGGGCCCGCAAGGAATCGTCACAGCTAGGTGCATTGACATTACTTTGGTGTACCTATCACCAAACGTTAGTTGATCTTTATCGTATTGGCATGCCCACCCTTTTCCGTATAAGACGACATGTCGACTTTCCATCGGACAAGAAAGAGTTCTTGGATTATTGTCGCAGGGTCTGCTTCGACAGCGCTCGGGGAGTCTCTAAGATAATTGTTGAAGCATTGAGGCATGGAATCAAAGCCCTGGCTGATACTTGGCTTTGCATCATTGCACACGACAGCACCAAGGTGATGCTATATTATTTAAAGCACGTTACAGATTCATCGGCCTCTCTGAGCGTGTCCCACTCAAATGAAACGAAGATTCTAGTGAACAAAAATCTGGAAACACTCATGCAGATGAGATCTCTCGTTGCAACAGCCGAACATTGCGTATGTCTCTCGTCGTCCCGTACACATATTCTGTCGGAAATCGCCTACTAACCATATATGTCTAGTACCTTTCTGTTATTAAGATGATGATTTCAGCAGGTCTTCACCCCGAGTTTCCACATCATTCTACAAATGAACGAGAGTCAGAAGAAACCGAGGAAATGTACGGCTTTTAACTCAAATATCCTAGCGGTGACTTGCTGACATTCTCCATAGCCCCTCCCCTTCAGGATCCCCGGTTGAAGAATCTCCGGAAAATGTGCTGAACCCGCTTGCGATATATCGTATGGCGCGAACAGCTTTGCATGGCAAGGACACACGAGGGTCGACCTCAAATTCTCCCTCAACTACAAATCCCGCGTCGCCGGGAATACTACAGCCCAGAACAACTGCAGGACAATCCCTTCAGAACTTGAATATTACAGCTTTGCAACCCATCCCTGTACGAGAGCAATCGTACCAACCACACACTTCCCGGATTGACGACCGATCTACCATGGTGCAGCCCTTCTATTCCGCCCCTGAAGTCCAATCAATAAGTTCCAACAACTTCCCACAATTATCATCTTTCGGCACTACCGGGTCATGGGATCCGGCAGAAATGGCTGTAATGAACATGTTGGACGATGGAACCTCTCCTTGGCCCGCAGAGTATCTGACTGGCGGCCAGTCAGGGGTCGATCCATTTCTTTTTCCATTCTAGACATGGTATATGACCGACTTGATAAATTCACCACCCTGATTATTTCGGCGAGCAGTCTATATTTCGGCGAGTTGCATAAATCCAACACCTATGTAAAGGCTAGAGTTAAATTGTCTTCCGTTTCCGATATGGAATTCAATGTCCGTGCCCCCTAGTTCCAGTAATTCCCCAACGCTCAAGTTCCACATAGAACAATCGTGTGGTACCATCCCACTGAACAGACTGGAAAACTTACGATCATTGGACAAAACGCGGTGCTCCGAGCTCTGGTGGAAAGAAACACAGCATGATGTTGCGCGACTTTTCTCCCACACTTAGGTTCTGAATTCTAAAACAGCGCTGACTATAAAATGGCGTGTACAAGCAGCGAGGTTATCATTTTTGTGACTTTGCCCATTTTGTCATTGTACAATGGCTGCACTAACTCCGAATACATATGACTTCATTGTTGTGGGTGGTGGAACCGCTGGAAATGTCGTTGCAGGTAGATTAGCAGAGAACGCTGACGTGAAGATCCTCGTGATTGAAGCTGGAATTGGGTAAGTATTTCACCTACCTGTCACGGGCTCAATTGACACGGTACTAGTAACCCAGACGATATCCCAGAGATAACAACGCCCGCTCGCGCATTCGAACTCCGAAACAGCAAGTATGACTGGTCCTATCAGACGACCTTCGTCGACAGGCCTGACTACGAGCGTGTCGAGAAGACAAATACCCGTGGAAAGGTCCTTGGCGGGAATAGCAGCCTGAACTACTTTACCTGGATTCGTGGTAGTAGAGAGACATTTGATGCATGGCAGGCGTACGGTGGGGATGAATGGACATGGGAAAAGTGCAAACATTATTTCCAAAAGGCACAGCATGTATCTGAAAAGTTGGGGGTATAATATTTGCTAACAAGTTGATATCTAGCCAGCTTCATATCACGATGGCGAGAGAATGTACGATCCGCGATTTTCCAAGATCGGACGCGAGGGCCCATTGCACATTTCTCACGCAAATCTGCTCCCAGAAACTCGCAGTTTCCGAGATGCTCTAACACAAGCATGGACCAGCAAGGGCCATGAATTAAAAGAAGACATCTACAATGGCAGATTGGAGGGCATGACTTACTGTGTCAGTACAGTCTACGACGGGGTGCGGTCAAGCAGCGCAGTATATGCGACTGGGAAATACAACGTGGAGATAATGCATTCCACCGTAGCGACAAAGATCAACTTTGAAGGTGATACCGCAGTTAGCGTGACTGTTGCCGGAACAGATCACAACGAGACCACGCTAAAAGCAACGAAAGAGATCATCATTGCTGGTGGAGTTTTCGAAACACCCAAGCTACTGCTTCTTTCCGGCATTGGTCCTAGACGTGAACTGGCTCGTCATGGAATTCAGCCTGTGATAACGTCCGAGCATGTGGGCGAGCATCTTCTTGATCATCCCATTCTTCCACACGTTTTTAAACTTAAGGATGGCATGGGTTTGGATCATATTCTCCTTCGAGAAGGACCTGCCCACGATGCTGCCGTGACGCAGTACGACAAGGATAAAACTGGGCCACTCGCCAGTGGCCTTCTTGAAATGATAGCATTCCCACGCATCGACGGACAACTCGAAGAGCATGAAAAGTACCGCAAAGCTAGGACAAACAATGGAGGCCAAGACCCTTTCGGGCCTGGTGGTCAGCCTCATTTTGAGATTGACTTTATTGTATGTGAATGATCATCAGCTGCAAAGGGACATGTTTGCTAATTCAACCAGCCCATGTTTTGTGATGCCTTCCAGTGGCACTTCGTTGCCCCACCCGAGGGAGACTGGCTAACGGTCGTCGTCGACCTCCTTCATCCACAATCCAAGGGCGGACATGTCAGACTCAATTCGATCGATCCACGTGAGCAACCCGACATAAATCTCAACTACTTTACCGACAAGCTTGATATCCTCGCTTTGAGAGAAGGTGTTCGATTTATTGATGATATCCTCATGAATGGCGATGGAATGAAAGAGATCATTGCTGAGGATTTTCCGTGGCCGATGCCCCGTGAGTCGGACGAAGAGATGGATCTCCTTATCTTGGATCGGGCGCAGACTGGATATCGTAAGTTCAATGCGGTACTGTGGTGTGAAATTTCAAGACTGATTTCTTTTTAGATCCCTGTGGTACTGCCCGACTGTCTCGGAACATCGACCAAGGTGTGGTAGACTCTGAGCTGAGGGTTCATGGGGCTAAGAGGCTTCGTATTGTTGATTCCTCCATCATTCCGGTCATTCCGGACTGCCGGATCCAGAATGCAGTGTACATGATTGGAGAAAAGGTATGTGAACGCACTAAACTTGTAGAACTTGATTCTAAGTGTATTAGGGTGCCGATATAATCAAAGCGGCTTATCCAGAGCTTTATAAATAAGCATGAGTCCATGGAAATGCCACTTTATTAACTGGCTTTCCTAGAATATTCAATGGAAGATGCAATCTAGTAGTCACAGTCTATTTTGCGACGTGGAGTTCAAGCGGTATATGAATACAGCGAATCAATTGATACCATATATTTCCATTCTTTATTTCATTGCATCATCAAGGTGTCTCGTGAATATAAAAATTACGGATTTCTTTCGCAGTGTGCTAAGTGACGCAGAGTGGTGCCTAATGATTGAGTGTTGGGTTTCAATGTTGGTGTACAGCATAAGTCGAACAAGATAAATCCTCTCTTCAATTTTCAAGGCAAAGCTAGATCTATGAAAATTTGTTCTCTTTCAACTTGACTCAGCCTCCACGTTCTAATCTTGGTTACGCGTATAGATCGGATCCACCCACTGGTTCTAATCTTGGGTGATCGGCGAAATTGTACATTACATCGTCTCATTACGGGTAATATAACAGACTGGTTTTTAGCTCAAAACACAGCAAAGGACTTGGACGCCATTATCGAAAAAGTCTCTAAGCTCCTATTACACAAATAAAAGTCTTGGAAATGTCAAAATGATTGGCAAGTGGTACAATCTCCGATGCGGACTCCGACATACATTATGTATGTACACCTTTAAATACATTACCTAATTGTACATCGTACTCGTATTCGAAATATCCATGGATAAACACGGCGGCCTGGGGCTTGGTTCGGCGGATCTCATTAAGATTTTAAGCTGATGGGAAATTTTATATTTTCTATCTAAACTCCTGGCTCATATTGTCCCTTCCGATAGTATTAGTTCACCTGTCCATTTTGTTATCGTCTTGGTCTTCCTTTTCTTGACATATTGTGTTTGAACCTGGAATACTCGAAAATGTATTCTCAAGGTGACACGGCTCCCGAGCAGCCCCCACCCCCATACGAGGCAGTTCCGCAAGATATTGGTGATGCTGAGGGTATCTCTGTTGACGGTACGCTCCGCAAACTTGTCACGGTTCTAGCTCGGGGAAGCAATTCTGACCTATATACAGATGACGGCCGTGTTGTTGTCGATGCTAGTTCTCGGCTTTGCAGATCTCTTTCTAAGCTATTGCCTCATGCGATCCCTCGGAGCGTACCTCCGCCAAGCTATTCGGAAGGAGTCCCAACGTTCAAGTTCCCTCTGAATATTGTGATTCAAATTGTGGGTAGCAGAGGAGATGTCCAGCCGTTTGTTGCACTTGGTACAGAGCTACAGAGCATGGGCCACCGCGTACGTATTGCAACACACAATGTCTTTGAGCAGTTCATCCTCGAAGCAGGTTTGGAATTCTACCCAATCGGCGGTGATCCGGCGGATCTGATGTCGTATATGGTTAAGAATCCCGGGTTGATTCCCAGCCTAGACAGTCTCCGTGAGGGCGATGTTCAAAAGAAGCGTTTAATGATGGCGGAAATTCTTCATGGTTGCTGGCAATCATGTTTGATGCCCGACCCTATCACAAATTCCCCTTTTGTGGCCAATGCCATCATTGCCAATCCTCCAAGCTTCGCGCATGTGCACTGCGCCCAGGCCCTAGGAATCCCACTTCACTTGATGTTTACAATGCCGTGGAGTCCAACAACGGCATTTCCGCACCCGTTGGCCAATTTGAAAAATGTTCCAGCTGATCAGGAGTGGCTCAATCGTGTCTCTTACACCGTCGTGGACTGGCTATCATGGCAGGGGTAAGTTCCGAGCATTCCTTTACACCGTGTACAATGAGCCGGTAGCTGATTTATTTTCCATTCGAATAGTCTCGGTGGCGTGATCAACGATTGGCGGAAACATGAGCTCGAGCTCGAGCCTATCTCCCTATCAGATGGCCCTTTCATTCTAAGCAGACTGAATATCCCTTATACATATTGCTGGTCGCCTGGCCTAGTTTCAAAGCCTGATGACTGGCCCCATAATTTCGGTGAGTTATGATTACTTTTGTCAAATTTGTTGACTAACTCTCATTAATAGACGTCTGTGGTTTCTTCTTCCGCGATCCACCCCAATACCAGCCTCCTCATGATATTGCAGAGTTTCTTAGTGTCGGGCCCCCTCCGGTCTACTTCGGATTCGGAAGCATCGTGCTCGAAGATCCGCATGAGATAACAAAAACGATTCTACGGGTGATTGAGGAAACCGGGGTGAGGGCAATTATTTCACGTGGTTGGAGCAAGTTGGGAGGAACACACTCGAGAGAACTAAACAGAAGTGATGTTCTTTTCATCGACGATTGTCCACACGAATGGTTATTCGAAAGGGTCAGTGCGGTTGTTCATCATGGGGGTGCTGGTACGACGGCTTGCGGACTACGTAATGGCAAACCCACTATCATTGTGCCATTCTTTGGAGAGTAAGTGACCAGTTGTTCTGGCGTACTTTTTATTCTTATTTGACTTGACATTTCGCCTTTTGGGATCCTTTCTGACCCATCTATAGCCAACCGTTTTGGGGAGAAATGGTTTCTGCAGCCGGTGCAGGACCAGACCCTATACCACACAAAAAGCTCAATGTCACAGCTTTGGCACAAGCAGTGCGGTTTTGCTTAACATCAGAAGCAGTACGCGCCGCAAAGGGTATTGCCGCGAAAATGCAGCAAGATGAAGGAGTGAAAACAGCTGCAGCATCATTCCATCGGAATTTACCGCAAGGTCTGGTCGAATGTGATCTATTACCGAAACTCCCCGCGTGTTGGAGGTATCGAGTAGGCAAGAAAAGATATCATTTGTCAAAAGTCGCTGCAGCAATCCTTGTTGAAAAGAATCTGTTAGATGTCGAAAAGTTGAAACCGTGAGTCCAAACCCACCTTAAACCCAACCCATCCATCATGCGTTCCAGCCTCGGCGTTCGGCAAAATTTCGACTAACCTAAATTCAAGATACCAACCAAACCCGATTATCATTGAGAACACACGATGGGATCCAGTGACTGGTATCTCCTCTGCTGGAATGGGAGTCACATTCGATGTGCTCAAAGCAGGAGGTGATATCTTTTATAAGCCGTACAAAGTATATCAAGATGGTCGTGCCTCACCTCTTCCATCAACACCCGATTCAGAAAGGAATTCCGCCCAGTTTCTCTCACCTGGGGACAGTGCAAAATCAATTCGCAAAGCTCAATCGATGAATGATTTGACGGCATGCAGGAACGTTGAGCCCAAGGAAAAAACCAGAGGTGTCGCCATGGCCTCAGCATCGGCCCTCGCTTCCGGGAAATTTGTGGGGAAATTCTTTTCTGGGTTTATGATTGATGTGCCGTTGGCCGCAGCTGAAGGCTTTCGTATGCTCCCTGGTCTATACGGCGACAAGGTCCCCCAATACGGAAAAGTAACAGATTGGAAATCTGGCGCCGCTGCAGGTGCTAAAAGCTTTGCTATTGGAATGGGCCAAGGTATGACTGATGTGTTATATCAGCCGTATAAAGGTGCTAGAGACGGAGGAGCCGCAGGATTTGCGGGTGGCTTGCTCAAAGGCACTTTCGGGGTGATAGGCAAGATAGCACATGGTAAGAACATACCTTGGGTTTAATAACCCTGGTATTCTTTTGTTGTCTTGCCTTCGCTGACTTCTTACCAACTGCAGGCTCCCTTGGCCTTGTTGCCTATCCCAGCAAAGGTATTAAACAGAGCATACATTCTGCATTTCATAAGAGCACACGGAAGCTCATCATAGCGGCTCTTCACTTTGAGGGACAAGATATGGTTCGACAAGAGAGAGTGAGAGGGATTGAAGATCGGATAGTCATCGAGAGATTCATGGGCAGGACCCGAGCAAACGACTCCGATGACAACAGTGATTACATATAGCTGGGCCAAACCAGTGCAAAAAGTAGATGCTTCGCCCCCAATCTTTAATGAATCCTGGGTTTGAGGCCTCGGGAGCTTATGCTTTGATTAATAACAAGAATAGTTGGCCTCTTTTGCGGCCTGGTGGTGTCTTTTCAGATATTCTGTTTAGACGTCCTTTTTATGATATTTTCTAGACCTTTAATTTGTGAAAACGACTTGTCCATATATAACTTTCGATATAGATTATGTATATAGTATACCACTTGCGTATAGATCTATATGTCAACTCCTCTGGGCTACTCCAGTCTTGTGCATTAGGCTAATCTCTCTATGAGTTCCTGTTTTTCCTCCGTTGCCTCTTCAAAGAAAGAACCCTCAATTTGCTTGACCTTTCGCCCCTCCCACCATGAGGTTATCCCTGCCAGAAGCGAACTGAAACAGCCTAGACCAATGAAAAGGCCAACACCGAAAGCCGGGCGATTATGTCGGTTGTACACCCACATAAATGTCGCCATTCCAACTTGGAACAAGCTATTCAACAACATATTTATCACCACAAAGTCCATCTTCCATGTTTTGGTAGGTGGAGCGACCTTGCCCGTCAGGGTCTCACACTCTTCGGGATCAGAATCCCGCATTCTATACCAGCTCGAATTTCGCTGGGCAAGCTGCATTATTGATTTCTTGGATATTTCGGCCGAGCCGAAGTGCCACATCAGCAGCCAATATGTGTCGCGAATCCGCCACGGCGCTAGCCCCCACGAAGTTAGACAAACCACCCCATTGAGAATCTGGGAATCAATCTCGATCCATAGTTCTTTACGCTCCTTGCTCATCGGCCCGACGTTCAACAAGAGGACATGGCGCCCCAAGCGACAACGTTGAGGCCATACGCAACAGATGAACAGGCCCATAGGTGTAAAAATGAATCTCCATACTGCACTAGATCCTTTCTTAAAGGCGTTGGCCCAAGACGCCTTTGGAACACTGTGGCCTTGGTTGCTTTGATAGTGACCAAACGGAGGTTCAGGGATGCTTTTGACTGTCTGGGTAGGGTTTCCAGAATCGACAGCTTAAGGGTGCTGACCAGTAATGACGAAACCGGGGGATCGATGCTTAGTACCCAGACAAACATTATCGGGCATTGTGGCAGATTCAACGTCTTCGGTGTCTGGTATGTCTTATAATTTCAAAATGTATTCAGAGTCCAAAGTCTCGGCGTGAGAACTAGAGGTGGTGCGGCCCAAATCCTCCGGCTCGCGTCGAGTTATTTAAGCGTTCGAATGCAGACCGCCATCCAAGCAAACCTCTAACGGGGGTCGGACAGGAAGGGGATGCTGGCCATGTTTATAATAATGACCTTTTGAACTCTTTAAAGAGAGGTAGATAGGATTGGAGAGAGGCGGGGTGGCGGTCATCGAGACAGGACTTAGTAGTGGCAATTATCGCGAGAATCTCGCAGAGGCTGGGAGCTGTCCTGGAAGGAATTCCATGGCCGAAAGGATTCCAGGCGAAAACTAGCGTTTAACATTATGTGGAAGAGAGGGCTTAAAAAGAGTTCGAAATGTGGTGATTATGGGCACTGTAAACCAGAGAAGCTGGCAGAGAACACGGAACCGCGGATAAAGGATAGGGGACGGGAGACAAGGTGCAGGGGAGAGGAGATTTTAAAGGGGGTTTGAATTCCGGTTTCACCATTTATGAAACGGATGGGGTTTTCCACTCCGTCCTACGCCCTTTCGTCATGACTTATATCCTTGATAAGATACAGTACTCCAAGAATTGAGGGCAGTAGCAATGTTATAGTTTAGCCAACAAATTGTGGCAGGCAATCAAAGCACAGGCAAATCTTCAAATACAGAATCAGACTTCACAAAATTGAAGATGCAAGTCTCTAGTAAATGTGCGGCAGCTGATGGACCAAGCTGACCTTTTGATGCCACAACAATCCCACAAGGGCGACAAGAAGCATGCCATACGTATCTTTCTTTGTGCTTCGGATCCATCGCCACATGGTGTTGAGCATCCAAATCTTGGACCGGGGCACCGTCTTGAAAACACCAACCTGGGACTTGAGTGTTTCCTTCCAGTATGTTGACGCATAGCCTGGCCAGGACGCAGAGTTACGTCCATGTGTGTTGATATACCAGTTGGAACATCCAGCTTCGAAAACACTTCCCTTGAGCTCAGTCTGCAATGCATTCACCCATTGGTATTCCACCGTGGGCTTGACTTCCAAAGAATAAATCCGGTGGTCTATAATAGGCGCAAGCAATGTTCGAGCAAGATAGTCAACTTGCACCTCGGAAGCAAAGAGTACAGAGTTATGCGCCGGAAAGGTGTTGGGACCAAAGCTGTGGAGTAAAGTGTTAGTTTAGGGATTTGGGGACTCATGCCACGGCTAGCTAATACATACAGCAGTCCAAAGTTTGGGAAGTTGTGCACATAGACTCCCATGTACGCCTGTGCACCACGGGACTCTAGCCATTGCTGCGAGAGGCTTTTGCCATCCTTACCGTACACTTCCATTGGCACAACAAATTGTTGGACATCAAAACCTGTCGCAAGCACAATCGCATCAAATTCAGTCCGCACACCATCAGTGCCGGTGATACCAGTCTCGTCGATGTGGTCAATCCCCACAGGGGCCAACTCGACATTGCTGCGATGAAGGCTTTCCAAGTAGTTGGGATCAAAGATACGTCTCTTGCAGCCTTGATAGAACGCTATCAGAATGCGGACTTGAATTTCAAATACAAATGGCAGAACTTACCTAGAGGAAAATCGGGCACAAGGATTTGGTGGTACTTCTTAGGCGCAGTCTGATAAATGTATTGACGTGCGCCGCGCTCGGCCTTTGCACGCATATTTTCGGCGGCAGGCCCGGGTAGGTAGGTAGCCACAAGGCTGTCACTGCTAAGGAACAGGCGCAAGCGGAGGTAGCGCTCCCATAGTGGAATGTTGCGCATACACCAATTCTCGAAAGAGGTGAACTTCCGATTTGGCCGCTCGTGATACCACTGTGCACTCCGAGCGTACTGTTTCACAGATCCGGCATTTTTTGCGATGGCAGGAACCACTTGGGCTGCACTACACCCGTTGCCGATCACCGCGAGTCGCTTTCCGTGGTAGTCAAACTCGTGCTTCCATCGTGCGGTATGAAAGACTTCACCATTGAATGTCTCCATCCCGGGAAACTTAATGTCTCTTGGTTTGGAAATGCCACCGACCGCCGATATAAACACGGTGGCAGTTCGGGTATATCTGACTTGAGTCTTGATATCAAGGAGTTGGGCTTCCCAAAACCCCTGACTGTTCCAGGACGCAGAAATACATTCGACGCCGAACTGCATGTGCTTCCGGAGATCAAACTTGTCTACAGTTGCTTCCATATCTAACTCGCGCGAAATGTGTCAGTGTGGATTCTCATGATGTTTCGATTCAGTGCAGTCCAACCCACAGTCGAGGATTTCGGATCCTTCACACAGCTCCTTTGACCAGTCCGGATTTTGGTTGAACGAAAAGGAGTAAAGTAGCGTAGGTACATCACAGCCCCTATGCCCATATGAATAGTTAGAGAAGGCAACACAAGTCAGTAAGAATCATGCGTACACTCCTGGATATGTGTTTTGTCTCCATGTTCCTCCTGGGCCATCCAATTTATCGTAAAACTATACCATTATCAGACGTGTATTTTTCCTTCCGAGGAAATCCTTTTTTTTGTTCTTTTGGTGACTTACGGTAAAGTCATTGAACCCTAATTTGTGTTTAAGGGTGTATGCCAGCGCAATTCCCGATGGTCCAGCACCGATAACGATGACATCTGGACTAGTCATCATGAGAATGATGTATGAACATCTATATGAGAGAGCAAAAATAATCAAAAAATTGGGTGTTTAACGGTTGTGTATTTGGTTTATATATTTTTGCATCGGTCCACTCGGTATGGACCGACAACGCAAAGGCCCAGTATGGTCACTAGGCTGGCGAGAATACCATGGCGAAGCTCAACAGCTACCTAGAAAGCCCAGGGGTCCAACAAAAGGGCCGAGGAAGAGAGTGGAGCCCGATGACAACCTGATGCCAAATGTCCGTAAGTTGACATCCATGGAAATATTGCACTCCGCGGGATTATAAACCCGGCCCCCCAGCACAGTGGTATGTCATCAGAAGATCGATGTCGACTGACCCACCCACTGATCAATAGAGTCAATCAATTAGACTTTTATTATTCCCCATCTTTACCCCGGATTATAGTGGGGACACCTAGGAAGTGCATGGTATCTGACCCGGCTCCTGGCTTCATAAAAAAAGCTTTATGATGTAGGGATTTATTCACTTAAACTTCCAGGTTCGAACTATCTACTGATATTCAAGGCCAAGAATCCGGAAGAAAATGTCAATCATGAAAGGGCTCAGAGGGAAAGTATTATACTGCGTCATGCATTTTTGTTGTTACTTGGTACGTGGGTCTATATCCACACAACCCCACAAAATATCTTAACTATGTGAAGGCTTTTGGACTGTATGGGTAAGCAACAAACTCGGAAATCTTAAGGTTCTCGCCTGGGGACTGAAAAAAACAGATATGATGCCGGTGTTTGGGCGGGTTTCAGGAAACACGTCCTTTTCGCGAGGCCCTCGGAATATGTACCAGGCAGACTTGAGGTATGATGACAGGTTGACTAGGTAGAACCCAACCGGGCCTTATATTATTCTAATGGTAGTATTAAGCTATACCCTCGCTGCCACAGCATGTGCATTGCAGTCTCATGGCTTGGCATGCCCCTAGGCCGACGAGGCTGTATAGTCCTTCGTGACGAGTTGGTCATCGTTGGAGGAATTCTCCAGGCCTCGTCTTAGTCTGTGCCTCAGATTATTGTTGGACGAGTAATTTGTGTAAGTTTGCTGTCTGTCATTGATTACGCGTCTAACAGGTGATGCAACAGGGATTCGGTATCGGTGTTTGTATATCCTCTCAACCAGTCAATGCCTTATCTAACAGATTCATGGTGTCAGTTTATATCCTGTGCAGTACCAATGTACATGGTATGGTTGCGACGAGGGCTAGATCTGCGATACAAAGTCCCTGACTCTATTGGTTCTAGGCTGAGATGAGTCTCACGGAAAAGGAACGAGGGCCAGAGGTAGCATTCCAGTGCGTATTTCTTGTGAGTGGTTGTGCGTTCGCCTACTGGGTGGATTTTGGCTTCACGCGCCTCGATAATCAGCTTTCATGGGTAACAAATATCTTTCCTTTCCATTTTTATGCAATCGCTGAAAAGTTATAGCGCATTCCCATCGCGTTCTAAGCCGTCCTCGCCGCCGCTTCGGGGGTGGGGATGTTTCTACTACCGGACACGCCTCGCTGGTATTACGTTCGCGGTTGTCTACAAGAAGAGGACGAGATCTTATCTCGCCTTTACGACCGACCTGTCCTTGACTCCGATGTCCAAACAATGCGAGAGTCCATCCTGGCATCTCTTGAACTTGAGTCAGAGGAAATCAAAAGCTTGAATGTGCTAGATCTCTTTTGGGATCCAAGCAACTTGCGGGTGGGACGACGCTTGCGCATTGCGTTCTTGATTTTGTCTGTACAACAAATGATGGGTACGTACACTTTACTGAGTTGGAATTGCTGTCGATCTTTGATCTCATTGAATACAGTGATCAACATGGCCGTCTACTACAGTGTCACTATATTTTCACAGATTCTGGCTGCTGTGATGAACACAATCTTTGCCCTCGGTTCCCTCTTCCTGCCCTCAACTATTAAAGTGTTTGGAAGGAGAACAATATTAATATTCTCAGCTGGAGGTTTAACAATTTGTCTCAGCACTTTTGTCGCAACGATCGGCTCCCCGGATCCTACACTGACAAAACAATGGCTTGCAGTTGCAGCCATCACTGTATACAATCTTATATTTTGATATGGATGGATTGGCGTTCGTTGGTTGTATCGTCCCGAGGTAAGCTTGTCCAAGCCCCAATCCCTGAAATGTCGTGACACAGCACGCTTACATCCTAAACGATTGCCCCGTTACAATTTCGCCACATCGGAGGTGCCGCTAGTGCATTTGGAGAGTGACTTTTCTGCTTTATCTCTGTTTTTGCTGGAGGTACCGGGCTCGAGAAAGTTGGGTGGAAGTTGTGGCTTTAGTGCCTCCTTCCATGCGTAGTGTCCGTGCCGTTCGTCTACTTTATGTGCCCTGAGACGACTGGAAAGACGCTCGAGAAGATTGATCTATTGTTTCAAAAGGAGAGCGAGGCTTATCGGACCAATCCTGACTTTGTCAACCCATGTTCGAATGAGAAAGAGGAAGTTCATTATTTTCACCAAGAGACTGCTCGCGTGTGATAACAAATAGACTGATAACCAATGATTATTAAGAGAACACCAAGAAAGCATTTGTGCCGGAGCCTCAACATTTGGTCAGTATTCCCCCATGTAGAGATCTCTATTGATTAGAAGGAGCTTTACCGTAACCCAAGTCGAACAAGAAGTGTCATCATGATACAGAGAATCCCTTGACCTCCTACCATACAATCCTTAAAAATCCTTATTTATCTTTCCATCGAATCTCTACCCATTGTATACGATAAGTTCAACTTTCCTGAGACTAAATTGTTCAGTATCATCGAGTGACCGAATGTTTTGGTAGCCCTCACCAATAATCCGAAAAGCAATATTACGCTCGAACGGACCGATCCGGCTAAAAGGGTTACCTTGGCATTACTCCTCTAGTCATTCTATGGCTTGTAAGCCTGATACTTTCCGTTACCTTAATTGCATGAGTCAGGCAAGGAATGTCATGCAAATTAACCTTGCCCATTGTCCAAAGAAAAATTGGACAGCCTCGGCAATTGTAGTATACCCCAGTTTTCATCGCATAGTCTAGAATGTGGACTTTGAGATCACCCGCCTCCATACTCCCCACGTTTTGCGAGTGCAATATCGGGATATCACTCCCGATCTAGACAAGAATTGAGTGACGATATAAAACTCTGCTACTGCGACTCTTTACTAAGACGAATGATCACATTCTGATTTTCTGCAACTATGTTCGATCTGAAAGGTCGATCGCTACAAATTGCCATTGCGGTGAGCGCTGGAAGCGCATACCTTTTGTTTGGATACGATCAAGGTGTTCTGGGTGGTTTTGTATCATACCCGGGGTTCTTGGAAGCCATTGGTAATCCTAGCTCTGGGTATCTAGGGACCATAGTGGCTCTTTTCAACATCGGCTGTCTCTTAGGATGTGTGATTGCAGCCATTTTTGGAAATCGATTGGGCCGGAAAAATGCCATTACACTTGGATGTGTGATTATGACAATAGGTGGTGCGGTCCAGGCCAGCACATACAGCGCAGGTCAGCTGATTGCTGGTCGAATAATTTCCGGAATTGGCAATGGTGTGCATATCTTTCTTGACAGATATTGAGAACTCACATACTAATTTGACAATCTGAAACGAAAGGTATCAATACCTCAACCGTCCCTGTTTACGTCTCTGAAACATCCCGAATGGCCATACGTGGAAGATCGCTCGCCATCCAGATGTCAATTGTTATTGTATGCAACCCGAGGCTCTCACCGTACCACGCCTTTGTTGACGATTTCCAATAGTTTGGTACAATGCTTGCCTACTGGTTAGACTACGGCATGATTCGCACTCAAATTGGCGAGGTAATCTTGTTCGGCGTCCTATATAAATGACCTCGCTCACATCCTCTCTAGGTTGTCTGGCGCTTTCCTCTGGCTTTTCAAAATTTCTTCGCCATAGTCACCATTACTACCATGCCACTGTTGCCAGAATCACCAAGGTATGTTCAACCATATTGAAGCACCGAATTAAACGGAGTTGATTAATAATTGCAGATGGCTTTACTCACATGGGCGGCAACGCGAAGCTATAAATGTGCTTTCAAAATTGCTTGCTTTGCCGGAGGATCATCCTGACGTGTGCACTGTCGTTGCTGAGATGGAGCAAGCTCTGTCAGTTGAGCAAAACAATAAGACGGAATTATCTATCTCAAGTCTGCTTTTTGAGAAGACGGAAATGAAGTATGCGCGCCGCTTGACATTGTGTTTCGTGATCCAATTATTCCAACAATTCACTGGAATCAACGTGATTGCGTTTTACGGTAAGCCGCAATTATCCAATGATCGGCCAGAATAGCTAAAAGTTTGTCTAGTTACCATCGTACTCGAAACGAACGTTGGACTCTCGCGCGAAATGAGTAGTCTCGTGGCCGGGTTCATCCAGATCGCATTCTGGGTTGGCACATTCCCACCGATATTCCTCATTGACCGACTTGGTCGACGAAAAGTACTGATGTTAGGATCGACTATGCTTTGTCTGGCATTGACATTGTTCACGGTAGGAATCGCACTGAAGACACCTGCGTCGTCGCGGTTGGCTTTGGGAATGCTTATCATATACGAAATATCTTTTGGAATGAGCTGGAACTCAGTGCCCTGGTTATATGCACCAGAGATCACGCCACTAAACATGCGCCATGTCGGCGCAGCCATTGGGTGCTTTTCTGAGTGGCTATGGACATTTGTTAGAACCCGTCCATTAATTCCCCTTTTCCAAACTTTCATCTGGCTAATTTTGAGCGTGTGATCAGGTAATCGCACAAATGACACCTCCGGCCATTGCCAATACAGGTTGGAAGATCTACCTTCTTTTCAGTTTTATGACTGCCCTCAGTATTCCATTTGTTTACTTCTTTATGCCTGAGGTATGTGATCCCCTTGCTCGCTCATGTTTATCTTGATAACAGCTGTTGACCAAACTTTTGAGAGCAGACAAGCGGAAAGACACTGGAAGAGATTGATTACATATTTGTGAAGCACAGAGGTCTTTCGAATGAGCTGGCTGATACTACTGGGTCATCATCAAATGAAGGAGCGGAAAAGTCGGACGGGCAGGGCCAGTTGGCCCAGATTGAGAGAGTCTAAGTATAGAAAGAACAAAAGAAGACGACCGAAACACGTGACTAATATTATACTACATATATGGATTAGTTCTAGAATGGTAATTTCAACCGTCATTTTGCACAGAAATAGTACATGAAACTTTATCTACTTTATGTAGTGTCAAACATCGAAAATGCCATATCCTCATCCTGATCATCACGCATATGATGCAGCTTGCATCCGTCATCCGACGCCAATAATAACGACTGCAGGTGGTTCCAATCATCTCCAGCATTCTCATGCTCGTACAACTCCATTGAAGGGTATACTTGGGGATTGGAAATACCTGTTTCTGTCTGTGGTGATATTTTTGTGAATGAGAGTTGCGACTGATATAGAGCAGGGTCTTTCCCAGTGGAACCATATGAGTCTTCATCAGAGGCGCTATCTCCGTCGGAATACAAGTCCAAGTTGTTTACTCCTATAGATGCAAGATCCTGTAGTAGACTCCTTTCTGATGATGTCATCATAAAGTGAGAACAGAGGAGCTTGCTCATTTGCGGGGGGTTAAGGTTGTCAAGTTGTTGTGCAATAGTCGGTGATGCGGGGAAGATCTCTGGGTGGTGGTTGTACTCAGGTTGAGTCACCATCGTCCCGCCAAAGCTGGCTCTATCACTATCCACTGTGCGAATGAGTTGGGTATCTCTCATTTCAAGTGAAGTGGCTATCTTTTGAATACCATCATCCACAGAGGCAAGGGCTGATGCCGCAGAAGGATATGTGTCTCTGAGCTGTTGTAAACCCTGCGCACATGATTGAAAAGATTCCATAGCTGACTGGCGGGTCGAAGTCTCTGTGGATTCGAGATCGTCCAGATGTGCGGCGAGAGCGGTTGACAACATTTCGACTTGCGAATCTGGAAACAAGTGAGTCTGGCCCTGAGACCTGAAATACTTGTATGTCAGGGTGATCATATTTGCGGAGTGACGAAGTCTTCGTTTAGACAACTCGGTGAGCTCAGGTAGTCTGGAGGCTACTAAGACAAGCTGCGGACGATGCAATGCGCTGCAGGCAATGCTGTATATACCACCCAGCATTGCACGGAAATGCAAAAGCACATCTCCGTGCTTACTGATCTGAAAGCGTGGGTCGGATGTGCACCATCGAAGAGCATCAGGTAGAGTAGTGAGCCATTCCTCAAGCTCAATATCGCGGAGTAAGACTTCGACATGCATGGCATGGGGAGGCCTTAGTGATAGAATGCTCCTGGGTGTGTCTGTGGATTGGTTTGTCTCCCACGAAGGGGTATATTGGCAGTCCAAAATTCGTGTGATACACTTGCAGCATTTTAGTAGAGAGATGCTGATCTGAGACAAAACACTTCGCATAGAGGGATCCCTGATCGCTGGGTGGCTTCCGTCACTCCCGAGACAACACCCGGTTGGCAAGGGACCGACTTCAAAGTCTGAAAGTTGGAGCGTGTGGAAATTAAAGTCAGTCTCCTCAAATTGAAATGGACGCCTCGTTTGGAGACAAACTAGCCGGTCTCTGATGTAACATGACCAGGATATTCGACTCCAAAGCCCCGGTTGCTGTCGAATGAATTTTCTTTCGGAATCGGTTGGGTTCGTTTTGACACCATCCAAAATGGCCTTCGCGACACCAACAAAATGCCAAGCGTCCTGCTCTTGATCGGAAATATCATCCCAATATGTCATCAGCAGCACGGACTGCAAGACAGTGATGCGGTCTTCTTCGCAGCCGTATGAATAAAGAAGTTTGATGCGCTCAAACCGCGTTTGTCGGGCTTCTTTCCTATCATGGAATCCCTCGAGCACCAAAGAATCGGCTGATTGAAATGCAGTAGCGGCGAATATTACCGCTTGAAACAATAGAAAGCTGATGCCGCGACTACCGCTGTAACCTTTATCAAGAACCATCAAGAAACCTTCCGGGCTCAAGATCGGTAATTCGGGATGCACAAACTGGAAATATCCGTTCAGAATTCCGGCTCTAATCCTGGTGTCTGGGACATTGAATACACCGTGTTCGTGAAGAACATCGCAATCTTCTGAGGTGATGGAGGGCGATAGGGGACTGGCATATTTTGGCAGCCATTTGCTCGAATTCATCTGTACATTGCTGAAAAATGGTGCGTTTTCCACGGTGCTTGGGGAAGGATGGTCTGGCTCAATCCAGCATTTCGATATGGGGGCTATCTCCGAGTTAGAATGGTTCATTGTTATAATTGCGTCCAACATCTCCCAGCACATACTCATCCCCACCGCCTGGGGGGTGCCCAGACCGTCTTTGTCCATCGCCACCACGTCTCCCACAACATTTTCCACCGCTCTCTTTTTTACCACAGCCTTGGCTTCCTTCGCTCTTCTATCGATGGGTATTGAACAAGGGACTTTGTAGAAGCGACATGAAGTGCAAGGGGCGCCTCTGATGGTAACATCGCACCTCACTTTGCGACAATGACAGCCGGAGCACGCTCTCACGGATCGCTGTCGGTAATTTCGCATTTTGGATGGATTTGCCCTGGAATTCGGCATCGTAGCGGCTGGGAGTATATCAGATGTCCAGCAACGCCTGGGTCGGGGTCACGGTTTAAGAATCAAGTGCGAAATGGACTGATGAAATCTAAAGACAAACAACAGATCCGGTGAGATACCAAGCGGAAAACCGGAAGGAAGGTCGAATTGCTAAGCCATTCTGAACAGCCATATACTTGCCAAATCTCTCTGGACAGTTCCTGGAGGCTGGCTTCACCTGGCGCAGAGAGGGCTTCCAAGGTTATAGTCCTGCTAACTAAGCTTCGTGTCTGCAGTGAAGATGAACCGGGATTGTAAACCCGCGGAATTTCCCCGCAAGATCTGGAGAGATTCTCGCAAGCTCATTCCATAGCTGGATTCAACTGGTCAGATAACTGCGATAACGGGGAAACCAAAATCTCTCTGGCCTCTCCACTTCCACTTCATACACACCCCGCATTTTTTCATTCCGAGGTCCCTCCTCTAGGGACTCCAATTTCTCTTCCTCGACCCATTTTAGGCTTTGATCAATTGAATCATGGGCCACGCTCCTAAAAGAGCCAGGACAATCGAATCCGGGGCTTGCTCGCACTGTGTCGCTCAACGAGAGCGTTGCTATATAGGTGTGCGGGGCATTCCGTGTTCCAGCTGTCGCCGCTCAAACACCCGTTGCGACGGCATCGCGAGCCAAGAGTGAGTTTTTCCCTCCCTTCCCCTACGATGGAATGATATGGAGCTCCTATTTCTTTACTAATATATCCGAAAACAGAATCATAACGAAGAAAAGACTCCCGTCTAGGATTTATTGTGATGGTAAGTGGAGATCAAATCCGCTGCACGTCCCTGGTTTGAACCGTATCTTATGGAGAGAACTCGTTTTTAAACCAGATGGATTATTTGAATCTCAAATACGCAGAACTGAACAGGAGCAATTACCTCGTGCTCGTATCACCGCGGAAGTCCCAGCAACTGATCCGTTAGAGAATTACGTCTCAATCATGCATCAGCTTCTCGGCCCTGAGCCGCCCGATCGACCACCCTTGGATAATACCCCTCGATACGTATCGGAGCTTCCAACTCGTCTAGAAATGAGTGACCTTGACTATGTAGAGAGCAAAGGGGCTATGTGTCTTCCCACGGCTCCGTTTCGAAAGCAGCTTTTGAAAAGTTACGTATTATGGGTACACCCTCAGGTACCAGTGTTAGATCTAGATAAATTTCTACATTCGATCGCTGCAAATGACGGTAAAACTCGCATCAGCCTGCTGTTGTTCCACGCAGTCATGTTCGCCGCTTCTGCGTTCGTGGATATATCACACATCCAGAATGAGGGATACCTGTCGCGAAAGGTAGCGCGCGACGTTTTATTCCGGCGAGTAAAGGTCCGCATCAGTCAAACCTCTACACTACATCTTCTACTCTTCACTGTGATTAACAGCTCCATTAGGTGCTTTTGGAACTAAATTGCGAGGACGACCCAATTTCAACAGTACAAGCCCTGCTTCTACTCATTCATTGGAATGACCTACCTCAATCGGAGAAGGGCTCCAGCCACTGGATCGGTGTCTGTCTCTCGTTAGCAATATCTATCGGTCTTCACCGCAATCCAGATTCTTCTGTCGTCATGGCATCCGAGCAAAAGATGCGCAGACGCACCTGGTGGAGCGTGCACAATCACACTCGACTAACCGTGGAGAACCTACTCTCTGTGATACGCATGCAAGAGGATCGCGAGGACAGAAATCTGTTCGATATATCGATGATCGCATTGAGTGATTTCCAACTGCATATCTTCCCTCCCGAGCTACGGGCAGTTGTAGACGATTGTGAGGTTCTTCGTGACGTCAAATACCAAAAGACACAAGCTGAAATTTTTATTGAAAAGACCAAGCTTTGTCAATTGTCTCGATTTTCGAGTATCTTGAATCGAGTACAGAAGATGGTGTGTGGAGAAGACATAGGGAATGGTCAAGCACATTCGAAGCCAAATTCAACACAAGGGGAGATAGAGGAGCATCACCGATGGCAACTTCGGCTTCCCGTCTCCGCTAGCTATCAATGTCCGTTGGACCTGGTTCCGACAGACTGCGAGCGAAGTATTTATTTGCATCAATCCTGGCTTCGGCTCCTTTATCTGGGTTCATTGTACGCAGCATGCTGCCACGAGACAGAAGAAGCGTTAGGTGGCAATCTCGCTGTCCCAGGGCAGAGTTCCCGGTCTGAACTAGTCGAGAAATGCCTCCTGGATATCACAAATGTTTTTGATGAGATTGACTGTTTGGAACTATGCGAGGAGCTACCGTGTCCGACCTCGGCGCTGTTGATACTTGCCTTGGCCTACCACAGGCAGCGTTCCCACGCCAGTTCCCGAACAAATACACGCCAGGGGTCTCGCTCGCTGCACAAATGCTGGAAGATTCTGCGCAAGCTGAAGGAAACCTCTTATCTTGCTGCTCGTATGGCCACTGCTGTCGAAGATGCAAGATGTGACGAACTTTGGAAATCAATATCGACTATTAATTCGCCATTTAGCAAGACCTCACTTGCAAATCATCTCACGCAGACTTCGTGGTGAATGAATCATTGATAAGCGACACGACTTAACTAGCATGACCTAATCAATAAAATTGTCACAATACTTGACCACGTATTCATTGTTTATTGTTCAGCGAACGACGTGGAATTGGCACATACACATCGGAATGGTTGCAGTAGAAATAAAAAGAAGAATAATCAAGTCGAAAATTTAGTTAGAATTTGCGTATGCGTGCAGTTTAAACCCCACACCTACGTTAGTCAACGGCCTCGGTGACAACCAAACCACCAACCGAGGCTGGACAGTCGTCCAGCCCAACCAAAGCCAGATTTACTGCTTTCAGAGTCCCCTCTTCCACTCATGATGATTATCATACGCCTATAAGAACCGATAATTTCCCAGCGCGATGCTACTGCAAGTCCAACAACGGCTGTCTCATTCAACTCCAAAATGACTCTTATCACCACACCAACAACCCAGCTCCTTGGGATCGAGAACCCCATCCTCCTGGCAGGAATGGGCCATACGGCAGGCTCGGACCTGGTAGCCGCAGTCTCGAATGCGGGGGGGCTTGGGGTCCTTGGTGGTCTTGGCTACACCCCACAAATGTTGCGAGAGGCTATCCAAGAAGTCAAACAAAAACTTAGGCACCCAGATCTCCCCTTCGGTGTGGACCTGTTAATTCCTCAGCTTGGAGGCTCCGCGCGCAAGACAAATGTCGACTATACTAAAGGAGCATTGGACGATCTTATCGATATCATCATCGAAGAAAAGACAAGGCTGTTTGTCTCGGCTGTCGGGATCCCCCCAAAGCAGGTGATAGATCGCCTTCATGACGCAGGAATTCTGTATATGGTACGTACTACAACAAATATTGTGGACGTGACTACAAGCAACAATGACTGATACTGATTTATAATACAGAACATGGTTGGCCATCCGAAGGTATATCCTCCACCTTGAATCCTCAAGATCCATGGCAGTTTACTAATAAAAATAAAAGCATGTCCACAAAGCCTGCCAGGCGGGCGCCGATTTGATATGCGCTCAGGGTGGAGAGGCAGGCGGCCATACGGGGGAGATTCCAACGAGCGTCCTCATCCCAGCTTGTATCGATGCTTGCCGCCAATACAAATCCTCGCTCACTGGCAAGACTGTACAGCTCGTAGCAGCCGGTGGCATTTTCGACGGCCGAGGTATGGCCGCTGCGCTGGCGATGGGCGCTGGTGCCGTATGGGTCGGCACGCGTTTTGTCACAGCTCGCGAGTCTGCTGCTTCAAAACTGGGCAAAAAGGCGTTAGTACCTAAGTCGCTTCAAATCCTTTCTATTGCCTTACTAACCGAAGAAACACAGCATCATTGACGCAGGATTTGAGGATACAATGAGGAGTACAATTTGGACGGGCCGTCCGCTACGAGCTCTTGCGACTCCGTATATTCGAGATTGGGAGCTTAATCGGCGCGATGCCATTGAAAAGCTACAAAGCCAGGGATTGACCGTACTCGATCATGAGCTCGATAAGCTGGCACGGGAGGGCAAGTTAACAGATGAGATTGAGGATCAATCTACGCAGAGGTATGTCAACAAGCTTGATATTTCAAAACTAGAACTCACTAACATCCATACAGGCCGATGGGTTGTGGTGCTGCTATGGTAAATACGGCGGATCAATCAGCGCATGAAATTATCTTAGAAATGGTCATTCAGGCATTTACACTTCTGAGAAATGCTGCGCAATATGTCACGCATACCTCAAAACTCTGAGTCCCAAATGTGAGTAGGGGCCTATGCTATCTCTGTAAAACAGCAGTTGATACTCAGAATTAAGCAATCAGTATGTTTTTCTTTGGCCTACTCGCAATTTGGACATATAGCGAATGTGTAGAGGACACAAATTAGAAACCATCCATGTCTCTCTCCCAAACTCATTATGCCAAAAGAATTTATTTAAAATATATGTACCGGTAGTGCTGTACGAGGAGGAGAGAAAAACAGGAAATTAAAAGTAACACTGCGCAGTGCATAGACCTCGAAATCAAAATCTATATCTTGAAAATCATAATCAAGGTCTAGAGCCAAAGTAGATGTACAAAAAGCCACATTGATCAGCCTAAAATGAGGAATTTAATGTAATCCTCCGAGGTTTCTAGATTGTCCAATGTCCAATTCGGCCAACGGAACAGCCGAGCGCAGGCCAAATCTAGGCCGAGGTCAGGAGATCACCAAGTAGAGAATAGAATTTCATGACAAGACATACATATATCTTCAAGTCCCATCCAAACATCTTAACTTCTGGTTCCGTATTCAATCAACAATGGCGCCCATCAAAGTCCCAATCATAATCGGTGTTGGGGAGGTCAAGAATCCGTCACGCCGAAAAGAAGATGCCGTCGAGCCTCTACATTTGATGCTCAAGGCAGTCAGAGAGGCAGCCTCAGATGCTTACAATTCCGATGCACCGGCCATTATCTCGTCCATCGATAGTGTAAAGGTTGTCGCGAGTTCGACATGGCCATACAAGGATCTGCCGGGGCTAGTGTGTGAAGGACTCGGGATCAAAAGACACCATACAGCTTATAGTGAGCTGGCTGGAAGCGCGTCGGTGGAGTTGATCGATGATACGGCTCGAATGATTGCAAATGAAGAAATCGAGGTTGGCGTTGTGGTTGGCGGGGAAGCGATGGCATCATGTTTGTTCTACCACTCTCACACACGAGTGAGGTCTCCATGGGAGAGTGTGGGATTAATCGCAGCATTCTCACAGTGAAGACATTTATCAAAGATGGCGCATATCCGCCCCCTTGGACACCACCAAAAACCACTCAGGTTTACTACGCCAATGATACCGACATGTTAACTGGTTAGTGTCGCGCTTCGGGGATATTTTGAGCCCAACTGTTAACTTCCACAGGCATTGGACGCGCTCATCGAGTTGGTGTTCCTATGCATGTCTACGCGATGTATGAGAATGCTTTGCGATGGCGAAGAGCGCAGAGCCCCCTCGAGAACCTTGAAGAATCCTCTTCGCTCTACGGTCGATTTGCCGACACTGCATCCCAACACCCGATGGCGTGGAATTACGGAAACAGCCCCAAAACGGCAAAAGATATCGGAAATATCACTAAGAAGAACAGAATGATTTGCTTTCCTTGTGAGTACTCTCCATCTATGTTGCCGAGGTCCTGATGTGTTGATTCTAGTGATCCCAAGATCCGCTATTGATGAACGCCTTCAATGACGTAAATCTTGCTAGTGCCTGTATCATGACTACCACAGAGTGTGCTGAACGAATGGGTATCTCGCGCGACAAGTGGATCTTTCCACTTGGAGGTGGGAGAGCAAAAGATTCTAAAGATTGTGAGTTTCCCTATTTATAATCCTGTTATCTGCCATCTTGGACTTTTGGTTAACCAACTGATATTGTGTGCATATAGTCTGGAACCGTCCTAATTTCTACTCCAGCGGGGCGATAGCCTCGGCTCTCGATCTTTGTTTCCAGTCGGCTGGCCTCTGCAAAGATGACATCGATCTCTTTGACTTTTACTCGTGAGTTTGACGTCTGCTCATGTATTCGGCCAGCATTCATATCAGTCACGCTTACCTTTACTCTAATTGGTAGCTGCTTCCCAATCGTCCCCAAATTAGCATGCCGCCATTTGGGCATCCCTTGCGACGAACCTCCAAAGCCAATCACCCTATTAGGAGGGCTCAACTCCTTTGGGGGTGCTGGTGCAAATTATTCTATGCATGTAAGACAGAACCATACAACCCTCGGATTCAAGACTCACAATTGAATCTAACATGAACGTTCGGTCAGGCTGTGGCGGAGATGGTCCGTCAGTTACGGAAGCTTGGTGGTCTTCCCAAGCCCTCAAACGGACTTATCCTCGCCAATGGAGGTATTTTAACGACTGAGAATACAATTTGCCTATCAACACACGCTCGCAGAGGCAGCGGTTGGTATCCCACGAGAGACAACAATCAGATACCCCCATCCAGTCAGCTAGCCCCACCTATCAGCATACACGCGGAAGGAGAGGCCATCGTTGAGGTTTGTTGCTATCTTCCAACCGGTTTGAGCTTTTGCTAACCTTTCTCAAGACATATACCGTCGAATATGACCGGGAAAATCACCCACGGCTCGGCCATATTGTCTGTCGCCTAATGAACAATGGGCACCGTATTATCGCAAACCATGGTGATATACCCACGTTGGAGCAGCTTTCCAGCTGGGACACGGAGCCTATTGGGCGCGTTGGATTTGTGAAGCGTTCTTCAACAAAGGTTGGTCAAAATTTGTTTGTGTTTCGCAAAGGTGATACATGTAAAATGTGATGAGGTCAGTGTTAAATAGTCTTCTGTTTAACATACAACATCAGGGCCTTAGAAGTCCACTGACATTCCTAAACTCACGCACAAAGTTTGGAATTCTACTGTCTCTTTAATTATTTATTATATTACAGTGATATATTAAAACACTACAATATAACGCAAATAAGGATTATTTTATAGATTCTGATCAATAAGGGACCAGACAGTACAGGAGTCGTGGACTGAGCTCGACAGCTTTCGACATCTAGTGTCCGTGGGAACCACGAGGACCGAATTCTGCTACTTCTACAGGAGATGGGTAAGACCAAAATTCTTGCAACCTCCGATGAAGACGAAGTCTCTCGTTTCGACTCTAGAGAACTTAGCCAGCGTGCACTCGCGCGGTCTCTGAACGACGAATAAGCTCAATGGCTAGAAAACTGCCCAGTCACCCTGAATGTCGGCTAAGTTCCAGGCATGGGCCAGGTGGTTGGTTATTGTTCATGCGGGTCTAGTACCAGGCGTCGAGCTTAAGAAGTAAGACCCTTCTAGCGGGATGACTATGCGGACTATTAATTTAGATACGCATTTACCTAGTCCGAAAAAGAAGGGCATGAATTAGGCTAAAGTACAGACTGTTCTTTTATTTCTTTTCAATGTTATCTTCATGCTAATATACTTTTAATCTAGATGTTTAATAAACATCAATCAAAACTATACTTAAGCCTCGAGACTTTAACTAAAGATCCCCTTACGGACACCATGACTGTTGTCTATGGCCATGATGCTGCTACCTCGCTTTCTATCCGCACGTTTACAAAGGAAAGGGTCTTGACTCCTGTGGGTACGAAACTGGGATGGGTGGTTAGCATTCTGTCAAAGCCCCGAGTATTTGGCTGCGCTGAGCGATGATTGCGAACGGTTCATGACCTTGCCAATGACCTATATGATTGGCTATGAAAATTTGGTCGTGGGTAATGCTGCTCAAACCCTTGGTGGTGGTAGTGGGTTGTCAACGAAAGCGACTCAATGATGTTATAATCCTGGAGAGGTTGATGTTAAGCGCCATGAATTGAAGATTTTATTGTTATGTTTTTCCATCTATGCGACAAATGAGTTCTGGTCCTTAATGAGACTATACAGCCCAAATAAGTGTTTTCTAGACCGTTATCATAGGAAGAAGGACGGACGAAAATCGATCGAACCATATGCGTTGAACACTCTTTATGTTAACTATTCATGATAAGCTTTACGACCAATAAGCTCTTCTGCAACAGCATAGTCATGACCAAAGATGAGCGTTGCAGAGAACACTCTCTGCAAGCGCCGAATAAATTTTCCACTGTCAACCCAGCTTCGGTAGTCGCGTAAAAGCCAACCATGTGCCCAATTATCCTCAAAATTCTCACGGACATGATATTGGTCTGTCGTCCAGATGAATGTACCATCGCGGGCAAGATTGATCTGCATAATGCATAGCCCTGGGGTATGACCAGGACAATGATATAGAGTTAATCCTGTACAAAAGTCCAATTGGGAGTCATTGAATGTTTGCCAATTCAAAGTACCATCGAGTTTCAAGTATTCAGCCCTAGGGAATGCCACAGTCTCAGATGTCAGATGCCAGACCTATATAGCAAAGGCCCCGACTTGTAATGAGCACTCACAGGTAAAGACCGCCATCAGAGTTGGTTCCAGCTGCCCAACAAGCATGTTTAAATTCTTCTTCATGGACGTATATAGGGACGCTCGTATTTCGAAAATGTTCCAAACCACCCGCGTGGTCTAGATGCAGATGACCCATAATCACTGCCTGAACATCCTTGATATCGTAACCAGCAGCTTTGATTGCCTCAGGAAGATGATTGCTTTTGCTGTAGGATGTTCGAGGAAATAAATCCGTGGCTTCACTGCTCCATTGCTGATATTTCGCCAATCAGTTCAAGTCCCAAAAAAGAAGAAAAGACTGAATAAACAAAGTCAGCTGGAAAGCACATACCGTGTCAATTTCCTCCGTGCTCCCACATTCAAAAAGAACAAGACCCATCTCAGGATGATAAATCAACCCAGCAATCAGCATAAGATCTCTTCGTTTATTAACGGGGTTTGGATTGCTGGCTGAGCCTCCATTGGCGCCATTTAGAAGCCTGTATTGGAGACAAAATATGTTAACTTTCTAAAACCCTGCTGCTTTTGACAACTATTTACACATACCAGCCTTCATCGACGGTAAGAGTTCCCAGATTCAGTATATGCATCTTAGTGCCCTCAGGGCACGCATACGCCGGAACGACTGCTGGGATGAGCTGATGTATCGTCGCAGCCATGAAATAGGGCTAGGTTCAATCAGAAATAATGCTCACACTTTTTTTGTTTCACTGCCCTAGTCTCTACAGAAATAAAAGGGAATTGGATCCCATATACATTGCCTCGGTCCATTTCCATTTTAATGGACAAATCCCGGACCCACCAATTATTACGAACGAGATCTGTACGGGGCAGGTACTGTAAAAATGCACTACATTGTCCGCCTCTGTGCAGTTATGAGTGCCGAGGTCAGTAGAACGGAGAGCGGAATTGACCCAACTAAGTATATTCCTGGTCGGGAATATGAAGTTAACAGAGTGTGTAGGGTAACCACCTATAGTTGGTAACAGAAATCCGGAAAATCGGCGGTAGGGACAATTACTTGTTGCTAAAAGCATTGATAACTTAAAATAATATTAATTCGTGTATATCTGAAGTTAATATCTAGATAAATACAAGTGATAGGGATGTCTATTAACGGGGCAAGCGTGATTTCATCCTGAGCTATATTTTCAAAACTCCCCCGCAACATGGGTCCCGTCTGAGTGCAAACCTTTCTCTCAACTACGATGGCTGAATCCAAATCGCAACGATATCCGCGTGTTTGGTTTATTACCGGATGCAGCTCAGGCTTCGGCAATATTTTCGTTTCCGCCATATTGGCATCGGGTGATCGTGTAATTGCCACAGCGCGGGATATCAGTACCTTGTCAGATTTCGCTCACTGTGACAATGTCAAAGTGTTAGAGCTAGATATCACGGACTCTCAAGATTCTTTGGATGAGAATGTCTCCAAGGCCATCGCTATGTTTGGTCATATCGATGTCCTTGTCAACAATGCAGGATACGTTCTTTACGGTGTGTTGGAAGAATTAAGGTGCGGGATTCTACTTTGCGTGACACTGTGGTTCCTGGGACCTTTAGTTGACTTTTGCCTTTTATGTTATATCAACAGCCAATCCCAAATACTTAATCAATTCAACACCAATTTTTTTGGTCCCCTCAATCTGACACGCGCTGTTTTACCCCACATGCGATCGCGTCAATCCGGAACCGTCATATTCATGAGTAGCATAGCTGCATGGAAGGGCGTTGCCGTTGGTGGACCATACAGTGCTTCCAAATTTGCGCTTGAAGGTACGTGATTTATCAGGCATTCATTTCCCGTGGGATGACATGGTGAGACGGAAATCCGTTGCTAATTGGTCGTTTAGGATTTGTTGAGAGTCTAAAGAAAGAGGTGGCGGCGTTCGGAGTAAACTTGCACCTGGCAGTACTCGGCCAATTTAGGACTGATATCCTTTCCGCCCATCGAAGACAGTCAGGGCGAGGTGCTAATTCAATCCGCGACTATGATGCCGCTGTTTATGCTTTCAAAAACAGATTGGAGCAAACCAACGGCAAACAGCCTGGAGACCCGACACAGGCGGTAGAGCGAATCATGGATCTCGTGTATCGCAGAGGACATTTCGCTGGGCAGGAAGAGCTCCCTTTACGTATTGTGCTCGGATCAGATGCTGTGGCGATCGTTCGTGGAGAATGCCAGCAAATGCTAAATGATCTAAAGAAGCAAGAGGAATACGGAAGAAGTACGGACTATCAAGGTACAGCTGGAGTTGGAAAATATGAATAGTTTCTCAAAATGATACTTTATTTGACTTTGAGATAATCGATGCTCTCATAAGCTTGAAATAGTTTAGAATGACAAAACTGGTATTGCATCAACACCAAGGCTGCATTAACAATCCATTCTGGGACCAAGAGTCTGACTAGAGTCGATGACCGATGAGAGGCCCATACCCCACTTATTTGTCCAATCGGCTTCCAGGCCTCTCTATAATAGCCGTCCAATAGGAGCCCAGAAAACTAAAATGCGGGTCAGCGCTTGGACCTTCAAGGTGGATCCCACGAAATCTAAAAGGACCTTGCCCGGAATATTCGATGGGAATTCTCATTCATATGAGACCGTGGAGACATGACCGAGCTTGATTTCTAATACGATGTGGAAGATTTAGGAGTTAAACTTTATACAATTTCTTCCCAAGGATACAACGGATCGAAATATAGACACATCACAATTTATATTGGCCTCTCGAATCTCACCTCATGGCTTCTCTTATGTCACCACTTCGCATCGGCAATCTCGAGCTCAAGCATCGAGTGATTTTGGCCCCGTTGACACGGAATCGTGCCGATGACCAGCATGTGCCCCTTGACCTGATGCGCGAGTATTATGCACAGCGAGCATCAGTCCCAGGCACCCTGTTGATCTCCGAGGGAACGTTCATTTCTGCACGAGCAGGTGGTACCAATAATGTTCCAGGAATTTGGAGCGACGCACAAATCAAACAATGGAAGACCATCACCGACGCGGTGCATGAGCGCGGCAGTTATATCTACTGTCAATTATGGGCACTTGGTCGTGCTGCAAACCCAGAAATCCTCAGCAAGACCAATGACCATGTTATCTCCAGTGGAAACATTCCTCTGACGGGGTCAAGCCCTGTTCCAAAGCCCCTCGATGAGGATGAGATCTTTGATTGGATTCATGACTATGCCCGCGCCGCGAAGAACGCGATCACTGCCGGGTTTGATGGTGTCGAGATTCACGGGGCAAATGGTTACCTCGCCGACCAGTTCTTGCAGGATACTGCGAACAACCGGTCCGATCGCTGGGGTGGTAGCGTGGAGAATCGATCTCGGTTTGGCCTGGAAGTGGCCAAGGCTGTTTCGGAAGCGGTTGGTGCTGAAAAGACCGGATACCGTGTTAGTCCATGGAGCACATTCCAAGACATGCGCATGGAGAATTTCCAAGCGCAATTCACGAATCTCATTCATGGGCTTGGCAAATTGAAGTTGGCGTACCTGCACTTCGTCGAGCCACGGATCTCTGGGAGCCAAACGGTGGAGGATTCAGTTGAACAGGACGATCAGTTCATATTTGATGCATTTGGAAATTCTGGCGCGATCATTATGGCAGGCGGCTTCACGGCAGAGTCAGCGACTGAGAAGCTTCGATCTCATCCTACGAGAGACATTGCTTTCGCTTTCGGACGCCATTTCCTGGCAAATCCAGATCTGCCATTCCGGGTCGCCAATCAAATCCCGTTCAACAAATATGAGAGAGCGACCTTTTACACGCCAAAATCACCCGTCGGCTACGTCGACTACCCTTTTAGTGCCCAATTCGCGGCAAAGGCATAGTCATTGCGTCCATGGTATTTAGTAAAAACCAACTGGTTGGTTTTGAACCTCCATTATTTCTCTCTCCTTTTATCTACCTGACTGTAATATCAAAAAACCCTTGAAATCAGCTAGAAATAGGACCCGCTCCATAAGAAAACCCTTTTCGTCTTCAGCTATGTTGCTAAGAAATTGTTAGTGTAGAGACTTTTCAAAGAGGCTTGCCACGCTCGTGGGGCCTTATTGTCCGTTTGTCACTGTTACTGGATCATGGGGATCATGGCTGTGAATAATTGCATTCCGCTACCTGTCAAAACCCGCATGACTCGGGGCGAATATGTCACCCGCAGGCACACTTGTACTACGTAGTATCTGGCAGACGCAGCCGTGGATTACATGGATTTCCAAGGTTGTGTAGATCTGGGACCTACTAAGATTTCTATTACCTCGGATTGCTCTGGGCGATACAAAATATTGCAGTGGACTACGGTTGTCCATTATTGTCCACTTTCTTGTGTCCTCGGGATTTTCCATTTTGGACAAAAGCTTATTAGACCCGGCAGCACAAACATGTTATATTTAGAGAACACGGCCTGAAAAAGCGAAATAGTGTGTTTCAGTAATTCGAACTAACTCTATTGCTGTCCGTATTGGGAATCAACATGGCAGTCACAAAAATCAAAACTCTGCGTATCGCATCAGCCTCCGGATCGGTGACGGACCGACGCCATGGACTGGCCGAGCTTGCTCGAGAGGAAGATCTTCACTTCATTGTCGGAGATTGGATGTCCGAGTATAATATGACAACTCGAGGAGGAGCAAAAGTGAAGCAGAATCAGCAGTCATCGGAATTCGAAACTTCGTTCATGGAATCGATCGAACCCGCATTGGCAAGTATCTATACGCGTAAGATCAAAATTGCCGTGAATGCGGGAGCTAGTGACACGAAGAAGCTCCATGATATTCTTGTTGAGACTATAAATGACAAAGGTCTCGGCCTCAAGGTTGCGTGGGTTGAGGGAGATGAGGTTTCCGATCTCCTTCAGCAATCTATCAAAGCAGGCGAAAAGTTCACCAACCTTACAACTGGTAAGGTGCCCCAAACCAACGATAAGAGCTATGCAATGGTGTTCGCAGTTCGCTGATATGTCGTAGGGCAAAAATTGTCTGACTGGGAGTTTGATCCAATCTATGCCCAATGTTATCTTGGAGCATGGGGCATTGTTGAGGCTTTCAGCCAAGGAGCCGACATTGTGCTTTGTGGAAGAGTGACAGATGCTTCTCCTACAATTGCCTGCGCGGCTTACCATTACCAGTGGAGCAGGCAAAATTTCGATCAGCTCGCCCATGCCTTTGTGGCTGGACATTTCCTCGAATGCTCAACATATGTCACGGGTGGTAATTTCTCCGGTTTCAAATCCTTGCAGGGTCCTGGTGTTGATATTGGCTTCCCGGTGGCCGAGATAAATGCCGGAGGTGATTTCGTCGTAACGATCCAAAAGGGTAAAGATGGCATGGTCACTGAGAATACTTGCAAGGCCCAGCTTCTATATGAGATTCAAGGCCCCCTCTACTACAATCCTGATGTCGTGGCGATCTTGGATGACATAGTCATCAAAGAAGAGGGATTGAATCGTGTGTATGTTTTCATCCAGACACACCATCCCCACTTTTGGCTTTCAATGGACTGACAGTTACCAGGCATGTCTCCAATGTCAAGAGTATTCAACCACCCCCAACAACAAAAATTGGTATTACAGCACTCGGTGGGTTTCAAGCCGAGGTCCACTATTTTCTCTGCGGCTTGGACATTGAAGAGAAGGCCGCTTTGCTTGAAAAGCAGGTCCGACATCTCCTCGACGAATCGCTCTATCATACTCTGATCTTTAGAACGACCGGATCGTGTGCCTCTGATCCCTCCAGCCAAGACGCAGCGACAGTGGATTTGCGAATCTTTGCTCAGTCACGTTCCGAGGATGCTCTCGCACCAGAAAACTTCTTCCGGCCATGCACAGACACAATCATGCAGAGTTACCCAGGAGCCACATTTGCAGTGGATGCTCGCCAGGGCGTTCCAAAGCCTTATTATGAGTATTTCGTTTCAATCTTCCCACAAGACCGGATGACACACATTTGTCATGTTCCATTCAACAGCAAAGAAATTACAATCCCCCCTCCGTCAGATACTGTCCCATTTGCTTATGAGCAGCCGTCATACGAGACTAAGGCTCCATTTAATTTGGAGGTGTTTGGTTCAACCACCCGCGCACCACTGGGCTACGTGGTTCATGCTCGATCCGGTGATAAAGGATCCGATGCCAATGTAGGTTTCTTTGTTCGCCACGCTGATGAATGGGATTGGCTGCGGACCGTTTTCAAAGTCGACAAGATTCGAGAACTGCTCGGAAAAGATGATGTGGGAAACAATATCTTCCGCTTTGAATTGCCAAATATCTGGGGTAAGGCTCGCATTCCTAAAATTGGCAAATTGACGATAGTTAAATCAGTGCTAACTCACTCATTCTCTCCAGCTGTTCATTTCCTCTTGAAGGATCACTTGGATCGCGGTGTGGCATCGAGTTCCACTTATGATGTACTTGGCAAGAATGTAGCAGAATACCTTCGGTGTAAATACGTCGATATCCCAGACAAGTTCTTGGCCCGTGGAAGGATTTGAGTTGTCAAGCATTGGCGTTGCTAGGCTCTCTGTTAGTGTGTTTTGATGATGTTATCGTGATCCAACTTTGATACGAGAGGAATGAGACATTTTAGCTCTTCGCTCTTCGCAATGAATATTCGATATCCTCGTACCATTCACATGTTCGTCGATATAATACACATAGCGTCTCAATATCCGTATGATACAAGAGACTCGCGTTGGCAACTACTCGAGCTTATACGTCATGAACGACATAAGGTAGAGAGGAGTGGGTTTATAGTAGCCTTCTGCTGTTGGTTGCGCCTTCCCATCTACGTTTGTAGCTCTCAGATCGAAGGAAGTCAGTAAGTGGTAGGTGTAGGAATGAATTATCCAGCACTTTCAGTTCTCATCATATGGATGTATATACTTTAGACATTGTGGCAGGTGAATAATGAGATCGTTTGTATTCGTTGGAGCCTACTAGACCAAAGACTAGATGAGGAGAGAAGAACTGCTAATTCGGAGCGAGAACCTTTGGCATGGATGTATAGACTGCGGAAGTACACATGATATAAGCACATTAATGCATCGAAGTAGCTGCCGTGCTATTCCCTTCAGCACACAGGGGAGCAGAGGAATTAAAATGTGGCGCCCAGGAAGAATTGTCAGAAAAAGGAATTTGGTCAGCCATAGAAGCACACTGATCCAAGTCAATGCCTGGCGCACTTTCACCACGATTAAACAATGAATCGTTCGCAAAATTATCCATCCATGATCGTGGTGCCCCCGTTTCTACACCGAAAAACCCCGATGGTATCTGGCCTAACGGGATCGTCGAGCTCAAAGAACTTTGACCGATAATGTTGAGGGCACTACTGGAGTCCCTTCGTTCACGGCGGAGCAGTTCGGATTTAACAGAAGTGATCACTTCCAAGGCTCGGAGTGCATTCTTATAAGCTTGGCCAATCTCACCGAGGGCCTGCGAACAGATTTCAAGTTGCCTTCGTGCCGTGTCACGCATCTGGAAGTCGGGGGATAGGAAGGCGCTTTGAGTGTGTACCAGCATTGCCGTGAATATAAGATGGACGGTTTGGATATTAACTCGGCGTAGCGAAAAATGGCGACGAATGGTCTGGAGAAGTTTGGTAATAGAAAGAGCAGCATCATGGCAGCATTCCTGACTGTGGGTTATATTTTCCTCTGTCAAGCCTCCTAAGCCAGGTTGCTGGAAGGCGAAGGGCTGGTCTACAATAATTCGAACAGCATGAAATTGCATACTATATCAACATTAGTATACTTTGCCATTGAGCAGGCATTTGAGTACGCACTGAAGCTGTAGGACATGAGGAAGGTGAATGGGACCCAGATTTGTCATGTCCACAGAGACGCTTTCTGATAATCCAGACACCCATAAAGAAAGCTCGTCTCTAGCTTTCGCTGCAAAAGCATAGAGCTTCTTGATATCGGGCTTGGTCCCTCGGGGGATACTGTAACTATACAGCAAGTTAGCAAAGATGGAAAAGCAAACTAGCGTGCGTTCTGACTTACAGGACTTTGCGTATTGAAGCCATTTTGGTGCAAAGTGTGACTGTCCCATGAGCCACTTCATGAAGCAATGCTGGGGATTCCCAATTGTTAGCTTGTTGGTTTTGGTCAATATATGGGCGCCAAATATCGTTCACACTAGGTCGAGAAGCAATTGGGAAAGTAAGTGGCACAGTAATGTCTAAGTGGTCAATGGATTCAGGTCTTCCGACATATAAACTCCACATCCTGCAATAGGCTAGGTAAGCATATGACACCCTTGCTCGCTGGGCAAGAACTAAAAAAAAAGCTAACCTTTCGTGGGCGTAAGTGCCCCAGAATGTAGAGCTGCGAAGGCGAGCTTCTTCGAGATCTATCAAGCCACGTTCGGCGAAAGGGGCAGCATCAATATGGAGGCCAAGGTCTGTGGCAAGCCGCATCGCCATTCCTGGAAGATAGATTAATCAGTAGGAGCAAAAGTTTCCATGGGGTCACACGTACCGCTATACAGCCAGCCACGAGCATCTCTGGTGAGAAGGGCCTCTACGCCACTTAGGATACCAAGAGATTGGACGGTGCTTAGAGTCGGCGAGTCCATTTCAACTTCTAAGAGGGCCTTGGACCTTGTCGCAAAGAAGTCAACAAGAGATTCTGGTAGATTAGGGCAATATCGAGAAGTCAGTGTGGCCCCAACTGCACATCTATGTATCCTTTGTGTTAGCAACGCTTTATGGTAGGGGTGATCGTGGGGTAATTGTCCCTCCTTACATAGCATTGTTCAAAACCTCGGAATATCGATGATTTGGTTGATTGAGGTTTCGATAGCAATTCTTGCCGTGGTAATACGCCCTCTCATCAACCAACGGAATATTTGGATTTTCCCAAGCGAAGTATAATTTGGTCAGATGTTCCTCCAGCTCTTCATCGACATGGTCATTGACTCCAGCTGCCGTAAGAATAAGAGGCTCATTCCAGTGAACTAAGCGAATGTTCGAGTTGAAAAGTGGAAATGGACCAACGTGTGATATATGAAGATTTGAAGTTGGCCCAAAAAATCGCAGCTGCCCATCTTCTGCAATCTGCAATGATCCCATGCGGTCAGATATGTGATTGGTATGGTATGACGATTCTCCGGAGATGGATAAATGCTCTTGGATATTCTCTGGACTGTCGTTTGACACAGTGGACACAGGTGGCTCGACTGTAGGGGCCGTGCCCCCAGTCACCCCTTGGACTGTCTCGCTCGTTTCGAATTCGGGGTCGGCGGCAGAAGGAGAAGGCGTAGGCAACGGAGGCAAGAAGTTCCCCGGCCGGCTGGGTGGAAATTCAATACGGTGACGTAGGAGCAGAGACTCGAGATCTTGTACGTATGCCACCAATGTCGAGATTTTTCCTTTCGATGCCATTCTCCGCTTGTCGATCTGTTGTGAATAGGTGCAATCCCGTTTGTAAAGCGTACACACAGAACAATGCGGCTTCAATCCGTCACATTTGGTTTTGCGTTTCTGACAACTATTGCAAGCCCGGGTGACATGTTTTATTGCTCGTGATCGGGTCTCGGAGCCAAAGTCATCGAGAGGCGACGTCGCGACCATGGTGTGGGACAAGCTTGTGCACGTTGTCTAGATCAATTTTCGGCAAATATGAGCGAATTTTGTTGAGCAGACTAATCTATGCAAGGAAAAAAGCTCAGCAAAACAAGTGAAGGAAGATGGTGGGGGGCTCGGGAATCCCCACGGCTTGCCCATTTGCTGACCTCACACTACCCCGGAACCCCTCCAGGATGTCGCCGAAGCCGCTTACCCCAGGCCCCACTTGCTCTTCCCCGCATCATCCAACACGCCAGGCTGTATTTATTTAGTCGTTGCTATCTAGAGTAGTCTATGAAACATATGATGGTGATAGAATAGTTTATTGAGACAAGGCCTCTGCAATATCCTAGGACTAGAGTTTAAAAAGACAAACCAACTGGCAAGTCTGGGAATCAATATGGGCCAGATGAAATGACAATGTGAAGATATATACGTGCTTGAAGCTCTCCAGATATCTAGAGAGGAAACCTCTTTAGAGATACTAGGCAGTAGTTCCACAATTTAGAAAATCCCTTGCAGTCTGGATATTTCTATGGGAAATGATAGAACAAAACACAACTAGCCCATATCCCAGTCTGACAGTTTCCAATAATACTTTGATTCAATTCACTAAATGGGCATTAAGTAGATGAACCTCCAATGGTTACAGTCTCAATGTTTTGATATTCACTGCCACAAAGCTCTATACTGACGCGCGTTATTGTACCAGCAGCAAGCTTGGTGAGCATTTTGCCAACGTTGGTTGACCCAGTAAAGCTTATCTTTTTGGCTTTGAGTGTGTGGCCAGCTCCAAAAAAGCATTGCGATCTTTGGTCGACACAACCTGCACGATATCAGGTGGAAAGGTAGCTTCCAGAGCAAGCCTAACTAATGCAATTGCAGTAAACGGTGTTTCACTCGGAGGCTTGATGACGACCGAGCAACCTGCCGCAAATGCCGGTGCTATCTTACGAGTGATCATAGCCGCAGGGAAGTTTCACAGCGTGATAATACCGCATACACCAACTGGCTCCTCGAAAGTCAAAGCTGTCGTGTTCTGGTAAGGAGACGGGATGACGTCCCCATATGGTCGAACTGCTTCTTCGGCAAACCAGAAAACAAAAGAAGCTGCATATGTTAACTCGCCCTTTGCTTTTACTGGTGTTTTAACATTCTCCAGAGAGAGTATCGTCGCAACTATGTATTGACGATAGCTAGAATAATATAAATAAATATGGTTTGCACTCACGATCGTCAAGATTCTGCAAGATAAGGTCGTTCCATTTGCGCAAAAGTGAGCTTCTTTGCTTGGCAGTGGTGTGAAGGAAATATTTTCGCAATCCACGATCGGCTTCTTCAATGGCCTCCACAAAGGCTTGTTGAGAAAAGTCCGCGCAATGGGCCAGAATCTGACCAGAGGGCTCAATGACAGGGAACGTCTTATTTGAAGCTGCATATTTCCACTTGCCTGCAATGAATCCCCGACTGTCAAACAGCCCAAAGATTGCTATTTGAACAGGGAATTGGCTGAGAAGTTCATTCATCGTGTAGCGTGAAATGGTGTGGTAACTAGCTTTTCGCTTTCAGAATCTATATGACCAAGATCAATGAAGCGCAAAATCCCACCGTCCGATGGTATATACTTGTATTTAATACCATGCTTACTTTGGCTTGTCCATTGGACAACCGGAATTGCTATCCCAGAATGCCGAGGCTATAGGTCAGATCGCGGTTCATCGGGAATATCTTGAGCCCAGAGTACCGGGGTTCTGCTTTTTTGATTTTTTTTTTTTTGAAGAAATGCGGAGAAAAATAAAGCAAACTAGAAAAGGGTGGAATAATTGGTGGCATTTGCGGGAAGTTGATGAACATATTTGGGCCACAAAGATGCGTAGTGGGGAGTACCCTTCGGAGTACCCTCCTACACTGTGCGATATATCAGCATTTCCGTCTTTCCTCGGTGAATTTGTCACACCTTGTAATATATTACCGGCTACCCTTTTATACCAAACTTCATGATATCTGAGATCTACTGAGTCCATGCGTAACCCCTCAAATCAATTGCATGTTTGCCTTGATACAACGGAATCATGTTAGAGTGCCTTGCTGGTGATATTTCGTATGAATCTCGGTGAATAGACGCTGCGATCACCATAGCATGGCCATATATTGGGATACATGTCTTAAAAAAGAAACTAAAAAGCGACGGACACCCGGGAAGACTGAGGTTCGAACACCATCCATTTGTAAGCTCAATCATAGACTAGACAAACTAATTCTGGGATAGAAAAGTGCCTTCCCATTGCTCAGAACAACCTTCGCGTCCTGGTTTCTTGTGACGAACCTGACTTCCTCCAGGCCGCCGGCCATCCCAACCAACCACATGCTCGTGGTCAACTTGTCCCCGGGTTTAACAGGAAAGGCGAATCTGGCCCCGAAGCTTTTGAGTCGAGCTGCATCCCCACCACAAAATTTACTCAGAACTCCGTAGCATGTGGAGCTATACGTGAAAAGACCATGGATAATGACCCCACCGAGTCCCATCTTGAGTCCTGGACCTGGAACCGCGTGCAGCGGATTGTAATCGCCATTGAGACTACATAAACATTAGACGGCTTCATTAGCCAGAGGCAATAGCGAAGAGCGACAGTTACCGATAGAGAAAAACGGTATTATCCGTGGTCTGGACTTCGTATGTTGCATCCGGCTTTCGATCTGGCACAGGGTACAGAGGCATTGTGGGGCCTAGTAGGTGAGTAATATGCTAGTCAGAACTTGGACTATGTCACAGTTCTCTAATTTCCACGGTGAGTTACCTACCTCGTGGGCCACCCCAATTTCCTTGTTTCGGAACGAAACTCACACTTCGCGTCGTGGTGTACACTTCCCCGGTCACACTATCGACAACCTTTTGCTCTGTATCAAAAGCACTGCCTGCCGAACCTTTATCGTAAAGTCCAATAACTTTATTTTGAAGCTGGAATTTCGACCCTGTGCTTGCTGTCGGAAGTGTTTTGTGAATTGTCAACTCGCGCTGTCCGTCGACAGCATAACGAAGGTCCAAATCGGGGGCTCCAGGGATCGTGCTCGTAGCGTTACGACCGTAGAACTCGACCACTTCTTGATCGGTGAGTTTAAACGCTGTGCATGTCAGGTATTAGTATCACCATGCTTGGTATGTGGCTCATTCTGCAACATAGTACGTACGCAATATCAATGGATACGTCGGAAACACCATGAACTGTGGATGGAGCTCCTATTAAATGCGTCAATCGGTGTGTTTCTTCGAATAAAAAATTTCATTTAACAAACATATAGAAAATGGAGGTCAGCGGCTTGCACGCCGATACTGTTTGCGAAAAGAAGCACATCGCGCCGTAGCCAGGACACCTCCTGAGGGGGATACTCATATCCAGCGGACATCGCGAGGGACTGATTGAAGTGAAGTTTGACATCGAATCTGGGTTCCTTGGATCGTTTTCTATTAGGTCAAAAGAGTATTCACGTGCCGAGCTCTACTCTAGCGTGGACAGCATTTTGGACAAAATTGCCCAACAAATGATTGGCGGTCCTCCTCGGAACCTCGGGTTGTCCAATGGTCAAAAAAATCCAATTTGAAGGCCTCAATATACTCTCTTACCCACGGTGTGATCTTATTTAAAGGATGTTGCTGGCTGTTCCTACGGTATGGTCCAGTAATTGTCACGTTAGCTCAGCCGATTACCACCATGCAGTACTTGCCCGAAATTGATCGTGAGATCCCAGATTTGGATCTTTTGACTTTGTTATTTGGTACATATTTCAATAAACGGAAATTAAACGAAGTATCTGACCATTACAGACTCCCCATATTGCTGGGCAAAGAGTGAAACCATAATTCATGCCGAAGCGGACAATGAGACAAATCACCTCACCAAAGGGGAAACTGCCCTCATCTTTCGACGATTAGCTTTTGTTCTCAGAAATGAACTCGGAATTGGCATATCAGGTGCTGGCAAAGATGTGGTGACGTCCGTTTGCTCAAATCATCTCCTGTCCCCAGCGATTTTCTTTGCTGTGATTGCAAGCGAGGCTATATATTCTGCTGCATCCACGGCATTGACAATAAGAGAGCTCGCTCGACAAATTCAGAGTAGCAAAAGCAATCTCATCATCGCGACTGAAGACACGGCCTCGACGGCTCTTGAAGCAGCGAGTATATGCAACATCCCTCTCGAGCGGGTTTTGATCCTTCACTCTATGGGCCCCGACAGGGCCTTGACACCATCCGTTGATTGCAGTCGGAATTATTTCATGGAGACACGGGAACTTCCATGGGTGAGAATCAGCAACGAGGACATTTTGAGGAATCGAGTGGTTGCCTTACTTTATTCAAGCGGTACCACAGGGGTGCCGAAAGGTGTGCGAATTTCACACAAGAACTTTGTGGCTGAGGCTATCATCACCCAGACAGCCATCGAGACCTACCTCAGTAGACAACAGATGCTTTCGGAGTTTCAGTATCGCACCATCGCACACCTTCCATCTGCCCACATTTCTGGACTGCAAGGATATTTTATCAACGGCACAATGATGGGGGGAACAGTGTTTTGGATGCCCAAGTTCGTGTTCGACGACTTCGTGCATGCAGCAAAGAAACATCGGCCCACGTTTATCTCCACCGTACCTTCTGTATACTTGCGTATTGCGAAAAGTCCGTCTGTATCAGATGAGTTTCACAGTCTTCAGCACGCTCAGTCAGGTGCTGCACCCATGGGTCCACAGCTGCAGAAACTGGCTGAGTCTAAACTAAAGTGCAAGGTCAGTCAGGCCTGGGGGCTGACCGAGACCACCGGGGCAGTCACTTGGCTCCCTTGGGATCGGGAAGATAGCACCGGCAGCATCAGCCAATTGTTACCAAACACACGGCTCAAGATTGTCGACGAGAGCGACCGCCCTGTCCCAGATGGTGATTCAGGCGAGATTCTGGTTCGTGGGCCCAACGTCACGATCGGATACTGGGAAAACGACGAGGCCACAAAAGAGGCCTTTACTGTAGATGGATGGTTTCGTACCGGGGATATCGGCGCACGCAAAGATGGCAAGTTTTATATCGTCGATCGAAAGAAGGTTAGTCTTTGACTGTACTAATTCCAAGTGCTCAACTAACTCTCTTATAGGAGCTGATCAAATTCAAAGGGTTACAGGTAGCTCCAGCAGAAATTGAAGCGGTTCTCCTCGAACATGACCAAATTTTGGATGCCGGCGTTGTAGGGGTGCCAGATCCTCAGATTGCCGGCAATGAGATCCCACGAGCATTCGTCGTCCGAAAACCTGGAACGAGCCCGATGAGCGAAGAGGATGTCAAAAGACATGTGCGCGACAATTTAGCTTCCCACAAGCAGTTGAGGGGTGGTATCAGGTTCACCGATTTTATTCCTCGCAACTTGTCTGGGAAGATACTGCGACGCAAGCTGGCGCAGCTTGAAGGGAACGAGAGGCCCTCGAAGATTTGAAGTCTCACTATATTAATAGTTTTTCAATTCAAACAATTCAATGGATGAAAGACTTCATTCTCACAAAACCCATGTAAAATACAACGTCTTGTTGTGGTGGTTGAGAAAAATGTTTGAAGGGGCTCGTGCCTGAGGCGTGGCATATTGAGATGTAGGATGCCGCATCTACGCGGTACATCACATCGCCAACTGGCCTAATACGCTATCAAGTAACTATCTACTAAATCTCTGTTTACCGCCATGATCCAATTTACCCTAGATTCCCTTTGTTTTGCATCCAAATTGTCGTATACATATTATTCTTCCTACATTCCGTGGATCTAGAATCTAGAAATCCTACATTTTCCACCATAGCTCCTTACCAACTTTCGTCCTATTCCATTACAGGAGGCCACAAGACAACTTCATTTTCGATATGTGTGATTCATATTTCTGCTTCTCCTTCCTCCGACTTCTCGGGTACCTTCAGCTTCACTCTGAGCTACCATACTACCGATATCGGTATATCTCCATTCAGCCTAGATTATTGCTTCCCACTCTTTAGAACTCAATGCGCCCATTGTGCAGTCCTCCAGTCACAGCAATATCTGTACCTGTTGTATACGAAGCTCCATCGCCTAGTAGATAGCCTACGGCAAGTGCCAGATCCTCAGGCTGTCCAATACGTCCCATTGGTGGTGCTGTTCTGAACACCTCCTGGAGATCGGCGAATTGTGCTGACATTTTAGTTGCAATAAATCCAGGAGAGATAGTATTGACGCGGATGTTGAATGGGGCCATCTCGACTGCAAGTGTCTTCCCCAAAAGCTTGATAGCGCCCTTTGAGGCACCGTAAATTGAAACCCGCTGAGCTGGAATGGCACAATGAGCAGCGATGGACGCAATCATGACAATCGATCCGCCGTTTCCTTGCTTGACCATTTGCTTGGCAGCCAGCTGTGCCGAGAAAAATGACCCAAGGACCTACATTCATCATCAGCAAAATATGAGCAAGTCACCGTGTTCATTCACGTTACATTAATGTCAAGAATGCGACGAGACTCTTCCCATGTGTGTTCGAGAAAGGGTTTATCAAGAGCAACCCCAGCACATGTAATACTATAATAACGCAGTCGGTGAGCTTTACGGATTTCATTCAATACGTGTTGAAAATGGTCATATCACGAAACTCACCAGTTATCCACCTTGCCTAAGTCTTCAACAACTTTATCAAAAGCAAGCTCCATGCCAGCATTTGAGGTGACATCCATTCTAAAATCACAGCATCAGCTTCTGTCAAAAGGTATGCATTCTGGTAGAAACCCTACCGGTGAAATATAAAGCGCGAGCCATACACCGATTCCAGCTGGGAAACACTTGTTTCTGGTTCTTGAACATCTAAAATGGCCACATTACTGCCTAGTGCAGCCGCCGCTTTGGCCAAGGTTAAGCCAATACCTCGTGATCCTCCTTTCCAGGAAAAGGTCAATGTTGTTCATATGGGAGGTGCTGATATGATATACACACCGGTTATGACAGTCACCCTACCATCGAGTGACAACTTGGGCTCTATCAGTTCCCTTCTGGTTTTTGAAACATTGGACAACTGACGCGAGCCGGTGCTGAACCCATGTCTTCCGGTCGGTGCACATTTCGACAATATGCGACCACGAGCGCTGAACTTCCCACCAGTCAGCAATATCCCCCGGTGAGGAAGTAACTCAGCGACTCGCACAGCAGGGTGGATGTTCATTATTCTAGCTAAGTTGAATAATTATTGGTGAATATTCCACGAGTGGGTTGAAAATTGGAAGGGAGCTTGGTGGATATGTCCGTAGATGCAGGCTAGACTCCCTTCAGGCAGATTGCTAGTTCTAAAGCAATGGTATATATTGCACCGCTTGTAAAAATTATCTCTAAATTTACATCAATATAGCCGTGGTCGTCAATCAAAGCGTGGGGGTTCATATTCGGGGTACGTTTCCCACGGGTTTAGATTTCCTCGGATTCCTGATTTTGTCCCACCCTCTCGTCCACACCCACAGGTTGTGAACAGCTGGAATAAATACCAAACCTGGGATATTCGATAAATCAGTAAAATGATGTAGAGATGCTCTAGACGAAGTTTCCAGAAGGCGTTGGAGATCAGACCGTCCCCGGACCGTCTCCTAACCGCCCTCTGACTTGTTTGTCAAATTGAGCGTTTGTTTTCTTGATTGATAGGATATAGAGACCCTGCTCTTTGCTAGAATGGACTACAATGATTCTTCTTCCTCTTCCTCCCATTCGCCTGTAACCGTGATAGAAGGTGCTATTTGATTGGCAAGCTGAAATCATTGCAAGGATTCAAAGTGATAGGATATGGCTTCTCGGGGGTTTGAACGTGATTTAACCAAATAAAAAAATTGGTCAGCGCAGAAGCAACCCTTGGAAGGCCACTCACTGGGTCGGAATGCCCTAGCTAGGTCTCTTCGGGGCATTCAAATTCCGAACCCGAGAATCGCTGACCAAATTGCAGGATCCAACTACTGGTTGCTTGGACTCGTGGGACTTGAGGTTAGACGTCCGCAGAGCCCATAAAGCCCACAGCCCAACCCGGACCCAATCCGCAAATGGGCTGAGTTTTAGGGCCTAGTCTCGGCCCCACCGGTGGGCTATAGGCCTAAGGTAGAAGCCCACTAGGCCCTTAATAGGGCCCATAACTCAGCGGTAGGCACCAAATAAAGTAAACATGAAGGTTAAACCCCCTTTTAGGGGTTTTAAAATTACCCTGTGTTTCACCCCCTTTGTTAAGCCTTACCCCAAATGTAATATTTTATTAGTTCAATTGATTTATAAATAATCAGTTACTGGTTATCGCTCTACATCACCTTTAAACACGCGAAAAAACGCGTTATTCAGATCAATTCTAAATCATAGATATTCATCTAGAAAGCGGTAGGACTCCCATATCAATCTCAATGCAAACAAGTCAAATATCAGAAGCTGGAATGGGCCGTTGTTGTCACGTTCTTCATGCATTGTAGCTAGGTGTCTCTAGAGGGACCCGAAAGAAAAGATGATCACCTTCTTCTTTCGGACTTCACACAGTAGGCACTGGGATCTCTCTCTGTCGCGGTCTCGTTCGCTCTCTCTGTCGACGGATCCACTTGATGAAGCTAGAGATTTCCCTTTTTTGGATTTGAAATATGTCTTCGGAGCTTCAAGGCTCACTATCCCTCTAGTGACTTCATCATAACTACATGGCTTAGGGACATAAACATAAACGTAAGACAAAGAACGTGACTGGAAATCATTTGTATACGAGAGAAGACATCCGGAACCGTGCCTCAACCTCGGCTTCTGCCGAAGCACGTCATTGGGCTGAAACGAATCGCCCGTGAGATTCTCGTCCAAACAATCATTGGAACTGTGCGGTGTGACCAGGATACGATCGAGTAGAGCAAGTTGAGAGAACGGTCGAGGGATTGTAGACACCGACGAAAGATGCTGAAATTGAGAAAACGCATTATGGCGGTAAAGTCTGACCACCAATCTTGATTCATACATCAACTTTCTGTGGCTGGAGCTGGACAGAAAATGAAGAACCTGCCTCTGCCGATTGCAAGTGATGATTATTTTTCTGTCAGAAGTGGGAATTCCATCCTTCAAATATCTGGGCTGGGTAGCTCTGCCTAGGAATGCATCCTAAGTGGGTTTCACTGATAATTTGGGGTACATTTCCTTCAGGGGCGGAAGCTTTCGAATGCACAATGGGAGACGATCCAAGGGAGTGGTCAAAAAAGAGAAAAATTCAGAATGGCAGCGCAATCTCAAGGGGGCGCGGCAGTCAACGGAGCTCAACGGATAGTCATTAAAAACGTGGCGTTCAACCAGGGGGTCCTTTTCTAAAAAAAAAAACTGCCATCTACCATCCGGTGGATTCAAGTGCTGGCGAATCTCACCCGACGGCCATGTCGATCCAGTATTAGCTTCTCGGTGTCAATATAAACACAATCGAGGAACTGCATGGTGCTGGAATTCTTGAGGGTCTTGGCCGCCTGGATTGCCGCGGAAATGAGCTGGAGCACATTGTGGTCATTCTTGATAGACCTGGTCTGGTGCTTGGCAGCAGGGCACATTTCCAGAGTTTTCTAGGACAGTGATGAGCTGCTTGATTTGGCCGTTATATAAGAGGCGGGCAGGGATGCGCCGTGTAGTCGCCAGTCGCTTCAGAAGGTGAACCCATTCGGTCCACTCGCGGTCCGAGGGGACCTTGACGGGTCTCTTGTCTTGCTCGATGGGAACGGGGAACTGGTACTTCGGGATGAAGTCATACGCACACTGGGATAGGCGGTCATTGACTTTGTGCAAGATCTTGTCTTGCTCTGAGGCATCGAGGTTGATAGGGAGCTGAGGGAGCTCTTTGTCCTGGGCTGCAATGGCATGTGCAGAAGGTGGTTTCTGAGGCAGGTGAACCCGGTGGCTCCCTTCATAGTTACAGAGTGGAGGTACCGGTTATCCGGGAGGATAGGGTACCCTTCCCATAGGTGGGTTCATCATGTGGCTGCTGGTGTCTATAATGACTGGGCTTCAGGGTAGCAGGACGTAGAGGACCCTCGAGGTATGTGCGAGGCATGTGCCATGGCATAAAAGACGACGTCATATTTTGAAGCGGGCTTCGGATATCTAATGCTGAAAGCGCTGCTGATAGGTCATAATCCAGTGAAAATATCTCAATGTGTCTCGAGTTGACGGTCACATCGGCCAGAATATCCACGTCCGAAACGATAAGTGCACTGTGAGACATGCTGTTTGAGACCTAATACAGTTTGGGTTGGGGTGAGGTTTGCCCCCCATTGCAGTTTTTGGCGTAGTCTAGTAATGGGAATGATAAGAGTATTTTACTAATTATATACTAATAATACTTCATGGCGATGTGTAGATAGAAGTATGGTCAAGTAATTATGCCCCTAGGCGGTAAACAGGCTTTGGCTCATCATGACGACTCAAGACCGAAACCTTGGAACCTACGACCTAACCCTTTGTCGTCAAGCAGCAGCGATAATCAATCAACCCCTCAGCAATCATCATAATGGCAGCTTCGACAGCATCTCCGATCCGCCTATCCCCACACGTTCAGTCTATCAAACAAAGCTCACCCTACACCAACGTATATGGTAATGTGCCTGTTAGTCCGCTTCGCGCTCGAGAAAACACTCAACACTTACAAAATATGCTCCCCCATTCCCACCCAGAACAAAAACGCTGGGAAAATCCTGGTGGCTGGGGCGCACGTCACTTGAATGATATGGCGCCGTTCACGCTTTGGGACGAGCAAAACCATAAGTTCCGCCACCCCTCACGTCAGGACTGGACCTGGATCCGTAGTAAGTTCAGGGAGGGAACAGTGCACATTTCCGGGTGGCTTATTTGTGTGGAGACGGCCTCTCCACCCCAGCCAATCCCTCTGACCCTTGGAACGATGCCTGTGATATTCGTGCGTCTCGGGGAAATGTTTAGGGAACCAATCCCCTTATCTGGATATTCGAATCATCGTATTTCCGATCCCTGTCCCACTGTCCGGTGGCCCAAATTGACCAATCCGACTAAGCGTCAGACAATGGCTGTGCTTGCTGCCATCGCGCCGCTTGCTTGTGTGAGAGCTGCTATTTTTCTCCCAGCTTGGACTATCTTTGAACTTGAGTTTGGAGATGGCCAGAGCTACGTAAAGCAATCACTTCCCGGGGTCGTGGCAGGCCGAACAGCACTCTATCACCATGGAGATGAACCGTTTTTTGGCTGCATGAGAAACCTTACCCGCCCTCGCTTTATTGACCCATCCCAGGTATTGGCTGCTGGTGCTGCGCCACAAGATGACTCAAACTACCTTCGGCGGTCGGTTCTTACACCAGGATGTAGAATCGAGAATGGTTTTGGGCCACCAGGTGCCCCAGCCGAATTCACAAACGCTGCAACCACGTGTGGTGTCAAAGTTCGCAATCTCGCCGGCGAAGAAATGCTGACAGTTGCCAATCATGGTTTTCTCTCATCAAAGGAAGTACACCACCCATTTGTGAATGGAGGAGATCTTATCGGCGAGGTCGTCGATGCCCGACCTGAGCTTAACATCGCCCTCGTCAAGCTAACACCCGCTGCCTTGTCTAGCTTCACCAATTCCTGCTACTTTCAAGCCGAACCACCTACTCGCCTCCTAGAAATGTCTCAAATCTCCCAAGGCTCATGGAGTGAAGTGGACGGCATGAGTTCAGGGCTCTTTAGCATGATGAATATTGGCACCCAAATCATGCAACCGAAACGTCCAGCTGGCCATCCCGAACTCGAATTTGAAGAATGGGATATCGGATCCGTGGATTTCATTTTTGGGAATGTTAATACCGCTATCTCTGATGGTGTGTGCGGCGCCCCAATCGTGGACATTGAATCCGGTGGGGTATCCGGCTTTTTTCATCTGAGTGATGGGGTCTTTGCTTACAGTGCTGTCCTCGATGATCTGGTGGCCGAGGGATGGGGATTAGTGTGAATGTGGAGTTCTGAGCTATTATCGCCGGATGCTTATGGGTAAGGTCTGAGTGTAGACCAGGAAAGCCCCACCAGGCAGAGGAAATCAAGTACGTATAGTTAGGTGCTATTTTAGATACCCGTTGTTTATGTGCGCAGGTCGCAGTTTGCCACTCGATAACATTGTTACCCGCTTGGTACTTCAGAACCAGCAATATATTATTAGAACAATTGAAGCCCATCTTGTTAAGCGAATTACGTATAAATATTCTCCTTGGATTACACCTATATTACATAGGATCGATATCGGAGGAAAGTCGAAATGGTAAGTCACTATAATACATTGAAGGGGGGGGAGAACGTATATTACATCTGTAAATCAACATGGTAAAGAACTTGACTTCACATTATCATGCATGGAGTCCTGTGTCGTTTTTGCGGAGCAGCATACTCCCCTCGTCTGCGTTTCTTCGTCCTGATCTTGATCTCCGCTTTCCCTTTGCCATGCCACCATCGTAGGTATTGAAGCTTGACCGTATGGAATTCCAAAAGGCATATCTCCCACCTCCCTCCACTCACCACAACCGATGTCTCTCCCGTTGGGAAATGAAAGTCAGGCAGGTATATTTCAGTCGGGGCGGCGTCAGGCGTGGTCTGATTTGCGACCAATCTCATGGTAAAGGTACACGTCTTCAAATCAAACCCGTAACTCTTTAATCGCCCATTTACGTGGATCGGAGTGGGGCGGAGATATGCTTCTGCTGCTCTGTGGACCTGCTGCGGCTGAAGGGTGGTCCGGGAGAGATTACTCGAGGGGGACGGGGGTGTCAAAGTCTTCATCGAGCCAAGCTCCTCATCTTCCGCATCGACATGATCCATACACCGCCCTCTGGAATCGACCCTAGTTAAATCGGAAGAGGCTCTGATAGGAGCTTCCAAATCATTCGGTGAGAATATGGAAAGATCCTCCCCATTCCACTGATCGCCCCATTCATGGTCATGCTAGGTAGAATTAGTTGAGGTTGTCTCTGTGAAAATTAGACACATATACATACAGCTGCCATATAGCCCCATAAAGAAAACCCATTAGACTTGCTGCCTTCTAGCGCAAAATGGTTGGCATCCATTGCTCTGATCTGGCTGCTGTAGTCTCCAGTCTTATATGCATATTTATTATCCATATCATACGGAATGCCAATCTCGGTAAAGACGAGGGGATGATCACCCATGAGTTGGAGACTTTCATCGCGCAGGAACCTGAGTTGATGACGTAGACATTTTCGAATTGATCTCTCGCCGATTTTCATTGCGAATGGTCGTGCAAGATATTTGCCCCGGAGCACCCCGATAACATCTATGTTATAGAGTCGATTCCTAATCTGGTCAATATGATAAATAAAAGGTGAGGTGTTTATACTAACCAGTGCTTCGTTAACAGAGTCAGACCATCATAAAAGTGAACCCCATGAGCCATGTTCGGATCATCATCGGCGGTACCCTTGATGCTTGGCGGTACCTCCATGACAGGGGGTTGGCAAAACAGGATAGTACTTCCGTTCACGCCGCGAATAGCGTCCTTGTAGGCTCGGTAATGGTTCAAAAAGTAAGAGTTTGTAAAGCCCTCGTAGTCAAGAGCCTTGCCAGTCACTGGGTTCCTTGAAAAGTAGTCCTTTTGTATCAGGGTGCCTTGGCTTTTAGATGGATCCCAAACTCCGTGTTGTGCCCAAAGGCATTCGCCGAGCCTCCAGCCAGGATCACGGTGCCAGCCATATTGAGAATCATCGTATTCAGCGGGGAGCCATGCCGGTTCACCCTTTGGATCTATAACTTCCGTCCCTGTCTGGTATGGGCCAAAGGGTCCGAAAGCCCAGGTTTTTATCTCGTAGGACCGCCCGGAGCCAAGTACCATACCCTGAAACGCCGTTGGAGATGTCCCGAGCTGGAGTTGCTGCTCTGGTGGGATTGTGGAAATATCTTGAATCCCGATCAGTCCTCTATTCGGTTCGTTTATGCTTTCCCATCCAATGATCACGTCTCCTTCAAGATCACCAGCGTTTTGGATTCTCTGTGCAAGGTGTTTGCATGCCGCAATAAAGTGGGTTTGTAAATAATCCTGAATATTCACACCATCAATAATCGCTTTCGGTGCAAAATCTCGACCTGCCCAGAACAGAGTAAACATCGTCTGGCAGACCAACCTAGTGTAGTTCGTACACCAAAGCATCTTGGGGAACTCTGCAGGGTTGTTGCACGTGTTATGAACGATGGCAGCCTGTGTATTTTTGAAATTCCTAGGATTTAATCCCGCGGCGTAGAGTGTCCATGTAGGTGCTCCACATCCTCCTGATAATCGAGACCACTTCGAATAGTAAGCTTAGTCCTCACAGATAATATATTCACTCCAGACCAGACTTACTACGTCTTGATGTGGATCCATAAAAATGTAGAACTGGTATTTCTTGGCGACGCGAAGAATTTCAACGGTGAAGTCGATCCATTCCTCGTCGTAGATCTTAGGACCAGCGTGTTCGATTGCCTCCCAAGTGAAGATATATCTAATCGTGTTGTATCCCCATCCTCGGAGGCGTCGGAAATGTACGTCGGCATCTTTGAGGGAGAACGGCTTTCCCACAAATGATACATCTGCGTCGAAGAACTTCTCGGGGTTGTGCGATCTGAGATCCGGAGTTTGGGGATATTTTGCGTCACCTGCCACATTTATTCCCCGAAGGATGATTTCTCGATTCAGAGAATCTCGGAATGTTTGTCCCTCGACGCGCAGACGAAGTTGACTCATGTCGTCGACCAGGTTTCATGAATCCTTGGGCCACTCAGTTGGTGAATAGTGAGAGAAAACTGTATGCAGGAAGATTGGAAATGCCGCAATGAACGCTGGTTATGGAACGAGCGGATGCAAATGGGCAAGGAGTGGTTTGTCTGAAAAGACGAGAAATTAGTTTAAGAGCCAGCTTAGCAGTTGCATCCCCGGGTTTGAAAGGAATCTGTGAAATATGCATAATCTCGACCTCACCTTTTTTTCCAGTTGGAAGTTGGAAGTATGATGTCAAAAGAGAGAAAAGCACATGGCACCCGATGATCTCATAGAACAAAAGTGAGCTGATAAGGCGTGAACTCAATTGAACTCCAGCCGATGAATGGGAAAAACTGTGTACAATGTCTGTCTTCCTTTGGAGAATTGCGGGCACAATAACTTCTAAATATGATCAGAGAGATATTATAATTATTTACAACTACCATCGATTTTAATCTCTGAAAATTCCGTAGTCCAAGGATACTGTAATTCCTGTAATAAAACAATACCGTATTAGATCTCTTGTCTATGGAACGTTAATTTGAGTTGCCGTACCTAAGTTAAGCACCAATCAGCAGAGTGCATTTTCTACGTACGGTGGGTGCAGCTATACTACAGATTATTCCTATACGAATACGCGTATTGTAATTCATCGCAAAAGCTCTCAAGCGGTAATTGGGGAAATTGGGCGGCGAGCATCTGGAGACCGTTGATGGTTGAGTGGCTATCGCGCCTAGGGAAAAGGAGAGAACTGGGACTAGAATCATTCTGATCTTGTTTAATTGAAAGTTTCTCGGGACGCAAGTTTATATATTGATGATTTTTAGTCATCAGGGACTCCGTGGGCACCTGTGCAACCTGACCCCCAAAATTGCAATAATAGATACCCTTGGTACTCGACAAAAAGGGATTCCGATAATTGAATTAACGGGTTCTTCAGTACGGAGTACTCGCGCAGATCAGAAGCTCCACACCGGATCGGGACCTGCGTATTCGTATCCAACGTTTCCCAGATCGGCCTAAATGCAGACAGAGTACAACGTACAGAGTAGGAAACCTCGAATTACCCTTCCTCTTGACATACAGAAAGTTATGTGTTTTATATTATTGCACATAGGTAGGTAAATATATGTATCAAAGTACATAAATCACCTGCGCTGCTGTAGCTAGACGCGTGTGCGCTTTTGCTCGTGGTACCAACTGTACGGTACATAGAGGTAAAGATCTGTATGATCTGTAAGATTTGTAATATCGGAATAACCTTGGAAGATCTGTGGCTTCTGTGGGGCTTTGTGGAGCCTGTGTAGGTGGCTTCTGTGGGTGCTCCAAATAAGGCTGGTGGGGCTAGTGGAACAAGTTATACGCGTATTCGGATGTGATATTGTGATTGCCTGCGACTAGCCCTGGAGGTGCTCTATTGAATGATCCATCCTATCCCAGTTAGTCCTCAACGACATACGGACCATAAAAAGTGGGAGACATCGTAGTTGAACCCTTGTGAGTAGGCCGAAATCTCTTATCTAAAAAGGTTGACATTTGTCCATGGACCAGATGGATGAGTGTGAAGTTTCGTACATATACCGCGAAGCGTAAACTTCTCTTGAATGGTAAGTATTTTGGTTATTTAATAGTAACTAGGAGGCGCAGCACCTACCCAAAATTTGGTTGCCTAAAGCGAAAATAGCCCAAGCACAACGAACTATTCGGGAATATGAGCAGCATGGGTCCTGCTATTGAGACTACGATACTAATACCTAGTCAAGCTTTTAATGGTCTTTGAATCGTCGTATTTTCCTTTTCGAATTCGCCATTCAACCATGCATAGCCTCGTTGAAGATGTATACACAACGGCACGTGGGACAGGTATCTAAGACCTGAGACTTTGCAACTTCTATTACATTAATCCACGGTCTAAAGGTCCTAAAGCGTCGCCGCTGGTTGGAGGCCCCCTTCAAAGTATTAGCCTAATTAGGAAACCCCCATGTTCCTGTCTCTATCGCAATTGCCGTGGCTATTGGACAAACCAACAGGATGGCGAGAAATAAATGCCTTATAAATCGGTGTACATCCCCTTCTCATGTGTTTGTCAAAGAAATCACAATTTTAACCTTGCAATGGGAATTCAAACGATTACAGCGATATCAAAAGAGCAGAGCGTCAAATCATTCATTGTTTTTCAACGCACGGCAAACTGGTCTGCACCCCTACTTAACGAGGTGATTAGCCCCGAGCAAATGGAACAGCACCGCAAAGATTACGATGCCATTTTCCAACTCTGCGTCGAGACACCCAGCTGCTTCATGCACCAGGTTGACCCGCGCAAGTCCCTAGAGGTTTCTGCAGAAGACTATTAGAGCTTTGGGAGCAAATATATGCAAAGCCCGGTTTTGCCAAATGGCTCGGCACTTTCAGCGACACATACAACAACCGTGAAGCAAACAAACTTTACTCCGACTTTATGGCTAGTAAGATTCGAGCCAGAATACAGGATCCCGAGGTTGCTGACAGCCTGATTCCCAAAGATCACGGCTTCGGTACACGACGAGTCCCTCTTGAAAGTGGCTACTTTGAGGCGTTTGATCAGCCTAATGTCCACCTTGTTGATGTTGAGGAAAACACCAAGTAAGAGAGTTATAAAGAGTGGCATTATCACGTCTGATAGCAAATAGCATAAATTAGACGTTTTAATCTATGCAATGGGCTTTGATGCCATTACCGGTGCCTTTAGCTCCATCGATTGGACAGGGAAGGATGGTCGACCTCTTCTTGGCTCTAGCAACACTAAGCAAGGTGAGCAAGCAATTTGGGTTGATCACCGCCCTCGTACGTACTTGGGTATGACAGCTTGCTCTATGCCAAACACGTTCATGGTCCTGGGGCCCCATCAGCCATTCAGTAACGCTCCCGGACAATTGAGCACGCCGTGGAGGTTATTTCGGATCTCCTGCAATACTGCAAAAACAACGGTTACTCCTATGTAGAGCCCACTGGAGAAGCCGTGGATGTGTGGACGGATCATGTTGTTGAGAGCAGCAAAGGGGCTTTGTCAAACGAAACTATAGCTGGATGACCGGGGTTAATACAAATGTGAAGGGCAAGACTGGTCGGAGTATTGCGAGGTATGCTGGCAGTGTAGTGGAGTATCGCCGTAGATGTGCTGAGTCTAGAGCAGCTGGTTGGAAGGGTCTGGCATTTGCCCAACTCTCGAGTTCCAAGCTTTGATAAATAGTTATGAATCATTACAATCAGGATATATTGTTTCGCCATTGGTACAACACTATCCGAGATTCAAATCGCAATCACAAGGGATCAGCCTCAATCAGACTCCAAGCCAGATAATACACTAGCGGCGGGCGCAAAGAATGTCGTCCCAGTAAGCGGCTTCGAGAAATCAAGAATCCGATCATGCAAGCCAGGCGGATCCCCAACAAACATACGCTCCAACATTTTTTCAATGACCCAGAGACGACGAGTATAGCCAATAAAGTAAGTGCCCAACTCGCCAGAACCTGGAGATCCGAACGGCATATTGTCGCGAAGAATTTCATATTCATTCCCATCATCATCTTCAATCGTGTTGAGTGTCTTGTGAGAGCGTTGTCCAGACTCGGCGTCATCCAGCTCAACATTATCTATCTTGGTGCGACCAATAATCCGCTCCTGTTGTTCCGTCGAGAGATCTTTCCATCCAGGTAGATCATGAGTGTACTTCTGTACAACGATATAACTGCCACCAACGGCAGAAGGATCTTCCTCTGTAATCAGAACAGAAGCTGGAACCGCCAATCCAACGGGATTAGCCGTGCCATCCACGAACCCCAGAAGATCGCGCACATCGAAGTAACGAAACCCGACAGTCTCATCGATGACAGTGACCGAATCACCGAATTGATCCAACAACTGACGCTCGAATTCAAAGCAGATATCTCTGCGCTCGGAGCGAATGTGGAAAAGCAGGTCACCGGGCGTCGAGATCGCGGTGTGTTTTTCGCCTTTGATCTCGCGAAAAGGGTGTAGTTCTGAGGGTCGGGGAAGGCCCGTGAGGCGATCCCAGATGTCACTTCCAATGCCAACGGTACACGCAAATTGGGCGTTGAGGTCACGAATAGACACATTCTTGGCTAGGCCGTCTACGCCTGCCAGTGTAGAGCGCACGGTTTGAATGGCATCGGGCTTGTCGGTCACGGAGACAACGAGAAAGATAGCCGATTGTGTGAGCGGAGCGTCCACACGCTGAGGCGCTATTGGGACACGATGACCGCTCATATTTGCTTTTTGATATGACTTGGAATTGAAACAGGTAGATATGCGTTGTTCGCGGAATGTATGGACGGTGAGGGTCGGCTGGTTGGTGAAATGCCTTTTGTTCTGAATTACATTTATTGAAGCAGCTCGAAACGCATTTGATCGACTAAAAGTAGAAAATGATAAAGGGTGACTGTTGAGAATATAAGAGATGACCAGTCTCCTTGACTTGGTCATATTCTAGCTGCTAGCGGCCCGAGTTGGAGGGAACTCCAGTCTTTATAGAGGACCCAGCCGATGCGATTGCATCAATTGCGTAATTTAGCAAGAAATGATTGGCCGTACTCCTTTTCCAAAATTATCCAAAAGCGATGGAAAAATAAATAGGTCGATGCTACATCGTAGGTGGTGATGTCACACCCGCCGGAACCGCCCAGGGGAGAATTCTTTGATGAGAAGGGTTGAGAGAGAGTAACTCTATGACTGAAAATACCATTTATATCTATAGACGGATGCTACCTCATCGCTGGGTGTACCCGCCATCCACGAATAGAGCCGTTTCAGTAACGAAAGAAGCCCGACCACTCAGAGAAATAACCCCCATCGGCAATATCCTCCGGCTTTCCCATGCGCTCCATTGGAACCGCATTAGCGACCTTCTCTTGCATAACCGTCAGTATTTGAGGCGACTTGGTCGTCAACGGTGTCTCCTATATCCAGGACAGATAGCATTAATGCGCAGGCCATCCTTAGCATAACCCTCAGAGGCAGTCCTCGTCAATCCAATAACTGCATGCTTCGTCGCAGTGTATGCAGTTGACAGCGCGATTCAAGCAACACCTTGAATAGACGAGAAGTTGACGATTGAGTCACGCTGTAGTGGCCCTGCCAAAATGCGCAGCAGCGTGGGCGTTACGCCGATGTTCTGTATGTGGTTCCCTTATCTTGAAGTTTAATATTTTATGCACGGCTTCTTGGGCGAACCGGTCATGGTCGTGTCAGCGTATCGCTAACACCTGGAAGTGAGGCATGCCTTAAGGTGTGATGAAGTACCAAACCAGTCTTATTGAAGGGCGATATGCAACGAATCGATCAGGCTTCTATTATTAAAACAACAGATATCTTCATACAATCTAAGCTAGAAAAGAATTTAAAGTTCCAGCTTCCCAGAGGTAATGTAATCAAAGACGACGATTATTATATACCTTCGGTTGAGCTACTCTAATCTGCCTTGAACTTCTTTGCATCGACCTCGCAATAAACCAAAAGTTATGTCTTCCTCTGAAAGCAGACCTTGTACTATTTTCCCACGCAGCGAAGATCTCCGTTTCCCAGGGGCATAAATAAGCCCCGCAAACCAAAATCAAAACGCGTCTGACTGGCTGCAAAAGTCGCCCAATCATAGCCACAGCAGCGATTTGAAGCCCAGACAATCAGACGAACAGGACAGCCGTAACCATGCAACCTATAAGAGAGCAGTGGGCACAGATGATACGAGTAATAAACGCCATGCGACTCAATTTTGCAAGGAAAGGTCGCCTTGGACCTCTTACAAAAGGTTTGCCACGTTGGGCCCCTCTGAAACCACATTTCTTGCCATTGTCTGGAGACCGGCCCATACTTTTGTCGCTATAAAGGAGGAGAGAGTTTCGGACAACAGTTCACTTCGCGGAATCGTCCTAACAAGCCATGTTAACATTGTGAAGCTCAAGGAAGCGTATTACTGGAGTGGAACATGTTTCTTGGTGTATGATCGGATGCATATTTCGCTGCAGGGGCGCAAGGCCCCGGCAAGGGTGTTGGCAGCCTTGGAGGATGATGTTCGCATCATTTCGGAACCGAGGAAGACCGGGATACTGCTTCGATGATTAGTGACGCTGTTACTCAGGAAGTGGCTCCTGTGAGCGGGATCGACGAAACGCAAATTGTCGCATGATGAAGACATGTTTTCTAAACTCAGACTATTTGCGCGATTGACTAAAAGAGCTAGAATTTTGTGGCGATGTTCAATGTATTGATTTGTTGTAGACTTACAACGAAAATCATGGTCTGTCCGACGAAGGGTTCTCTCGAGAGAAGCAGAGCTGCCTGTGATGTGATAGCTTGAAAGGAGGGAAAACTCTGTTATGTCTCAGGACACGCTCTATCCGGAGCACCAAGTCTGCCCGGGGTGGTTTGGAAAGAGGCGAAAACATGGACAGCTGTGGTGACCCTGAAAGAACCCATTACTTTACTAACGCAGCTTCTAGAAACGTTTTGGAGTACAAAATATGCCCTGACACGGTTGTAGTCAAGGTACGTTATAGTATTGTACATATGAGATCAAAATCACGCCGCTATCTCTTCCTCCAGAACATTTTATGGAATATAACGGGGAAGACTAATGACATATATGGATAGGCTGACCCACAGGATTTGCGTTTTGAAATCCCCATCGCGCGGCAGTGACAGTTCTTCTAGTCATTCCCGCTTTTCTGTTAGCTTCTTCGGGTCTATTGGCAAGATTCCGTTTGTCGAGTCAATGACAGGGTTATACTTCTTGATCCAGGGCATTCCGAGAATTGCTTCGAAAGTACCTTGGTTCATCGAAGTCAAGTCTAGCTGTAAGTCTTCCATGTGGTTTCTAGATTGGATCGTAATTGTGTTTGAAGCCCCTAAAAGTCTAGTAATCATGTTATTATATTAAATATAAACCGAATCCTTACTTATATCTTTATAAGAACTAGTTTGATATCTATTATTCCTAAAACACAGTCCCAGCTACTCGCACCACCCACCCACCAAGCTCCGTCCAGTCCTTTGCTTCCCAAAATTCTCCGATTATGTGCACATCAGCGTAGTCGCACCGAAAAGACTGCCTCCTGGGAGAGTACCGAGACCAGCGCTGAGCAAGGTCGTGATAGTCTCGCACGTGCTCTTTGTCTCCTTCTTGCTGAAGGTGACCTTGTAGTTGGTAAGAAATTTACCACTGTTCGCGGTCGTCGAGGTGCCGAGGAATGACGGGATCTGAACTCTGACTCTCTTCACATTACTGCAGGTGCCCGAGGGGGTACAGTAAGAGTCAACGTATTTGTCTTCCTTGCATGATCCCTTGACGATGATCCTCAGCTGGTCGAGGTACTTCTTGAAATCGATCTCGCCCTGTATCGCAGTGCCGTCGATGGCTGTGCAAACTTGGTGGTCGCACGCCTCCTTCGTGACGGCGCACCCTATTGAAAGGCAGTCTTCTTTGGCTTTGTCGTAGAGCTTCATGTAGTCACCGCAGGAGTATAGGCCCTCCCCGATATCAACCTCGCTGTACTCAGGATGGAACGCCACATCGGTTTTCAAGGACCAGACGACGCAGATGAGAGCAGGGACGAGATATAAAGAGGCTTTCATAATGGTGGCAGTTTGCAGGGGGAAAAGGTAATTGTGTTTTGTTTTTGAAGGCGTGTAAGATGGGTTGTTCTGAAGTTGCTGGGGATGTAGTTTAAGTCGAGGGTTTTGAGGGACTGAAGATTTCTGGACGAGCTTGAAGGAGAGAAAGCCGGGAGATATTTATAACTGTTTCCAAAACATCATATACGTTATTCGGGGTGGATATTCCGCCCATGGCCAGCCATCTCATTGCGCATGATTGATCTACGGCTCCAGACCCTAGGCCCGTAATTCGCCAACGTTCAGCCATTCTGGGTGGCCTTATGGATTGCTGGCTGCTACGAGGGCCAGGAAACCCGATACTCTCCAGATTTGGCGCCAGCAGAGGATACGTAGATCAGATTGCATAGCCACTGGAGGGTGCCGTGATGTTTGTTGGTTGGTTGGTTGGTTGGTTTGATTGCATTGACCTGATGTAGCTAGCTTCCAGACTATCGCCGCTAGACCTCGCCAAGCGCGGGTTTGGATTGGGGTTTCAACTTCTTTACCCGTGGGCGGGTAACCCAACGCGGGTTTTGGCCTTGATGCCGGGGGTTACCAAAAATACCCAGTCCTAGACCTCACCATATTACTTTTTCAGGTACCCGTGGGTTACCCATCAACCCACCAAGGACCCATGACCCCATAAATTATAGAATTATAGCATAAATACATTTGGTATAGGGGTGAATATCAGTGGACCTTGCCCTTTATTTTTGGAGGCTTTTATCAAGCATTAAGCATAACCAAATTTGTTGGTGAGGCTGAATCTCTCTCTGAAGGTTAACTCGACGGCCAATTTTAGCTCTAATCTACTCCGTATTCTATCTTCAGATACAGAGTATTTTTAGCTATATGTCTCTCCGCTCCCGGACTTCAGGCGCCCGACCCCATTCGTACTCAGCCTCTCAATCGACCCAATCTGAGATCCTCTAAGTATATGTGACCGATTGTAGCTGCTACTGAGTGTATGCCGAACCCCCCAAAGTTCCTGAGCTTCTTAATGAAGCGGCTGATAGATCTGCCTTGGGCAATAAGGGCAAAACTGCCTTGCACCTTGCTGTCCCCCGCTTTGTTGATAAGGATCACGTGCAGCTCCTAACATGTTGGCGCCCTCCATCTTTTACCAAGAATTTTCTCTTTAAGCCTTGGCTTGGCCCAAGCGGACCTCAAACCAGAATGACTTAATTGATGCTTTTTATGCCCGACTTATTCCATTCCACTGTATAATGGTTGTGCAAAATATTGATATCATTCCCACTGATCACCTGCTGTCCACCGCCTATACCGCCTATACCGCGTGCTTCCGTCGTGCGACGTTTCACGGTCGGTACAATGCCTCGCAGGGCAGGCAGCCGACCAACTCAGATCACGGCCATCAAAGGACGAGGCGACTCCATCTGTCTAGTTAATATGTGTCCTCTTGCCTTGCGAGACTACCTGAAATGGGTTGCGCGCATTCTGGGACTATCTGGGTGTTCACGGGCACTCGCTTTCGCCCAGTTGCTTGGTCGCCTTGTGCCAGTATTTGATTGGCCGCTGTCATTTATTGCCCCACTAGTGAGTACCTTATTACACTGTTATATATCGCATTTACTATAGTGTTGTGGCCCATTCACTGGTGAAATACGTTAACTAGTTAGTTATCAATCCCCGTGATGCTCAGTGAGCGATTCTGATGATTATATAATACCCAGGGGCGCTCAGTTTCAACTACTCAGTGAGCAAAAGCGGTTAGGGTAAGCACTAAAACGGAAAGGGAAAGTCATCTCGCTCGGCCTAAAATCCGGTGTACATGTTAAGCGAAAGAATACAGGATTATGAGACCGGCCAAGAGAAGTAGTCCCACCGTACGCCTGGCATGATATACACTCTACCGGCAATCTCTTCGTGTGCTAATGATTATACGATCTTTGGTATAGGGCAAGTTATGTGATATATGCAGCGATTGGATATCAAGCACGGCTTCTTAGCAACTGACAACGAACCCAATTCTCTGACAAATGTTGAAATTCACAGAGTTTGGACTCTCCTGTACTCTCCTGTGGTCAAATACAGCAATATGTAAGTCCCCCAAATGGAATATATCACGCGACATTGGCTGTGGCATTGAGCCATTTGCGGAATATTTACACATGTACTTAATGCAGGTGGTAGCACTGGAGGCAACTGGCAGTGGCCTAATCGACCAGCTGGCGCGAGATTGTTGACATGGTAATAGTAGACTGTATACAGCCTCTATACTAAACTATACCGAATTTGGATAATTTGAACATCAATTTGGTTTAAGACGATACTAGAGACGATATAATTAACATTTCTTTTTAAATGTCGTTTGATAGCAACTCACGTAGATAGCCAATAAGATCAAAGCCACTGATGGCTATGCACTGCGTTAGCGTATGTACTAGTTCCCCCGCCCTGGATGTCTTGGGAATGTCTCTCCAGTTTCAATGTCAACGCCGGGTTAAATCGCAATTGCACTCTTCTACATTGGTACTTTCCATGAATCAGCAATACATGAATCAAGTCGTGGAGCACATTAAGCATGTCGCAATCGTTGAGCTCCGCCCCACGCTTGAAACCAGATGTTCGCCTCGCCCAGGCTATTTCACAGTTCGTGGCCGAACTATCCAATGACCAAAAAGCAAGTTTCCGTGCCTACAGAGCTAAATCAGTTGAGTCTCCGCCCGGTATCCAAGATGTCATGCAACTCACCGCGGAGATTGATCGTGGCTCGGAAAAGAGACGCCGGTGCTTGGGACCGCGACTTACGAACATCCTACAAGCTACCCAGCAATTTGCTGCTTTAGGGGATGTCATAGTTGGTGGATCTCAGAACCTCCTCTCATGTGGCGTCTGGTCAATAGTGCGCATGTCGCTTCTATTTGCTCTCGACTTTTCCTCCTATCTTGAACAATTATCGCACATATTCATGACCGCTGGTCGTCTGGCTCCTCGTTACGAAAAGATGGCTTTACTTTATCCTCGGTCAAAAGATCTACAATCTTGTCTTTGTGAATATTTCATTTTGATCGTACACCTTTGCCATGAAATGACTACTTTTACGCGCAAGTCAATTTTCGGGAAACTGACCTCCGCGTTTACAGACTCAGATCTGAAGACATATCAATCAGAGCTGGTGTCCTGGGGGAAAACAATCAAAGCAGAAGTCGGCTTCTTGATGGCCAAGGGAATTGAGGACGAAGCCGAAAACAATTCGCGATTCAGGACAGTCTCATCAATATTCCAGAAATCAAGTGCATATCAGCAAGCGATTCAAACAAAACAACGGGTACTTGATTTCTGCTCCCAATACGATTGCACAGTGTCGTGGAAGCAGGTTCGAAAATCGGGTAACACCAATCTGTTTCGGGAGAGCCCCAAATATCAAGAGTGGAAAAGTATGCCACTTTCTTCCACCCTCGTCTACACTGGGAAGTTGGGCTCCGGGAAGTCTGTGCTACTCGCGAATATAGTGGACGATCTCCACATTCAGAATGAGAAGACCCATGTGGCATACTTCTTTTGCCGACATGACGTCTCTGAGAGTCTCAAAGCGCGGGGGGTGATTGGCTCCTTGGCTCGGCAGTTGCTATACCATATATCAGACTTCACGGCTGCCGCGGAGTACTTGGACAGGACGCATCAGTGTGAACCGATGGACAGACTCATGGGGCTTCTTTCGTGCTGCCTTGCTCCTCTTCGTAAAACAACAAGGTTCTTCCTTGTTGTCGATGGGCTGCATGAGCTCGACGGGCATCAAAGGGACATCGTGATACAGCAGCTATCAGATCTTCAAACCGAAACATTTATAATGTTACTTTGCATTTCTCTTCGAGAAGGTCCAAACGAGAACCCCCTAGAAGCTAACTTCGCCCAACTTGCTGCCCCAGTTGTTACACAAATCCCGCACAATACACCTGACATTGAGGATTTCATCGAGACGGAATTGGAAAGTCGAATGGAAGCGGGTAAGCTCACGATTGGGAATCCTCTCCTAATCTTGGAAATCCAGGATGCTCTCTTGAAAGGATCACAAGGGATGTTTCTTTGGGTAGCTCTCCAAATCGAATCTTTATGTGCCATGGAAAGTGACGAGGAGATCCGCGAGGCTCTTGCAGATCTACCGAAAGACCTTTCAGAGACATTCGCCCGCACTTTACGGTCCAAGTCCCAAAATACGCGCCAAAAAGATATATTGGCCATTTTGACTGTGGCCCAAAGCCCACTAACCCTCCAGCAACTACGCGAGGCGTTATGTGTTGTGCCGGGTGATTTGAACTGGAATTCAGATAGACTTCTCAACAATATGCACAACACTTTGGCTTCTTGTGGCAGTCTTGTTACCATTGATGAGGAGGAGCTTACTATACATCTTGTCCACCATAGTGTGAAACAGTTCCTTCTTGGTGAATTCAAAAATTCGACCGAAACCCTAGTCGATGTTGATGAAGCTCATCAGATGATGGCAAGCATCATTCTCACCTACCTCAACTATAGCGTGTTTGAAACGCAGATTTCAAAGACCGTAATACCTCAGCTGCGAAGTGGGTCGGTGCCCTCTGAAGTGATCTTCTCAACACTTGAACCATCAAATGGTGTCCGGAACATGGCAATCAAACTCCTCAAATCCCGCAAAAAGTTTGGGTTTGATATTGGAAAAGTCATTGCAGAGACGAATCCCCAGAATCATCCTACAGAGGAGCAGTTTTACTTCCAAAAATATGCAAAGTCATTCTGGCTATACCATGCCGTCCACGCCTTTGAGCTCCCCAAAGTCATGCACAAGTTACTACTCCGACTCTTGGATCGAAGATTATCCTTAAGCCTCAACATCAACGACGAGGATATAATTAAATTATTGTCGTGGCTCTCGAAAAAGAAACAATATGCACCCTTGATCAAGATTCTGCTTGATTCCGGAAACATGACAGCAAAGGAACGAGATAGTGCACTGGATGCGCTACATAATGCCGCGGGCGAAGGGCATGGTGCAATTATTCAAGTCCTCCTAAGGATGGATGACATGCTGATGTTCGAAGAGCCCCATCGTCAGAAACTAAGTCTATCCGCTCAAAACGAGCGTGAGTCGATAGAACAACAGTCACTTGATTCTGACAACCTCAATGTCAACTCGAGGGATGCCTTGCGTTGGACTCGCTTGCATCGAGCTGCGATGAATGGACACACGTCGATCGTCGTCTTTCTGCTTACAGTCGTCAATGCCAATCCTGAGACCCCTGATCTAATGGGACTCACTGCTTTGCATCTGGCTTGTATGAATGGTCACTCTTCTACTATCAAGGCACTCCTTGATCATGGAAATGCGGACCCCCATGCTTGTGATGACGAGGGTCGAACTCCCGGTGATCTTGCTTTGGAAAAACTTGATGAGGAAACTATTTCAAAGCTAGATCCTCGGCTTTTCAGTTATTCGACCGGAGAGTTTGGTGTTGACTCTACCAAGGACGGAGTTGTCGGTCCACTTGGTTGATTGGATTGGTTTCAAGGAAATGAACAACTAGTGGAAGTTGTGTGCTAAGATAAAATGGCGCAGAGCTGTCTAGGCTTTGGTCAAATTTTGTATAGAGACAAGGAGACACGCCAGTCCCTTATATAGACTTCAAGCGCAATAAACACGAAATTCTCGCGATGCTATTGATTTTTCATTGCACGTATTAGTCTCTCAGAACATAGGATCATGAATTATGCGGTGTCCCAGCCCAACATTGTCAACATCGAAATGATGTAGCCAAGACCTTTTGTAAGATGCTAGAATGAAAAGAAACAGGTCTATGCCATCGATGCCTGGAAACAACCAAGTCAAGCAGAAGACAAAAAAAAAAGGAAAGCCATAACGCGCCAGGACCAGCCAGGAAAAAAACAACAGTCAAGAAATGCTCCAACGAGGGCGAAAATACATCGTAACCCTCAAACATAACACAAAAATCGGTGTCCCATTTACATCTGTCGCAATCCCTCTGCAAGACGCCGCTTGCCGAACTCCCAGGCGTTCATTAGACCCTGTTCCGTAAGATCGATATTCTTCATGTTGGGTGCATCTGCAGCCGGTGCGCGGCTGACACGCGAAGCAATCATAACCGGGTCGGTCTCGAGGATGATTCCGTCATCAATGGTCTCGTCAATGGTCAGAGCGACGAGATCGTAGTTCTCGACGATAGTGCGCTTGTCGGTTGCACCCCTGATGAACGACCATGTTAGTGTCAAATTCCTCTTAGGATGCGAAACATAACATACTTGAATAAGATCCCCAGAGCATCCCGTAGTGACAACACAACATTGTACAGCAACACCTCGTTCTCGTCGGCGCTTCCAACAACGTAAAGCATGACGTCGCTCTCCATCTTGAAGACCACAATGCGGTTATCGTAAAGAATCACGTCACTTGAGGACTTGTTGGTCTTCTCAAGAAGGCCCTTCTCGAAAGCACGCTGCTCCTTCACGGTGGGGTAGGGGTTGGCACCGGGGTAGTCAGTTGAGTTCGGTGCAGCACCGGCGGGGGGGTGTGGTGCCGAGAAGTACTTTGCGAAGATGCGGGAGCCATCGTCAGCGGACATGACGAGGACCGCGTTGACGGAGAAGAGGGATAGAGAGCCGGGCATGGTGTTTATTGTTGCGCTGGAGAGCAATTGGGGTAATACTTTCTTTATGATTGTTGATGCTCTCAACCGCCAATCTGGCCGGAGGCGGAGACGCACTAATGTTGTTCCGTCTTCAAGCTCCATACTCTATGCGGGTGAACCGGGGACCACAGCGTACTTTGTATGTGATTGAGGATAAATCTATATATACTTATTCGTCTGACTTAATATTAGTACTCAGGCTGCTTTGGATTACTTGTGGTTTAGTGATTCGCTGTATTATCGGTATTATAGTGACAAGCTGATATAGCCATTCGTTGGCCCTTGTCCTCAATTGCGGTACTACAATACTTGAATAAGATAAGATATACACGTTGATATTGGGGATATGGCATAAAATGAGTGAAAAGACATCATCGTGAAGGAGACATGGGGAATAATATATATCAAGATAAACAAATAGACCACGATGTTACAGACTCCTTTCGAAACCACATCGCATGGGGAAACATCATGATCAGGTCGCGTCAAAGAAAACATGAGAAATAGGGGGTCCGTGAAATACAGATGAAGATTTCAGGACATGAAATTGCGTTATGTGCATCATGGGGGGTATGGGTATGTTAAAAATATGGTCCAAGACCAGTTTAAGATCACATCAAATCATACTGCCCGGAGAACAACACCTACTGCGGCGCCGGTTCATCGGTGTTGGCGCGATTCAACCACGGAATCCAGCTCGCGCGGTTTGCCTTCTTGCGTGCCGCTTCCTCCTCCTCCTTGATTCTAGCGGTTTCGCTGACAAGACGTAGAGGGCGCAACTTGTCCTGCTGCATCACCGCTCCAGTGTAGTTGTTCATGCCGCCACTGGATCGGGGAGGGCTGGAGGTAGCCCCGGTAGAGGCTGTATCACCGTGGGTATCACTTGTGACACTAGGGGAGCTGCTGCGACCGGTCCGATCTGGCTGGCTGGACAGGGAGGGTGCGCGGCTCATGCTGGATATATAGCTTGCTGCTCCAGAGAACATGCTCTGGCGGGATCCAGGGCCCATTCCAGTCGGGCTGATAGGTCCACCCGAGTTACGTCCGCCACGGTACATGTGACTAACGACACTCGCGGCATTGGGGTCGACTTGTTCCGAGCGGGTACGGCGGTGGCTGGCTCTCACAGACTGCGTACGGAAGGGAATGCTTGGCGCAGTGTTGGGGTTCTCGTTGGGGTTGTTCTGTGAGGGGTGCGGTGGAGGCAACATGCTGGTTGGACGAGACCGAGGTTGGGTGGAAGGGCGGGAGGTTGGACCACCGACAACCGACTTCGCTCGTTGTAGGAGACTTTGTGACGAACCGTCATCTTTCTCCGGTGGAGTTGGAGGGAGCTCCTTTTCACTGCCTCCGGTCTTAGTGGTAGAGGTTTCATCGTCCTCGTTCCGGTCCAAAATATGCTCAAATCCGTCGTGCATAAGCAGTCTGCTGATAATGCGCTCGATATAGAGTGTGAGGGCTTTGTTCTGATCTTTTAGAGCCTTCACCTCTCCATCCGGTTGCTGAGCACCCTCGGTTTCGGGCGCCTCATCCACAGATTCAAGCTCATCTGCTAAGGACCCCATTCCACCTGCCGACTCCTTTGCGGGGTTGGCATCTCGCATGAACTCACCCTTGGCAAAGTCTCCGGTAAGAGTCTTCTCGCTAAGAAGAAGTTGATAGCTTTCATTATCTTCCATCAAGCGAGCGTTGGCCACGCGGGCGTCGAGCAACTCTTTCTCTATTTCTCGCTGGCGGCCGCCACCGGCGTTCTCCATCTCGACAAGTTTGATCTGTGATTCGGCCAGTTCGAGGCGCAATGACTCGATGAGTTTGTCTTTCTGGAGGAGAAGTGTGGAGTTGTTGCGGGACGGGCTGCGCTCGAGGTGCGAGGAGGGCGCAAATTGACCATCCAAGTCCGGGGAAGACCTATTGCGGAAGCTCGCTATATTGAAGGTCAGTCTCTAAATCAAATCATCGGTGTTTGGGAGAGCATGAGGGTCTTACAGGATCGGGAGACTTGGCGATCTCCTTCTGCGTTCATGCGCATGTCCTTCTGTGCCATCGAGTCCTTCAGACGTTGAATGGTCGCCTGCATTTCTTCCTCGCGACTAGTCTGCTGTTCTTTCTCTTGGAGCATAGCGTTCCGCTCCGCCTCGTGGTTTTGTTCTAGATCCCGAATCTGACGCCCCTGGTCCCGAATATCACTGTTGAGGGCCTCAATCCGACTGTCTCGCTCATGAGCCTGGTCCTCCAACTTGGTTTGTTCACTGATCGCTTCATCGAGGCGCATTTGTAGAACGCCGAGCTGTTTTTGGTATTGTTCGGAGGCATTTTCGGCCTTTTGAAGCTGTTCCCGCAGTTCTTCGATGAGGGCGGCATTCTGGGCCCGCGCCTCTTCCTCGGCCGGGTCGTTGGGAACTCGTGGAACGTTTGACATGCTGAGATTTGAACGGCCTGGTTTTCTTGCAGCTGCGCGCGCGGAGACGGGAGTTGTACCTCTTAAGGAGGGGGAACGGTTGAGACCGTTGGTTGCGCTGGGCGAGCGTGCATGTCCTCGTGTGGCGGACCCGTTGTTGGAGTGCGGATCTGCGGTTGGTGATTTGCTGGAACTCCCGGGAGTCCCAGGCTTTCGAGGCGTTGCTGACATGGTGGACGGTTCCAAGTCCAATGCTGGTGAAGATAAGAAAAATAAATTGTATATAACCCAATATTATACTTCAATTGGGGAAGAGAAAAGAAGATTTCGGGGTTGCAAGTGTAATTAGGAGCGGTCAAAACCTAGTGGACACCTTGTGGAGAGCGCTTGTATGGGAGAAGATTGAAGGCTAGGAATGCGGTTCAGAACTGTCACAGATTGATTGCGTGCCACATGGTTGATCGAAATTGAAGATTCATCGGAAACAATGACCGGATGGAAGTTTAGAATGAGAAAGTAGAGAAAAGTGATGGTTGCAGACCTTCAAATCAAAGTTGATTAGGGAATGCGGATCCCTTACTGTATCTAAAAATACGCAACGGCTTTGGGGGCTAGAGCAATACGAGAGGACTTTCTAAAAAGGGACAAGAGAAGGGGGTTTGCTGGATTAAAAGGAAATTGGTTTTATTTAATGAACTCCTGAAGACCTGTATGGCATGAGCTTTTGTGAAAGAACCAATACAAGCACCGTTTCGGAAAAGGAGAATGCCTCAGGTTTATATCGGAATATTATATTTCCTTCTCCACACTTCCAGGCATGTACATTGTACGGAGTACGGAGTAAATACTCAGACTTCTTAACTTGAGCCTAACTTGGGCCTATATGCCCAAGGCCCCCGGCATCACTCTATTGTCACGGCGTGCTGGCCCAACGGTTAATGTCAGGTCAAGTATGGAATACAGAGGCTCACCCCTTTAATAATAAAGTCCGGCAATAGGAGTCCCACGCCTAGCATGAAAATCGTGCTCTCGGACAATGCCAAGCTAGTGTACTGCCGTAATGCATGCAATGCTCGCCAAGACCCCAAGATATCATCTCTCGGGCAACCACATGAGTCAATTTCTTTGTTATCGCGCGACTGCCCAACAACATGGGCTGATAATCGCAATGGATAACAAATCAAGTTGGGTACAACCTGCGCCACCAGCAATCGGGTGCAGGTGACATGGTCATGCTCTGGCAAGGTTTAATTGGACTATAAGGGGAGGGTAAGGATGGTAATGATGGATCAAGCTTCGCGTATGGAGAATCTGGTTGACTCTTTCTACATTAAGATCTATGCACGTAGTACGGAGTAGTTCATGCAAAAAAACTGAACCACATGACCCATGTACCTCTCAGCCCTCCCAACCCGTAGTAGTTACTACGTACACTTATTACGTATCTTTGACAAATAAAGATGACCAAATACCTCTAGATGTACACAAGGCAAGGAGCTCTTCCAAGGTTCCAGGGGTTGAGCATATCTAGCAACCTGATTGTTCACCCTAGCCTCTTCAATCTCATCTTGTCTTGTATTCTTCTATAGGTGCCGACAGTAGCCGCGCTATGGCCTGCCAGAGTTACTAGGAAACCCTGCTTCTAATCGACCTACGCCTCTTGGATTGATTCCCTAAGTAGCTATACCAAATGATCTGCCAGGATCCAGGCGATATAGCAGCGATGTATGTAGGAATTCCGAGGTTGTAGACGGGCCGAAGTCGAACTGCGATACTCCGAGACCCTGTCGACGATCGAGATCACTATCCGTGAAAGTATGTCCGAAACCGTGACCAAAGAACGGCTCACCGCGCTGGGTACATTTAGAGAGAAGAAGGTTCTGATATTCTTACAAACAAACAGAAGCTACCTAAATAGTTAGTGGAAGTCTGACAAACATGGCATCAATGCATCTGATGAATGCAGTCTTAACAGGTTTCGTCGTCTTCCTCGCTTTATATCATCCATCAGGGGAAATAGATGTCTCGGATCCAAAAGGCTCTCTGTGTATCATTCCAAGTTCACCAATGTTGCAAATCTATGTAAAGATTCCGGTCATATGAATCTAAATGTCTATGCCTCATTCTTGCTGCTATCAAGGAGAGATTCATCCTCCCATAACCCTGACTTATTCTCCGCCAAGCGCTCCCGATACAGAACAAAATGCTGGAAGATAAAGATGAGATCGAATAGAACGGTAATGTTGCCCAGCAGGAGTTTGGCAATGTTGCCGACGGCGCCCGACCAATCCCCCTGCGAGTCCAGTACTAGCTGCATCAGCGACAATATTGCACCGGACAGATCCAGCAAAATCGCCCCGATGGAGAATCCTGCCGTTGACTGCTGTCGGTAATTCATCACCGCCTGTGGTGTGTATTTGACGGCCGTTAGGAATCCCTTGATCATGCCGACCATATAAACCTTTCCCGAATCTTTCAGTCAGCACATGTTGGCCACTTAGGGATTTCATTGGTTTGCCCTCTTACCACATCAATCTATTTCCAAGACGCCGACGCCAGAACCCATAGAACAGCCAGAAGGACCACGGCCAGGCAGCCACAGAAGACAACGAGAGTTGAGATCACGCACCTTAAGGTATCGGAACGTGCAACTGCCAGAAACTTTTAATACCTCCTCATCATGTTAGAAGAGACTGGGTCGTAATGGTTGGAAATTTTCAACTTTATGCCGTGTTCGTCACATATAACTCTTAGACAGAAGCCAAATGCTGATGTGGGCAACTTTTGCCAGCGCGTCCATTCTAATACAATTCCAAGGGTCTGACGCCAATCAGACACCTTAGAACGTCTTGCACTCAACAATCGGCTGAAATTCCCTTCGGGACAGGCTGCTCTCCGTCTTTTTCCTATCCTATACAGGGTAACAAATGACTTGCCGTTTATGTATCTTTATCTTGAGTTGATATATTTTTAGATATTCAAGCATGCTAGCACACGACTTGGAGTATGCGGGAAAAGAGAATAGTAATGACCAAGATGTAGGAGAATATGTACTTGAATCTTTTCAAGTGCATCAAAGAGGGCGAGGGATCAGCATGATAGAAGTGGGCCGAAACTGGATTAGTGGAGAAGCTTGTAGCCAATCAGAAGATGAAAGGGTATCTTTGTTACAGCCTGATCTCTCAGGCATTAATAGGGTTAAACCCTTTTGCCACAGAGTTGCTTGGAAATCAAGACCCGTGACCACAGCGAAATCGACCCTCTTTTCTCTCTTCCTTCCCGAACCCTCGACAACCACCGACAACCTATACCCAGTTCGCAGGAAGTGCCATCACCACCCTTCCAGCACTCAAAATGGCCCGTCGTCCCGCGAGATGTTACCGCTACTGCAAGAACAAGGTGCGTGCCGATTTCGCGAGGTTTTGAAGATTTGTGCGGGTTATCTTGGTGGTGGAGAGTGTGCATCAATACATCGTCAACGATCACCTCGCCACGACCGGAACATCACCTTTGCTATGAGGAGAGATTCTTGTGGCACTGGGCTTGTGCATTTTGGATTTTTTTTTTTTTTTCGATGGGCGGTTTTCGCTGACATCAGTCTTCAACATCCAGCCTTACCCCAAGTCCCGGTTCAACCGTGGTGTTCCCGACCCTAAGATTCGTATCTTCGATCTTGGTCGTAAGAAGGCCAACGTGGATGACTTCCCCACTTGCATCCACTTGGTTTCCAACGAGTACGAGCAGCTTTCCTCCGAGGCTCTCGAGGCCGCCCGTATTTGCGCCAACAAGTACGTTATTCCATCCGCCCCCACGTCTGTCGCCTGAAATCCATGGACACCATCTCATAACTTTCATTAGGTACCTTGTCAAGATCGCCGGTAAGGAAGGTTTCCACCTGCGCGTCCGTGTGCACCCCTTCCACGTCGTCCGTATCAACAAGATGTTGTCTTGCGCTGGTGCCGATCGTCTGCAGACCGGTATGCGTGGTGCCTTCGGTAAGCCCCAGGGTCTCGTCGCCCGTGTGAACATTGGCCAGATCATTCTGTCCGTCCGCACCCGTGACGCCCACCGTGCTACCGCTCTTGAGGCCCTCCGCCGCTCTCAGTACAAGTTCCCCGGTCGCCAAAAGATCATTGTCTCCAAGAACTGGGGCTTCACCCCCGTCCGCCGCGAGGAGTACATCCAGCTCCGCGAGGAGGGCAAGCTCCGCCAGGACGGTGCTTACGTTCAGTTCCTCCGTGGTCACGGTACCATCGAGGAGAACATGAAGCGCTTCCCCGTTGCCTACGAGAACATCGCTTAAATGTTGATGGGTTGATCAGAATATGAAGTTCAGAACAAAAACACTTGAATGTTCTTTTATTGTCTTTAACTTGTCCATTCACCTTGATATCAATCTCGTGCAATAGCAATGATGGAGTTCTTTCCAGGGTCTTTTCATTTGCTCGCCTATATTGCACTTGTAGAACCGTTCACCTACTTCCCCAGGTGGGCAGTATTGTAAACTGTAATATTTGCGTTTCCAGTAGGGAACATCTAAGAATTTTCAACCATACGTGGATCATGCTGAGGTGCAGTAACTTGGTGGGTATCAACAAGATCCAGCAAAGCTAGCAAAAGTCTAGACCCGACCCCATAGTGGGCTTTGTTCAATGATCAAAGCGCAGATGAAAAACGGGCTAGAATATAGGTCACGTCACCAAGACTGCAGCATCATCTATCCATCGCATTCTTCCGGCTAGGGTGTTTTTCTCTCGGGTTTCCAATAGTTACATGTAGGCGATTCGTTAAAGGAGATGGATATCATTCGAGTGTAATAAATACAAATAAATCGATGATAATCTTACGTACCCATTCAAGATATATATCATCACACATACTACATCCACCACCAACATGAGGACCACATCAGATTTATGTGTGTTACCAGGAACTATTAGATCAAACCCTATTCATTTTTTTTCCAATTCCTATGTCCACTCCCTCTCGAAAAAAAAAAAAGATCTTATGGACATCAAAGTATGTATAATCTCCTTATTCAGGTGCCGACCCACAGCGTTCCTCGTGCAATTTTCCGGCAGCTAAAGAGGAAAAAAAATTAGCCGAAGTCTTCAAACAATTTGAATCTCATGTGAGACTGATTATAAGTTGAATAGTAACAAAAGCGGAATTAGTGAGGGGAATATACCTGTTATGTCTTCCGGGGTACAATTTGCCGTCATGCAGGTACCGAGCGTGTCCTTGAACTCTGTGCTTGGGCAAGTGCACGCGTAATCAGAGGAGTTACAGCCTGCCACTTCGGCGGCGTCGTTGAGACATTGAGTCTGTTCAAAAGAAGAGGCGGTTAGTCTTCTGAGTCAAAATCATACATCCAAATAGGGACAGCATACAAGGCAGTCACTGGGTTCCTCCAGACAATCAGCGACAGTCCATGTCAGGAAAGCAGCCAGAGGGAAGAAGATGGTGAGCTTCATTTTGGATTGATCTGTCGAACGTGTGTATAGTAGTAGTGTGATAGGGCTGTTCAATGATATAGGACTTAGTAAAATTGGAGGGGATAATGAAAACAGGAACAGGAGGCCCTTGGTCGATTTATTAATAGTGGATATATTTGCGTAGTACTCCGAACTAGGAAAGAGAATGTACTCTTCGTCATATCGGTATCTTAGCATCAAGGAAACCGGTGCCTGGGCGATATGTGGAATGGAATTTCGTTGGAATGTGAGATTATCCAAGTTTTTGGAAATGTCAAGACTACAACGCTAGAAAATCGATTGAATACCACATTTACCGATTACCCAATTATTACAGAGTAATGATTTGATTTGATTGAATGCCAAAGAAAATATTGACACAAAACATACACGAGCTTAACTTTTGTGATATGACTCCTCGGGATAATCTGTGCTGGCCACTCAGGGGATATAGTTTTGAAACGACTATATCCATTTTAATTAGCCATATTATCAGCAGTATTGCTATGGAAATAATATTAAGTGCAGAGTTCTAATGTAGTTCCATGTGCACGCATGTTGCTTAATTGCTTGGAACGGCTTATGCCGGCTTCACTACAACTAGCTTTGATATGCATAGCATGCCTTTTTGCCTGACATCATTGAATGATTCTTTATTTCTAAGCCAATGGGAGAAGCGAAAAATTCGATTTTATTAGTCTATGTCGATGTTAAGACCGAAGACATTCTATTCAGCTTGATAACCTCGGGGCAAAAAACCGCCAAAAAAGAAAGAGAGGCCAAGCGGTGCTTAGCAAATAAAAAAAAAAGCAGAGAACACCCATAGAAAGTCCAGCATATTTATAGATAAACTCGCCTATCGTTGGCAGGATTCCTAATGTAGAACTCGCTAGACCGGTCTTGTCTGAGTCTGAGGACCTGACGTATTGCCACAAGAAGATCCGCCGCAAACCCAGGAATTTGTCGAATCTCTTCGGCAAAGAGGCAGTTTCTTCTGGAGAAGAACCCCCTAATAGATGCCTGGGCTACCACAGATCGCACTGGGTGGTCTACATGTAGATTTACTACTGAGCGAATGTCTTCAGATGTGAGACAACAAATGTGTGCGTTAAGGTCTTCTTCACTGCCCGCTGAGGATTTGTCGCTGCTTCCCTCGTCGAAGTTTGCCTTCTGACCGGTTCCGTGGTTAAGTGTTTCTTCCAGGTGTTGAGCAATCTGGGCCTCCGATGTCGAACATGTCGGCTAGTCGCGCAAGTTCAATCAGAGTCGAGGCCATGAAACTTGGTTCTCATATTCCGCAATTTATTTCGCTAGAATAAAGCCACACCAGAATAATTTCGAAGCTTTGGACTGAAAGAACATCATCAAGTTCTTCGATCGATGCTGTTTGCTCTTTCCCCTCCACAAAGTCACCGCCAAGCATTCTGGCGAAGTATGAAGACCGGCTTACGAAAATGTCCCTCGAAACGGTGTACTCCTTGCCCGAGGGGTTAATTCGAATATTAACGAGAGGACCATGAAGTCGAGGAAGAAAACTGAGCCAAGCAGCCGTGTTAGTAATGTATAGTATCATATAAGCAAGATATCATGCTCACAAGTTTGCAAAGTCTGCGGGGCTGTAATTTTGTAAATTCGGCATGTTTCCTGGCTTGCCTGCTGAATCGAGTAAGTTGGAAGGATGTAGGTTGGAAAAGATGACACTTCGTCGAAGTCGACGATAGTAAGCTGAATGGATTATTCGTAGTCAAGTTGACACAAGAGGGAGCAAGGTCAGAGGAACATAGATATATAGACGTGGTCAAAACAGCTCGAAGGTATGAGACGATGATGCGAGAATGATTGAGTCTGAAATCTCTCTTCTTTCTCTTTTACTTCTTAGGTGAAATGTATATGAAAAAGACATGACTGAAGAATGACCCCTATAGGATCCGTCCAGAAAGAACTTTATCTATCTTCCTTGGGCACTTTTGCAAGTAGACCCACAAGATTAATCGACTATTATATGGGGCAGTCCTGTCTGTTTGATGGATTCCCAGATAACTTTCCTATATGTATTTCTTCATAATAATTCGCCCCTTCTTGGTGCTGTAGCCAGAGAATAAGAATCAGCAGCAAATACTATAGGTGGTGAAAAAATGTGGGAAATGTGAAGAATGGTAAAATGAGACTTTTCCACATAGAATATGTGACTAAAGGGAAAACTAAGAGATCCATATAGCATCGATGCTATGTCAGTACTTCTTATAGCGCTGGAGAAAACTGAAGAATATAAATAATGCGCGATGGCCGCTATTCCCGCTATTCCGAAATAGGACCCCGAGAGCACATTTGATTGGCCGATTCCATGTACCGCCCTTTGTTCCGCCTTGATCCAATGTGTAAAGAAGTTCAGTATCCTATTTAATTTCTACTTTACAAGAATTTTTTTCGACTTGTAGATATATTGAGAAATTTTTGTTTGATTCACAGAGGTACAATTTTACACATTTATGCAATTTTTATGATCTAAATACTGCCAGGAGGTTAGTGGGGTAGTTGTCTAGCTTTCTGCCAGGCAGTATTAACTCGCATGGTCGATTTCCTCGTTCAGCGAGTTCCAGCCCCGCATACGTCACCCTCAAAAATTCCTTTCTCTTCACAAACACAGCTATGAAGCAGAGATTCTCGTCTTTAGACGTTAAGGTATATTCATATTAACCGTGAAAAAGATACCATACTAACAGTTCTAGGTTATTACGCAGGAATTGGCATCGGAGTGTGTCAACCTCCGAGTGTCCAACATTTACGACCTGTCCTCGGTACGTACGCTCTCACTATCTCTCGTCGTTATCACAGGATAATGAGCTGATGTACTATTCTTATAGCGTATATTCCTTTTTAAATTGGCCAAGCCAGACCATCGGCGCCAACTCATTATTGACTCCGGTTTTCGCACTCATGTCACCCAATATTCACGAACCGCAGCAACCACACCTTCGCCATTTGTGACCCGTCTCCGAAAGTACCTCAAGTCTCGTCGGATTACAGGCGTCTCCCAAATTGGTACTGACCGTATCATCGACATCTCGTTCAGCGATGGCGCATACCACGTCTTCCTCGAATTCTTCGCCGGTGGTAACATTATCTTGACGGACCGCGAATACAACATTCTGGCTTTCTTCCGCCAGGTTGCGGCTGGTGAGGGCGGGGAAGAGATCAAGGCTGGGCTCAAGTACACCGTGTCTAATAAGCAGAATTATGACGGGGTTCCGGACATCACAGCGGATCGAGTTTTGCAGACACTAGAAAAGGCACAAGCATTTTCTGCCCAAGAGGGAACTGCACCCAAAAAGTCCAAGAAAAAAGGAGCAGATATTTTGCGAAAGGCATTATCGCAAGGCTTTCCTGAATATCCTCCCTTGCTCCTAGACCACGTCTTTGCAACCAAGGAATTTGATACAACAATGCCACTGGATCAAGTCTTGGGGAGTCAAGATCTGCTGCAGGCCGTGAAAGAGGTGCTAGAAGAATCGCAGCGAATTTCCAATTCCTTTGATTCTGGCGACAGCCATCCGGGCTATATTGTTGCGAAAGAGGACACGCGGCCCATCCCGGAAGGAGAGACTTCGTCAAAAGCCCGGGGTCTGCTGTATGAAGACTTCCACCCTTTCAAACCTCGACAGTTTGAAAACAAACCAGGAATAAAGATTCTGGAATTCGAGCGCTTCAATGCCACGGTCGACGAATACTTCTCATCTCTTGAATCTCAGCGACTCGAGTCGCGATTGACAGAGCGAGAGGAAGCAGCCAAGAAGAAGCTCGAATCGGTGCGATCAGAGCACAAGAAACGTATTGACGAGCTCAAGAATGTACAAGAGCTTCACATCCGTAAAGCGGATGCTATTCAGGATAATGTTTACCGAGTCCAAGAGGCAATAGATGCTGTCAATGGACTGGTAGCCCAGGGAATGGACTGGGGTGAGATTGCACGCCTGATTGAGATGGAACAGGATCGCGGCAATCCTGTGGCGCAAACCATCAAATTACCCCTCAAACTGTACGAAAATACGGTCACCCTACTTCTTGGAGAGGCTGGTGACGATGAGGACGAAGACGAGGAGTTTTCTAGCAGCGACGAATCAGGATCCGACTCAGAGAATGAAGCAGGACAAGAGAGAGGCCATGCGGAGCGAGAGTCTAAGCTTTTGACCATTGACATTGACCTTGGGCTGAGCCCATGGGCGAACGCATCGCAATACTACGACCAGAAGAAGCAAGCCTCGGAGAAGGAACAAAGGACAGCCCAGTCGTCTACGAAGGCACTGAAGAGTCACGAGAAAAAGGTGACGATCGACCTCAAGAAAGGCTTGAAGAAAGAGAAGCAAGTGCTCCGACAGGCTCGAACCCCATTCTGGTTCGAGAAATTTATCTTTTTCATTTCTTCGGAGGGTTACTTGGTTATAGGGTATGTGGTCCCATTCTGCACCTTTTTGGGACATCTACTAACATTAGTAGTGCACGTGACGCTATGCAGAGCGAATTGCTCTACCGGCGGTATTTGTCTAAAGGCGATATCTTTGTGCACGCTGACCTCGAAGGTGCTACGCCGATCGTGGTCAAGAACCGACCCGGTAGTGCAGACGCACCAATCTCCCCAAGCACATTATCTCAAGCCGGCAACCTTTGCGTCGCGACTTCAATTGCTTGGGATTCTAAGGCTGTCATGTCTGCTTGGTGGGCGCATGCTCATCAGGTGTCGAAAATCGCAGAGAACGGTAGTGGAATCATGCCCACGGGTGTTTTCCAAATCAAGGGAGAGAAGAACTTCTTGGCTCCATCGCAACTGGTGCTTGGATTTGGTATTATGTTTCAAGTCAGCCAGGAAAGCGTTCGAAACCATAAGCAGCGATTTGACACATCTGACATTCCGCAACCCGCTATAACTCCTACAGATGAGACCGAGGCTTCTGAGCCAAAGGACGCCGTGGATGCAGAAGCTTCAGGGCAGACAGAGGCCACCGAAGATGCAAAGGAAGACGCAGAGAAGGAAGACGCTGGATCTGAAGCGGAAGATGAAGATGACAAAGCCGCCACTAGAAACCCTCTCCAGCGAGGTGATTCCGGGCTCTCCCCTTCTCAGCCAACTCAAGAATCGGACTCTGAGTCTGAGCCAGAAAACGAATCGAAGGATGAGCTGGAGCAAGGAGTCGCAGAAGATCAGCTGGAAAGACAAGAAGCCACATCCACAGCAGGTCAAAACTCTGTGCCCGAGACAAATGAAGAACCTAACTTGAATGCTCGAGAGCGACGTACCTTGCGACAAGGCAAGCCTCTTGACCGTCCCGGGGAGGTAGAACCAGCTGTATCACGCATTGCGCCTACTCGCGGCAAGCGGGCGAAGGACAAGCGCGCTGCTGCTAAGTATGCTCATCAAGACGACGAAGAGCGAGAGCTTGCTCTTCGCTTAGTGGGTGCCAACAAGGGCAAAGCTGCAAAGGCGGCCAAGGCAGCTGAAGCCAAGGAACAGCGTGAGCGAGAGGCCGAGGCGCAAAGGCAACGACGACGGGCCCAGCATGAGCGTGCTGCCGAGGCCGAGCGCAAACGCCAGGCTCAATTCACGGAAAATGGGACGGACGATTACAACGAGGAGACAGCCGCCGCCGAAGCTGCAGATCTCACTTGGATTCCAGCTTTGGTGGGTACACCAACTACAGATGACGAAATTATTGCAGCTATTCCCGTATGTGCCCCATGGGCTGCCCTTGGACGCTACAAATACAAAGTCAAGTTGCAGCCGGGATCTGTGAAAAAGGGCAAGGCTGTCAAGGAGATCATTGGTCGGTGGGTATCCGAGACCACCACCGGAAAGGTCAAGAAGGAGCACGCCGAAGATGTCGGCATCTCTCGTGTCGACGCGGAGCGTCTCCGGGAACGGGAGGGAGAGCTCATTAAGGGCTGGAAGGATACAGAGATTATCAACACCATGGTTGTGGGCAAGGTGCGCATCATGACTGCAGGAGCTGCAAGTGCCGGAGGTGGTGATAAAGGCAAGGGCAAAGGTGGAAAGGGTGGTGGTGGAGGTGGAGGTGGTAGAGGAGGTGGTAAGGGCAAGAAAAAATGATTGAGCCTTGTGTATACATTAGAGAGTTCATAGATTAGAGGTTTGGATTCAATTCAATCGGGCTATACCCGTGGACCAGATATTATCATTGTTGAGCCGATGTATACTAAGCTTGGTCTCTTTACGCCAGATCAGCCACAACCCCGCCTCGACTAGTTTCATCTACACTTATTTCAACCTCATACACTCATGGAAAACTCCAATTTTTCCAAATATATTGCCAATAATATCGTTGTCGATGTGACGGGCCTGGAGATGTTCCTGATACGCTGAGTCATCCGACGTCATGACATTGAAATCGAATTTCTCGCGATCTTCCATATAGGGCCTCTTATCGCTTCTGACGGCATTGTGCAGAATGATAATCGACCGTGTATCCTAAAGACGACATTTTATCCTACGCTGCAGAGTAAAACAGACTTTGCACCGCGCCAACCACAACCAGGACCCTTCGGGCATCATTTCGCCCCTCATCTGATATCGTGTGTGCCCGAATGGTGCGTCATTGAGGTCTTCTCAAACATCACGTTGCTTTTCACTCGCGCTTCTGCCGGCCACTGTCAGCGCAGTTGTGCCAGATTCTTGACTACAATGTCTACACAAACGCGAGTTGTCCCCGTTCAACGGCTCAGCCAAGGGCCTGGCGATTTATCTTTGGCGGAATGGTGGGAGAAGGAGCGCAGCCAAAAAACACCCGAATCTAAGGCCATCCAAGAAGCCGCCAACCTCCTCCGGTCCAGTGACATCCCCGTCGCGTTTCCTACCGAGACAGTGTATGGCCTAGGAGCCGATGCCACCCGCAGTTCTTCTGTCCAGGGAATCTACCGTGCGAAACAGCGGCCCTCAGACAACCCGTTGATTGTTCATGTCGACTCAATCGACATGCTTGGGCGTCTGCTTAACCCTACTCCTCAAGGCAGCCCTGGCTCAACCAAAACGCCACAAATCGGCCTCCCTTCAATCTACAAACCTCTGATCGATAGATTCTGGCCTGGCGCACTGACAATCATTCTACCTAACCCATCCGGATCCATCCTGGCGCCAGCGGTCACCTCCAGCCTGACTACATTCGGCGTCCGCATCCCCTCTTCCCCACTGGCGCGTCTACTCATCCACGCAACAGACCGTCCCCTCGCCGCGCCATCTGCAAATGCATCCACCAAACCATCCCCAACAACCGCGCAGCACGTATACCACGATCTCAAAGGCCGCATCGAGCTGATTCTCGACGGCGGCGCATCCGGCGTTGGCGTTGAAAGCACCGTGGTTGACGGGTTATGCGACCCACCAGCGATTCTGCGCCCTGGCGGCATCGGCATTGAAGAAATCCGGAAATGTGAAGGGTGGGAAAACGTAGCAGTCGGTTACAAAGACGGCACGCTGGACGTGAAGGAGGTTCCACGTGCACCGGGCATGAAATACCGCCACTATTCGCCAAAAGCACGGGTGGTTCTGTTCGAGTCGACATCCAGCCCAGCCGGAGTGGTGAAGCATGTCCAAAAGGACTTGAAAGACACAGCCATCGGCGCACAGAAAATTGGCATTATCCGTACGCGGAACTGGAAACTTGGCTTGGAGCTCGCTTCGGAAGAGGACATCACCAGTACCATGACCCCTGTGTCTTCTGCCATTGACAACATTGTCAGTTTCCCGATCCCCGTGATGGAGAATGGAAACCCGAGTAGCCGCACGAAGATGGCATATGATTACCATCTTGGCTCAGATGCTGTTTCCATCGCGCATGGTCTCTTTGCCGCCCTGCGTGGGCTCGATGAACTTGATGTCGATGTTATCTACGTGGAAGGCGTGTCAGATTGCGAGGGTGATCTGGCCGCAGCTGTCATGAACCGGCTACGAAAGGCTGCTGGTGCTGAAATGCGGGTTTAACCCTAGATATGGGTTACACTCAGGTATATTCTCTTTTATTCTAAGTCCAGGTTTTTTTTTCGGAGTTTAGATAGAAGGCTGAAAAGTGTGAATATTAGATTCAAATAAATTTTAACATACAATATTGTTGTACGTGCATGAAGTGTATAGAGATGTGATTGGAGGCTTTTGGACTTACCCGTTTGGCAGTCCCTTTTTCATCTCCACTCAACGTGGCATTCGGAGACCTCCGGGGCAAAAGCTTATGGATCGGCGCAATTTTGGGAGCAAACGTGATAAGAGACAGCTGTGTTACGAAATGAAAAGCTATATTAATCTGAGATACTTGCGGAAGAAAAAGGAAACTCGTCCGGCGCTTGTCCCCGCATTAATCTAGAAAATCCTCACATCCAAAGAACGTTACTCATTGCAATCCGCAACAATGTGTCAATCTCCTTTGCACGAGTTCCTCAAAGGCCTCCCTAAATGTGAGCACCACGTCCATTTAGAGGGCACCCTTGAGCCAGAACTCATCTTCGAGCTCGCGGCGCGCAATGGTATCACCTTGCCGACCGACCCAGTCTATACCTCGGTTGAGACACTCAAGACACGCTATGAACACTTCAGTAACCTGGACGACTTCCTACAATTCTTCTTCGAAGGCATGGTCGTCCTCCGCACGGAACAAGACTTCGCCGACGTAGCCTGGGCATACTTCCAAAAGGCGCACGCAGACGGTGTCCACCACGCAGAAGTCTTTTTTGACCCGCAAGTACACGAAAGCCGCGGTGTACCATACGACACCATTGTGACAGGCTTCTCGAAGGGGTGCAAGCGCGCCGAGACCGAGCTCGGCCTGAGCACACGACTAATCCTGTGTTTTGTGCGGCATCTCCCCGTCTCGTCGGCCAAGGAAGTCTACCACGAGTTCGTGGCTCACAAGCACTTTGAGTCTGGCGTTGTGCACGGACTTGGCTGGTCTTCTTCAGAAGTCGGCCCGCCGAAAGACATGTTCCGCGAAATCTATGCGTCAGCCGCGCAGAAGAATATCCCGCTCACGGCGCATGCCGGCGAGGAAGGTGATCCAACTTATATCAGCACTGCGCTTGAGGTTGGTGCCCAGCGTATCGATCATGGTATTCGATTGATTGAAGATGAGGAGTTGATGCGGCGTGTTGCGCGTGAGGGTATCCTGCTTACCGTCTGTCCGTTGTCGAATGTGCGGCTGCGCTGTGTCACCTCTGTGAAGGAGGTGCCTATTCGGCGATTCTTGGAGGCTGGAGTCAAGTTCTCAATTAACAGTGACGATCCTGCTTATTTCGGTGGTTATATTCTTGATAACTACTGCGCTGTGCAGGAGGCTTTCAGCCTGAATGTGCAGGAGTGGAGGATCATTGCGGAGAATAGTGTGCAGGAGAGCTGGGTTGAGGATTCGCGCAAGGCGGAGATGCTGGCAAGTATCGAGGCGCATGTCAATGAGTATACACGGATGCACACTATTGCTGTCTAAATTCCGATTGTTGGTGTATGTGTTAGTTTCTGTTTGAGTTGTGGCTGTGGTGGGCATAGGTGGTGCATCTGATACCCTGTGTTTCAACATGTATACTATTTTTCAACTGAAGTATATACCAGGAGCATTAACATGTCAAATATTAGTTCATATCATTTCTTGATCGACAAAGTACCTTGGAAGACATGTAACTAGCTCGAAGGTTCATATCACTGGTGCCTTAGAAACCAGGCACTATTACCCAGATCCGTCCATGTTCAGACGACTCCTCACTTGTGCACTTGATGTCTGACAAGTCAGCCCTGCTGCACGACACATTATTTCATGCCCCAAAGCATCCTTCTTGGTACCTGGGGCCTCACGAGGTCTACTTTCCGTCCCCAACTACGATCCCAGATATCATATACCCTGCGTCTAGCATCGTGCTTCGCAATCAACCCAAGAACAACCCTCCAGCAGAGGGCAGGACTACTCAATCTCTCCGGAAGAAGCCACAGACAGAACTGCACCTACCCAAAGCACAAAATGTCCACCTCCTCCCTTCCAGACCGCTACAAACTGGTCTTCTTCGTCCCGACTGCCAACGTGGAGGCCTGTAAAGAAGTCATCTTCGCTACAGGCGCAGGGTCGTTCCCAGGTGGGAAGTATACCAAGTGCTGTTTTCAGACTGTTGGCACAGGCCAATTTCTGCCCAATGAGGGCGCAGACCCAGCGGTTGGAGCTGTCGGTGCTTTGGAACGGTGCGAGGAGGTCAAGGTCGAGATTATGTGTCTTGGTCGGGAAATTATGCTGAATGCAGTCGATGCTTTGATCTTGGCGCACCCGTATGAGGAGGTTGCTTATGAGGTTTATAAGATGGAGAACGTTTAGCTGGTCGATTGAAGATAAGGTTGATGGGATGCGGCATGTGATGCAATTGGGACGGTAATAATCTTGTTCTGCATTTATTAGTTTCTCAGTATATATATCAAAGAATGTCAAGTTTCGGTAAAACAATTTGAGAATATCATTGTCTCTAAAGATGTGTTGTGTTGATTTCATTGAAGGGCAACTGTATGATAGCGGATTGGTAAGGCGGTAGTAATCCCTGGATGCGGATTGGGCCAGGGCCCGCCCCGAGTAAAACGCCTCGTCAACTTGACTTCTCCTCCAACCTCCAACCTCATCTACCCCCAATTGACCCTCACTCATCGCCCGCGATGGCCTCTAAACTCTTCTCAGTCCCGCGGGTCGGCCGCCAGTTGGTTCACCAGCTTCCCAAGCCCCAATACAGAGCCTTCTCCGCTGGTTCGCAACGGTTCAGCGACTCCCTTTCGGTGGTGCGTATTCCTTTCGACCCCTCTTGTGCTTTAGGCGCCGATTGCGTCTCAAGACCGGGGAATTGAAGTCTCATATACTGACTATGATCATCTTCAACAGCACCGCAACAAGCCCTACAACAACCCGACCATCCCGTTCAAGTTTTCCGAGCAGAACCTCACACTCGCCGATGAGATCCTCAAGCGCTACCCTCCCCAGTACAAGAAGGCTGCTGTCATGCCCCTGCTTGACCTCGGCCAGCGCCAGCACGGCTTCACCAGCATCAGCGTCATGAACGAGGTCGCTCGCATGCTCGAGATGCCCCCAATGCGCGTTTACGAGGTTGCGACCTTCTACACCATGTACAACCGCGAGCCGGTTGGCAAGTACTTCGTGCAGATCTGCACCACTGTAAGCACCTGAAGTCAACACTATTTCCTGCTCTTCCTAATTTGCAATCCTCCAGACCCCATGCCAGCTCGGCGGCTGCGGTAGTACCGCCATTGTCAAGGCCATTACCGAACACCTCGGAATCACCCCCGGCCACACCACCGAGGATGGCCTTTTCACATACATCGAGGTCGAATGTCTGGGCGCTTGCGTCAACGCCCCCATGGTCCAGATCAACGACGACTACTACGAGGACCTGACCCCCGAGTCCATCAAGACCATTCTGACAGCCCTTAAGGACGCTGCCACCGCTACCGGTGCCGGCGCCGGCACCAAGATCCCCGCCCCCGGCCCGGCGAGCGGACGCGATACCTGCGAGAACAGCGCTGGCCTGACCAACCTGACGGAGGTGGTGTGGAACCCGGAGACGATGATGCGCAAGGACAGTGCATTGGACGCCGCGCCCAAGCAATAGAAAAGCACAAAGGGGAAAGATTATTAAAAAGAGCTCTTCATTGCCGTGGGTCAATTCCGGATGGGGAGGATATTATAATGGTTGTGTTTTTTTTCGAATGGACGAGCAAACGCCGCCTTGGGGTACTGCGGTCAACCCGGGGGATGATTAGAGGCCATTGCGCCCTTCGCCCTGAGGCGCCCTGAATGATAACCACTTTTGAGGCGTCCTATTTTTTTTGTCTGTCTACAACATACCATGTACAGTACGTTTGTTCCTGGTTGAGCCTATCTGGCCTAGTCGCTATGGGATATCGGCAGGACCAATCGCAGATTTTTTTTCCATTACCTTCCCTTTCTTATTCTAGATGTTGAGCTTATAGATGCGTGAGTACACTGGGTACACTGTGCAAGGTAAATACCCATTTCTGCTGGTTATATCGGAGAGATGTATTGCATTGCATGGTATCATACCAAAGCGCCACTTCGGCCTTATCCGCTGGCTGAGTTGGGGCTATGTATATCGCATTGTACAGCATGTATTTAAAATCCACCCAATTGTCTACCTGATTGATCATATCACTCTACTCAAAATGTACATACATCTATTATATCATGTACAGATGTACACATGTAGTTATATCACTCTCTTCGCTGCATAGCCCCCTCGTTGCCACAGAGTACTATGGCGACCGGTGGACGGATAGCCTTGAATAAGGTGACAGTCAACGTATTGGTGTCTACCAAGATAAAGAGAGCAAGACACAGAGATAGCTTAAGGCTCTTTCACTCTGAACTCTGGGCAGTATATGCAAAATTTCTAGTGGATTGTGTGTAAATGGGATCTTATTCCACCCTCTCATTATCTTTGGCTTTGCGCGTTCACAGGTTGCTAGAATACAGGCTCCATCCCAAGGCCTGGGGCATAGAGTGTCTTGTAGGAAGAATTGTCAGTGAATGCGGAATTATAGCACAAAGGGGCAAGGCCTTGACCTTGACCATGACCGTCCGGTTCGTCCCTTCAATGGGGGCAAGTACGAGAGTACGAACACATTGTACTTGTTGTTTACCCTCGTGCCTCGCATTTCAATACGTAGCTAGCCTCCGTTGTTTGAGAATCGGGATCCTTTCTCGTAGAGATGAAGGCTGACAGCTAAGTGCCGGAAAGTGAAGCAGATATCCAAATTATGCGAAAGTACATGAAAGCACTATGAATATCACGGCAGACTTGCAGTGTTGGAAAGAAATTACCTAACATTGAATAGATAAATCATACAAGACTTCCTTGACGACCGGTGTATTTCATTTGATATGAAAACAACGGTCGCCATGTCAGTCATGGCGACCGGCGAATATAAAATCGAACAGCATAGATGGGAGGGAGGCAATTCATCCAGCCGATTCAGGCAGTTCATCTCCTTCATATGCGACATCATCTGGTAAAACCGCTTCCTCTCGCACCAGAACTGGGACACCTTGACGCTCAACAAGTTTGCTTGATCGAGCTCTCTGGAAGATGTTGATTTCGTATGTGTTTTTCACTAGCATATGGTACACATGGACGTGCTTTGTCTGCCCAAATCGCCGGGCACGTCCAATTGCCTGAGTCATGCCAGCCTCATAATCATGGCTAGAGGCGACAAAGAGTGGCGACAAGAAAATGACGTGATTTGCGCATTGGAGGTTCCTGAATCGTATCAGATTAGTATTGTTTCAAAGAATAACAGAATAAAGAAGTAACTTACAGTCCGGCCGCCATTGAGCTTCCGAGATTCAAGATTAAAGCCTTCGGCCTGCAAGGTACTTGGGCTGTGCCCTTCTTTGCTTTGGGGGCCTCAATGAACTCAGCGATTCCTTTTAAGTTGGTCTGCGTGACCATGCGGTGGTCAATGTTCGCAGCCTTAAGGGCATTCGATGCCACGGGCAACAAGTGACTGATTTGCACGAAGATGAGGACAAGGTCGTCCTCGGGGACGCTGCGGACAATCTCAACAAGCTTGTTGAGCTTGGAGCTCTGGATTCCTTGGTCTTCACTGACGAGGATCTCACCGGGTACGATCTTGGATTGGACAATTTGGCCGCTGCACCCAGTGATGGGGCAGAGTTTGCGTAGTTTGGTGATCGCGGCGGCAGTGCAACTTTTGCAGAGGGCGTGACCGCAGGTCTTCAAAACATTGACATCTTCTTTTTCTTGCAAATCGCTCTTGCATCCCTGGCATGATGGGGTTCCAAAGGTTTGGATGCCCACCAGGTGGTCATAGAATCGGTATTCCCGGTCAATTTCGAGGACTTGCTTCAAGTGAGAAGTGACCTCGGTGGACAAGGCTTTTTCGACAGCTATCCAAACCGAATTGGAAGATGTATCGTTGGTTCCTCCAGATGTGGTTTGGGGGGATTTCTTCCGGTGGCTGTGTTGCCCGTCTTCGCGTTCAGGATTTTTTGGAATCGCTCCTCGAGCAAATCATCGATTGACCGGTGTGCCGGGGCAAGTTTCCACTCGTTGTAGGAGCGGATGGTGTCCTCTAAGAGCTGGTTGAATCGTGTGTTGAGCTCTGCATCCCCAAAGTCAACCTTCGCAACGCCATTTAGGGCGTCTTTCCAATCTTTGGGCTCGGTATGGTTCATGTCGCGATACCAAACAGTCGCTGCCTGTCGAGTAAGCGAGTCCACTTTGGCCCAAATCTCGGCGGATTTGATGCTGTCATTCCGCGAGCCTTTGAGGCACTTCTCGAGGTTCCATGGAGGCTGTCCGATTTGAGTTGTGACACAAGACATGATGAGAGCCTCTTGGGGTAGCTGGCTTTTGGACAAGATGGCGCTCAGGGGACCAGGGATTCGTCTCTTGTTTTCTTTGACGGCTCGGAATAACGTATCGTACGCTATCTTTTCAGCAGGCGACTGTTCGGCGATGACAAGGTTCTCTGTTGACGGGATGTGTGTGATGCGTGCGATGTTCTGACGCGCAAACCGATCCAGGAACCTTTGAGCATGTTCTCGGCGGTCTTGGTACCAGGCATTGCTGTGGGGTGCCTGGTAGTATTGGAATGCCTCGACAGCTGTGTGGTTTTTCCGGATGTTTCGTAGTCTGCTGTTCTGCGTCGGTTTGTCACAATCGCCATCGTCATCCACACCAAGGTGTAGACCAAGGTAACGCGCAATACTCTTGATGTCGGCAAATTCATCAAGACCTGGCGTTCCAGAAATGATCCATTTGGAGCGTGCCTGTAATGAGAGCAGGGATGCCTGTTTTTCTTCTCCGGCATATGTGTATTCGTCGATAACCAAACGGTTGAAGCTGAATGCGTGAATGAATGCGGCTTTGACAGTGCGCCAGTCTTGGTTGGCGGTTTTTTTAATGTCAAAGTCCTTGCGGTCGTCTTTCACAACGATGGATTTTGCTTCTCGTTTCTTTTTGTCATCGCTCACTTCTGCCAGGTCCATCGATGGGCGTTTTCGTCGCTTTCCTCTTGAACCTTCCACTGATATCTTCTTATCACTGTGCCTCCTCTTACGTTGGCCCGCAGAACTCGATGTTCCGATCGAGTGTCTCGTATCAGATGCATCAAAGTCCTCGAAACCCGAGTCAGACCTAGAATCCAAATCCTCTTCTGCTCCCGCATTAGACTCGTCACAACCACCATTAGCATCAGCAAATGCCTGGCCACGGAGGCGTCGAGAGGGCACATAAGTGAAGTCGGCCTGTGTCTCTTGAACTCGGCGACGTCTGGCCTCCAATTCCTGGAGCATCGCCTCAGGCCCTTTCGTTTTCAATATGTCAACAGACTCCTGCAAGGAAGCACGAGCGTCATAAAACCAGCTATCGAAATTTCGACCTGTTCCTCCGCTCGATTTTGCAGGGGCCTGGGGTGTTCCAGTAAATTGTTGAAGCCGGCTGTAGTATGCATCGTTCGCCAGGATACTCCATGACAAAACCACAACATCTGCATTTTGGACTTCCCGGATGGTGATTTTGCTAATTGACGATATCGCCAATACTTTGTATTTTCCTTCGAGGAACTTCTTGGTTTCGGAAACCCACTGTTTGAAGACGTTGTTGGGCACAATGATCAGGGTTGCATTTGTTGCAATGAGCCCGTTGTCTTCCACGGGGAATTTGCAGTCATTTATGTACTGCGTGTCGATGAGGCCAAGAACAATAGCTGTCTTTCCATATCCAACCTCGTCCGCTAGCACGCCACCGCGAACAACCTTTGGCATTGTTGCTTTGACTTCGGCGCGCCAGGGCATCAAGGGGAGGATGGATTCTTCAACTTCCTCTTCCATGAATGGTTCCATGTCTTTATCTTCTTGTAAAATCATCCAGCTCAATGATCGAAGCTGTTCATCACGTAGCTGGAACTTGAAGTTGGGAGGTTGTGGCGAGGGGCTATCGTTGTCGTTGTTCTTCAAAGTAAACCTCCCATGGGCTTTGTGGCCCATGTCGTACGCATGGGGGAGAAGTCGCCAGTGAGATATTACTGTCTCACGGCTTGCAGTGCCAACCAACTTTCCATGTGCTTGGTGCGTCAGAGCTTGAACATTGAGAGTAAAACGCAATTCGGCGTCTCCATGTTCGTTGATTCGCCTGAAGACCAAGAATGGCGAGGGTCGATTTTTAATAGCACGTTCATAGACGGTGGCGTCCTGGGGATCCTCGTATGGGATGATTCGGTCTTTATTGTCGCGGCCCCAAAGGATACTTGGGGTGGGCGGGTTGCAGGTGTTGCAATTTCCATTTATGGGATGGTTGGGGTCTGAATAGCCTGGACGGATGATTTCGTTCCAGTCTTCGAAGTCAGACCACGAGGCAATCTTAGGGAACAACCAGGCGAGGCCTTTCAATTCTCTCATCGAGACCTCGGGGTTCCAGGCTTGCCAATTGGAATTTGCGTCAGGCAGGTTGAGAATTGCAGTTGTTGCCGACAGCGAGATGAGGGTGATACAAGCATTATGACAGTGCTGATTTTCGATTGAGACTTGGATTCCTTGTTGCAATGTGCGGAGGGTAATTTGTTCGGCAGGACAATATGTCAATTGCGCTGCGGGGGCCCCGGCCCATCGACGACAGAAAGCTTTCACATCTTGCGAATCCGGAGTGACATTCCATGATCTCCAAGTGGATGATAACTCGGCTATCGTAATCCTCACATCATATCCAGCAAGGCGGCTGTGGTCAATAGCGAACACACAGGCATCTTCATCGGGGGGTCCAGTCTTCGCTGGGTCAAGGAATAGGAATAATGGAGGCGCATGGGCGGTGGCTTCTTTTTTGTACAATGTACCAAGCGCTGTTCCACAGTCAGGGAGGAATTGGTAGATTCCTCGGACGTCGAGATCAAGAACTGAGATATCTTGATCGGATCCTTCAACAAAGAGGCTGTCCCAAACTTTTCCATCAACAAATCTAGCATCTTTGAGACCACACTCTGATTGGAATGATCGAACTTGGTCTCCTTGGCCAGAAATCTGAAGTGAGAATGGGGTACTCACGGGTGAACAAACTTCCCATGTACCCTCGACGAACGACCCAGAGGTGGGACTCATTCTGGCAATTGGCTTGGCTAGCACTTCTCGGATGACGCTTCTTGTACTCGCGGACTTGGGGGCCTTTGCATACAAAAGCCATTTGATGGAGTCCGGACCAATATCAAGAAACAAGCTGGAGTGCATGCCATCGTAAACGACTCGCCATTTTCTTCCGCGCTTGATCTCGAAAAACCGGAAAACGTCGTGCACAGCTGCCTTGACACACAGAATGAAGTCGGACCAAAACTGGGGGAGGTTGTCGGTAGGGTACAGGGTTTTAAATGTCTCAAAGTCCAATTCGGACAAACCAGACAGCATAAGCTTCATGGGTACAAGTCCCTTCATATTCGCTATAAACTCAGACGGCTTTTGTCGAGAAAGTGGGGAAACATGTAGATACGAATGCGTGGGATTTCCACGACAGGATCTGCAAGCGGTATGTCCACACAGTGTGCAACTATAAATTGAATCTTGAACCCCAGTCTGTCTCTCGCAGGAGCAGCAAAGAACGCTGCTCACTGCCTTGGCTTTGAGAACAGCATGGTCGACGAGGGGGGCTTCGGCAATTTGGAGGTTGCTTCCCATAAGGCTGTGGACCTCGCTGGGAACGAGAAGGGACTTGGCTTCCGCATCACCGGGGCTGGTTGAACCCCCCTCGCCGTCGTCAAGGGTCTCGTGCATGGTTATCAGACCAGCCAGCATGATTGCACACACGACCGTACTCGTCATTGCATTTCCTGCCATGTCCATCAAATCGGCTTGGGTTTCTCTCGTGAGTAGCATTCGATCGAGAGGTAGACCTTGTAATGAAAGGGCTTCCGTTCCAGAAACCGGGCCCCCGCGGGTGGTCACATATGGGATGCCCTTTGGCGTCAGGCACCCCGCGATCCCAGACCCAGCAAGGCTGTCATTCCCTCGATCGACTCCCTGAGACAAGTCGATCCAGCGCCTGTGAAGTGAATTGTTAGTAAAATATCTGTAAATTGGAAGTGAAGTGAAAGTGAGGGGAGATTGAAAACTTACTCCTTGAAGTTCATATCATATTCTTGAAGCAACTTCTTCAAGAAATTCATATCCACGGTCTCCCACACTCTCTCCGGCTGTGTCTTCCAGAAACGATGCCAGTAAAAGTCCGGTGCCTTCAGGTCATTGATTCCGGGCAGGGATCGAGTGATTGGCCTCTCGATGCCTAGTTCCAGTTCGTCACGGTGCCGTTGGTGACGAATCTGGTACTGGTCCCAGCTCGTTTCGCTTCGGGACTCGAGGCGAGCTCTAGACTCGATGAGCTCTAGTCGGCGGTCGTCGTCACTCAACAAAAACAACCCCACCGGCGCACTCGCTGGCCGCTTGAAACGGACAGCGAGCTCACGAACGCGTTGAGTGACAGTGTCAATGCCACTCTGGTCCATGGAGTCTCCAAGCAGGCCCGCTGCTTCCAAGCGGCGCTTGTCAATAGCCACCATGTACCCGCGCTCGCGTGTCTGCGGGATGTAGTAATGCTTCGTGTCGACATTGACACAAACCGACAGGTATCCGAGCTCCTCCCACTTTCCCTTCATCTGATCCCAGGGCGCATTCCGAACATTCTCCTGGACGACCATGCGGGGTCGATATCTCTCTGCGTACCGCAAGAGACCGTCGAACGTAGCTCCCGACTCGCCACCTTGCTGTAGCGTCTTCTTGCGGTTGTTCAACGGTGAGAAATCGACACAGGCAGTTCCAGCAACTAAGATGTCGAGGTCACCAGGAATCACTTCCGATGACCCGTAGGCGGTCCGCCTTCAAAATCAAAGTCAGTATGAAAGTCAAGCCGGAGGAAGATGAATAGGGTACTTACGCCTCGACCCCACCAAGTTCGGTGATGTCCCGGAACAGGATGGGGGGCCGGAAGTTTCGTTCAATGTATGATTGCTTGAACGGCACAATCTCACAGCTGAAAGCGTGCGAGATCCGAAGCTGTTGGGCCTCTGCCAAACCTGTCAAGGTAATATTGGTAATTGCTCCATAGTCATGTTGCAGATAGAACCAAGTGGAGAATGAGAGAGATCAAGGAGAAAGGCGAGAATGAGATGAAAGCAAAACAAATGATATATCAATACCAGATTGAAGCCATCATGTCATGGAAGTCACGGCCAAGTCGAGGTAAAAGTTAGGGCAAGGAAAGAGACATGTGACTTGGGAGTCAGGGTAAGGTGAGGAACCTCAACCATGGAACCAACCACAAGCAACATGAATCTCAACATATCGAAGACATCAAAAGACTGAATGAAAAGAAATAACAAAAAAAGGACACTGCACTTACCCGTCTGGATCAATTCTAGGGCTAGAAGCGGGGCTTCCGTTCCTGAGCACATTGTCGCCACCCGAAGTGGTCGACTGCCGAGCCGAGTGAAGACATGCTCGAGCCCCATTTTCAGGGCGTTCGATGCCATGTCAGCGAAAATTTCTGTCAGCGTATGCAGAGGTGGGAGGTCACTGGCTAGATACCGACCCCGAGGGATCATGCATCCCCGCCGCAGCTCAGGAATCTCATCGGCCCGGGCCCTAGGCTCCTGATCATCCATTGCCAAACCATCCGCCGACTGCTGCTGAGGAGAAACCCCCTTTGACGCCATGACCTGCGTTGGAGGAGGGGGCAAGAAGTTGAGGTAGTCGGAGTTTAGATGATACTGGCAAGCCAGTCAGGAAGAAACACGCGAGAAAACCTGGAACAAGCCTCGAAACCGAGGCACGTACAGGATGACCTTGGTCACCGGCTCAAGCACGAAGCACGCAGCAAACATGCAAAAGAATGGTGGGAGCGGTGGTTGCGTGTGAAGGTGGAGGGGGGAAGGAAACAAGAAGAGACTGAACACGAGGAAGCTATCTATACGTGACACGCAGACACCGATGTGATGGATCCCGCCTGAATAGGCGACGGCGACGACCATAGCGACAACTATACACTCAACACCACGGTAGCTCTCGCCCGATTCGGCGCGACGACATGTGACAGCCACTCAACCTGCGCTGAGAGGTGCACCTGAACGATGACAACCACGCTGTGCCCCGCTGGCGCTTAACTAATTAGGTCCCGGCATGCTATGTCAGCTCTTACCTGTGCTGAGAGAGATTCCCACGCTGGCGGAGACACCCGTAATATCTAGATAATGGTGGCATGAGGTCGTTTTTACACGCCAATTGAAGCCAGGCAGGTAGAATATTGCTGTCCTTACTAAGTTGCTGTACTATTTTGAAAACTACATGCTTCTTGCGTCAATATAATGGAACCGATCTTGATTGCTTGCTAACGGGCTCTTTTGATCAGAAGCTAGTGGTTAATTTCATTTGGTGAAAGATATACTCGATATTGACAGGCAAGAGCTTCAAATAATACTACATATGTACTGCATCATTTGTCCCTCCTTTGTTTCAAGTGACACGGAATGTGTCTATCATATAAACTATACGTGGAGATATTGTAGCAAATGATATAGGCACCAGAATGTCGATGAGCTTAAGTGCGTCTATCACAATCATATGTATGTCGATATCTATGCCTTCTCTATGGCCTTAGAAATTGCAATTGAGGCTATGAAGTGTGCCGGTGAATTGATGGGTTGGCAGTTACCCGTAACTTTGAATGCAGGTCTGTCAAGCTCACAAACGGCGAAGTAATCATGGAGGGTTTCACTGTTACTGGCAAACGCGCCAAATATGTCCACGGGTTAAGGCACTTGGCCGTTTGGTTAAAGACTCTAAAGGGAAATCAAGGTAGATATTGATAGAAATAAGAAATACCAAGAGAATCAAGATATCATTCTGTTACTATTCTGAAGATAGAGCTTAAGATTGGCCCTGTATGCAAATCAAAGGGAAAAAATGACAACCCCTTTGCGCCACCCATTCGCCTAGTACAGTGGCATAAGAAAAGGGAAAAAATAAAATATTGGCCATGCCAGGCTTGCTCTCGACGAGCAGAGCCACAAATTATCCGAATCCATAGATATTGCAGTTTCAATAAATGACAATACCCTACCGCATGCCACTCTGCATCAGTTGCTGGCGTAATAGCATAATTTGGCTTCTTTCCATGGGAGGCAAAGCATCAATAGCAGCCTGGGGCATGCTGAGGACTTGCTGAAGGAGCTCTTCCTGGCCGTGCATCGGGGCGGCAGGTTGAGCCGGGGGAGGAGCGAAAGGAGTGCCGGTGACAGGCGGTGTAGAAATCTGACCAGGAACACCGTACTGTTGGAATTGTTGGGGAGTTTGCTGTTGAGGAACTTGGGGAGGCTGGGCAGCCTGTTCGACGATGGAACCAAGCAGCTGGTATTCGACCAGGTTCATGAGGAGTAGAGCCTGGAAGATGGCATAGGCAAGCTGAGGCGCTTGGCGCAGCAGCTCAGTTGCACGTGCGGGGTCGGCAACCGCGAGGGATTTCATTTGCGTCAGAACATCGAGCAATTGGTTTGGTGGGAGAGATGCGAGGGTGTGGGAGATGGCGTTGGGGCAGTCGATTTGAGGCGGGAGTTCCACGCCTGGGGGGAGAGGAGGCAGCGGCGCTGAGCCTGGAATTTGTTGCTGTTGTGTGGGATCTTGGTTCATCATTGGTTGCGACTGCTGCGAGTAATCTGGGGGTATGGAATCCTTCTCGTTGTTGTGAGGCCAATCAACACGGATCTTGCGGCCCATGACCTCGTGATCGTTCAGGTTGCGCACCGCCGAGGCGGCGGCGTCCGCATCCGCAAAATCTGCGAATCCATAACCTTTGGGCTTTCCGGTCTCGGGATTCATCATCAATCGGAACTTGGTAACGGTACCAGCCGTGCTGAGGATGTCTTTAACTTGTTCCTCGGTGAGGTCTAGAGAAAGATTAGAATCACATCGGTTAGACAAGCAGCTGCAGTAACATACTGTAGGGGATATTCCCCAGGAATACACTCTTCCCAGTCCGATCGGGCGCCATGATTGCGATAGGAAATGAAATGCGAGTGAGAAAGACAAAAGAGGTCGAGGCAAGCAAAGAAACGCTAATTCTGCCCGACTTTCTCTCACCGCCCGCAACCTCACCTCATCCGCTCGAGCATCAGTCCAAGTCAGTCCTCATCCATCTCCAATCCCCTCCGTGCACTTTCTCACATCATGTCTCAAAATCAACGGGAGGCGTGGGAGCGCCTGCAAGTTATGCTGTCCAAGCGCAAGGCCGGCTTCGGTGGCATGCCATCCGGTGGTGGCCGAGGAGGCATGGGACTTGTCGGAACTCTCGTTCTGGCCGGTATTGGCACCTACGTCGCGTCAAATGCTCTGTTTAACGGTATGTTGGACTCATTTGCACAAGGAATCAAGCTTCTAACTAGTTTTTAGTGGACGGTGGTCACCGTGCCATCAAATATTCACGCTTAGGTGGTGTTCAGAAGGAGATCTACAATGAAGGTATGGAAACTAACTAGCCGGACAAAGGAGCTCTCTCACACATTTGGCCAACTTTAGGTACTCACTTCCAAATTCCGTGGTTCGAAACCCCCATCATCTACGACGTCCGTGCGAAACCTCGCAGCATCCCTTCCCTCACCGGTACCAAGGACTTGCAGATGGTGAACATCACCTGCCGTGTCCTCTCCAGACCCCGCGTGGATGCTCTCCCCCAGATCTACCGAACTCTCGGCCAAGACTTCGATGAGCGTGTTCTACCGTCAATCGTCAACGAGGTTCTGAAGAGCGTTGTTGCTCAGTTCAACGCCAGCCAGTTGATCACACAGCGTGAGAACGTTGCCCGTCTGGTGCGGGAGAACCTGGCTCGCCGCGCTGCCCGTTTCAACATTGCTCTGGACGATGTGTCCTTGACAGTACGTGCTTTTTTTTACTCTAGCCCAAACAGCTTCTAACACAGTAACTCCACACAGCACTTGACCTTCTCTCCCGAGTTCACCGCCGCCGTTGAGGCCAAGCAGGTCGCACAGCAAGACGCCCAGCGTGCTGCATTCATGGTCGACAAGGCCCGCCAAGAGAAACAGGCCTTCATTGTCCGCGCACAGGGTGAGGCCCGCTCCGCCGAGCTTATTGGTGATGCGATCAAGAAGAGCAAGAGTTACATCGAGCTCCGGAAGATCGAAAATGCCCGCCACATTGCTCAGATCCTGCACGAGAGTGGTGGCAAGAACAAGCTCTACTTGGACAGCCAAGGATTGGGCCTGAATGTCCACTCCTTCAACGAGGAGGGCAAATAAATTCATTCCCCTTGATACTTAATGGCGCTGCGAGAAGGAATGTGAATTATTGTACAAATAGCTGGATTACCGAGCATCTGAATGTGGACTCTTCTCTATTTTTTTTTCCAAGGCTTCTTCAAACATAGTAATTCTCTGTAAGTGGCTATAGACCTCCAGGGCTCATGTGTTTTCTCCATGCGGGGACGAAGGCGGCGAGTCGATTTTTCTGATTCGGAGGGGCACCACATTTGATTTGATAACAATACAACACACTTGACTAGCATTGACTAGCAAGTATTACATTTCATTCGTGAGTATCAGTTAGAAAAATCAGCCAAATCCATTTTTGGCGAAATAAGTCTTAGCGAACCCCCACTGACAGCACCCAGACCATGCCCGAAGTCACAGACGATACCCCAGTTCACCTCTCCGAGGTCGACATCGACCTTGACGTGCAAGAGATCCTCCTTGCCGCATCACAACATGACCAGTCCAAGCTGCGTCGCCTCCTCCGTACACAGTCTATGCTACCCGATGCCGCAAACGTCAAAGACACCGAGACCGGCTTCTCACCTCTGCACGCTGCAATCGCCGCCTGCGAGCCCGATACAGAGACCGCCAGCACCAATGGCGCGACCACCTCAGACTCGACCCCAAATGGCTTGGACGCCGAGACCGTGAAAGCAGCAGTGGAGACAGTCAAGTTCCTCCTGCAGGAGGGCGCTATCTGGAACGATCTCGACGCAAACAACGACACACCCGGCTGTATCGCACGCCGAATCGGCGCTCTCGATTTGTACGACTTGATCGTTGACGCAGGCGTTCGCGCAGAGTTGCTTCTGAACCGTCTCGACGCGTACGAAGAGCTATCCGAGGACGACGATGAAGATGAGGAAGACGAGGGCGAGACCGAAGCCGAGACAGCACCGGAACTCGTCGATGCCTCTGCCGAACCCACTGCAGAAACCACAACCACAACCACCCCGGCTAACCCAGAAGTGTCCAACTCGCAGTATCTGGAGTCGCGCCTGAACATCCAGAACGACCGGATCCTGGACGCAGACCAGAACGGCGTGATGATGCGCTGGGAAAGCGATATCATGCGCAAGTCCGCGGCAGCACTTCTCCCGACACCCGGGCTGAAAGTTCTGAACATCGGTCACGGGATGGGTATTGTGGATGGATTTTTCCAGGAGCAAGGACCTGCGGTGCATCACATTGTTGAAGCGCACGAGGAGGTCGTTGAGGAGATGAAGCGACGCGGATGGGATACTAAGCCCGGTGTTGTTATCCACCAGGGTCGCTGGCAGGATATTCTTCCTGGCCTTGTGGCAGCTGGGGAGACGTTCGATGCTATCTACTACGATACCTTTGCGGAGTCATATAGTGATTTCCGGGATTTCTTCTCTGAGCAGGTTATTGGGTTG